AACATTGTTGATGTGTTGCAGCAGTATAATCGGCGTTTTGCAAACTTTCAATTTTAATTCAAGATCCCGCCGGTCGATTTGGCTGAATTTAGTATCATTTGAAAGCTACAATTTTTCTTTAATTGTCTGTCCATTTATATACAGATTATGCTGGTTGGTAATCGAGATATCTTATGTTTTATTTTCCCAGATTTGAGATGACCTAAGCGTTTACATAAGCATTTTGGTGATTGGAAAAAAAAAGTTCCGAGAAAGATCATTAAATTGAAAAATAAATAATGGTTAAAAATTTAGAGAGTAAGCTGAAATAGTATATAATCTGGTGGACCATTTATCTAAACTTAAGATGTTGAGTTGTGCTCGTCTGGTTAGATCTAGGGTAGTCACAAATATTGTGGAATCTGGGGTTTCTCGTTATAGTGGTAGTTTAATTAATCGTTCAAATTTAATTAATCAGTTGCGTTTCCAACATTCAGAATCTATAATTTCAAATGAATTACAAAATAAAGATTTAAAAGAAGGTGATGATTCAATACCTGAAAGACCAAAACTTACAAAATATGAACAATATACATATAATAGAAATAAAAGAGTTGCAGAATTGAAAAAAATTTCAGAAACTTATAATTCAATTGATTCAAAATTAATTGATACTGATTATTCAAGAATATTTGATGAATTAATTGATGAACTTTCTACATTTGATGTTAGAGATCGTTCTTTATTATCAACAAGACGTGATTTCAGTCCTATAATCAAAAAACTCTTACAAACTGCTATAAAGAGTGAAGACCCACATTTCACTCCTGAATATGTTATTTCTAGAGCTAGTGAAATTAGTGTTTGTGATATTGTTGCATTTGAAGATCTTTCAAGATTTAAATTAATTAAAGGTGATTTGTCTGGTGTTTTGGAATTATGGGTTCATTATTTGGAATATAAATCAATGGAAAATCTTAAAGCAGGTGGTAGATATATTAAACTTTTCACTCAATTAGCTTATTATGAAAGTTGTGCTAATGAAGGGAAATTACCAGATTTAAATATTTTGAAAACTTTATTACAAGGTGAAGAAGAAAAAAGTTTAGGTTTATTATTTAGTGTTTCACAAGATATCCTTAAAGATCAACCTAAAAGACAAAAATTACTATTAAAACTTATAAATAAAACCAAATTTGTAAATCAAAAACCAAATTCATTATTATTTTTAAATAAGGCACATGAAGCTGCTATCCAAGGAAATACAAAAGCTTTAGAAGATGTTTATAAATCAGTTTTAGAGAGTTCAGAAATTAATGAAGTTCCAGTTGATGAACAAACTTTAGTTTCATTTATGAGTTTCTTCAATAAAGTTAATCAACGTCAACGTACAATGGATCTTTGGAATGACTTAATCAAATCAGGAATCAATCCATCAACTGAAGCATGGAATGAATTATTAGAAGCTGTTTCCAAAATTGGTCCATTTAATCAAAGACTTGATCAAGTTGAATCAATTTATAATCAAATTCCAAAGAAAAATGATGAAACTACTGCAAAATTAATTCAAGTTTATTCATATTTGAAAAAACATGATAAAATTGAAGAATTAATCACAGACGATCTTTTAACAAAATCAAGTATTGTTCAATCTTATATTCAACATTTAAGTGTTAATAATAATTTAATCAAGATGGAGGAAATTTTCGATAAATTTTCTCAAGGTTCTAATTCATCAGCTATTAATATTAATACTTATAATGCATTATTAAATGGTTTTATTAAATCAAGAGATTTAAATAAAGCTTCAGCATTATTAAAATCAATGACTACAAATAAAATCAAACCAGATGTTGCAACTTATTCCATGATTATTGATTTAACAATGAAATCAGCAAGAAGAAGAGGTGAAATTGTTAATGATGAATTAATTACAGCATTAATTCAAGATATGAAAAAAAATGGTATTCAAGTTAATGCATATACATTAACTAGTATTATTGATGGATTAGGTAAAGATCCAACTTATTCAAATACTTCAACTGTATTATTTAATTATCTTGAAAGAAAAAATTTAGCAAATCATGTTTCTTACGTTTCAATGATTGCAAATATGTTAACATATGGTAAAATTGATCAAGCTGAAGAATATATCGCTAGAATGATTTCAAAAGGTTATGAAGTTAATATTAAATATTGGAATATGTTTTTCGATGGATTTGCTAAAAATCAAAGAATTGATAAAGTTAAACATTATTATCAAGCTTTTAGAGAAAGTGGTAAAAATGGAAGTTATCCAGGTGCTAATAAATTTACATTTTATTTCTTATTGAAAGCTGCAAATTTTGGTAAAGATGTTGAATTTGCAAATTTAATTTTCCAAGATATTGAAAATGCTAAATTTGGAGGATTAAGTGATTCAACTAAAAAAGTTATTGGTAATTTAAAAAAATTGGAAGGTATTAAAATTCCACAAATTGTTGAAAACCAAATGGTTTCAAATTAATTGAAATAATGCATTATTATATATAAATAGTTGTTAAAATGTACATAGGGATTATAGCTGTATGAATACATATACATATAAGTTTATTACAATTTGTAAATTATATTTAAATCAAAGACATTAATTCATATTTAAACCGTTAAAAATATAAGGAAACCAAAATATTATAATATATATATACATGCAAATAAATGAAAGTGGGAAAGCTATACCAATTGAAGAGTTTATTCATCAACTTTCCCCATAGCTTTATCCCAATGAGGTTTTAACCAATGAGCCATACGATCTTTAGCATTTGTAACATTATCCAAAGCAGGTCTAACATCCAAGAAGAAAGTTGGCATTCCATGTTCATCATCTGGACCTCCATAATAATCAATAACATATCTAACTTGATTCCAACCACCTTGACCATTTGATCTAAGAACATACCAATCATGTCTATCAAATGGAGGATCTGTATTGAAAGTTTTTGGGAATATTTTGGATAATTGTAAATACATACGAGCTCTTGGTGAAAGATCATGAGGTCTACCTGTGAATTGAGCTAATCTTGGAGCTTTATTATATAAAGATTCATAAGGTTTTTCCCATTCAAGAATTTCTTGCCATGCACCTTCATTTAAAAAATTATGAACATCAACCATTGATTCCACTGCATCTTCTGGGATACCATCACCTTTCCCCTTTTTCATCATGGCATTAAACATTTGTTGAGGAGATGGATATTCCCAAACACCTTCATCTTCATCTTCACCTCTTGGAATTGTTGAAAAAGTACGATCTGTTGGTAAATCTAATTTTTGACCTGGTAATTTAGATGAAGAAATGAAAGATGGCATATTATTTAAAGGATTTAATGTATCTGATACTCCACTGGAATTATCACCATCTTTCTTCATTGGACAAACAGCTGGTAATTCTGAAGTTGGTTTAGATTCTTTTGGTTTAACAGGACATACAGCTGGAGTTGAAGCTTTAGCCTTATGATCCACAGGACATTTAGCACCTGAAGCAGCAGCATTTGTAGCACTTGTAGCACTTTCCGAATCAGCCCAGAACCATCCCATGTTGAATATAATGAATATAAATTATAGATAAAGTAGTATAGAATAGTACAATTCAATATCAGATTCAAATTATAAATTAAATTGTTTATAAAAAACGGAAACAAAAGAAAAGTTCGTTTCGCGAATTTTAAATATTTTAGTAAGCACAGATTTTTATTGGCTTTTATTTAATTTGACACAATTTATGAAGAATTTATGAAGAATTTATGCTATGGTCTTCGTAAGTTGATCTACATCATGGGTATATTAATTACTTTTATTAGAAAAAACTATTCTATGCAGAAACACAGGGAAAAAAACGAACTCAAAATGACAATTTTATATGAAGTGTAGTGAGTATTAATCAATTGTATTATGCTGGTGATGTGGAAACTTGAACTGGGTCTTTACTCTTTGAGCTCAAATCACTATCAAGAGACTTCTTAGCAACACCGTCTTCAGCTGGTTTAGTATCTTTTGGTTTTGGTTTATCCAATGCTGTGAATGGTTTCCCACTAGATTTAGAAATCAATTTTAATACTAATAATCTTAATCCCAACATTATACTAGCAGCTAATAATGAACCAACAGGTGCTGCAACGAAAGCACCAAATGCACTCCAATCATTTCCGTAGATACCATTATTAACAATCAATAATAAACCACCATCTTTGGCATTACCATAATAAATTGTCCCAAAGATGAAAACTGTTAATAACCCACCAAGTCCACCGGCAATAACTTCAAATACTGTTAAGAAATAGAAATATGAACTTAAACCTAATAAAATAACTGGGATAACTGCAGCTGATAATAAATCTGCAATGAAATAAATTTGTAAAACATCATCTGCAACTTTTAAACCAACAACAATAACTGGTACAATAATTAATACAACAATAACTCTAATATACATGATTGGGATCTTATTTCTGAAAATATCATTTGAAATGGTTGAAGTTAAAGCACTTTGTAATGAACCAATTGTACATGTTGATAAAGCAGCAATGAAAACTAATGTAAAACCCATAACCCATGAAGGTAATTGAGTTAAAATAATGAAAAATGAGGCACCTGAGGCACCATCATCACCAACATCAACAAGACCAGCCCAAACTGCAATAATACCAGGGATACCAACAATAACTGCAATACAAGTCATTAAAAATGCAGCAATTGAACAACCAATCCAAAGATCTTTATCAGTTTTTGAAGCAAAAGTTCTTAACCAAAATCCAGACATGAATAAATCATTTGTGAAAATTGCAATAACTAAGATATAAATTAATTGCCAACCTAATTTATTACCTTTTAATAAACCAGATTCTGGAATTTTTGAAGTATCAATATCAATATATGTACCCATTGCACATGAAATAATTATAATCAAGATGAAAACTGTAGCAATTTGAATATTATCAGTAATGAAACTAACTTTAAACCCACCAATTGCAGTATAAATACTTGTAACAACACATTCCACAATAACAACAGGAAGTGCATTTAATCCAGTTAAAGTATTAATAGCATATTGTAATGAAGCAACATCAGAAACCATAAATAAGAATAATGTTAATATAGTACATGCAGAAAGGTATAATCCAGCAACAGGACCAAATCTATGGAAAACCCATTCAGTCAAGACAAATCCATCAGGACATTGTTTTCTAATTTTTGGCCCTAAAAATGAAAATAATAACATTGGTAAACCACCACATAATGCATAAACTAATAAACCTTGTAACCCAGCAGTATTTGCAACTTGAGGATAAGTCGAAAGGATACCAACACCAAGACCACTCGCAACGAAATTAAAAGCTAATGGAATACCCTTTTGTGTACCATTAACGTTTAAAAATGTCTTTTTATCATGGAAAATCCAACCTATACTAACACCACTTATTAATAGTAAACCATAAGTAACGTATAAGATTGCATTAGCAGCAGGATGAGATAAATGACCCATTTTATATTATCTCAGTGTAATGATATGGCTTTAATGATGATCTTTATGACATTTTTACAAAATTATGGCACATTCAACTGGTTTTATATAAATTTTCATCAACAGTTTACTAGTTTTCTTTTTATGCCCTTAGAAATGTTAGCAGCCATATTGTTTTTTTTCCAAATTCGAGAATTAATTGCATATACTGAAAAACTGATTTACGGTGGTAAAGATTTACTATTTTAACACTTTTAGAAAAAGACTAGTGTTATTAGTTATGAATAGTGTTGTAGATGGTTAGTTTATGGTCTCTTTTGGTGTTTTAATGGTTCAATTGTGGTGGGAAAAGGTTAGAAATTGAGCTATACCTGTTTGGCGATGGGTATGACTGCACCGTTAAAGTAGGTGAATAACGGTTCAAGATCATTCTAAGAGAATACTCTTCAACGGTAAATCAGATGATAATTAACGTAGAAGTTGTGTCAACATGTCAACTTTGACATAGAATAGACATAGTTGTTAAATTAGGGCTGATTTAGTATGCATTAGCCTTGCATTTATAGCTTATAGTTTATACTACACTCATAATAATTAGATTAAATTTACATGATATTAATTATAAACACACAATTCAAATAATCTAAGCAGAGACTGAAGATAAGATATCAGAATCACCAGCATCTAAAATGGATAAAACACCAACTCTGAATAATCTACCACAAGCAGTACCTAATTCATTGTTACCACCATGGAAATAATGGACATTAGTTTTTGATAACATAGCATAGTATTCTAATTCAGATTTTCTTAAAACTGGAGTGTTAGCAGCAATGATAACTAACTTAGCTTTACCTTGTCTTAATGATTTGACAACGGATTTGTAACCTAAGGTATATTTACCAGATTTAATGGTAAGAGCTAATTTAGCGTTTAAGTTTTCTTGAGCTTTAACTTTTGGGGCCTAATGATATATATGTTAGTATAATTGAAACTATAAAACATTCTATATAGTGGATGGTGATTGAAAGTAATAGCTCCTTGAACTATTAAGTTATCACCATCACCATGTAATGTATACTGACCATCTCTGCGTTTGTTTATATGTGGTTTAACACTCCGGTCTGTGATGAAGAAGAAGAGAAGAGTATGTATGAAAAGTATATACAAAAGTTGAAAATTTTATATACCAACAATCGTAGTGGTGAAAAAAAAAATAATCCGTGGTGTTTGGATTATCAGAGCCCTAGTCACCTGATGATGTATCTCAGATAACTCATCCACACACCAACAGTCACACTCCCAAACCCACGCAATTTTCACAAACAACTGAAACTTTTTGTGAAATCTCCCATTCGCGAATTCCTCGCTGATATAAAAAATTCGCACACTTTCACAATAAAATTTGTATGCGCGAATGCTGCTCAAACCACAATTATACCCAGTTTCTCAGTCTCTCAGTTTCCCATCCATTCTGTGAAAAACTCATCTTTTATCTATAAACCCATAACCAACGTATAGGTGATATTTTTACATCAACAACGTTAATTAACAATCAAAAATGAAGGTTGAAGTTGATTCATTCTCAGGTTCTAAAATCTACCCAGGTAGAGGTACTCTTTTCGTTAGAGGGGATTCAAAAATCTTTAGATTCCAAAACTCAAAATCTGCTTCTTTATTCCATCAAAGAAAAAATCCAAGAAGAATTTCATGGACTGTTTTATATAGAAGACAACACAAAAAAGGTATTACTGAAGAAGTTGCCAAAAAGAGATCAAGAAAATCTGTTAAAAATCAAAGAGCTGTTGTCGGTGCTTCTTTAGAATTAATTAAAGAAAGACGTGGTCAAAAAGCTGATTTCAGAAAAGCTCAAAGAGAAGCTGCTGTTAAAGCTGATAAAGAAAAAAAGAAAGCTGCTAAAGCTTCCAGAAAAGCTGAAAAAGCTAAATTAGCTGGTGCTCAAGGTCAAGCTGCTAAAATTTCAAAACAACAAGCTAAAGGTGCTTTCCAAAAAGTTGCTGCTACTTCTCGTTAAGTTAAATTTTAATACTTTGAATGAATATAAGGTGTTTTTTCAGTAATATATATATTAACGGTTAAAAAAATCAAATTAGTGTTACAAAAAATTGTAGATATGATGTGAATTATGTGGATTGTGTGAATAATGGTTAATGGTTGAATAATTATCAATTATAAGAAGAATATGAAATTACAATGGGAAAAGGATTGTCACAGAATAGACTAGACCATTATCATATCTTTCACAAACTTTACATGTGTAATTTTAGTTTGCTCATTCATGGAGTAATTTATTCATTTTGGCGTATTGTCCTTGGAAATTTCACTGTCGCGTTTACACAACTACAGTAGGTACTACGAGGCTTTAAACCAAACATGAAGACATCACAATCGTAATTAAAGTAATACTAATAGACCATGGCTTGCGTGTCACTTTAGGTTATTTTAAATAATTGTATATTCCTTCAAACTTGAATGTGTTACCTATATACTAGACATGTTGCTCTTTGAGAATCGCGACTCGATATTTTTCATAAAACTAAAAATTTCATATACGTCGAACATAATATTTGTTATGGGTCAACTTCATGAACAACCGATTTGGATCATAATTTGTTTTTTTAGACGTTTTTTTGTTCCATCTGATAGTAAACTTTGTCATTTTACACTTTTCAAGTTTTTGACCTATTAGAGTCTGATGTTCTTGTATTTCAATAATATCCTTGTTGATGATATATTGTTTGGTTAATATTGGAATTTAATATACCGCATCTAATATTATAATACACTTTATTCTTTGAATTACAGATTTCTTAGTCCAAAGGTTACTATATTATTTGTTATTATAAAAATATTATCATTATTTATCCATCATTGTCTTGAAGAATTAATAAACTATGAAGTAGTTATTCAATGAAATTCAAGCGTGATGAGAATTTAAATATATGATTTGATTATTTGATCAATTGGAATTGAAATATGAATTGGATGATACTTGTAGTTGATGTAATTTTATTCAGCACTTATTATTGATTATCCACCGAGTACTAGGAATTTTGCTCGCGAAAATGTTCTCATATGTATAATTTAAATTTCTCATCATTTTAAATCCTTGCTGCAAGTTACAAAGTACTTAAAATGACTAGATAATCTTATCTATTTCAGATTTTCTCATTCTGGTTCCTCCATTACAAAAGGCATTGAAACACAGCAGAATTTGTGGTCGATCAGAGATCATTTATAAATTGGAAGCAAATATCATTCACTTTTTGGAATAATCATATAAGCTTTTAAAATCGCTTTTCATCGCTTGAAAATATAATTTTGCATTTGCTCAATCTTTGGTCATGGTTTAGTCTATATATTAAGGTTTAAATTGACTCATACTTGAAACATGTTTGATATCTTTGAGCAAATATAGATCAACCTATATTATTCAATCGTGTTCAAGTTGGTCGATTAAGATCTAAACTCAAATGGTATATATCTTCCATCATTGTCTTGAAAGAATGATCTCTTGGTTAATTAAGGGTTCATGGGAATAAAGCGTGATGAGAATTGAATATATATGTTATTTTATTGACGATATAAGAGATTGTAGAAGATTTATATAACTAATGAATTGATTAATGGCTGACTCTATGAGCACTAGTAAGAACTGATATCCTTCTCTCACAATTCGCGGGTATTTCTTGACATTTTATCCCTATTTCAAGATAATTTTCCTTATCCCTTGCCATTTCGAACAAGTAAAGAACCAATCTATTTCTTACATATACACCATATTTCATTGCATATTTTATGTTCCTTTTTGGTATTCTATATGTTTCACCCCAGTTTGCTCTTGCATCCTCCATTATTATGTTGTTTCGTCCTTCTGCATAAGCAAGTTATTGAAATTTTGTGCAACAATTAGCATGTCATCAACAAATACTAGTATTAATTCTATATTTCCATTTTAAGTATATCTGCTTGATCTGAAATTATAGGTTCACTCATATATAATGACCAACTCAGCAGAACACATGAATATATATATATCATCCATTCAATTGTCTTGAAAGAATAACATTAAGTTATGGGATTAAAGCAATATGGATTAAGAAATATATAAACTACATTCTTTTTAAAATCAACATCTGTAAATTACATTAAAACTATATACCCTTCAACTTCTAATCTAGTTATTTCTTTTCATCCAAAACTTTTTTAGCTTTTGCATTAACTGCTCTTGTATAATTTCTAACATTTCTTAAATTAAAAGGTAAAATAATGTTCATCAATACAATCCAAGCAATTAAAACACCAACATTTCTACCAATATTCCCCTTATAAGTATCCAAAAAGATGATTTTCAATAATTCATTACCATTATATAATGGCATTGCATAACCATATCTATAAAACCGGTTCATAACAATCATTGGTGAAAAAACAGGTGAAACATTAATAACAAGGAAAAAAACAATCCAAAACCCAATTATTGGTTTATAACGTGCAAAGATTTGAATTGCTGCATTTTCATTAACACCACCTAATGCAGCCATTGTTAAATAAACGAAAACCCATTCAACTAAAAATCCACTTTTACCAAATGTTTTTGTATGGTCAACTTTAAAAGCTAAAGTCATTAATGAATAAACTAATGAAAGTATAATATAAGCTAATTGTGATACAGTATAATGATATAATAAATATTGCCTTGTATGAATGTTTTTCAAGATGTATTCATGTGTACTTGAAGCGAAATTAAATTGATGAAATGATAAAACTAATAAATAAATTAATCCAATTTGAACGACTGTAATGACGATTGATCCTGGGTTTGGTCTATTATCTGTCCAATGCCACCATAATGGTTGTAATAATTCACTATGAGATTGAAGTATTGTTGAAAGTTGATCTTGTGATAATTGAGAAATTAACCTTTGAACAATTGATTGAGAACCAGATTTAACAAATTGTTTTTCAATAGTTTTCATTATTGAAACGATATATGATGCAACACCTTGAGGATTTCTACCAGTTTCATAAATAAATTCAATGGTACCATTAAATGAAGAATTTGTTGTTAATGCTTGATAATAATCTTGAGTTAAATTTTTTGGGACATAAATACCACCCCAATAATTTTGATGATGAACTTGTCTAATAACTTCATCTCTATTTGTATTATTATGTTTTTGAGCTAATTCATTGAAAGTTGTACCATTTTGAAATTCAAAAGTTCCATATTTAGTAATAGCTTCATTTGTTAATAAATTTTGTAAAGTTAATGAATATAATGATGGTGGTTGTTGAGCTTCAAGATCTTCATCAAGTACAACAAGATAATTAATCTTATGATAATGAGAAGGTCTATCATATAAAGATCCCCAATAAATTGATAAGATACCAACAAATAAGACAAACATTATCAGATAAACTTTTGCAAACATTACAACAACTTTCCAAAAATTTGATTTATTTCGTTCATGTCTTGCCCTTTTCTCTGATTTTGTTGTTGAAGTTTTAGTTAATCCTTGTTCCAATGGTTCATTTTGTTCTTGTTCTTTCTCTTGTTCGTGTTCTTTACTCTCTTCACTTTCATCTGGATGTTCTTCAATAACTTCATTAGGTTTATCTTGTTCTACTCTTCCCAAGGCATAGTTTATTAATGAATTAGACCTGCTTCTTTGACCCGATGAGATATGAACTGGAGGCATCTGTGACCCACCGACAATATCGTGATCATTGTGAGACTGTGTTCTATATGTAGCCTCTTCCAAAGGGTCCACTGAGTCCTTGTACGACATTGCTGATGTTTGTTCCTTGTGTATAGGTGGTGGTAACTTCTTGATGGTTGAATTGTTGTTCCTGGTTTTTAACTTTTCTGTGTTTATATTTATCTTTTTGACCACGGCTGAATTCGTAAAAAATTTAATTAACCGGAAATAACAAAAACAAAACAAAAAGAATTTAAATCAATTGTACTCACCAAAATAACTAAACAACCAGAGAGATTTTAATCACAGAAGAATTCAACAATGGCACAACGAAGAGATACAGACCTGGAGACCCAGGATACACAAGGACTGAACAGAACAAGGACACTTAATGACTCTTTTTCAGAGGAATCCATTGCTGAAGAAATACAAGACTTGAATGAAGATGTCATCGAGGAAAGAATTCAAAATGATGATATGATGGGGACGAATCAATTGGAAAGAAATTATACCATGTCATTACATGATAATCAGAGTGAAAATGAGCAGGTACAGGGATTACCACCTCCACCTCCACAAAGAAGAAGGTCTACTATTGTGGATAGTTTTAAAAACTTGGGGAAGTTTAATTGGTGGGATTCAGATTTCAAGAAACAAAGATTAAAAATTTATGGAACTTTCTTAACAAATTTCTTAGTACTTTCTATAATATTAATTATTGTTCTTTCTATTTATTTTGGCTCTTATTATAAAAGAGAATCACGTTTTAAAAATTTTAGATTTTTAGTTGTTAATCAAGATTCTTCAGTTAATGGTACTCAACCAGTTATTGGGGGTACTTTACAAAAAGTTCTTGAAAATCCTCAAATTGCAAACATTGGTAGATGGATTTCAACTAATGAATCATTATCTCGTGATGATATAATACAGAAAATTCATGATCAAGATTATTGGGCAGCTATTTATGTTAGACCAAATATAAGTTATGACTTGCACACGGCTATTCAAACAAATAATACAGATTTTAATGTCACAGAGGGACTTGTGGAATTTATTTATGAAACTGGTAGAGATTTATTGACAATGCAATCATATATTTCAAGTATTTTAAGAAGTGTTGAATCAGGTTTTATAAAAGGTTTCCCCAGTTCATATCCAGTAATATTACAACAATTAGATGACCCAGTAAATGCAATTGAATTTTTATCACAATCCATTGCAATTAAATATTATGATCATGTACCAGTGACAAATTCAGTATTAGTTGCACCATTACAATTAGGTCTTACTTATTTAGTTATTTTTGCATTTTTCCAATTTATAATGACTGTCAAGATTCAATTATACATTGCAACTTTAGTTAAAGGTCTGAAATATTTATTACTTAGAATGGCACTTTCACAATTGTCATATATTATTTTATCATTATCTTATGTTGTATTGAATGCAGCATTTAAATTAGATTATAAGGCAACATTTGGTCATTCAGGGTTTCTTGTATTATGGGCTATAGCATATTTAACAATGTCATCATTAGGTTGTGTTAATGAAATTGTTTCATTATTGGCATTTACATATTATCCACCATTAGTTGGTGGTTGGTTAGTTATATTTATGGCTTTGAATGTTGCTCCAGCAGTTAGTTCAATGGCACTAATGAATCATTTTTTCAGATATGGATATGCATTCCCAATTCATAATTCTTATGAATTAGTTAAAGTTGTATTTTCAGATATTTCTAAAAAGCAAATGGGTAGAAATATTGGTATACTAGTTGCATGGGTTGTTTTAAGTAATTTGATATCACCAATTGTTATGATTCATGTTAGTAAAGTTAAAGCTAGAAGAGATGCTGAGTTGAAAGCTCAAGGTGGTAGTGCACCAGTTAAAGCATAAGATCAATGTATTATATAATAGATGTTGTTTATTCGTAAATGTTCGTAATTATTCATATTTGGCAAAACCGGCTTTAAATGTTTCTCGGTGTTGTACGACTGATAAACGATGAGCAATGAGAGGAAGTATTCACAACTAACAATAAACTAGGAAAATATAGTATAATTACTTAATAAACAATGCTCAGAATCAGTCCATTGTCTTATCTTTGTAAATCTGATTGTACTATGGTGATTTTGCTTAATTGCTGTCTTATAATTTGGCTGTTTTATGGCCTTTCAATTGTGCTTATTGTCTTCTCCGATTCCTTATCAGTCGGTGAATTCCGCAGAGAAGATTATCACCAAAATTTATTTGATTTGAAGATTTTATATAAAAGAAAAGGATTTCAACTTGTTTTATAAATCTTTGTCTACTCATCAATTATATCTCATCAATTAATCAGTTCATTCTATATCACAATGGCCCTTCAATCCTCTTCTTATGGTAAAGACAATGTCAAGTTCCTCAAGGTCAAAAAAGATCCACAAAATCCTCAAAAACATCAAATCATCGAAGCTACTGTTAAAGTCCTTTTAGAAGGTTCTTTTGATACCAGTTATACCCATGCTGATAATTCATCTATTGTTCCAACTGATACTGTTAAAAATACAATCCTAGTCCTTGCAAAAACTACTGAAGTCTTCCCAATTGAAAACTTTGTTGCTACTATTGGTCAACATTTCATCAAGAAATATAATCATGTTGATTCTGTTAGTGTTAATGTGATTCAAGATCGTTGGGTTAAATATGAAGTTGATGGTAAATTACATGATCATTCATTTATTCATCAAGGTCCTGAAAAACGAATTACTGATTTATATTTATCAAGATCAGGTGATTATACTTTAAAATCAAGTATTAAAGATTTAACTGTGTTAAAATCAACAGGTTCACAATTCCATGGTTATAACGTATGTGATTTCACTACATTAAAACCTGCATTTGATAGAATTTTATCAACTGATGTTGATTCAACTTGGAAATTTGATTCTAAAAAACTTGGTCCAATTTCAAATATTTCAAAACTTTCATCCCAAGGTCTTTTCGATAAAATTTATGAATATTTAGCTAGAAAAATTACATTGGATACATTTGCATTAGAAAACTCTCCTTCAGTTCAAGGAACAATGTATAATATGGCTACAGATATTCTTTCCAAAGCTAATGAAGTTGAAAGTGTTGATTATTCATTACCAAATAAACATTATTTCTTGATGGATTTTGAATGGAAAGGTTTGAAAAATGATCAAGAAGTATTTTATCCAAGTCCTCATCCAAATGGATTGATTAAATGTTCTGTTGTTCGTGATTCAAAATCAAAATTATAGATTAATTATTATATTATATATTGTATACGGTGTTTATAAAGGTTATGTTTTATATTTATGTTATATGTTGATGTTTATGTACAACTTTAAATATTATATGTAAGGTTTACCAAAAAAAAATCAATTCATAATTCATTGTATCTTTTATCTTGTATCTTTGTAAAGCTTGAAGCTGAAATCTCTTAGAAGAACCAACTCCACCATTTTTGTCTCTTTGTAACAGGAGTTCCAAATTTAGCATTATTAGCAACAGCATGTTTAGAATCAACAATTTTTTGACTTGTTTTAGTTTTAGCTTGTTGAGCAATTGTTTTCAATTTTGTTGAACCAATATTAAAACCCATACTTCTTAATTTCCCAACAATACTTGGAGTTATAGCAGCTGTTATTGGTAATCTTATGAAAATTAATGATTTATGAATCCCATATGCTAATATAGCTTCTGTCAACAAGGTTGATGACCATATTGATCCATTTGATTCTTCTTTATCTGTATCTGTTTTTGGTTCACGTTCTTTTGGTGTTATACCAATAAATTCTTTAGCTTTATCTTGATATTCATGGATTTTATCTTCCCCTATAGAATGAACAGCTATGAAACATAATGGGAAATCTATAGCTGAAAGACCCAAATATATAGCTAATGCTGAATAACCATATTCTTGTATTAATGCTTTTATACCTGTCTTCTTCTTTTCACCAGTGCCACTAGAACTTGAACTTGAACTACCTTGTGATTTCGTACTATTAAATCTCTTGAAACGCAAATTTGCCCTGATTGGCTGTCTGATTCCTAATGGTATTCTTGCAAACATTTCTAAATGAACCTCAACTTCTTAAAGCTTCAAATCCCAGTATTCTGTCTGTTCTTTATTCGTCATATTCGGTTATTATCAAAATTTTGAACCCATAATGAAAATTAACTACTCGCGAATTTCACGATCAATTAATAAAAAACCATTCAAGTAAACAAAAACATAACAAAATAAGCCAACTTCAACTTCAACTTAACTCACAATGCTTCTCAGTACCCGCTTATGCTTCTCTGCTGCTCGGTTTTCAGTGCTCGGTGATGCTCGTTTGAAAGAGATTGTCTCATGATAGGGTCTCCAGGGTTTTGGGGCTAAAATTTCTATCCAGGTTTGAATTGGATTTGAATTGGTTATTTCCCTTTACGGTCAAGACAATAAAGTGTCAAAAAGTTTTTTAAGGAAATTCACTAATTCACTTACATATTCGGTTATTATCATGGAAGTTTCTATGGAAGTATTTATGGTATTGGTAAACATTGGGATTTGAGGCAACTGTTTATTATGGCTGTTTTGTTAGGTTTTCAAGTTATGATTTCTATTGTTTAATACTGTTTAAGGAAATTTTGGATCAATCATGGGATGGATTAATTTATTAACTGGATTTCAAAATTTGTTTTTTACTGTGTGAAATGTATCAAGTCATGTTATTAATTAGTTAGATCTGGATAAATGAGGTTCAACTTTAGGAAAGATATAAGATGTCAAAGATTTCCTTGTTTTAAATATTTTTAAGATCTTCATTTTGATATTTTTAATATTATAAACTAAAATCAAAGTCATTCGCTTAATCATGAAGGTCCATTCGTTAATTATTTTAGGATTGAGTTTAATATCAACAAATGCTTTAACTACAATCTCTTCAAATAGTTATTCAACTATTTCCACTGGTACTTGTGTTGAATGTTCAACTATAACACCAAAGACAAAGACAACTATAACTACTGATTCAACAATAACATTCTCAACTGCTACTTGTGTTGATTGTTCAACTAGTTATTTCCCAACTCCAAGCTCAAGTGAATCAAGTTCAGTTCCTCCATCAAGTTCTTCAAGCTCAAGTGAACCACCATCAAGCTCTTCAGTTCCTCCAAGTTCATCTTCTGAACCACCAAGTTCAAGTGAATCTTCATCAATTCCACCAAGCTCATCTTCTGAACCACCAAGCTTTAGTGAATCATCTTCAGTTCCTCCAAGCTCTAGTGAATCTTCATCTGAACCACCATCAAGCTCAAGTGAATCCTCATCTGAACCACCAAGCTCTTCATCTGAACCACCATCAAGCTCAAGCGAATCCTCATCTGAACCACCAAGCTCTTCATCTGAACCACCATCAAGCTCAAGTGAATCTTCATCAGTTCCACCAAGCTCATCATCTGAAATTTCATCAAGTGAATCATCTTCAGTTCCTCCAAGCTCATCAGCTTCATCAAGTGAATCTTCAACAACAACTCCTCCAATTAGAACAAGTTCAGAAACTCCAATTATTTCAACTACAACTGAATCACAAAGTTCAGGAACTACAATTACAATTACTTCATGCACAGATGGTGAATGTTCAGTTTCAACTACAACTTCAACACCATCTTCTTCTGCTCCATCTTCTTCAGTTCCATCAAGTGAAGTAACCTCTGAATCATCTTCATCGAGTGTTCCACCTGTTACAACTGAGTCATCATCAAGTGTTCCACCTGTTACAACTGAATCTTCATCAAGTGTTCCACCTGTTACAACTGAATCTTCATCTAGTGTTCCACCTGTTACAACTGAATCTTCATCAACTGAGTCCTCATCAAGTGTTCCACCTGTTACAACTGAATCATCATCAAGTGTTCCACCTGTTACAACTGAATCATCATCAAGTGTTCCACCTGTTGAACCTTCATCTTCAACTTTCTCATCAATTAAACCAAAAGATCCATCTTCATCAGCTCCAGTTCCAGTTCCATCAACAAGTACTTCATCAAGTGTTGAGTCTTCATCAAGTATTCCACCTGAAGAATCTACTTCAATACCACCACCAGCACAATCTTCATCTGCTCCATCATCATCTACCCCAGGTTCAACTCATTACACTGTCACTACTATAAGTCATTCATCAATTACTACAAGTTATACAACTGTTCCAGGTACTACAAAGACTGATTCAACTGGTATTGTTATTTCGAGCTCAGTTTCAACTGTTACTACTCCAAATACTGAAGTGATTACTTCAACTATCCCATATGAGCCATCAACTCCATCAACTCCAGGTACCCCAGATGAGCCATCAACTCCTGCTACACCAGACCAACCATCAACTCCATCCACTTCAAGTACTCCAGATCAACCATCCACTCCAGGTACTCCAGATCAACCATCCACTCCAGTTACTCCAGAAACTCCATCAGCCACAACCACCCCAGATCAACCATCAACTCCATCTACTTCATCTACTCCAGATACTCCAGATCAACCATCTACTCCAGGTACACCAGATCAATCATCTACTCCATCAACTTCAACTACTCCAACAAACCCAGAAACCCCATCAACTTTAAGCTCATCTATAATTACATCAACTCCATCATCAACTGCTCCTTCAATTGAACCAAAACAATCAACTTCAAGCTCTACACCAGTTCCATCAATTGCAACTGTTTCAACTGTTAGCTCATCAACTCCAGTTATTCAAACTCAAGAAGGTTCAGGTTCAAACTTAAAAGTTGGTACATCAATGGCTGGTTTCGTTTTATTATTACAATTTCTTTTTTAATTTAATTTCATCATTTTGATGAATTAGATTTGTTCTTTTACTATACCTTTTTTAATTAATTAACTTATATACTTTAATTAGACACTTATTTTATTATAAAATACACAATGTAGTAAAAGTTAATTGTTTGATTTGCAACTTTAGGTCTAGCCATCTCTTTTAGTATACGCAAAACGCATAACATAGTTTTATATAACTAATATGCTTCAAATATCAAGACCATACAAATATGTGGCTCGCTTATAAGTTTCAGTGTTAATTAATTACCTTGCAGGTTTATTTTCCAAACATCTTGATGAATTGGGTCCAGATCTACATATTGTAATTCAGTTATATATTACTCAACAAATATAGTATATACTCAAAAGAAGAAAAAACGTTCAAACGTGGTTGAAACTTTCTTTTAAACTGTCTAAATCTCCTATTAGCAATAATCATATAGTACCAAGCCCAACAATTGGATTAAAATCAGTTGATTAACTTCTACAATCCATATAAACTTTAGAGAACATATTCCTGTTTTCGGAAACCACGATCAAAAGTTGCCTATAAATAGCTAACATCTTTGCCAAAAGAATCGTACACCCCAACAATAGCAACATATAATGCATGCTATTTCATCCCTTTTCAGCTATAATTGTAGTTGAACAAACAAAGCTTAAAAAATTAACTCGGGAAATTTAAGGTTAAGCTTTCAAATTTCAATCTATAGATTATCGGGTTTTGACGCATAATCAGGGTTCGAGAATCATTTTGGATTCATTATTAGACTTTCAACATCAAGATCAATTTGTCTTGTTTGTTCAACAAACGGCATCTACTTCAATAATGAACTATGTTGAAATCTTTCCAATTTTCAATATAAAAGAGATCAAAATTCTACTTGGGCTCTTTCAATATGGTTTTGATTTGTTTACTATAGGACAATTCAATAATTCAAAATGTTATTAAAAAACTTGATCTTTACTTTATTTGCGGCTACCTCATTTGTTCAAGCTTATCCAATTGCTGATACTGAATCTGCTGAAGTTGCTGAAGGTGGTGATGATGCTAATGCTGAATGGTGGCCATGGAAACCAAAACCAAAACCTTCTCCATCTCCAAGTCCAAGTCCATCCCCAAGTCCATCTCCATCTCCATCTCCAAGTCCATCTCCAAAACCTTCACCAAGCCCAAAACCTTCACCATCTCCTAAACCAAAACCAAAATCTACTGAACCATTTGGATTAGTTACAATTGCTTCTGGTTCTGACTTACAATATCAATCTGTTGTTGTTTCTCACGGTGAATTATTCTTGAGTGGTAATTCTGAGGATCCATATAGATTTGTTGGTCAATTATGGGATGATGGTTCTTTACAAGTCTTACCAGATCCTTCCAGATGGGTTCAACAATCTTCTCAAGGTGGATTGTTCTTGAGTGTCAATGAAACCAGTGGTGATTTTGTCATTAGTGATAAGAAGGATCCTTCATTCTCTATTAAAGATGGTCATTTGTTGTATAAAGGTAAAGATGGTGTTGTTGCCACTCCTGATGATCGTTATGGATATACAAACACAATTAAGGCTAAATCTGATGATAAAAAGGCTAAATATGTTGTTTTGAGAACTGTTGGTAAAGATGGTGATACCATTGATGACTTTCCTCCATCAAAATCAGCTTAGGGGCTTTTTTGATGAAAAATCTTCCTTTTGATTTATAGGTTGGTTATTGATTTCATATAACCATTTAAACCTCTTTTCTATAATTATCGATAATTTAAAATATATGATCCTAATATTATTATATTATTTATTCAATTTGAGTTGTAGTTTTTCGTCTACTAACACTAGTGATACATTTGGTATATTGTCGGTGTTGTATGCAAATGCACAACTCGTTCTTAAACTGAAGATATATGGTATAATTATATGCTACAGTTATAAATACTTCAATTGTTAAATAAAATTATTATATTACCTTTAACCTCTAGCAATTATATACCTTATAGCATTATCTTTGTAGTCCATATTCATACCTAAAATTACCAGCTTATTATCATTAACCATTAAATCAGCGCATCAAGAAAATAGCATTCAAAGGCAAAGTAAATTAAGCAATAACACATGATGGATTAAGGGCTGTATTGTGAAATAAATGGTCGATGTTTTCAGCTTGAGCAGTTTGTGTAGATTTGTTTGACATTGTGTGTGATTGTGAATATAATTGTTGATTGATATTGAATGGAAGTTTACTTGATTGAAATTAAATAGGGGATTTCTATTCACTTTTATACTTGAATCTAAGTGATTAATTGTAAATAGTTTGATTGAGTATATGTTTCATTAATGTTTAGATATTATCAAAGTTATTCAACTTTCCATTAATGTTTATTAATGTTCCTTGATGAGTATTACCTTTTTGGGATGACACAATTAAGTATAAGCCGATTTTAAAACTGTCTTGAAAAATCGGAAAACCTGTCAAAACTAATTGAAAATATTCATATCAATGGATAAGTTTCATCTCTTGGCTAATTTGGGCTAATATAATCCATTCTGGTACAATTTCTGTGCAATTTTAATGTATGATAATTATATCTCATTAATTATTATTAGCCTTTTTGGTGATAAGTGATCACGGCTCATCATAATTATAAACTTACAATTTTGATCAGTTGAGTATCAAGTTTCAACATCTATCTACATGTAATCTTTAATCATCATTCCCAAAATCAAAATCATGAATTAAAACTAAATATATGCCTTTAAATTAAACCCTTCTATTATACAAATGAAATTATAACCAATTTTTTGAAAAGATCAATTTATGAAGATTAAATAACTTAACGATCTTTAAGTAATTTGTTTCTTTTCTCTCTTTTACGCATTCTTTCAACTTTTTTAGCATGCATTTTTTCAGCTAATTTTTGATATCTTTCCTTTTCTTCCTTTTTAGCTTTCTTATCTTTTATAGCTTGAATTTTTTGTCTTTTTTCTTCATCTTTTTCTTGTTTTAATTCTTTTAATTTTGCTTTGATTTGTTCATCTTTTTGTCTTTGTTCTTGCTTTTTAGCCCATGTTGATTTAACACCTATACTTTTAACTCTAAATGCATCTTTTCCAATTTTCCAGTTTTTACCTATATTATAGATATGTTAGTATAAATGATTCTATAACCATCTTTCAACATCTAGCCAAACTTACCATTAACTCTGGCACCTTGATCCAAGTGTTTCACTTCTTCTTCTTCGGACATTATTACTTCAGTCTATATTATTACCTAAAAGAAATCCTTTCAAATACTTGTTTAAATCAGTTGTACTCTTAATTTATGGGTATAAAATATTTTTTTATTACCTGCGATGAGATGTCTGGATGTTGATTATTAAATCATGATGTAATCAATTCGATTTTACGCGAATTAGTTTTGGCTGTTCAATCGAAGCACAAACAAAATAAGCGCTGCTTTACTGACAGGTTATTCAACTTGAATTCTGTTCAATTCTCGTCAAAAGACACTGTTTCTTAGTTGTATTGCTGGTGAATTGCTGTTAATTTTGCTACTTCTTGTAACTAGACTGCTCATTGGTGTTTCAATCAAATAGAATTCCCCCAATTCCCGTTGAATTTCTATTACTGGCTGTGGTTCTGAGGTATAAGCGCCTCCAATATTAGAGAAGATAAGATCAATTCAATTGAACTGAGGAATAAATAAAAGAGGTTCATACACACAATGAGGTTTTTCATAGGACTCACTTGGCTCTTGAGCTCCATCATTGCATTGGCACAAGCTGATTTCACTCCTGAAATACATTCACAAATATCAGATCATGTATCAGACACATTGCTATATATGGATGATTCTTCAGTTATACTTGATCTAAATAGGGATCAATTACAAAGATCAGATGATGATGGTAAGAATTGGAATAAAGTTTTGGATGGTGTAAAGATTCAAAATATCTATGTTGATAAAGTTAAAAAAGACCGTGTATTTGCATTTACCCCGGAAAAGACTCATTATGTTTCAAATGATCAAGGTGCAAATTGGAATACTTTTACTGTTGATATTAACCCAAATTTGAATTATGAAGTTAAAGTTAACAGTAAAAATCCTGATAAAGTTTTATTAGCTTTTATTGAATGTGATAAGGATTTAAGATGTAAAAATACGTTATTTTATACAACTGATGGGTTTAAAACTGATCCAAAATTGATGTCTGATAAAGTTGCTTATTGTACATTTACCAAATCAAATAATGTATTTGATGAAGGTCATGATGATAGAATTTTATGTCTTGAAACTGAAAGAGATAATCACGGTTATATTAGACAAACTAAAATTGTTACATCAACTGATTTTTTCCAAACCCAAGAAATTATCAATGATAAATCAGGTGCACTCGGTTCAAGTTTTGTTCTTGCAATTGATGTTATTCAATCATATGTTGTCGCTACTGTTCAAACTGATAAATATGGTGGAACTGGTTCAACTGTATCCTTATATGTTTCCAAAGATGGGTATGAATTCAAGAAAGCAGTTATCGATGCATCTGTTGTTAGTGATAGTTTTACATTCTTACCTTCAACGCCTCAATCTTTACATATAAGTGTTTGGGGTATCACTGAAGATGGTAAACAAATTTCAGATATTTTGTCATCTGATAGTGAAGGTATTCAATTCAAGAAACTTTTGGAAAATGTTGAAAGTAATTTCCTAGGGTTTGTAAATTTGGAGAAAGTTGAAACTGTTGATGGTGTTTGGATTGCAAATGTTGTTGAAGGTTATGATTCTGTAACTTTAGAACCTTTATCAAAATCAAAAATCACATTTGATGATGGTAGAACATGGAGTTATTTGAAAACTCCAGATTGTAAAGGTGATGATCAATGTTCTTTAAATTTATTAAGTTTAGAAGAAAGACGTGGTGATGGTCAAGGTGCCACTGGTGCAACCCCTGGCATACTAATGGCTATTGGTTCTGAAGGTAAAACTTTGGATAAAAGTGTTTTAAATATGCATACTTATGCCTCCAGAGATGGTGGGTTGAATTGGGTCAAGACAATTGATGACCCAACCATTTTTGCCTTTGGTGATTTAGGTAATGTCATTGTTGCAGCCCCATATGTCAAATCTGATAGACGTCAAGAAACCTTATTGACCAAAACTATTTATTATTCATTAGATCAAGCTCAAACTTGGCAAAAATTTGAACTTGATTTGGAAATTTTCCCATTCTTATTGACAACTACTATTGATGGTACAACAACAAAATTCATTCTTTCTGGTCTGTTCAGAAAAGATAATTCAAATTCAAATAGTCAAGTCATTTATTCACTTGATTTTGCTAAAGCTTTTGATAAAACTTGTGAAAAGGGTGATTTCGAAACATGGTATGGTAGATCAAATGAACAAGGTGAAGGTATTTGTAATTTTGGTCATAGAGATGCGTTCCAAAGAAGAAAACAAGATGCTAAATGTTTCGTTAATAAACCATTTGTTGATTTGAAAGAAGTTGACGAACCATGCTCATGTACTGAATTAGATTTTGAATGTAATTTTGGTTTCAATAAAAATTCAAAAGGTGAATGTGTTGCAAACTACAATGCTATCAATAAGATCTGTGCTGAATCTGATTCCAAAGACATTAAATTACAATCAAAAAGAAAAATTCCAGGCAATCCATGTACTGGGGGTGATATCTCTACCAATGAACAGACTTTCAACTGTGATGATGCTACTTTGAAAGCAAACAAAATTGAAATTGTCGAAACTTCATTTAAAGGAAGAATTTCACGTTATGTCTTCTTGGAACAAACACCAGACCATTCATCAGATGAAACTGTTATTGTTAAAACAACATTGAATGAAGTTTTCATTTCACATGATGGAGGTAAAAATTTTAAGAAATATCAAACAAGTGATGAAATTTTTGAAATTTATTTAAATCCATATTATAAAGATGATATCTTTTTAATTGGCTCAAATGAGAAATTACACATCTCTTCAGATAGAGGTACAAGTTTCCAAGTCGTTTCATTGCCTTCACAAATCAACATATTTGGTTTACAAATTTTATCATTCAGCAATCAAACAAATGATGCATTCATTTATTATGGTGATGAACATTGTGATTCAAGATTCAATCAAGACTGTGTTCCTGTTGCTTTTTTAACAACTGATCGTGGTAGATCATGGAAAACATTAGCTAAAAACATTAGACATTGTGATTTTGTTGGTGCAAGATATATTGAAAGTGGAGCTGATAAAAACACCATTTATTGTCAAATTAATTCTTTGGATGGTGGTGCTTTAATCTCTTCAAATGACGAATTTAAATCACAAGATACACTTTTCGAGAAAATTGTTGGTTTTGCCACTACAACTCACTATACCGTTGTTGCTGCTATTGAAGGTGATTCATTAAAAGCATATGTTACAATTGATGGACAAAATTTCGCAGCTGCTGAGTTCCCAAAGGATTTCCAAGTTCATAGACAACAAGCATACACTATATTAGGATCTGAAAGTGGAGCAATTTTCTTGCATGTCACTTCAAATAGTAGAGCTGGTACTGAATATGGTTTAATCTTAAAATCTAACTCAAACGGTACTTCATATGTCTTATCTGAACCTTTTGTTAATAGAAATGAAATTGGATTTGTTGATTATGAAAGAGTTGAAGGATTAGAAGGTATTGCTATTATTAATCGTGTTGAAAATCCATTTGAAGCTCAAAAGGGCTCATTAAAACAATTGAGAACTAAGATCACTTTCAACGATGGATCTGATTGGGATTATATTCAACCTCCTTCTACTGATTCTGAAGGTAAGAAATATCCATGTATTGGTAAACCTTTAGAACAATGTTCATTACATTTACATGGTTATACTGAAAGAAAAGATTTCCGTGATACATTTGCATCTGGTTCTGCTACTGGTGTCTTAATTGGTGTTGGTAATGTTGGTGATAAATTATCATCTTTCAATGATGCTTCAACTTTCTTAACAGCTGATGGTGGTTCTACCTGGAGAGAAGTTAAACAGGGAGTTTATCAATGGGAATACGGTGATCGTGGTTCAATTATAGTTTTAGTTGATGATCAAACTAATACTAATACAATTTTCTATTCTCTTGATGAAGGTAATTCATGGAATGAATATAAATTTACTGAAGATCAAGTTATAATTCAAGATATCGTAACAGTTCCATCTGATACTTCCAAAAGATTCTTATTGATTGCAAATTCTCCATCAAATAAAGGTGAAGAGACAAAAACATATGCACTTGATTTTGAAAATGTCTTTGCAAGACAATGTGTCTTAGATTTAGATAATCCTGATAAAGATGATTTTGAATATTGGTCACCAAAACATCCATTTTCTTCATCTGCATGTTTATTTGGTCATGAAGCTCAATACTTGCGTAAATTATCTGATCGTACAGATTGTTTCATTGGTAGTGCACCACTGAGTGATGCTTTCAAAGTTATTAGAGATTGTCCATGTACAAGATTGGATTATGAATGTGATTTCAACTATGCTAAGGCAAAAGATGGTACATGTAAATTAATTGATGGATTAGAACCTGAAGATCATTCAGAAATTTGTAAAGTTGATAAAGATGCATATGAATATTTTGAACCTACAGGTTATAGAAAAATTCCATTATCAACATGTGTTGGTGGTCAAGAATTTGATAAATTTGATCCAATTCCATGTCCTGGTAAAGAAGACGAATTCAATAAGAAAACAGGTAGAGGATTACATGGATTCAATTTAGCCATTGTTATTATAGTTCCAATTTTGGTTTTCTTATTTGCAGTTTGGTTTGTTTATGAAAAAGGTATTCGTCGTAATGGTGGATTCCAAAGATTTGGTGAAATTAGACTTGGTGAAGATGATGATCTTATTGAAAATGATGCAACAGATAAAGTTGTTAATACTATAGTTCGTGGTGGTATAACAATTATTGCAGCAGGTATTGCCACTTTCAAGATGATCAAGATATTTGATGGATTTTTAATTAATAAAGTTAAATCAATTTTCTCAAGAGGAAGTAGATATTCAAGAAGAGGTGCAGGTTATTCATCAGTTAATGATGGTGATTTCAGAGATGATGATGAAGAAGATATTTTAGGAGATGTTATTGATGATGGTGAAGAAGATTATAATATTGATGATGGTGATGATGGTGAAATTTTAAATGATGAATCAAGTATTGCCACAGAAGCTGCAGATGATGATTTAGGTTTAGATGAACCAGAAGGTGATGAATATACTGATGATCGTAATCTAGAGTAAGTGAAAAAACAGTGAAATTGTGTTCTGTATATAAATAGTACTATTTAAAAAAAAGATATTCTAAGTTATATATCAATTGTAGTGATTTTACGATTAAGTAGTACCAGCTACAGAATATAAATATTTGATTATTGAAAAAAATAAAATCATTTATAATTCAAATTCATCATGCTCTAATCTATCAAGGTTTTTTTATAATAACTCCCTGCTTTTCAAGACTATAAATGAACGAATAAATAAAAATTTAGTGGTTTTGATCTTTAAACATGAATTATATGATCTTTGATAAGCATATTTCAAATCTTTCTTCTTTGTTTAGTACAAGACCTAAGCTCAAAAATATATGAAACGACAATATGGCATAAAAGCAAAGCTAATTATAAGTGATAACGCAAAAGAATTTTTAACTAGTCCAAGATGCTTTATATGAATCAGAATATTATTATCACCCATAGCAGATTATATAACAATACAGACAAAATTCTCACATAACTTGAATGAATTGAACTGTTGTTAAGTTTATGCAAATTATTTAATTTAATTATAGGTGGGATTTGTTTTAAAAATTGGGCGCAATTTTAACAGAAGCTGACATGATTTATTAATAATTAAAAATTTATAGACGGTATATATCATTTCATACAGCTTAGAACTTGAAGTATACTTCATTATGTATAATGTAAATATCAGCTACCATTTATAGTAAGTTTGAACACCTAATTCCATAAAAAAAGTAAGTCATATATTAAGCTATACTTTCATCACGCTTTAATCCCAAAAAGGTTAACTTCTTTCTTTCAAGACAATGATGAAATAGTTCAATGATTGAATAGCAAAATAGTTATTAAAGGATCTATAGCTTTAATTTATAACATCCATTTTTGAAAACTATAATGAAATGAATGACCAAAAGTCAAAAGGAAAAAGAAATCCAACATGACAATGCCAAAGAGCTCCTAACATTATAACAGCTAGAAAACAGTCATGGTATATTTTCAAAATTTGCACGCACAGATCAACAATTCTTTTGCAAATAAGAAATGCTAAAGCGAATGGGTTGCATGGGAGAAACACCTAGTCGAAAAACAATCAAAAGAAGAGCTTAAAATGTTCAAAATGTAAAGAATTTCTATAATTTTAAACTCATCATAATTCTCTTTAGAGAGATTAAATTGTTCTGAAAATTTTAAGAAGCTGATATAATTTATTAGTAAGAAATGTATACTCCATATAATCCCTGTATACTCTTCATTCAACAGCTTCAAATAATTTAAGTGCTCTACAAATTTATAAACTAATAAAAAATTGAATCATGTTTATTAAACTAAAATTCTATCATGCTTTAATCTCAAAAAGAATACAGCAATTAACTTTTTTCTTTCAAGACAATGATGAATATAGTTTATATAGTTATATTGATTGAACATCAATATAGAAATTAAAAGGACATATTTTATCAACTTGTGAAAGTTTTACTTGACATATCCATTCTTAAAGCTATTCAATGAAACCAACCATCAAAAGTCAGAATATACTCAATACGTTATGTTAAGGAATTCAGAACACAATTTCAATTTGAGCAAAAATATAGCAAAAGAATCAAGCTTCATTAATAGATGTACAGCATTTCCAAAATACAAAATGGTCAATGAAATGGGATTTAAAGGCCAGTCTCCTTCGCGCAAAACTATTAAAAGGTTAAGCCCTAAAGTAAGTATGTAATGGTTAAAAGTGTAAAGAAGTTTTGTTAAATTTATTCATCATTTTATTCGGAAAAATAAACGTGATTATATAATGTATTAATAAGAAATATACCTACTTGCCTTATCATTCAAATATACCGTTATTTAAAACTACTAATTGCTCATAAACTAAAGCAGATTGATCTAATTTAAGGTACATTAAGTTATATAATTGTATCAAAATTGTAGCTTGATTAATACGCACGATTAAGTAGCTGTATCTACAAGTAACATAATTATTGAAAAAATGAATCATTTATTCGTATTCATCATGCTTTAATCTATCAAGTAATTAATACCTGTTTTTTTAAGACAATAAATGAATCAATAAATAATAATTGACTAGTTTAAGATCTAAACAAATCATGATTAATCAAAAATAATCAAACGTTTCTTGTTTAAAACAAACCCAACTTAGCACTCATAAAATAAATTAAACAATATTAATACAGGGTTAAGTTTTCCAGTTATATTCCTAAAGGCTATAAAACCAATATAGGAAATGAAGCTGAAAATAGAAATGTTGTAACTAGATTGTGTATAATCAAGTAAATAATATAAAGTAAAGTAATATCTAATTCATTGCAATTTTTTATAAAAGGAGGTAAGCTGTGAAAAAAACTAAGCTGACATAAGTTATTAATAAGGAATATACACAATCGACACAACACAGACAAGTTATTAATACAACACGGTATTATAAATCAGTTTAATTATCTACAATTTATTAATTCAATTCATCTTTAATTTCAAAAAAAAATTTAAATCATATATTAAACTAAATTTCCATCATGCTTTAATCCCAAAAAGCTGATCACTTTTTTCTTTCAAGACGATGATGAAATAGTTAATATGATAGTTTTTGTATAACAAAATAGCCTTGAGAATATATTATTCACTTGTGAGAGTTTGATTATCCCCATTTTAAAGCTATTAATGAAATCAATTGTATGAAAGACACTAGTTATAACACAAAGATCAAAGTGATTCAAACCGACAATGCACTAGAATTTGAAAATATGAAACTAGAGCAAAAATATGGAATAATTCAAAAATTAACAATTCAACTCATATCAGTATGTAAATACTTGAGAATAATGGGTTATCAAATAGATAAAAAAACAGAAAATTAATAAGTGCATGCCCAGTTTGCACAGCTTTAGTAATTGATAATAAATGGTGTAAAGTGTATAGTTGAAAATTTTAAATTTAGTTCATGATAAAATCAATTTCTGGTTATGTAATTTATTAATAAGAACTATATACTTGAGAAGTATTTAGATAAGAGACTATTATTTAAACTACAATTGATTAATTGAATTCTTAAAAAAATATCAAATGATTTACTATAATTACATCACGCTTTAATCCCATTGAATTTTAATATAGTTTCCTATAATAAAACCAACTCTTTCAAGACAATGATGAATAGAAATCAATTTGTTCAACTTTTATTTAAAACATTTTGTATATCATAAATCAGCTAATGTTTTTAAAAGTTAATATTAAAAGTATATCACAATATTCATAATCTTTAAAGATCAAATGAATAATCTATGAATAAAACTCTAATAATTTGATACTTTTCATTACAATAGTTTCAATTCACAACGATATTGTAATGAAAGTAATTCAATTTTTATACCAAAGAAATTCCGATTGCAAGTTTTCTCCATAGAAAACAATAATCAATTAAAAGCAACATTATTCCAAGACCAATTTGATTATTATATAAAAGTGTTTTCAAGTGTATTCGGGATCAAATTGGATTATTTTACCCTTTTTATATGATTTATAATTATTAAATAGCAATCAAATTTAATTTGTTGAAGGTTGAACTTAATCTACAAGGTAATTTATATAATCATGAAAAAGTAATTTGTATTTCAATATTAATTATTGCTTTAATCCTTAAAGAGTAATTACTCTTTTCTTTCAAGACAAATAATTCAATAGAAATATGTATTGGAATTTATAATTATTTGATATACAAATTGTATGTGATTAATTGTCATAATCAATATAATATAAATTCAAATTGGAAATTAAACCGTTCACTAGCGCTAGATTAAATTAAATCTAGCATCAGATTTCAAATTCAATCCCCTAAAAAACACATATATAGGTTGTAGATCATGCAACAGAGGTAACCAATTGTCCTTCAATGAAAATGAAAGAATCCGAACCAAACATTAAGAGACCAATATAATCATGGTTTATCATTAAAGTTGTGTAATGAAAGTTGTGTAATTAATTAAAATTTAAAAAATTTAATTTGTTTGTTTGAAGAAAATGAAAATTTTATGAGCTGTATTATGTAAGCACTGTGGTTAATTAATCATACAATTGTGATCTTATAAATTATGATATATTACATATTATTATACTTTAATTATTAGTTGTTATAATAATTATATATTAATTATAAATTCAAGAATAAAGTATATATGTATAGCTTGATTTCTACAAGGTTATAATAAATTATTGAAATAATAAATCATTTATTCATATTCATCATGCTTTAATCTATCAAGTAGGAATAATTACCTGTTTTTCAAGACAATAAATGAATCAATAAATAATAGAATGATCATGAATAGATCTGATCTATTAACAATATGGTTAATCAATTATAATTTTGATATTTAAAATTGAATATTTAATTTTTGTTTTTAACCATGTCCAAGCAAAAAAAAAGATGTGAAAAACACACACCTTACAAGATCAAAACATCAAAGCCAAGTCAAAAGTATATATAATTAGCGATATAACGCTAAGAACTGCAAAATTTATGATCTCTATCAGTCAAAATTTCCTTATAAAATTGAATCATTAATGTTGAGTTGAATTATTTTAATTGCTTTAGGACGTGGTACTGCAATTTGTAACATGCAAATTTTCGCCCATAAAAAAAATTGATATAATTATAATCTATTAGTAAGAAATATAGCCTTCATATTTCATACAATTACGGTATATCATAATGGTCAATTCAATAATCTATACAGAGCTCTACAAATCAAAAAAAAAAAGGACCTTTAATCTTATGAGAAATGTATAATTCATATATTAAACTTTAGTTCCATCATGCTTTAATCCCAAAAAGCTTCACTTTTTTCTTTCAATACAATGATGAAATAGTTTATATAACTAAGTGAATTGAACATCAAAATAGTTCAAAGGATCCATCTTATCATTTATGAATGATTTCTCTCATAAAAATTTGATTTGAAACATCCTTTTTGAAACGTCCTATGAAATCCATGAGATCAGATCAAGCAAAAACAGCAGTTAAACACAAATGATACAACATGATAATGCGCTAGAACTTAAAACCCAACGATTAAAAAAGAGCTTGAGATTAATTATAGTCAAAGTTTAAGACCACATTATAGTGCAAAACAAATCTGAGAATTGGGTGATATTATACCATGTCTTTATTGAAGGAATAAATTTACTCAAATTTGTTCATGGCGAAAAGTAATTTAAAGTTGAACAAGTATTGGTGCGAAAATTTATCTATGGTTATATAATGTATTAATAAGAAGCATATAGGGGTCATATATATTTGAAACGACAAAACATATATGGAAGTCGATACTGCAATCTAAAAATTTTAAGTTATATATGAGTATCAATTGTAGCTTGATTAATTAATATATACGCACGATTAAGTAGTATATCTACAAGTAACATGTATGGAAAAAATAAAATCATTTATTCAAATTCATCGTGTGCTTTAATCTATCAAGTAATTAATACCTGTTTTTCAAGACAATAAATGAATGAATAAATAATTGAGTTGATCATGGTGTTGATCTCTATACTTAACATAAATTATAATATTCTAATTAAATATTCTTATAATTGAATGTAGTATAGCACTTAACTTGAAATAAACTATTGGAAAAATAAAAACAAATATGGAATACAACCGGCAGCTAGTTATAGTTAATCATTCAGATATGGTAAACAGGATCCAGCTTTATCTAATCAAAATATTAAGATTATTATAAAACGTTTTTTGAGTTATTATAAATTAATTGAGTTTAAATTAGTCATAAAATTTCAACAAAATGAATAAGAAGGATGTTTTAAAAAGCGCAATTATAAGATCAAAATTTAAAATTTGAAAAATATAAGAAAGCTGATGTAATTTATTAGTAAAAAATATATAATATATATATACCTATAGATGTGACCCTAATTTATTCAATTAGCTAATTTGCCTATACAATTTTATAATTTTTATATACAATATAAACTAAATCTACAATTTAATGAATTCAATATAAAGATCTGATTCAATCAAAAAATGCATATATTAAGCTGAATATCAATCACGCTTTAATCCCAAAAAGATCCATACTTTTTTCTTTCAAGACAATGATGAAATAGTTAATATAATTATTGAATATCAAAATAGCTTTAAGGATCCATTGTTAACTTGTAATAGTTTAATTATCCATTAATTATTAAAACTATAATGAAATTAGATCAAAAAAAAACATTATACAGTACGAAAGTTTAGCTAACAACTCTTTTGCATAATTAATCAAAATTCCTATAACATTATAGGTCCAATCACATCAGTAAGTAAATATCTAAGAAGTATGGGATATATAGTTACCAAAAAAAACTGAAAATATCATAAAAAACTGTGCAGTTTGCGTAGCATGAAGTTGGTTATAAATCATGTATAGAGTGTAGAGTTGAAAATTTTACATTTAATTTCGTTGATAAAATCTAATGATGGTTATGTAATTTATTAATAAGAATTATACTTGACTATTTAGATAATTATGAGTTTATTATTAACTACAATTGATTAATCAAATTCTTGAAAATATGTCAATTGATTAACTAAATACATCACGCTTTAATCCCATTGAATTTTATAATTCATAATATATTAAAATCAATTTTTTCAAGACAATGATGAATAGAAATCAATTAATGTTTAACTTTTATTTAAAACTTATTGTATGCCATGTAAATCAGCTGATGTATAATATTCATAATCTATAAGCTCAAATGAACAATTAATGAATAATACTAATAAGTGATTGTTTATTAAACTTAATCTACAATTAATCATTAAAAAAGTAATTCATGTATTTAATATAAAATTATTGCTTTAATCCTTAAAGAGTTTAACTCCTTTCTTTCAAGACAAATAATTTAATATAAATATAGTAGTTTATAGTTATTTGATATTGATCTATTGTAAATAAATCATAATCAATAAAATAAGATCAATCCTCTAAAATAATATTATATCGGTTGCCAAAGCTGCTCTAGAGCAAACACATTAGATTATGAAAACACATGTGATTGATACAAGGTCTATAATTGTAATATTGAATTTTCATAACTGCTAATTTCCCTGATCCTTTTGATAATTCAGATCTGGTCAAATTTCATAAGAAAAGTATATAACCACAAAGAAGTTGGTTAAAATTGCATTAGTTAAAAGTTTACAATCACAATTAAATATTAAAATTTTTCAATTAATAAAATTTTGTTTGTCAATGAAAATTTAATGTATTTGATTATGTAATCAGAGCGGTTAAATATTATAAATAAATTATTAATTGATAATTGATGATAATTAGCCGATGTACTAATGATATTATTGCATGTATATTAATAATATTATAATATATTTATATTAATATATAAATTATATAATATATTATTAAAATTTTAAACGTTTATATTAGATCGAGATATTTTATAAAATAAAGTGTATGTAATAAATTTTAATTTTACTTTCAAATTGAGTAACTTATAAAACACTCAAATTTCCAAACCTTTTAAAACAACTTATAACTTATATCATTATAAACTAGAGATTCTTAGGATTATTATAGTGTATTAAAATGAGTATATAATACAATATAAGTATAGTGATTTATAAGTGTGAATTAAATATACACACTACTGTCCATACCAATAATATACTACTACTATAACACTGGGGTATAATACTTTTATTGAATTACATACTATATTATTCCATAACCACTATAACTATAACCACTATAACCACCAGTATTATAGTACTATAGTATATACCAATCACTGATTAACAGGTGTCAATTCCCTTATCAAATGTCATTTAACTGTCAAGGTTATATAACCACAAAGGTATTACTCGGACTTATTCCACCGGAGTTGATTATATGACACAATTCATAACCACAATTGTACATTTATGAATAGTATATAAGTTATGAATTATATCAATATTATACTAGTTAAACAATGTTTATACACCATACACAATGTCCTTTATAATATCAAATAATAATAGATTATTACTACTCCCTTCACTAGAAACACCAAAAGATTATAATTCAATTGATTTACAATATGATTTAAATAAATTTAAATTTAATAATGCTTCATCAGATAATTATAATAATATTAAATTACCAAGATTAAGTATAACTGAAGATAATTATAATTATAATTATGACTCCAAATCTTCAAGAAGTTCTATCTTTAGTAATGAATCTGATGATGGTTTTAGTTCAAATGATGAAGATTTTAATGATGAAGAACCAAAGTTAGTGGAAATAAATGAAACTAAATCAATAGATGAAAAGAAATTAATACCAATAGAACCAATACCAAAACCAACACCAAATAACTCTAATGAATCAATTGAATCAAATGATTCAATTCAATCAAATGAAACAGAGTTACAATCACAATCACAACCACAACCAGAACATATACCACAAACCAAAAGACATTCAATAACACCAGATGAACCAAACAAATCTAAAAGACAAAGAATTGGTCCAAGTTGTGATCTTTGTAGATCAAAAAAAATAAAATGTGATGCTCATGTTGAAATTATAGAATTTGATATAAAACCTGATACATTCGAATTAACTAAAACAAATGAAATAATGAATAATCAAATCATATCAAAATATCTAACATCACAAGATTTATCTCATGGATTCAAATTAAAATATTGTAATAATAAAATCATTAAATTTAAAGATTGTTCTTATTGTTCAATTAAAAATCATCCTTGTATTTATGAAAGAGGTTATACCAAGGATGATATAATGAAATATAATTTACTTAGAAATATTAAAAAGAAGAAGAAGACATCAAGAAAGAGAAGAAGTTAAATAACTCATAACTTATAATAATACAAAAATATATACTGGTTATATATAAAAGTTAATTGATATTTGATATATTTAATAGTTTATTGTAGTTGTCCAAATTAGGTAAACTTCCAAATGCGGTATAATACCATGCATCAAATCTTAAACTAAAAATTCCCGAATAAAACTAGGAAATCTCGAGAATTTAATGAGTATAAAACAATAAAAGATAACTATATCTAATAAAGAATAAGGTATAATACACTCAGACCACCATGTCCAATACACCCTCTGCTAAAGCTATCGAACAAGTCCTAGAAAAACAAAGAGCAAAGGGTAAATCCCTAGATGAATCAATATCATATCAATTATCAATTGATTTAAAAAATCATTTAATCAATAAATCCCAGGATTCATTAAAATCTATAATTTTATTGGCAAATGTCCTAAGACTTTCAAAACCAAATGAATTATTTACACAAATATTAGATTATCAAATATTTAATGGAATTTTCCAAAATTTAACCAAGAGTACACCATCTGAATATATTTTATCTGTTTTTACTATAATAAATTTATTAATTAAAGGTGATCTCTTGGGGAATGTTGATCAACAAGAATATTTACCAAATTTCCTTAGAGCATTGGATGATAATTTAGGGTTCCTAAAGATATTAAGTACTAAACTTTATACGGAAAATGTTGATTTAATTATAAAATCATTAGATTTTTTAAATAATTATTTAAATTTAAATCATGGTAAACTTTATACAATGGAATATTTAATTAATTTTTTTTTCAATTTACAAAAAACTGAATTTAATTCAATTTTGATAAACATTTTACAAGATCAAAGATTTAAACAATTATTAAACACAAGTATTAAAAATTTAAATCATTCATTTTTGAATACTTTGAATTTATTAAATTCATTAAAAATTGATCAATCTTCACAATTACAAATTACATTAATTAATGAAACTCAAATCCTCAGTTTTAGTAATGAAAAAAAACAAAATCAACAATTTATATTAACAAATTATTCTGTGTTACAATTAATTGATTTTTATTTTTTTTCTCAAAGTTCAAATATTTCATTTAAAAAATCTTATCAAGAACAAATTTTATTCAATAATAATAAAGAAAATTATTTCCCATTGATACAAATCAGTACCAAAATAACTTCATTATTATTAAACATTTTCCAACAAGATTCAGATTATGAAAACCTAACAAAAATTTCAATATTCTTAAGAGATTTATTACATTTTAATTTAATTTCAAAATTCCTAGAAATTTGGAATGAATCAAATTCTCAAAAAGATGAATTAAATAATTTATTACCATTAATTGAAATTTTATTAAAAATTATAAATGATGAATTCCAAAATGATGAATTACATATAATTGATAAAATTTTATCAATATTCAAGAAAATTTCTTATCAAGACCTTAGGGAATATCAATTAAATTCTATAAAGAACCTAAATTTAAATTCTACATTAAATGAAATTAATTCATTTGATAAAATTTTACAAAATCAAGTATTTGATTTTATTAAAAATCAAAGGTTTTTACAATTATCAAAAGGTGCTTGGGTTTATTCATCATTACCAAATTTCCAATCAATAACACCAACTCAACAAGAAGGTCAAGAAGGTAATAATGAAGGTACAAATTATTTTTTTATAATCCTTTCACCAAATTTTAAAAATTTATTATTTAAAGAATATAAATTTAAGACACAAAATTTACCAGATATTGATAAATCAGGTATCCCAATTGAAATTTCATCAATATCATCATTTAAAATTGAAGAAATTCAACAATCAGATCCAACAACTTCAACACATGGTCCAAATAATAGATTTATAAACTTGGTGGAAAAATCAATTATAAATAAAATCACATTAATTAATAGGAAAAATAAACCATTATTCACCTTCTTTGCAAAAAAAGAAGATTCTTTTAATTATTTAGATGCTTTAAATCTTTTATTAGGTCATTATGATAACTTAAGTGATGAATTAACTTATCAAATTAATAAGTTATTTAAAATTAGAAAATCTGTTCAATTATTAAATTTTAATTATGAAGAATCAAATGTTGTTAATAATGATGAAGTGGGGGATGATGTTTATGATTTAGATAATTTAGAAAAATTAGCTTCAAATTTTTATTATTCATGAAAGCCTGGGGCTATATTTATATTGTTTAATTTAATCTACATGTGTTTTTAAATATTATGTTTTTATATTAATCTATATTACATTGAGTACTATTTCTTTTTACCCTTTTTATTTGATTTTTTATTTTGACGTTTTTGATCAGACATTCTATCATTTTTTGTCTTTTTATAACTTCTTTCACCACTTAATTCATCTCTTGCTTCTTGTTGTTTTCTCTTTTTAGCATTTAATTTTGGTTTTTCTTTACTCAATTTTATGTTTTTATCAACACCTTTTTCACTTTCTTTTTCAAACCAAGTTCTTCTTGGTCTTGATTGAATTTCTTCTTTATATCTTAATAAATTTTCACCTTTACGTAATTCCATTTCAGCTTGAATCATTTCCTTTTCAGTTTTTTCTTCAACTAAGATTTCTTCTAATATTTCATTTTTTGATTCAATAATTTTATTAATTTCTTCAACTTCTTTCCAATTAACTTCACGACCAACAGTCTTATTAACTTTTGAATTCATATTTTGTGAACTTTTAATAGCATCTTTAACTATAGATCTATCCATACTTGATTCTCCAACAAATGATATGGATTTACCTTCACGACCACCTCTTGCAGTACGACCAACTCTATGTAAATAAACTTCAAAATTTTTTGGCATATCAAAATTTAAAACAACTTCAATTTTTGGAATATCTAAACCTCTTGAAGCTAAATCTGTACAAATTAAAATTGGTACTGTTAAAGTTTTAAAATTATTTATAGATTGTAGACGTTGTTCTTGAGTTAATGAACCATGTAATTCTGAAACTTTTAAACCTAATAAACCTAATATAATTCTTAATTTATGTGCTTGTTCTTTTCTAGCAACAAAAATAACAATTCTTTGATCTTTAGTAAATTTTTTCAAAATATTAAATAATATACTTGGTTTTAAATGATCTCTTTTTCTAATTCTAACAAATTCTTGTACAAGCCCTGTGGCAGCTTGTTTTGGAGGATCAATCATAATTCTAACAGGTTTTTTCAATGATAATTGAATTAATGATTTAATTTTAGAATTCATTGTAGCAGAAAATAATAATGTTTGTCTTTTTGTTGGTAAAATATCCAAGATTTCAGTTAATTCTTTTTGGAACCCTTCTTCTAACATTCTATCAGCTTCATCAACAATTAAGATTTCCACACCATCAACATTAAAACTTGGAGAGTTTCTTAAATGATCAATTATTCTCCCCGGGGTTGCAATAACAATATCAGGTCTTTGTTTTAATTCTTGTTCTTGTTGTCTTAAATTTAACCCACCAACAGCTAAACCAAAACTTAATCCATTAACAAATTTACCAATTTTTTTACCAACATCATTAACTTGAATAGCTAATTCTCTTGTTGGAGTAAGGACAATAACTCTTGTAGAGGCTAATTTAGCAGGTTTATATAATAATCTTTCAATAACAGGAATCATATATGCAGCAGTTTTACCAGAACCTGTAACAGCACCTGCAATAATATCTTTACCTAATAATGCAATTGGGATAGTGGCACTTTGAATTGGTGATGGTGTTTGATAACCTAAAGTGGAAAGACCTTTTAAGATAGGTCTTGATAAATCTAAAGATTGGAAAGTTTTATGAATTTGCTTTTTAGCTTGATCAGCTTCTTCAGTTGGTGCATAAAATTTTGCCATATCTTCAGGTGAATCTTCTTCATCTTCTGGAGAGGATTCAGCACCATCATCTTTTAATTCTTGTACTTTTGGTTCAGGTTCAGATTCATCTTCATCTTCAGATTCATTTTCAGATTCTTGATCATCATCTTCATTATCTTGTTTTTTTTCAACACCCATACCAAACCCATCTAGAGCAAGATCATCATCATCTTGTTGTTCTTCCTCTTCCGCTTCTTCTTCCTGTTCGTCTTCTTCTTCTTCATCTTCTTCTTCTTCCTCACTATCATCTTGTTTACTACCAGCTAATTGACCAAGACCACCTTTTCTTCTAATAATCCCATCAAGATCAACATCTTTCTTACCATTTTCCTTTTGTTCATCACCTTTAAAATCCCAACCTTCAAAAGTAGAAACAACTTCTTCCCCATCTAAATCGAAAACAAAATCATGATTTAAATCTTCATCTTTAGCTTCATCATCATCTTCTTGAACTTTTGTATTTTTAGAGTTCTTCTTCTTCTTTTTATTCTTTTTATCAGATTTTACTGGTTTTAATTCACTTTCAGAGGCAGATTCTTCATCAATGTCATAGTCTGGGATATCATCTTCACTATCAGAGATTGTAGGCACAAAGTCATCAAATCTACCCATCTTTACTTATAATTTTTCCTTGTATTTCTTAATAAATTTGTTTAATTAAAATTTTTGAGATGAGCTTTAAATTTTTTTTTTATTTATTATATAAACATTTCGGTCAGGACACTGTTGAGACACTGGGAATTTTGATGGAAAGTCAGGTATTTCACTTGATTTGAATGAGAATAATACTGGAAAAAGCGTAGATATGATGGTATGAATAATAATTATCACCAGTATCAATTTCAACTCATTCACACAATTTCAAACCATCAAAATCCCATGATTTCTTACATTTCCCATACTAAAATTGATCTAAAATATTCGCGAATTGTATATAGATTTTAAACACAAATTGAAAAAATCAACAATAAACTCAAACAAACTCAGATCAGAAACCACCAGAAACCACTAGAATCAAGTCAAAAGATCATGGACTTCCAATCACTCAGACCATGGGCAGCATCACTCCAACGGTTCCAAGGTTATATTAGAGTACCCGATGTTTCATTCTCAGATTTCACAAATAATCAAGATTCATTATCACCATCAAAAATTACAATTCAAATCTTAATATTACAATTTTTTTATTATATCATAGCTACAATCTTTAGTTTTTCAATAGCATGGATCTTAGGGTTAGATTTTTCATTAGATTGGGTTTTCAATTGGAATTCAGTTTCATTGGATAATACTTTAGGTTTAACAATGATTGGACTTTGGTTATTTGATTCATTATTATGTGTTATATTCATGACTGTTATAGTGGGGAGATCTAAATTAGCATGGGATTTTGCCCTAACGATACATTTAATCAATTTAATCATTGTATGGATTTATTCAGGTTCATTCCCAGGGAATTTAGTTTGGTGGATTGTTCAAATTTTAAGTTGTATTATCTTAGTTAGTTTAGGTACTTGGTCAACAAGATGGAAAGAATTAAGAGAAACTTTTTTCGAAGGTTTAGTTGATCCTGAATTAGGAAATGGTGTAGGGAATCAAAGACCTGTCATTGAAATGCAGGATCATTCATAATATATATATATAGTACGGGTTTAATACATATAGAGTTCTTAACACCAACATTTATTTTTATCATCTAATGATCGATCTATTAAACTTAGGGTTGTTGCTTTTCTTCTTATGATTCTGGATGGGATTGATGACTTATTTATTGTATTAAATTGTGTACTATTTATTGTAAAATTATCATAAGTTTTATTACCAAATTGAATACCAAAATTTTGATTATTTGGATCAATTTCACCAATTTTTAATTTTGTTATTATTGAGTGAGTTAAATTTTGAAATATTTCATTTATACCATCACCTGTTTTGGCAGAAATTTTAAAATGATTAATTTTTTTATTAAATTGAAATTCATATTTATTAATTAATTCCAAAACATCAAATTCATCAACTTGTTGTTCTTCTGATGGTAAATCTAATTTATTCCCAACTATTATAATTGAAGGATTATTAGTTAATGCTTGAACATCCATCAAATATTCATCTAATTCCAATAATGATTGTTTATTTGATAAATCATAACATAATATAACACCAGCACTACCACGATAATAACTTCTTGTTAAAGATCTAAATCTTTCTTGACCAGCAGTATCCCATAGTTGTAATTTAACAACCAATTCATCATCAACTAACTCAATCAATTTTGAACTAAATTCCACGCCAATAGTTTGTGATGAATTTATATTAAAATCATTTTTAATAAATCGATGTAGAATACATGATTTCCCTGTCCCTGAAGAGCCAATGATAATGATTTTAGTTAAATAATCGTATTGATCCTGTGATATGGGTACGATACTAGCATTGGATCTTTTAGAATCAATAGTGTTCATGATCTCTGTTGATATCAATCTTATCTTGTTGTTGTTTATGTTTACATTCTTTCGCGAGTATTAAATACCATATATTCAAACATCACCAATTTTAGTGGTTTCACTAACATCTTGATAAATATCAAATCTTCTTTGTCCATCAATTGGAATCCCTTGTCTAGTACTGTTTATCACCTCAGGATCCATTTCCCAATACAAGATCTCTTCTTCAGTACCAGCTTCAACAACGATTTTACCCATTGGATCCACCACAAGAGAATGTCCATACGCATGATATTTAGCATTTAAATCACGAGCAGGTGAACACATCACCACATAAACCTGATTATCAATAGCCCTTGATCTTGCTAAAGTTTCCCAGTGTAATGGACCCGTAGTAGTATTAAAAGCACTTGGGAAAACCATGGCAAATGCACCTTTACGAGCACAAGTCATTGAAAGTTCAGGGAATCTAACATCATAACAAATCCCTAAACCAATTTTACCAAATGATGGTAATTCAAACAGGGTGGCCTTGTTACCAGCATCAAGAACACGGGATTCTTGGAATGTTATTTTGTTAGGGATATCTATGTTGAATAAATGAGCTTTCCTATGTTTTGCGATTAATTCACCCTGAGTGTTGAATACTGTTGATGTGTTATAGATCTTATCTTCATGATGTTCAGGATATGAACCACCAATGATGTTGATTTTGTTCTTTAGGGATAATTGAGATAGGAATTGTGTAGTTTCACCTGATGGGATTTGTTCACCATATTTCTTGAATAATTTGATTGAATAAGGTGAATTAAAACATTCTGGTAGGATAATAAGATCTAAATTTGGTTTGTTTTGAAGAGCTTTGGTAACAAGGGATTCAACTTTTATGAAGTTTTCATTTTTAATAGGGGATGCTGCAAATTGTAATAGTGCAACGTTGAGTCGTTTGAGTAATGGAGAGGACATGTTGTGGTATGGTATGAGTTGTTGTTTGGTAGTTGATGGTGATGGTGTTGGTTATGTTTTTCAAAGGGTAAGATTATTAACATATTACAAAAGAAGAATAATAAATATAGCCATAAATAAATAAACACATAAACACATAAACACTCAGTTAAACCAAATTGGATATTCACCTTGACCTTCAGTTTCAATTCTTTCATTAGCTTTGATCAACGCTGGTCTTGATTTCATTTGTTCCAACCATTTAGATAACAATGGATAATCTTTAGAATCAACACTTTCAACTATACCAGATTCCAAAATAAAATGAATAGTGAATAATAAGATGATATCAGCACCTGTTAATTTATCATCAACAAAGAATAATGAATCAGTGGAAGCTTTCTTAGATTCTTCTGATAATTTATTTTCCAAAAATGTTAATTGTTTATTCAATGTTGGATAAATCTTATTAGTTTTAACTTGTTCAACAAATTTAGAAATGATTGAATTGTCTTGATCAGTATCTTTCAGTGAATTATTTAATAAAACTATTGAATCAATTTGTTCACCTATAGAAGCTTCACTAAAGAATAACAAAAACCCAACTTCAACTTTTGATTCTTCAGTCTTGCTTTTTAATAAACCTTGAGGATCATAACAATTAATCATACAATCAACAATATGTCCACTTTCAACCAATTTATAAGTTGGTTCCACGCCAAAATCAAATTCCAAGATTGGTGATTGACCAGTTTCAGAGACATTTGATAATGATGGTGATTTACCATTGGAATCTCTATGATATAATTTTAAAGAATAATCTTGTTTAGTTTCTTCTAATAACCATGCGATTCTATGAGATCTTGATTTTTCTAACCAGTGTAATGTTAATTTAGCTTGAGGAGCCATTTTGATGTATGTTATATAGAACTAGAGTAAATAGAATATATTGAATTAGACAAGGATCGTACTCCTTATATACACTCCCAAAGTATGAACTTGTTTTAATTTTAGTATCATATTTTTAGTACCATAGGTTATACATCTTTGTAATCGCAATTCAACTGTCAACTAAGCTTATATTTAATTCGATCCGATTACTTAAGAGAACCCTTATACTTGTTTCTTATCAATAGATAATCATTGATATCAATTGATCTTCAATTTGGGGATATTTATTACAGCGAGATTTTAATAAGATATACAAAGGAATAAAGGAATATGTCATAGTGTATATTATAGTTATTATAGTTTATCGCTCAATCAAACCAAACTGGATATTTATTATCACCTTCTAATAAAACACGTTTATTAGCTTTAATTAGGCCATCTTGTTTCAAGGTATTCCCCCACCATTTTGATAAATAAGGATATCTATCTTTACTAATATCAACTAAATCAGTGTCAAATATGATATGAGTATAAAATGATAATAAGATATCAACACTTGTTAATTTATCTTCTATTAGATAATTAGATCCACTGGATAGCTGAACTTCTAACTCATCAAGTTTTAATTCCAATTGTCTAAAATTATATCCCTTATTGAAAACTTTGATATACTCTTGAACATCTGATGAATCATTCAATCCTGATTGAAAATTCTTTAACGCTAAAATAAATGTAATATTTTCACTTATTGAAGATTCTATCAAGAATGTAAAATAATCATGTTTTATAATTCCTTCTTCAGTTATAGGTTTTAAATCATTATCATAATGATCAATCAAATAATTTATAATATGACCACTTTCAAATAGTATTAACTTTGGTTTATCTTGATATTGTAATTCTAATATAGGAGATTTACCTAATGGTGATACTTGGAAAATATCTTTTATAGCTGATTGATCATATGGATTCTTGTGATATAATCTTAAATCATATTCGATATTCAATTCTTCTAATAACCAAACAATTCTATGACAACGTGATTTTTCTAAATAGTGTAATATTATTCTAGATGGGTCTGTAGACATATTGAATGATTGATTGATTGATTAGAAAGAATTGTGTTTTATTAATGTGATTCAATTGTTCTTATATAGTTGTTCATTGTTCATTGTTCATTGTTCAGGGGTAAGATTAGTAATTTGATTGTGGAGATGAAAACTTCGTTGTTTTACATATTTTCACACTCTACAAGAAAAGTTCACCAATAAATGAATACAACAATGCGTAGACGTTTACTAAAGAAAATTTTCACTTTTATTAAATTGACCAATGTATCTTGTTTGGTTCTTCATTGAATTATCAGAATAATTATATATCTATTGTTAACTTATTCCATGGTATATTGCATTATTTGTTCATAAGACAAATATCAGTATATTCAAGGTAATCGATTTGATAACATTAATGCTTTTCTTTGTACTTTAATTTGTGGTTGAAACTTCTTAACAATACTATAATTAAGCAAAGTTTTTACTTTGTTATCTTCTTTTCAAATTAATTTTAATTTGTAGTCGATAAATACACATTCTCATAATATTTGAACACCTCTTAACAGTACAGGTTTGATCAATAAGATCAATTAAGGAATATGTGATTGTTACAACTTCCAAATTTACTGGCCAGATCTTTGGATATATACGAGTTGTTGTATCGTTATATCACACCATATTGATTTTAGTTATATAATATTGAGATTAAGCTTATTCCTATTAACGTTAAATATACTAATTTGTTCATTCCTCTACTGAACATAACATCGAGTTATATCATCGCTAATTAAGTACAGACTACAATTATATCAAGTAAAAAATCATCAATGTAGTTCACTAAACAAAACACTAACCTTATAAAAGTCCGTGTATATTATTTAGATCTACATTGGAAATATGAATTAAAATATTATAATTTGAGCATCTTTGTGGTAATTGATGATTGACATCATTTCACAGATGAATTCAAATATTAAATCTTAACTTCTTTGATATTATAATTTACTTTAAGTCTAGCCACAAATGAAATGTTAGTATATATATAGTTTAAGACCTTTCAAATTAATAACTTACTTGATGAATATACTATTTCTGTAGGATCCGTTAGAATGCTCAACAGGAGCATTTAAATATAATAACCCAAGAATGACACCTATTTGTCCATTCCAGTATATAATGAATTACTTGATTAATATATCTGAATTATCTACCGTCTGCTGTATTCAAGAATAACAAACCTAAAATGACACCTATAGTGATCCGTGATCCATTCCAGTATATTGCATTATTTGTTGATAAAACAAATATCAGTATATTTGGTAAATGGTCAAATATTACAACAAAGCTATTCTTCTGTTTAGTTTGTAGTTTATTACAATACTTTGGTTATTTTAATTAATATTTATACTCGCAATTAATATGAGAATAATAATATTAATGTTCTCATAAAATTTGAGCATATATACAGGACCTACTTTAGTTACACGGATATAACTGTTGATTGAAATTGATGAAATGAAATGAAAAACAAGTAGAATTAATAAAAATAAAAGTAAAGATTATATAAAATCATAAATGTTTTATATAGTATATAGTATGAGTCGTAATCACTTCACAAAACTTCGCTATCGCTCAGTTTTTGCTCAGTTTTTGCTCAGTTAAACAGGATATTCACCTTCACCTAAAGTTTCGATTTTTTCATTAGCATCTTTTAAACCTTTTCTTTCATTCATTTGAGTTAACCATTTACTTAAACTTGGATAATCTTGTCTAACCAATCCTTCAACTCTACCAGATTCCAATAAGATATGAATATTAAACCATAAAATAACATCAGCACCAGTTAATTTATTTTCAACAAGGAAAATTTCTTGTGATGAAGAAGTATTATTTTTAGATTCTTTTGATAATTCAGATTCCAAGAATTCAACACATGCTTTAATTTCTTTAAACCCATATAATTCATTTAATTTTCCAACAAATCCAGAAATTATTGGTCTAACATAAAATGGTGCCTTGGAAACACCAACATTATGAACAGCAACATAAGTTAAATGAGAACCAAGAGTACCTTCACTAAAATGTAAATAGTAATCAACTTTTTGCTTTCCTTCTGGAGTTGAAGGTGTTAATTTACCTTCAGAATCAAAATTTTCAATTAAATAATTTATAATATGACCAGATTCTGCTAAAATTATTGGTTTGGAACCATTATCATAATTTAATTCCAAGATTGGTGATTTACCCAATGGGAAGATTTTTTTCAATTCTGGTGGTGCTAATACACCACCTGCTCTATGATATAATTTTAAAGTATATTCTAAATTTAATTCTTCTAATAACCATGCAATTCTATGGGATCTTGATTTTTCTAACCTTTTGTACCCTGTTAGTATATGACCTAGAAGACCACTGATATCAATACTCACCAATGAAGAGTGATAACAGGTTGATGTTTTTGAATAGCCATTGTGAGATGATTCTTATTAATATAGATTGTATGATATCAGTTGAATAGTATCAATTGAATTAGATTTAATTTGTTCTTTCACAGGGTTTAAATATTAAAATGTGTAATTTCTTAAAATTTAATTTCAGTTGCGCTCGGACATAAAATAATTTATACCGATGGAATTTTAATACGATTGCGATTGAAATAATCATGTCATTTATAAAACTATACTTTTGCTTTCCTGAAACAAATTATATACTACTTCTAATTAAATGAGTTCAATATATAATTTAGCTATCGCTAAATCAAAAGAATGTTGGTAAACCTGAACCTGACCAAGTATAAGGATCATTAAATCTTAAATTCTTATCTAATCCACTAATTTCTTTCAATTCCCCTTCAGTTAAATCAAAATCTTCAACAGTTAAATTTTGTAATAAACGTTCAGGATTTGAAGATTTTGGAATAACAGCAATACCTCTTTGAGTTGCCCATCTTAATAAAATTTGTGATGGAGTTTTACCATGTTTTTTAGCGATATTCAAGATTGTATCATTTTCAAATAATGGTGGTGTTGATTTTGCTAAATCTTGACCTAAATCAACAAATGATAATGGACCAAATGATGAATATGCAACAACTTGGATTCCTTGTTTTTGAGCATATTCAACTAAACGATCTTGAACTAGGTATGGATGATGTTCAATTTGTAATGCAACTGGTTTAATTTTTGCACCTCTTAATAAATCTTGAATTAAAGCACCACTGAAATTTGAAATACCAAGGGATTTAATTTTACCAGCTTCAACTAATTTTTCTAAAGCTCTCCAAGTATCCAAGATTGGAACATCTTCAAATTCTAAATAATCCTTGGTACCAAAATGTGGTGGATATTGTTCTTCAATTGGAATAAATTTTTGAGCAATTGGGAAATGAATATAATAAAGATCAATATAATCAACACCAAGATCTTCTAAATTCTTGTTTAAATTCTTAACAACATTATCAGGATGATGGAATGTGTTCCATAATTTAGTAATAACAACAAGATCTTCTCTTTTAACAAGACCTTCATCAATTGCTTTTTTAAAACCTAAACCAACTTCTTTTTCATTACCATAATCTGTAGCACCATCAAAAGCTCTATAACCTTGTTTAATAGCTTGATAAACTTGATCAGATGCAGTTTCATTTGGAATTTTCCAAAGACCAAGACCGACTAAAGGTAATTTATTACCATCATTAAGAGTGACAACTGAAGACATAATGTATTGTATATAGTGTATAATTCAATTGAGTTGATAACTATTAGTTGTTAATGAATTCAATGGACAATCAATGGTTTATATAGTGAAAAATTTAAATCAGGGGTCAACAAAGAACCGAACTTTATAGCAAAAAAACTCGATCTCAACCAATCAAAACCCAATTCCCAATTAACCCCAGATTTACAATATTGTTTTGTGGGTGGACAGTGGTGGGATAATGGATTACTTAGATAGGAAGGCGGCGTGTTAATAAATACTGTTAAGTAATTGTTACATCTAGTTGTTGTTTATGGGAAGTGGAGGTCCGTTGTTATTATAATTGTGTCAATTGATTGTATGTTTTGTACTTGTTGAGCATTGAACCGATAAATTCTAATAAAAGCCATAAACGCCACAGTGTTGAAATCAAAAATAAAGCAATTGTTGATTTTAAAGAGAAATGCTTAGACCAGGGTTCGAATGGGGAAGTTGATAGTGTCAGGGTAATCTTTTCTTAAATCATGCTTAGTCATCTTTTTGAAAATTGGATTTGTAATAGTAAGACATATAATAGAAATTAATGGAAACTTGTATTTCTTTATACTTTATTACTATACACAAAGTATTACTACAAAGTTATTACCACACACATTAATCATGTCTGAACCTGTTAAACAAGAACAACAAACTCAAGAAAAACCAAAACCTTGTTGTGTTTGTAAACCTGAAAAATCTGAAAGAGATGAATGTTTATTAATTAATGGTCAAGAATCTGGTAAATGTGATTCATTAATTGGTCAATACAAGAGTTGTATGAAAGGTTATGGATTTACCATATAATCATGAGTGTTATCATGAGCGTTAGCGAATGATTATTAGAATATATTATGATCTAGAGATTATACATTATAAATCATTTATTGGTTATACGTTACACTCATTACTTGTTGATATTAATACTGGTCCTGTACATAAAACAAAATACAATACATTAAATTAAATTATACCAAACTGATACCGTAGATTACACTGGTGATACTCAGAACAGTCATATCCTTATAACAACACCACTATCCAAACCCCTTGAGATATCTTTTATCTTTCACATGTACTTACTACTTAGATTTTAGATCCATTCGCGCATTCTTTGAAGCCACATTTATCAAAACTTTATCAACGTGTGTTGAACTTTGAACATCAACTACATCAACAACAATTATTTCAATCAATTCATATTCAAAATTGTTCGTTTTAATAGAATCTTAACTTCTTTAAGTTCCCCCTCAAAAATCAAAATGTCAATTCATAGAGATCCATTAATCCAACAATCTTTACCAACAGAATTTAATGAACCAGTTCATTTAGGTATAATTGGTGGTACAGGTCTTTATCAATTATCATCATTAACTCCAGTGGCTAAATTAACTTTACATACTCCATGGGGTTCACCATCATCATCAATAACAATTTCTAAAACTTCCACAGGTTTCAATGTTGCATTTTTAGCAAGACATGGTGTTCATCATGATTATTTACCAAGTGAAGTACCAAATTTAGCAAATATTGCAGCTTTTAAAAAAATTGGTGTTAAGGCAATTATTGCATTTAGTGCTGTTGGTTCTTTACAACAAGATATTAAACCAAGAGATTTTGTTATTCCAAATCAAATCATTGATAGAACTAAAGGTATTAGAAGGGCAACTTTTTTTGAAAAAGGTTTTGTAGCTCATGCTGGATTTGGTGAACCATTTGATTTAAAATTAAATAAAATCATTTCAAAATTTGGTGATTCTTTGGAAGGTGATAATGTTAAATTACATTCAAAATTCTTAGATAACAAGGATTTAACAGTTATTTGTATGGAAGGTCCACAATTTTCAACAAGAGCTGAATCAAAACTTTATCAATCATGGGGTGGGTCAGTTATAAACATGTCTGTCCTCCCAGAAGCCAAACTAGCAAGAGAAGCTGAAATCTCATATCAAATGATTTGTATGTCAACTGATTATGATGCATGGAGAGATGATGATGAACCAGTTACAGTGGAAACCGTTGTGGGTAATTTAAAGGCAAATTCATCAAATGCAAATAATATTGCAATCAAGATTATTGAACATTTAGAAAAGGAAATTATTGATGGTAATATTGGAAAAGATTTAAAAGAATCTATGAAAGTTAGTGTTAGTACTAATCCAAAAGGTGTTAAAAAGGAATTATTAGAAAAAATGCATTATTTATTCCCAGGTTATTGGCCTTTGGACTGAATACTGAATACTGAATACTGACGCTAGTCAGTATGAAGTATGAAGTCATAATAAAATAGATATATATATATATATAATAAAGCTAGATTTACAATAGAGATGAAATTGTAGACTACACTTCCATAATATGCTAATGATTCATAATATACAATATCTCCTACCAACTTGTTTACACATTTCTTCTTCTTGATCGACTTGGTGAATCCATTCTATAATAATATTTTGGTGATGGTATATAAGTTGGTGTAGAAATATCTTTTAATGATTGAATTTTATTATTTTGAGCTGTTCCTGTTGTGGTAGTTGTGGCAGTTGTTGGGATTGATGATGTTGGTTTTTTTGGGGAGAATTGTTTTGATGGTGATGACATTGGTGATGCAATTGGGGTATTTGATTTTTTGGTTTTAAGATCTGATTGAATTGATTGTGATGCTTGTGTTTGGGGTTGTGCTTGTTGTTGTTGAGATTTTGTAATTGTTGTTGGGATTTGATTTAGACCTAATAATTCTCTTTGATTTGGTGTTAAGTTTAAATCAGTGAATTGATCTTGTGGTTTGAAAATTTTGTATAAACCATAAATTATATTTATAAAACAAATAATTTGTAAAAAGAATAACAATTTATTTGAATAATTTAAAAATTCAAATTCATATGATATTGAAGGATCAATTAATTTAATCCAAATTAAATTTATGAAATTGAAAATTAATTTTAATGATAATAATAATAAGATATTTAAAACTGTTTTCTTAGTTTCTAATTCTTTATTAATTATTCTTTTCTCAATTTTAATTAAATCTGGATGTTCCCATTCAATTGCAATTGATGAATTTTGTGATTGTTGTCCATTATGACCATTCTTTATATAGCTAGGAACTCCTTGATTTTTTTGTAACCCATTATTCAATTCATTTTTAGGGAAACTTGGAGTTTTCAATGGAAGTTGATTTGATTTCAATGAAGGAATCTTGTATAAATTTGAAGATTCAGATACAATTTTTGATCTCAATTGATCAAGATTATTTGATTCAATTTTCTTTCTTGGAGTGAATGCTTTGATAGGAGTGGATACATTGGACATGATGAGCAGTCTCTTGATTAACTATCTTATTATCAGATCCAAGTTGTCTTCCAAATTGTGTTTAAAAATGGTTTAAAATCAAAATTTCAAGTAATTTTTTTGTTTATATTAGATCTGATTTAAGAATTCCGAGGGTATATACACGTGACTATAAAATACTTTAATTGTATGATATCATACTTGAAATTTATGCTATAAGCTCAATAAAACAATCCTTATACTCTATGAATGTATAGGAGTACAATGGTGTAATTAGTATTACAGATATCCTCCTTCAAGACACTCTCCCACTACAAAACACACAATTCTCACACCAAACCGGAACTCAACCACCTTCCGCGAATTTTTCATTTTTGTCCATTTTTAATTTTTAACAAAACAAAAAAAACAAAAAATTGAATTTTAGCGCTCCTTTCCAAAAACAATTGAGTCACAAGAATTCATTGAATTTATATATCAGAGATTACTGTCTGGTGGTTTCGATTATAGGTTATTTCACAAGGAGTTATAGCTGGGTTTTGATCTCGTTTGTGTGGAAATCTGGACGGAATACGCTCGGTGGTGCTTGTGTTAGACAGAGATATACGTATCTAGGGTTTTATTTTGTTTACAAGTATAATTGGTGTGTTTTTTGTGGTATTTGAAGATTATTTCCATTAAAATAAAGCAAGAGTGGTCATATTTTATAGTTACTGGCGTGCTTATATTTTAAATTTCATTTCCATTTCAAATAGTTCTCCATTTTGGACATTATCATATAAATTATATTGATTTGGGTATTTAAGGCTACATTACAATTTCTACATTCATACATTTATTACTTGATAGAATCTCAATGAAATATTTTGATCCATTCATATAATTAACATAGATATACATATTACAAGATTTAGACTCATATATATATATAAAACAAATTGATTGTTTTATATCAAGATTAAAATATTCAAATGGAACAAGTTATAAAATCAATTTTTTGTTGCGCTGGAGGTGATTCAAACTCCAACAATCAACAAGATTCAATTGCTAAATCAACAAATAGAAACTATAATTCATCTCAAATTAATTCAAATAATCAAAGCTCAAAAAATTCATCAACAAATAATAATAAAACCAATAATAATAATAAATCAACTCAACCGAAAAATCAAAATAATAATTCCATGAATCAACAAAATACTAGTCATAACAACCATAATCATCATCATCATCAAAGAAATATTCAAAATAATGATAAAACTGATGTTAATGTTTATGAAGCTACTGATAGTACATTAGATACAAATGAAGATAAACGTCAAAGGAATGTTTCACAAAATAATAATCAAGATGATGGTAAAAACGAGCAAGAAAGTTCAATAGATTTAGGTCATGAATCTGATATTGATATGAATGAAAATGAAACTTTAGATGATTTTTTCGATTTAACTAAAATTCAACCAGGTCAAGCTCATGCATCAACTGGATTTTTATTAGAAAAAATTGAACCAAAATTTAAAGGTAAAAAATGTTTAGTTTTAGATCTTGATGAAACTTTAGTTCATTCTTCATTTAAAGTTTTAAGACAATGTGATTTTATTATACCTGTTGATATTGATAATCAAATTCATAATGTTTTCGTTATTAAAAGACCTGGTGTTGATGAATTTTTAAGAAGAGTTGGTGAATTATATGAAGTTGTTGTTTTCACTGCTTCTGTTTCAAGATATGGTGATCCTTTATTAGATGAATTAGATATTCATAAATCAATTCATCATCGTTTATTTAGAGATTCTTGTTATAATTATCAAGGAAATTATATTAAAAATTTATCACAAATTGGAAGACCTTTAGGTGATTTAATTATTTTAGATAATTCTCCAGCTTCTTATATTTTCCATCCTCAACATGCAATTCCAATTTCGAGCTGGTTCTCGGATGCTCATGATAATGAATTATTAGATATTATTCCATTTTTAGAAGATTTAGCAAAAGATAATGTTGAAGATGTTGGTTTAGTACTAGATATAAATCTATGATAACAAAATAAAGTATAATCTTAGCTGGTCTTTGATTCACAAGAGAAATGGTTTTAATATGATATAAAGAGAAAGACATAATAATAACGGTAATTTTTCCAAAAACCAAAAAAAAAGAGTTTTAATAATAATAATAATAATAATAGTAATAATAATCATTCAAAATGAAACTAATTGATTTTGATTAGTTGATCATTGTTTTTTTTTCTCCCACATTTTCATATCCTATTCATATAGAAATGGATTTTTAGAAGTAGTTTCTTTAAAAAACACATGTAAATATAGAATAATAAAAAAATATATAATATACAAAATTAGGGACTACAAATTAATAGTTTATCTTTGTAATTATATTATGTATTAATCAATTATCTTAGTTTTAATTCTTTGATTCATCAGTTTTAAAAGCAGTATTAACAATTTGTTTTTCACGTTCACTTTTATAAGGTTTTGAACCAGGTTTACTATGTCTTCTTTCATTTTCTTGTCTTTTCTTTAATGATTGAATTTCAATATTTTTAATTTCTTTAGCCTTTTTAACAACACCTGGAACATGTCTATGTCTTGAAATTCTTTTAATTTCTGGCATATGTCTAAATCTTTCTTTTAATGCTTCATCATATTCTAATTTAGATCTTTCCTTTGAAGATTTAACACCTGAATTCTTTGATGCATTTGATCTCCATAATCTTACATTACCATCATCTGAACCACTAACAATATATTTAGAATCCATAGAAAATTTAACTTGGAAAACATGTTGCATTCTCTTTGTATGATAAATATCACGAGAATGACCTTCTTTTGTTTTAAAAATTCGAATAGTTTTATCATATGAACCACTAACAATTTCTTCACCAGTTGGAGAGAAATCAACATCTAATACTGCAGCAACATGATCTTTGAAAACATTCATGGCTTTTTTCATATATCTCATATCATAATAATATAAATTATGATCTTCACTTGCCGTTACGAAATTGAAAGCTTCCATTGGATTCCATTCTATAGCATTAGTTCTCATTGTTTGAACTAATTTTTGAGTTGGTGTATTTGTTCTTATATCATACAAGACAACTGAATTATCAGATCCAGCACTTGCTAATATAGAAGTTTCAGTTTTATTAAAACGAACTTTTGATATATTATCTGCACCCCATGATAAATTTGATACAGGTCTTGATCTTGATTCATTCCAAAGTTGAATTTCTGCACCACCTGTAACAAATAAATTATCACTATAATGATGATCTAAACTTTGGAAAGCATGTTCACCCAAATAAGTCTTGAGTAAACCTTTTTTAGTAACTTTTGTTTCATCTAAATCTGTATAATCATCTGAATTAACAGACCATAATTTAACAGTTTTATCATCACCTGCAGATAATAATTTCCCTTCATGATTCACAGCAGTACCTGTAACTTGTCCATAATGTGCTTTAAAACTTGCTAATTCAGTTGATGTACTTAAATCCCAATATTTAATTATACCATCTGCACTACCTGTAGCTAATTTATTTAAAGCTTTGAAATTTTTACTTATTGTATAAATACCATCTCTATGTCCATTACCTAATTGTCCAACAAAAGGTTTAGCAAACATACGTTCTAATTTAGTTGCAGTTAATGCTTTTGTATATTCTCTTGCTCTTTCAAATGGATGTAATTCAGGATTTAAATTTCTAGGTAAATTTGATTCTTGAGTATTACGTACTGGAACATAATTATCTGATGATCGACTGATTGTTTTGATTTTCTTTCTTGGTGTTAGTAGTTGATCTTAATATTTATTTATAGCAGAAAAACTCACCATTTTGTTTTGTATATATAGTTATTGACCTTCTGAAGTAAAATAAAACTTGATCCAATATGTATAAATTCTTTTGATATAAGGTTAATAGAATTTTTTTTTTAATATCTTACCGGAATTCATGCGATGAGATCACATGATCAATGAGGGTCGGAAATACTCCTTTAGGAAACTATGTGACAAAATTCAAATATATAAAGCAGAATTTCAACAAAATAAACAAATTTTTAAAGATTTATTTGAATTTATGAGAAGAAAGATCAATTGATACTTTATTGATTAGGCTATTGCAACTGCTGGTGTTTTTTTCAACTCAATAAGTTACTATGATGAATGATAATCACGATCCCTTGTTACAAAATGGTGGAAACGTCAGTATGGCGGTTGATAGAATTTGTGATTCTCTTATGGTGTTATGTCAAAAGGTACGCGTTCTTGAACAAAAGATGGAGCGCTTAGAGCGCTTAGAAGTTAGAGTAGAGCGCTTAGAAGCTAGACAGGAAATCAACTCAAACTCAAATGGTTTAGTTGCAAGAAGTGATGCAAATAGTTCAACCACTACAAAGGATAACTTTGACCAGATCGAATATGAAAAACGCAGTGTCAAGAAGTGGTTGTTATTATTGGAGTTAGGAGTTACTTTATTTACTTCGATTGGTTTGGGTTATTATCAAGGCGGTTTTGCAGTTGTTTATCTTTTTGTTTTCTCTTATATTTTTAGTTTGGGTCACCCTTTAAAAAAGATCAATATCAATGATCCTGAACATCGTGAGAATTTACAAAATTTAGAATTAATTAATCAATTTATTAAGGTTGGTCGGGTTATAATGAAACTAATAATGGCTTTTATGTTGCTTCGTGAAGAAAACTTATGGACTCCTAAGAAATTTTTGGTTCTGATTTTGAAAAAGTACTACTTTAATGATCATCTTGAATGATTAAGAAATGTGGGCGTTATAATACTTGAAATACTTTAAATTAATTGTGGATTTGAAGCCCCATGATGAACAAGTTCCATTAATTGCTCTTAATAAACTTGTCCATTACAAAGTTTTGCTATGATTTAGACATGCTACAATGACATTTTGCGCTTGAATTAGGTCATGTATAGCTAACTTCCATAATTGACATATTAACAATGTCATTCTGATCAACACTACCTTTTGTGCAACAAATTGTGATTCATGCTTAATTAATGTTATTTATACAGGCGCTCATTATATGAAAATGAAAGTACATGATGATTGATTTTGGTTTTGATTTATGTATATGATCTAATGAACTTATTTATTTTATGTATATGTAGATCGATATATAGGCAAAAGGTTTTTCGCATACAACATCACTTATAATTATTGAAGCGTCTGTGAAAGTTTCAAGTAATTTAATACTCCCAATACTTATGCAAAGATCAATTACATAAGACACAAGACCCGATGATATTCGATGAGCATCGTCGATCCTTATATATAGCTTAATTTAGGGCCTAGAAAAACTATACAAATTGATTGTTTGAAAATTGAAAACAGTAGCAAACTTTTAATCTTCTACAAATAAATTGAATGATCAGGTCATCAAACTCACTGTGTTACATTGCGACATAGTTATTCAAAAACCAAAAAGGGATTATTGTTAGCTGGTAACATCATATAATTGATATAGCAGAATGTCTGGCTCACCTACAGATTATGAACAATATGTGGAGAGTTTAGAGGCAAAATTAAAAATTTACACAAATGAAAAGTTTGAAAGACTTGATCACAAAATGAATGCTAAATTTCAAGATTTGAGAAATGCTATGATAGATACAAATCATAAACAGAAAGATACTTTAGAGGCAAAACTAAAAATTTACACAAATGAAAAGTTTGAAAGACTTGATCACAAAATGAATGCTAAATTTCAAGTTTTGAAAAATGCTATGATAGATAAAGAATTGTCTTTTTTACAAAAAACAAACAATTTAAATGATACATTAGATGAAACATTAAATGAAGTGCAGAGACTGCGCCAAAACATTAAATTCTCAAAGTCGAATTACAGAAGTAATGAGTACCCATCTAACCTAGGTATAGACCCTGATGTGTTAGAACAATGGGAAATATTGAAACAACAACCATCCACTGGTACAGGTATAGGAGAGTTGATTTCTGAAATATCAAAGATAATAGCCCAACAAACACAACTTATTTTACTCCCACATTTGACAGAGCTGCTGTTTTTAGCTTTGGCATACTTTATGGTTTCAGACTACCGTGATTTATTTCATGTATCTTTAGCTGTCATCGGTGTAATAGTGCTAATCATCATTCGGTATTTTTTCTGATCAAGTGGTAAGTGGCAGAGCACTAGCGATGAGATGTATTGATTTGATATTTATTGCATGGCTATTTATATGTAAATTTGAAAAAGTAATTATTAAATTTTTTATGTATTATATGTAGAATTTATATAGTTGATGCATGATAATTAGATCATGAAAATTTTCATAGACTATCACTTATAATTATTGTACGGAGGCTTCTCTATAAGTTTCAAGTATAATTTAATACTCCTGTTAGTACAAAGATCAATTACGTACACAAACAATATTGAAGCTAATTTATCAAAACGTTCTTTATTAAAATCATCGATGAATTTACCTCTATATGAAATGGTGGAATATTCTTTGGCACTTTGATGCGCTTCTTTCTCGATTCTTGTACATATTGTTGATATTTCCATGCTCCATATATAGGATTCCTGATTAATCATGATCAGCTTTCTTAGAACCTTCAGTTAAATATAAATTTGGAAAATGTGATCAATTCAATGGATCTTTCACAAGTATAATTTATATCAGTTGTTCATTGGTTGCACCAATTCTCGAGAATCTATGCAAATAGGCGGATTGCGGAGTTGACATATATTTACGAAAAGACCCTTATTGAGTCAAAAAGCATCATCATGACATTATCGACTTCTTTGATGATAGTATATTGAACTAGTGTACTAATGGTCTTGCAGACAACTCCTCGTATATATTAATTCACAGTATTATTTGGGTCAATATTGTGTTTGCTATCCGTGGTCTAGACTTGGGGATATTATACCATATAACGAAATTTCATGTTCATACCTACTACCTACTACGGGCAAACTAATAACCTTTAGTTTAATTTAGCTTAGAAAAACAATCCAAATTGGTTATTTAAACTTTTAATCTTCTACAATTTATTTGATTGGACAGATCATCAAACTCACTGTGTTACATTGTGACTTGGTTATTCAAAAATCAAAAAGTGATTATTATTAGCTGGTAATATCATAGTTGATATATCAAAATGTCAGGCTCACCTACAGATTATGTACAGGTAGAGAGTCTAGAGGCAAAATTAGTTGAAATTTACAAAGAACAGGTTGATCAATTGGCAAATACCAGGAAAGCTAATTTAGAAGAATTGAAAGAATACATGAGACAGGTTCTGACAGAAATTGCAAATGATTTCAATGAAAAACTAGATACTGGAATGAATGAAATGAGACTGCAAAACACTAAACTCTCCTCTGAATTACAGGACAAATTAGATCAGTTAAATGCCGAAATTGATGACCCATTCGATTCAAGTATAGACCCTGATTTGATGAAACAATTGGAATTACTAGAACAATCATCCGCTGATACAGGTAGTACACGAGAATTGATTTTTGAAATATCAAAGATAATAGCCCAACAAACACAACTTATTTTGCTCCCACATTTGACAGAGCTGCTGTTCTTTGTTTTGGCATACTTTATGGTTTCAGACTTTCCTGAATTAGTCAAATGGGTTTTACTTTTCTTCAGTTTATTAATAATGTTAATCAGTACCATTCGGTACAATTCCTGATCAATGGCAAAACAATTTTCAGCATGAGCTTGTGAAGTTTTGCTTTTAGTTCTTATTTATTTACTTAATATTTTCTGATCAGATGTTTCACTGTGGAGTGTTGTAAAAGTAAAGCTCCAAAAACCATTTCTTTAGTAGGTGAATTTAGATGTATAATGTGGTACTAGAGGTCTATATCTAGTTGTCACGAGCGTTACGGTGATCACTGATAAGGTAGTGTACTGGCGATGAGATGTATTGATCTGATAATTGGCTATTTATATGTATTTAAAAAAGTAATTATTGAATTTTTTATGTATATGTAGATGTTATATAAGTGATGGTAATTAGATCATGAAAATTCTCATAGAACATCACTTATAATTGTTGAAGCTTCTCTATATGTTTCTAGTAATTTAGAACATTTTTCTCTTTCTAAAGCTAAATCAGCATCTTCTAATAACAATTCATCAAATAATGAATCTTTGTATAATTTTGTAACTAATCTATTTTGAACTGTTTCCTTAGAGTGATTAACCAATAAACACATAACAGCTTTAGGAACTTGATCTTGAATCATTTCTCTAACAATACCAAAATATGATTGAATTAATCTTTTAATTAACTCACATTCTAATTGTTCACGTTCACTTAAGACAGGTTCTTCTTCTTCCAATACTAAATCTTGATTATGGTTAAATGAAGAAATTGAATTGGCATTGTTATGATTTTGATTGATATTTAAATCTTCAAAAGCTTTAGCTAATTTACTTGGTTGTCTTGAATGACCATTAACTTTACCATTTTGTTGTGGTTGTGATGAATGTTGATTTTGATGTTGTTGTTCTTTACCAAAAAAGAAATTTAAGAATGAATCTTTGGAATCATTTTTATGGTTAGAAGGTAATTGATTTTGATGGTTATGATAATTTGATTCATTATCATTATCAGAATCACCTGAGTTTTCATCATCATTATCATCAAATTCTTTTGTTGAGCCATTAATTCCATCATTTGTTAAAATTTTAGGTTTTTTTTGAGATTCAAATAATTTTTGTGATGATTTTTCTTGTTCTTTTTGCTTTTGTCTATCTTCAACAACACTTGCCATTGCAGCAGCTGCACCAACAAATGATGGATGATTTGTATTAATATAAGATCTATGGATTTCAATTAAACTTGCAACATAAGAACTTGTTGGACCTAATCTTTCTCTTAATAAATCACTAATAACTTCAATTAATTTTTGTTGTAATTTTGGGTATCTTGATAATTCTGGTGATCCACAATTATGACAAATCTTCATTAATTCTTCATAAACTAATTCAACACAACGATGAGATGGAGATTCTAATAATTGAATTTGAGGTTTAACCAACAGATCGAAAGCCAGTTCTGGAACGAATAATGAAGGTCTTGGACCAGTTGAATTTCTAATTGCAGTTCTAATTTCATTTGTTGATAAATTTGAAGTTGGATTTATTGAACCTAATGATTGACCTAAAACATCATTATAAATATGATAAATTCTTGCACCACCACATAATTCTTTTGTACTAATATCTGATGCTGTACCTTCAATTGAATTAACAAAATTTGTTGCGAATTTGGTCATTAATTTCAAGATTAAAGCACCACGATCTTCTTTATTGTATAAATTAGCATCACCATATGAAGCTAATTCTTGTTCAGTTTGTCCCATCAGAGTATTTAATTTTGCCTTAATATCTGGTAATTTTTCTCTAATATGATTCATTAAAGTTTGATTCAATAATTTGGCTAAATATCTCGTACCACATCTATTTGATATGGTTCTATATACAGGATGTGAATGGAAAAATTCTTCTTCAGTATTTAAACCTTCTTCAACTGATTTATTTTGTTGAACATCTTGTTGAGATCTATTAACAACACCAACAAAACCTAATTTCAATGGATAAACTTTACCAGAAAGAATATCTAAAGCATTTGTACCTTGATCCATTAAATCCAGTTTTGAAAGTACACCAATTGTTCTTTTACCTTGTGGATCAACTTGTCTTGCTAATTTTAAAGATTCAGAATTGACTAAATCAACATTTGCAGGAGATACAGCTAAAATGATACAATTTGGTTTAGCAACGTATTCCAAGATTAAATTTCTAATTTGTTTTTCAATATCAGTTGGTTGATCACCAATTGGAACTTTTGTAATACCTGGTAAATCAACTAAAGTTAAATTTAAAACTTTTGGTGAATAAACTTTTAAATTGATTGGTAATCTACTAATACCTTTATTTTTACCTGCAATTCTTGAAGTTTCATTTTCAATTTCTTTTCTAATATCAGCAAAATTATAAAAACGACGACCTGGAATATGTAAAAATTCACCCCATTCATTTTGAACTTCTGGTTTATAACCTTGTTGTTGTCTTAAATGAGCTTCTAAAGTGAACTCATCATTTGAAGGTTCAGGAGAACCAGTTGATGATTTAGATTCTCTAACTGGAGGACCTGCATTTCCAGAACCTGGTGGTTGACTATAATTATGGATCAATGGCGAATCTTCTGCGATATTGATTAATTGTAAAACTAATGGTCTTCTTGTAACAATACCTGTACCTCTTGGTAAGAAATCTTTACCAACTAAAGTTTCCAAAATAGATGATTTACCAGAAGATTGTGAACCAATAATAGATAAAATTGGTAAATCTAATGAATCTATACCAGCATCATAAGTGACATCTTGAAGTTTATTAACAGTTGGAATCAAATCCTCTAGTGAAGCCATTTTGAAATAATCAATGAATCTTCTTCAAGAACAAGTGAAAATTTATCTTTCCAAAAGATTGATTAAAACTAATTTAAAGAATTTTTTCAACAATATGAAATTTAATTTTGCTGAAATGAAACTAAAAATCATCTTTATTGCCAAAAATCGAAATGTTCAAAAAATCGCGGAACATAAAAAATAAACAAAAACATCGGTTTACGCAGCATATCGTAGACTTCCCAAACAGGTAATAAGTGTGTATTAGATGGTGTATTAAAGTATATACACAACTATTTCTTTTGTTTCTTTCTAACTTGAGTAGTCAAATTATTGATTACTGGTTGTTCTTTAGCTTTCCGACGTACTGGTGTTAGTACATTCACTGTGGATGATGTTGTGGTAGCTGTTGTAAGATTATCTGGTTTGACAGGTTTAACGAAATTCCCAATAATTTTCATTCCTGATTGATCTAATTGAGATTCCAAATAATTATCTATATTCTTATAAGATTCTAAAGCTCCTTCTGTATCTGAATAATCTTCACCTGTTATATAGTTTTTCAATTTTTTAAAATGACGACGTGATAACAAGATAGAATCATTATTATCATTATGATTATCAACTGTTTTCAAAAATCCTTCAATTCCAATGACTGATACAGTAACACCTAATCTAAATTCTTGTCTTGCTTGTAGTTCAATCCAAAATTGACGTAAATCAACATTCTTAGCACGATTTTCCACAACTAAATGTTCTAAAAATCTTGCCTTTGGATCATCAGGAAATAATGGAATTTTATATAATGCTAAATCTTTATCATTTCCATTGAAAATATCACCAACTTTCCAATTATTATTTTGTAAATTTTTAAAATAACGTTCAATTATTTTTGGATCTTCTGCAGGAATTTGTAATTTTAATTGTAAATTTTCATCATTTTGGAAAGTATTTAAAATTAATGAATCAAGAATTTTTAACCACCATTTTAATAAACCTTCACCACCAAGAACATGTTTTTTTGGATTTTCGCCAGATGATGGGAATAAATATTGAGGTTCAGATCTTGTAAATAAAGAAATTTTTGTCTTGATAGGTTTTGGATAATTTGAAATTTTATATGGTTGAATAACTTGTGGTTTTATATAATTACCACGATGTCTCTCCAAGAGAATTTTTAAAGCTTCTTTTGTTCCAGTTGATTTTGTAATTGTTTTGGAATTTATTGTGTTTTCTGTTTCTGTTGATTCAATTGGATTCTTGGGTATAATTTCTTGTAAATAATTATCAATTGGTATTTGAATAATATGATTTAAGATAACTTGAGTAATTGGACCAATTTTGGCATTAGAAACATTTTGACCATTTGTATCAGCTTTTGAAACAAATAATAATTTCTCAGTAGTATTTTCCAAATGATTAATAGTTATATATATGAATAATTCAATTCCGAAAAATATTAAACTTTCATGAGCTAAAGTTATAAAATGTTCAATTTTTATAGTTTTAATTTGATCTGATTGAATTGATGATGATGATTTTTGAGATACTAAAGGATGAGTTTCTCTTGGTTTTGATTGGAAATGGAACAATTCATACTCTTTATCTTTTGGTAATACACGTGAAATTGATTCTTTCAATGACATTATTGGGGAGTAGTTTGTGTTGTATGGGTTATGTATGACGCGTTTGATCTGATTTTAATAGAAAGTGTCAAAGTTATTTTTCAAATTTCGAGCCATTTTTGGGTTGATCGTAACAACAATTTCAATTTTGACGCAGAATAACAAGATATATCTACCCATAGCCAATAAAGAATCGCAAGTAGTATGGGGTAAATAAATTAAGTGAAACTCAGAGATTTCAACCATGTATTTAATTTGAAGATCCAATTATAGGTTGTTGAGAAACAATTGCATTTTAACAGAAGTTGAATTCTTGAAATCCACATCTGGCGAACTTTTAGTAGGAAAATCCATCTCAGCAGAATTTCAAAATGTCAAAATGGAGATGGCATATGTAGCAATATATAGGTAAAGAGCCACTAAATTAATGAACATTACTTCATAGAGAAGTGTACCTTCAAAATCAATGTGTGAAGTGTTATTCCCAATATATACCGTTTAAGGGTCAATACTTTGTATGGGAGCGACGTTTTTTTTTTGACACCTTCATGGGAAGCTCTCGAAAATAAGCACGATTTTCTTCTAGTAACAAATCAACCAACCACTTTATATAGATCTAATTTGGAGAGTGAGTAATGGAGCAGGAAAAACAATCATCAGGTACAAGGTACATAATCAAATGGGTATGGTATCACGTTAAACCAGGATCATGATTCATTACCGTTATGGTCAAAAGTTAAAGATGTCAGTATAGTAAAGAATTGCGTATTTTAAGATTAACATCGTGGAAAGAAGAACGCCTTACGACAAATACGATGAGAACAAAGGTACGTACATACGAACCCCATAATATCTGGGTGATGATTGGAAATGATTAGATATCCAGGATTACATTTAGTAAACTATAAATGGGATGATATACCCTTTTTTAAAGGTTTGGTTTCAATAGTTCAATAAAGCTAAAATTAATAATAATGACAAGTAATACTACAACAGAGAAAAAAGCTGTATTGGTTACAGGTGGTGCTCAAGGTATTGGTAAATCAATTGCAATTCAATTAGCAAAAGATGGATATCAAGTTGCAATTTGTGATTTATCATTTCAAAAAGAAAAAGCATTAGAAACAGTTAAAGAAATTGAATCTATAACAAATTCAAAAGCTATATTTATTGAATGTGATGTTACCCAAAAAAATCAAGTATTTGAAGCTGTTAATAAAACTTATGAGGAATTTGGTGCTTTCAATACAATTGTTAATAATGCAGGCATTGTGACAGTTGCACCAATTTTAGAAACAACAGAAGAACAAATCAATAAAACTTTACAAACTAATGTTAATAGTGTCATTTTCGGTATCCAAGCTGCATCTAAAAAATTTGAAGAATTAGGAAATCAACCAGGTAAAATCATAAATGCATCTTCAGTTGCAGGTATTGAAGCATTTGAAATGTTTGGAATCTATTCAGCAACAAAATTTGCAATTAGAGGTTTAACTCAAGCTTCTGCAAAAGAATTAGGATCAAAAAAAATTACTGTTAATTCATATTGTCCAGGTTTTGTATCAACATCAATGTGGGATGAAATTGATGATAAAATGGGTAAATATTTAGGTTTACCAAAAGGTGAAACAATGAATAAATTAATTGATCGTGTTGCACTTGGTAGAGGATCTGTACCTCAAGATGTTGCTAATTTAGTTAGTTTCTTAGCTAGTGATAAAGCTGATTATATTACTGGTCAATCTATGGTTGTTGATGGAGGTATTTGCTTCACTTGAAAGTAAACCTATACATTTTTTTCATTTGACCATATAAACCTACAATATACACATACAACACATAAAAAACACACACATAAATTTTCATCTAATTCACACTATACAATCCCCCTTTAAGCTTTAATTGGTTTTGTAAATTCATCTGGAAAGAAAACTAAACGTTCAATACCATCTTTTGTCAAGATAACTTGTCTTATAACACCACCTGAACTACCATCCCATTGAATAGCTTGAGTTAAAGCAGTTTTAACAAAATCAACAGCTTCTTCTTTTGTAAAATCTTCTTTATAATTTTCATCAGTCCAACCATAAATATATGAAGAACCTGAACCTGCAATTGCAAAAGGTTGTTTATGAATTGAACCACCAAGGGGTATACTATAAACTTCACCATTAGATCTTTCATCATAACCAGCAACAATTAATCCTGCAGTTAATGCATCTTTATTTGTATATGTTAATTCTTGTAATAATGAAGCTGCTATTTTAGCTGAAGGTGGTTTACCATGTTGTGCAGTATATAATTCTAAATGATATTTAACAATATCTGCAACTGCTTGAGTATCTGCTGCAGAACCTGATCTACAACACCAAATCTTATCATTGATTTGAGTTAATTTATCTGTGACACTGGGAATGGTTGTTAGTTGGTTGACCATCAATTGTTTGGAATTAATAAAATTTAACTTACCGATTTGCAATATAAGAACCTGTAGTTGTACGACTAATAAATTGTTAGTTTGAGATCATAATAGTAATCATCACCACAAATACATACGAATCAGCACCTAATATCACACCATCCTTGAACTTAACAGCCATACTATTCCAATTGTTAGAATCATTCCATACTTCAATATATTATAATATAACATCAACATACATAGATGTACCAAGGCTATTTGAAATTAGTTAGTATTGTCAATTCTTCATCAATTCACACGCATAAAAGACACAATGGCAACATACTTGACTTCACCTTTCTTCAAGTGATTGATATCCACAGAGATCCCGTTCATTTTATAGTTGTACTTCTTGTTTTCCTGTTTGATTTGTATGTATTCAATTCTGAATCTTTTGAATCTCAATTGCCACTTTAATCAACACTTTACAAACAAAATCAGATGCGCGAATTTGAACTGCTCTCTAAAAATAATTCGCGAACCTTACCCTCTGGATCTGGGGTTTAAGAGATGGTTGGTGGTTGAAGGGGTGGAAGATGAGAGTGTTATGGGGTTATTGAAGTCGTATATATTGATTTTATATATCATAATTTTATAAGAGTTACTGATTTCCCAGTAATACAATGTTATCCACTAGTTAATTATCCAAATTTATTTAGACTCTGCGCGCGAACCGCGATTTTGATTTTTTTTTCAATACGCAAAAAAAATATCAGCGATAAATTTGAATATAATGAAACATTAAACACATATTGAAAGTATCAAACAAGACTACAAAATGCCATCTGTTCCTTTTGATTTGAAAAGTTTGGCCCCATCCGCAAATATCTGGGGTCCTCCAGCTGCTGTTCCAAACGAATTACGTTTCAGTGATATCCCATATGCTCCTTTTTCCAAAGGTGATAAATTAGGTAAAGCTGCTGATTGGACTGCAAATGAAAATTTAAATAAAGATTCAAAATTAAAAAATCAAAGAGGTCAAAGAGATTATTTCCATGCGTATGGTGCTTCTGCTGCTTCAAGTTTTGCTGCTGAAACCACTGGTGAAGAAGAATTTTCTGTTGTTGATAATAGTAAAACTACTGCACCAAGAAATCAAAATAGTACAACTGTTTTAAAAGGTAGAAGAGGTGGTAATAATCAACAATCTCAACAACAACAAGGTGGTTATCAAAAGAAAACTTTTAATAATAGACCTCAAGCTGGTAACAATGCAAATCAATCTGGTCAAAGAAAACCATTTTTCGGTGGTGCAGGTGGTCGTCGTAATTGGAAAGATGATAAACCTGAAAGAGTTCGTGAACCTTCAGTTAAAATTGAAGATGATTGGAAATTAGTTGAAGAAGTTAAATTAAGTAAATTAACTCAATTAAATTTCGAAGTTAAAGATGGTGAAGAAATTGATTCTTATGGTTCAGTTAATTTATATAATAAGAAAATTGAAAGAAATGCTGGTGTTCCATTAAAAGTTATTGATAGAGCTTTTTATAACCCATCAGCTTCTGATGATCCAGTTATTCAATCATTACATTCTCAAAATATTGCTAAAGTTTATACAACTGATTCTGTTATAACACAATTAATGTGTGCTTCAAGATCTGTTTATTCATGGGATATTGTTGCAACAAAATCAAATGGTACTATTTTCTTAGATAAAAGAGATGGTTCTTCAATTGATAAAATTACTGTTGATGAAAATGCTATTGATGCACCATCTGATAGTTTAGATGCTAATATAAATAATGCAGAAAATTTATCATTAGAAGCTACTTATATTAATCAAAATTTCTTAGCAAATTCAGTTTTAGATGAAAATGTTATTAAATTAAATAAACCAAATCCATTCCATATTGATTCTTCAGAACCTTTATTATCAAAAGGTTATAAATATAAAAAATTCAATTTACAATCAAATGCTGAAGATGCTGAACCATTATCAATTGTTGTTAGAACTGAATTTGATTCAAAAGATCATACATCAAATCAAACATTAGCTATTAAAGCAGTTAATGAATATACTAATACTGGATTAGATTGGAAATCAAAATTCACTTCACAAAGAGGTGCAATTATTGCAGCAGAATTGAAAAATAATAATAATAAATTTTCTAAATGGACAAATCAAGCAATTTTAGCTGGTGTTGATACAATTAAATTAGGTTTTGTTTCAAGATCTAATTTTAAAGATAATACTAAACATACCATCTTAGGTGTTTCATCTTATAGACCACAAGATTTAGCTTTACAAATCAATTTATCCACTGGTAATGGTTGGGGTATTGTTAAATCTTTTATTGATATTATTTCAAGAGAAGATGATGGTAAATTTGTTATCTTAAAAGATCCAAATAGTCCAAAATTAACTGTTTTCAAAGTTCCTGAAAATGCTTTCCAAGATGAAGAATAAATTGAATTGTATATATAACTATAGATATACAATATTGAACACCATTTCTTCAATATATAACTTATCTTTTAATTAATGTAATTGTATATAAAAGACGGTTAAATAATGGTTAAATAAAAGATAATCGAATTCCGGTTTTTCTGTCACGAGAATGGAATTTTTAAGGTCGGAATTCCACCCGAAAACTGAACACGATTTAATTTTAAACGTAAACTTGGAAAGAATGAATGTTGACATTTTGAGTAAAAAGACCAAGTTATACTTCACCATTCAATACAATTATGAAGTTGTTTGTCATTGCATTGTCATTCTTGTTGACAATCGTTTCATGTTCATTCATACCGGACCAAACATGGGAAAATGTTGAATTTAAAAGAACTATAGATCTTTCAAAATCATATTCAAAAGAAATATTATCATTAACAATTAAAAATATTGATTCAAAACCAAATTCAGAATATTATTATGCATTACCAAATTATGTTTATGATAGATTAAGTATTTTTGTATTTTCAGGTCCAAATGGTCAACAAGCATTATCAACTAGTTTAATTGAAGAATCTACAAATGTTAATAATGAACCATTAATTAATTATATTAAAGTTAATTTACCAAAACCAATTGCACCAAATCAATCATTCAAATTAAATGTTAACTTGGCAGTTACTGATTCAATTGAACCATATCCAAAATCTCTAGAGTTAACTGATGAACAAACTTTATTATTGAAGACTAATAAATTACCAATTAGTGCTTATAAAACTTTATCAGGTTCAAGTTTATCAATTGCAGGAATTCCAGATGGTCAAGAATTAGAATCAGAAGGTAAAACTAATTTATATAAAGGTTCTGTTAAAGATAAAAAATTAGTTTATGAATTTGATGAAGAAATTGAACCTTTTAAATTTACAGTTTTAAATTTATTATATAGACATAATTTACCTTTAACAAAAATCACAAAATTAGAAAGAGGTATTTGGATTTCACATTGGGCAAATTCTTTACAAGTTGAAGAATTTTATAAATTAACAAATAAAGGTGCTTCATTAAAAAATGGATTTTCAAGATCTGATTATATGTTAAATAAACAAGCTTTCAAACAAACTTCAGCTATTGCAGCAGCACAATTAGATTTATTAGAAGAAGCAAGAGATGTTTATTATACAGATTTAGTTGGTAATGTTTCAACATCAAAAGTTATGGGTGATAAATTATATATTAAACCAAGATATCCAATTTTTGGTGGATGGAATTATAATTTTACAATTGGTTGGACAAATTCTCTTAGAGATTATTTAAGACCAAATGGATTAAAAGATGAATATATTTTATCATTACCTTTTATTAATGGTCCAGTTGATTCTAGTTATGATGAAGTTGAATTAAGTTTTTATTTACCTGAAGGTTCTAAAATCTTGGATATTGTTTCACCAATTCCATATGATTCTAAATTGGAAGGTTATGAATTATCATATTTTGATTTATCAAATGGTCATACTAAAGTTACATTAACTTATTCAAATGTTATTGATGATTTAAGTCATTTAAATGTTTTAATTAAATATGAATATAGTTTTTGGAATTTTATTAAAAAAGCTTTAGATATTGCTAAATTTGTCTTTATTGCATTGATTAGTTATTTAGCTTTAACTAAGATTGATGTTTCTTTAAAAGCAAAGAATTAGGGTGATCTACAATATATCAGGTTTTGATAACCAATATATATCTACAATAAAAGTTTAAAATTAAGTTATTTTGTAAATTCATAGCCGTCGTTATAATATATATACATGAAATATAAATAAGTTGATTGGATCTTTACCAAACATTTTCAGATTCACCTTTCATTCTTGGAACTCTTTTAGGTTCCCAATCTTGTTCACCTAAACCTTGTAATCTATAATATTCTTCTTTAACATCAACATTTCTCTTTTTGGTGTTTAATTTGATGATATCAGATTCAGTAACTTCTTGAACTCTTTGATCTCTTTGTTCATATCTAACAGCAGTAAAACCTGATAACCAATAAGATGCTAACCCCATAAAGACTAAGAAAGGTCCACCAAACACCAAAAATGGTGATTTCCTTAATTGTTTTTGATATCTTCCAGCCCATGAGGCATCGTATATGGCTTGATCTCTCTTGGATCTGAACCTCTTCCCACCAAAGTCTGACATGATCTACTTTCTTTCTGATAACCAGTAATAAAATCATCAAATTGTACAAATTAAAATCAATAAATTTTAAAAAATGACAAAATTCCAATAAAAATAATAATAAACTACCCAAACAGGCAACTACCACAATAGGAAATGAATGGCTGTCATTTCGCATCGGCTCCACAATTTTCGTAGAAGCAGCACAATTTGATAGTAATCATAGATAAACACGTCAAAAGTCAAGAATTATATTGGTTCTTTTGGTTAAAGGTCGATTCAAAGGTCAATTATGAGTGAATCACAAGGGCTCTTGAGGCCACAAGAAGGAAAGAATGATAGAAGGACAAGCAGGTTCAATCCACGCTCTGTTCTTTTGACTGCAGCTTCTTTATTGATTGTATTCTCACTGTTGGGATGTTATCAGATCTTTGGGACTTCAAAACCAACAAAGAAGAACATCATTTTCTTTGTTACTGATGGTATGGGTCCTGCTTCATTATCCCTTACAAGAAGCTTTAGACAATATAGAGATAATTTAACAATTGATGATATTTTAGAATTGGATAAATATTTGATTGGTTCTTCAAGAACAAGATCTTCAAGTTCTTTAATAACAGATTCTGCTGCTGGTGCTACTGCTTTCTCATGTGCTATGAAATCTTATAATTCTGCTATTGGTGTGGATCCAGATTCCAATCCTTGTGGTACTGTTATGGAAGCTTTAAAACTTGAAGGTTATGCTACTGGTTTAGTTGTCACTACAAGAATTACAGATGCCACACCAGCGGCATTCAGTGCTCATACTTCCCTACGTATTTATGAAGATTTAATCGCTCAACATCAAATTGGTGATTATCCATTAGGTAGATCTGTTGATTTATTAATTGGTGGTGGTAGAACTCATTATTATTCTCCAAATGATCATAAATATGGTAATAAAGGTTCAAGACAAGATGATAGAAATTTAATTGATGAAGCCAAGAATCAAGGTTGGTCATATGTTGGAAATAGATCTGAATTTGATCAATTAAACTTAGGTTCAAATGTTCAATTACCATTATTAGCTTTATTAGATGATTATGATATTCCATTTGATTTGGATAGAGATGATGAAGTTCATCCATCATTAGAAGAAGAAGCCTTGGTTGCATTGAATGCATTAACAGAAGCTACTAAAGATTCTGATAAAGGGTTCTTCTTATTAGTTGAAGGTTCAAGAATTGATCATGCTGGTCATAATAATGATCCAGCTGCTCAAGTTCGTGAAGTTTTAGCATTTGATAAAGCTTTTAAAGCTGTTAAGGATTTTGCTGATAAATCTGATGTTGAAACTATCTTGATTAGTACTTCTGATCATGAAACTGGTGGATTAGCAACTGCAAGACAAATTTCTCCAAATTATCCAGATTATATTTGGTATCCTGAAGCTTTATTAAATGCTAAACATTCTGGTGAATATTTAAATAAAAAAATTGCAAATTATGATGGTAAAGATTTGAAAAATTTTATAATTGAAGAAATTTTAACTAAAGATTTAGGTATTAAAGATTTCACTGATGAAGAAGTTGAATCATTAATCTCTCATAAGGCAAATTCTCATTATATTATAAATAATATCATTTCATTAAGATCACAAACTGGTTGGTCAACTCATGGTCATAGTGCTGTTGATGTAAACATTTATGCATATGCAAATAAAAGATCAACAATGATTAAATTATATGAAACTTTAGGTGGGAATCATGAAAATATTGAAATTGGTCAATTTATTGTGGATTATTTTAATCTTGATTTAGATCAAGTTACTGAATTAGTTAAAGATACTCAACATGAACCTAAAAAATCTGTAAAATCTGATACACAAGGTTTAAACATCGAAGAAGAAGCTAATGATCATTATCATACTGGTGCTCAAATATAGCGCTACATGTAACTCAATTTATTACTTAACTATATAATTTCATACAGTACATGCATAATTCATTTATATATTCTAAGAACTAGTTCTTATACGTAAATTATTCTTTATCCTTATCTTTATCTTTATCTTCACCACTAGTTTCTTGATCAACTTTTGCTTGTTCAGCAGATTCCATTTCTTTAGCTTTTCTTGCTTGTTCTTCTTCAACTTTATTCTTTTCAGCTTCAATACGTTTTCTTTCCTCAGCTTCAGCTCTAAATTTTTTATAATCTTCAACATATTCAGGAATCTTGTATGAATTAACATTAAAATATCTTTCAATACAACTATCACCTGTCCATGTGATATCATCTAATGGATCACATATACAATTTGTTGATAATCTAATTGATTCTTCTGAAGGACATGATTTTAAATTATAATACGCATGATCATTATATCCTATATTATTGAAAAATTGAATTTTATGTTTATCTTCTAATAAAGTAACAGCTAGAGTACGTATAGTTGAATCATCCCAACCTTCATAATATATACCCTTTTTTTCATCAAAATATTCAGCTAATTTTAAGAATTTTTCTGATCTGAAAAAATTTAAATCTCCAATTTCAAAATTTGATCTAAATTGACAACGATTAAAAGTTTCACCTTTATCATCAGAAATAAAATCAATCATATTATTCTTATTAATATCCCCGGAGTTTTGTTTTATATATTCTAATGTATTTTCCCATAATGATGGATATAATCCTTCTTGACCTCTTTGTGCAAATCCAAATCCATAAGTACGTTCATGTTCTTTCATAAATTTGAAAAAATCAAATTGAATATCATTATAAAAAAAAGCACCAAGATCAATTCTTAAATAATAATCATATTTTTTCAATGCTTCAATTTCAAATATCCCCTTTGACCAAAATCTTAATTCATTTCTTTGTTTTGAAGTTCTTTTAAATTTTATACCTTGTTTCCTAAAATTTTTTTTACCTTCTTTGATCATATTATTACTTAACCCATTTGGTATTCCTAGTCTTGGTACTGTATGAAACTCAACATTTGATGAAGTTATTGAAAGTATAGTTCTTCTGAAATTTCTTGTATGATTAATATCAGTGACAATTAAATAATGATAATGATAATATTGATTAAATCTTTGTTCAAATGACCAAATAGTTTCTACTAATTTATATAATTCTGCATTTCTTGCAAAGATTAATATAACACCATTTTCTCTTGGATATTCAGTTTCACTTGGATGATGTAAACCATTTGCTGTAGTAGCTGAATCTGGTATAATTGTGGTAGGTGTGGATGATGTTGTTGTTGATTCAATCATTGATGCTGGTTGGTCTGGAATCTCATTATCTTGTTTGAAACTTTCATTTATATTAAAACTATCAATCTTGGAACTTATTAAATTGATTCGATCACTTATAGTTTGTAAAGAATCTGAAGTATATTGATAACTTTCATCCTTATAGATAAAGACAAATGATGATATGATGAATAGTATGGATATCAGAAACACATATCGTATTCTGGTTATACTGAAATATGTCCTTAGATCATGGAAAAGACGTTGACCAAGTCTTGATATGTTTCTCACGTAGCTCATCTCTGATTATTATTGTTTAATATGGGTATATCAGCTATATGATTTCTTCAATTCCAAACGACACAGTGTAGACATTCACAGATCCTACTAATGATCACAGCTTATAAGACCTTTTATTAAAGTGCCAGCACCTTATTCTCTTGATTAGAAGATCCTAGTTAAGCGTTCATGGCTTAATAATTTTTCACGGTTAATTGAATAATTATTCTAAAACAAAAACACTGCCGATTCGAGAATTATAAAAAAAAACCTCGCGTTAACATCCTAAACAGGAAATATGCTTCTTTGGGATAAAACAATATAAACTCATCGATTTACAAATTATTAAAAACTAAAATCTAAAAACGTAACATTATTAAACAAACATAGCGAAAAAATAGCAGTGAATGGAATAGTTAGTATAACCAGCTGGGAACATTAACAGTGGTTAACAACATCATAACTATCCATCAATAGGGGAAAATAGGGGGTAATAAGGGAATATATAGCCATATAATTGTATTGTCATTTGGTTCATTAGTAAATGATTATCATCATTATCTTCATTTATTTTGATTTAGCAAACTGATAGTAACTGAATTACTTCTTTTCCTATCATCTAAAGCTTCATCTAAAGAAGGAATACCACCAAAAAAATGTGTTTTAGCAATTGGTGATCTTATATGTTGCTTATTATAATGATTTTTGAATTCATTAGGGTTCTTATCTGATAATGTAGGTGATAAAGGTGGTGATATTTGATGTAGATGTGCATTGGCATTAGAATTTGGAGTCTTTGGTGCATTCTTAGCTAATGGAGAACATGCTCTTTCAATAGTTGATACCGAACCTCTAACAGATGCAGAGCCTGTTCTTTTAAGTGCTAATTGTAATAAATCACCATCTGATAAGTCATTGCTATTTGATGTAGTTCTAGAAGGTAATGCATTTGCTGTAGATGATGGTTCTGGTTCTGATGATGGTCTTTTACCAGATTGCATTGCACCAACCGCAATTGAATTAACACGACTTGAACGTCTTGATCCTAGTACAAGTGTCAATTCCTTATCATCCTCATCGTCACTATCACCAGTTTCACTTCCACTGGCACTTTCTTCATCACTATCGTCAGGAACAATTATTTTCTTTTCTTTTAATGGAATCTCAACATTTCTTGGTGGTGGGAAAGTTGGATTAATTGAACGCCTTGTAGCAATTATTTCTGAAGAATCAGAATCAGATTCTGATGAACTATCATTACCAAAAAAACTATAATGAGGTGTGCTACCTCTTTGAATTAATGGTGGTCTTTTAACAGGTGTTGGTGATTTTGATGAATTTGAAATCACAATTTCAGGCTTTGATAAATCATTATAATAATCATGTGTTTGTGAAGCTGAAGCTTTTAATTGACTTGCTAAAATTGAAGGAACTGAATATTGTGAAACATTTGTTGCAACTGAATCCATTCTTCTTGAATTTGTTAATCCATTAGAGCTACCATTAGTTGCAGTGGAATTCATTCTATTCGATACGTGATCAAATTCATCATCCGCTTCACCATCATTATAATCATCAATAAAATCTTGGTCCCTGGTAGTTGATAAATTAAATGTAGCAGAATGCTCAGATTTTTCATTTGGTGCAACTGAATCATCATTTTTCTTTTCAGTAGCTTTATTCAGGGAATAACTATTCATTCTCGTAAAGAAATCTCTTGGATTTTCTTCATCTTGTTGTTCATCATTAATGTCTTCTGAAGAAAGTGTAACTCTTTGAGCATTAACATAATCGTCAATATCTTCACTATTTAATGAGCCAAAACTTGCATTAACAGGTAATGAAACCAATTGTGATCCATTATCCAAAGATGAACCATTTGATGTCACTAAAGGACCATTATTATCTGAAGTTGAAGATCTTCTTCCAGTAGAAGCAACACTTGAACGTCTTTTATCATTATCTAAGATTCCACTTAAAGTACTGAAAGCAGAAGATTTATTTAAAAATAAATCACCCTCCACTGTGGCTCTTGTTGCCAATCCAGAAGTTTCACCAGATTTAACACGTTTATGATGTCTTGTTGATGAAGTTTGAGAACTTGAAGTTGTTGTAGATGATCTTGGTTGTTTCTCAAAAGTAACATCATTTTGTAATGGTGAAGCGGTATATGATTTTTTACGTCTTTCCACTTCTGCAATACTAGATGATTTTGAAAATGATGATGATGATGATGAATCATTTAAATTATATGATAATGAGCGAGATCCCAGTGTATTTGGTTTATGATCTGATGTATTGGATATTGTCTTCACTAAAGACTGTGAATTCCTTTTTGAACTTGATCTTAAACCTGCAAATTTCAGTGCTTTAGCAAAACCTTTCTTCAATTTACTTGCAATACCTATAACTGCAACTTCAACTTCTTCATTTGAAACATGAATCTTACATTCACAAGATTTTTGATCACCAGAAAACAATCTTGCTTCTTCCACCGATAGTCCTCTTAAAGTTAATGGATGTCTCTTTATACCTTTTAATCCAATTCTCTTTGTAGGATCTTTATTCAACATTTTGCATAATAAATCCTTAACATGGAAAATCTCTTCTGTAGTCCAATCATGAGTATCTGGAAATGTATCAGGGAACTTCAATTCATCTTTATTAATAGAATCAAACAATTCAAATTCATTACCACCCCAAAATGGTAATTTTCCAAATAAAAGAGCATAAAAAGTAACACCAAGAGCCCAAACATCAATTTTATGTGTAATTTTAGGTCTTTCCAAATTATCATCATCAAAATTTGTTATACATAACTCTGGAGCGAAGAATGCAGGTGTACCAGCACTTTTACATAATTCTAATTCATCTTGATCATCACCATTTAATGAAGATGCAAATGAAACACCAAAATCTGAAATTTTAACTGAACAATCTGCAGAAATTAATAAATTTGCTGGTTTGATATCTCTATGAATAATACCCTGATAATGTAAATATTCCAAACCCAAAACAACATCTCTAAGGGCACTTATTGAAATATCTAAACTTAAATTTGGTTTACCATCATCATCATCATGTTTCCATTTGATTTCACCTTTCTCTAAATATTCTAAAACCAAGTAGATTTTTTTAGAATTCTGATCATCTAAAACTTCTTTTAATTGAACAACATTTGGATGACGACATTTTTTCATTATAGCAATTTCTTTTCTAATTTTATCTTCTGCACTATCACCAGATAAATGTGAAGGATTACCTAATTTTTGACGACCTTTTCTATCAACAATTTTGATTGCAACTAATTCATCTTTAACAATATCTCTTGCTAATTTAACTTTACCATGTTCACCTTTCCCTATTTCTTTAATGATTTCATATGAGTTAAGAACTTTTCTTTTAGAAATAGGATCATATTCAAGTGAGATATGATTACTTTCTTTAACTTCTGGTGATGAATGAATATAATGAGGATTAGAAGTTATTGGCTCTAGTTTTCTAGTTTCTGTTGAACTTTCAGATGTTGATAATAACCCATTAAATGGATTTCTTTTTTCACTTAATGGTGACCTTACTAGCGGTGAATTCCCATTACGACTACTATTATTTGAATCATTTGTAGTACTTTTAGATCCACCACCAAATATACTAAACATTGAATTATTTGATCTTGTTCTTGAAGGTAGTTTTGGTCTATTATGTGAAGATGTTGTTAGATGATGATAAATTTGATGATTTGGATAATTAATTTTGGATTTTGTTTGGCGATCAAGTAATGATTGTAATGATTCTGTTGATGAGAATGGAGAAGCTTGTACAGATAATGATGAAGAATGATCATTATGGGTATGATTATTTTGTAAAATTTCAGCTATTTTGGAATGTCCTTCTCTTTGGTGATTATATTTATAATGTTCATTTTCCACTAAATCTGTATCTGAAACTGATTTAAGATCCATAGTATCTTGATTTAAATGGAAATAATCTCTTGGAATTGTATCTCGTATTGAACTTGGTGATTTAGGAGAATCTTTATGTATATCTTGTAATGATAAATTATTATCACTTTGTTGTTGAGAATGTTGAGTCACCGTAACTTCCGCTGGTGCTAATGAAGCCTTCAAACTGGGCAATCCAAACGTTGAAAGCCTCCTCTGATCTGTGTGGTCGCCTAGCTTAGGACTTCTTCCTTTGCCTGGAGACAGTGGCTCCATTGCTGATGTGGATTTGTTGATGTTTTAGAGCTTTAAACCAACTTGATATCACCGATATATGTTATGAATTTCTAGGACCTTCTGAGAAAAAAAAAAGCCCCCAGATGAGTTGTACCTGAAAATTAGAAACTGTGTTGAAAGCAGATGAATAAGCTTGAAATATGGTATTGACGAACTCTAGTTAATATTTGATGATTTTATCAACATGCACAGTGTTCTTATAAGTTAACCCAGCAATTAACGATTTCAATGAAGTTTGGGGTTATGTTTTCAAAGTGTCAGTTGTCTTTTTAGTGTGAATTTTGATGAGTTTTTTCGGGTCTCTCCAGAAAAAAAACTACCCACCATGCAAGCTTTTTGGAGAGCAACGAAAAAGTGTCACAATTGCGAAATCTTCACACCAGTGTATTTTGAGTATCTCCAAGGTATTTCAAGTGTGTATAAAGTATTAAAATGAAAATTCAATATTATATTTAGTCTATATTATTATAGCTATTGTCTTTTATCGGATTAAAAACACTCAGTTTAGATGCAAATCAACCAATTTGTATACTCAGAAGACGTGAAATCAACAATAAATTTACGACTTCTCCAGTAAATTGCGAAAAATTGAAAATTCCATTGCGCAAAAACATTGCGCCAAATATTGCACGCCAAAAAATGACATATTTCTGTCAATTTTCGAAGTGCAAATCTATAGAAATCATATGTTGTTGTGGAAATATTCTTGCAATTACCGAATTGGGAACATTTGTTATTGTTTACCTTTTTTTAAACTCCATCATCAACAAAATTTTCCTTCAAAAAGCATTGATGCTTTAGAAAGCAAGACAACTCTGATTAGATCTTCACTTTCTTATCTTATCCCTGTAAGGTACCTGATCATACACTGGTATTGTGTCAAGATGAATATCAAGGGAATTGAAGTATGGATAATATTGGCTTTATTCACAAGATTTATTATATGTGAATGGGATACTGCTTATTCTCCTTTATATCCCCATGCTTATTTGAAATTATCAAATGATGAATTATTAAAGATTTCGAATAATCAAGATTTCAAGTCTGGTGATTCAATTAGTGATACCATAACACCACCAACAAAGGGAAATTTTTCAATTACAATAGCTAATGGAGATTTATATGCTTTCTTTGAAGGTGATTCTAAAATGTCAATATCTAGATATGATGATAAAACTGATAATTGGATCTCAATTGATTATGATACTACATTGAAGAAAAATACAAATTATGATTATTATCAAGATTGTACAGTGATGACTTCAGCATCCGAAGATGAAGACGATGAAGAAACTGGTAAAGATTTAATTTATATTTATGGAGGTCAATTACAAAACAATATATCAACTAGAATCTTGGAGTTTGATCCTCAAAAAAACACATTAAACTCAGTAATGACTTCAATTACACCAACTGGATTTTATGGATCTTCAAATGCTATATTAGATTCTAAAGGAATTACAAATTTATTAATTGGTGGTAAAGCATCAACAGGTTGGGTTAGTATGTTTCAAAGTGCAACTTGGGAATATAAATCATGGTCATTTAAAACTGTTAAATCTTCAACTCAAGGGATAAATTCAAGAATTCATTCATTAGTATTACCAATTTTTCCTAATAATTCAAGTAAAGCCTCAAATGTCTTAGTCTTTGGTGGTACATTGGGTCCAAATTTAGCAAGTCCATCAGTATTAAGCTTAAATGTAACTGATGATGATGATAATTGGGAATGGAAAGATTTAAGTAAAACAACTGATTTAAAAATTAAAGATTTATTAGGTGCTGTTGTTTTCAATTCAACATTATTTACTGTAACGAAAAATTCATCATCTAAAAAGAGAAGCGAGGGATATTCATTAAATTTATTTGATACAAAATCATTGAAAACAATTGATAGTTTTAATTCATCATTTAAAAATTCAAAATCTGATAAAAGCGAATCAATTCAATCTTCACAAAGTACAGAACAATCAATTGAATCAAGTTTAACAAGTGAATTAAGTAAAATTTCAAGTGCTAATAGTGAATCAAAAACATCAATTTCAACTCAAACAATAACCTCATCAAATGATCAACCAAGTGGCACTATAACTCATAAATCATCATCTTCTTCTAAAGACAATACCAAAGTTATAATACCAGCAGTTATAGTACCAATAGTTGGTATTACAATAATTTCAATTATAATTTTCTTTATATATAAGAAATTTAATAAATCAAATGATCAAAATACTGATAATTCATCAATTGAATCAGATTCAGAACCTGATTTTTATAAAGAAGTTAATAATTTAGATAATCAATCAATATCAAGTTGGAATTTAAAAAGAAATGAATATGAAAAAACAAGATATCAACAACAAAAATCACCAACAAGATCACCAACTAAATCAAAAACAACACAACGACCATTACCAATAAGATCACCAACTAAATCATCTATGGGTATAAGTGATTTTACATTTGATAATACTCATATAGCTAAAAAATTGAAAAGATTATCATCAACAATGTCATCAACACCTAAAACTCCAAATGTTAAAAGACAATCAACTTTCCATGAACCTTTTGCGAATCCTGAAGATTATCAAGATAAGACAGAATTATCACCAATGTCAAATTTTACAAATAAATCTAAAATTTCATTAATTTCATCCAAGGCAGATACAAATAGTTCATTAGAAATGGATAGATACCCTAGTAATCATGATGAAAAAGATGAAGATTCTAAAATTGATGAATTTTTAGGTAATAGAGATGTTCAAGTCTTAGTCAGTTCCAAAAGAAGATCAAAACTTCGTATAACAAATCCAGATATTGAATCAATGACATCAATAAGTGAAGTTGAAAGTGGTTCAATAATATTTGATGAAAAACATGGATCTATTTATGAAGATAATTCAAATAAAATTGATAATAATGATGATATTTTCCATGATGATCATAATAAAAGTTTTATTGAAGATCAAGAGAATGAAGATTATGTTCGGGAGATTCTTAAAGCTTTTGATGACTAATTGAATGATGATTTAACAACGAGTGTATTATATATATATATGAACAATGAAACAATTAAAGACATTATATAAATTGAGTGTAGCTTGAAGGTGTTTTGTTAAATATTATACCTTGATCTTATGATTCAATGAAATTCGCGGGTATTGAGGGTATAAATGAAAAATGGACGTCATTTGAACCAAATTTAAATTTCACTAAGCGAGTACAAGAAACAATAACAAACCCATCACGATGTCCAATGTTATAATATTTACAGCAATAATTGGATTATTACTTCTAGCAGTATTCATTATCCTAAACAATCAAACCAATACCATAGCTAATGTAACAGGATTAACAAAATCAACTAATAAACAACCAACATATATAATTACAGGATTATCAAATTCTGGTAAAACTTTATTATATAATAAGATAGTTGGTAATGATATTAGTTCATCATTGGGGACAGTTACATCACAAGAACCAAATTTTACTACAGAATTAGCATTACCAAGTACAGCACCAACTTCAACAAAATTTAAATTAATTGAATTTCCTGGTCATCAAAAATTACAAAATTTAACAATTAATGAAATTAAAAATTCCTCTAAAGTTCATGGATTAATTTATTTAATTGATTCAAGTATTGACCCAAAGAAAATCAATGAAAATGCTAAATTTCTGTATGATATCTTATCAATAACTGAAAGAAGACCAGGTGGTATAGATATATTAATTGGATGTAATAAATCTGATTTATTTAGTGCAAGACAACCTCTCAAGATTAGAGAATTATTAGAAAAAGAAATTGATTCATTAAGGAAATTAAATGTATCAAATATTTCAAAAATTGATAATAATGATATGGAAGAAGAATTTAATGATTTAGGTCAATCAATTGAAATGGAATTTAAATTTGAAAAATTAGAAGGAAATTTTGATGTTATTAATGGTAGTGTTTTGAAGAATCAAATTGATAAATGGGAATGTTGGATTGATGAAAGAGCTGTTAATTTTTGAAAGATGAAATGATGTGTATATATAGAATGAAGTGAATAATTACAGAAGTTGTAGTAATCATTATATATTATATTCATGGCCTATGGATTAAGCACCAGGTTTATTATTTGGAACAGAAGGGAAAAAACTAGGATTATTTAATTTTGCATTTAATTCTGCAGTTTCTTGAGCTTGTACTTTATTTTTCAATTTTTTATTAAGTCTAATTTTGTATATGGATTCATTTAATTTATAAATTCTTGGAGGTTTTGATAATATATCATTATGATTTGATAATTCAGTATTTAATTCATTAATTTTGGACTCTGGTGAATCTTTATCTTTATCTTTCTTCTTTTCTGCATCTTCTTTTTTAGAACTAAATTTATTTATAAGATTATCCCATGGTTTATATTTTTGTTGTTCATCCCATTTTAATTTTAATTGTTGAATTTCTTTATCTAATGATTGTTTTTTTATTTTGGCCTTATTATATTCTTCATCATATTGAGGTATAGCAAATTGTTGATCTTTTAAATGTGAATCACAAGTATAAAAGAAATCACTTGAACCATCACTTGTTATAAGTACTGTTGTAGTTGGTTTATAACAGAAATTACAAGGTTTACTCTGTTGTTGGGATACTTTCCTTAGATGGTATAAGTTGTTGAAAGGAGGCATAACCGCTGTGATACTATAATCAATGTAATCAATAGACTCTATAATCAATACAATACAACAATCATTAGATCAACTCCGCGGTTAATCTACTATATATACAATCTTTATGCACATTATATAATCAGTACAAACTGTGCTTAGTCATCTCACGCAATTGTTCACCCGGAAGTCGCGCTTAAAATAAATCATTCAGATATAACCGAAAACAAAGTAATCAAATAATCAAATAATCAACATTGGTATACTAGAGAACGTATATACAATACACAATCAATATACAACTATACGTACCATAATATAATAACACAATAACACTATGATGTAATTGTTGTTGTATTAATTATACTAGTAGCAAATTAAATTACACTGGTACTCAGATAGCGCGATTTTTACTATGTGAAAACCAAAATCGCTAACAAAAAAATGACAAAATCAATTTCGGAAATGAAAATTGAAAATTGAAATTTTTAAGATTTTCGAAAATTTAAAAAAATTCGCGAATCCCCCAGGGTTACCCGCCCGCACAGATATCAATTTGTCAAAAATTTGTCAATTTCCAATTTTTAAAATTTGCCCCCTCAGAAAAAAACTAGAAAATCCAAAAATTCAAAACAATTCAAAACGAATTCAGATATTTAAAACACAACCACAACACACACACACATACTATATTAAAAGGGAATCATTAACTGCTAATAGTATCATCTCTTTCCATAACAAAATCTATATTGCTTTATTAAATTCTTTAAAACTTTTTAACTTTTTGTTTTTGGAATTTTAATTGAATTACCCTTTTTGTTGTTGCCCTGTTGTTCCAAAGTGGTTTTTTATTTTTTTTTTGTTATAGAAGAAGAAAATTGAGAATTCAAAATTGGGAGTTTATTATAATTACACGTTAAACAACTTATTGTAATACTTTCAATTCATAACACTAATAACTTCCATTCATACTTATAGATCTTGGAAGTATATTCAATTCAATTACAACAAACAAACAACCAAATCAATATATCTCACATTAATATGGCTGAAGAACCAGAAGCTGATCTTGATTCCATTGTGGATAGATTATTAGAAGTTAGAGGTTCAAGACCTGGTCAACAAGTACAATTAGAAGAATTTGAAATTAGATACTTGTGTAAAAAAGCTAGAGAAATTTTCATTCAACAACCAATTTTATTAGAATTAGAAGCTCCAATTAAAATTTGTGGTGATATACATGGTCAATATTATGATTTATTAAGATTATTTGAATATGGTGGTTTCCCTCCAGAATCAAATTATTTATTCCTTGGTGATTATGTGGATAGAGGTAAACAATCTTTAGAAACTATATGTTTATTATTAGCTTATAAAATTAAATATCCAGAAAATTTCTTTATTTTAAGAGGTAATCATGAATGTGCTTCAATTAATAGAATTTATGGATTTTATGATGAATGTAAAAGACGTTATAATATTAAACTTTGGAAAACTTTTACTGATTGTTTTAATTGTTTACCAATTGCTGCTATAATTGATGAAAAAATCTTTACAATGCATGGTGGATTATCACCTGATTTAAATTCAATGGAACAAATAAGAAGAGTTATGAGACCAACTGATATACCTGATGTTGGTTTATTATGTGATTTATTATGGTCTGATCCTGATAAAGATATTACTGGTTGGAGTGAAAATGATCGTGGTGTAAGTTTTACATTTGGTCCTGATGTTGTTTCAAGATTTTTACAAAAACATGATATGGATTTAATTTGTAGAGCTCATCAAGTTGTTGAAGATGGTTATGAATTTTTTTCTAAAAGACAATTAGTTACATTATTTTCTGCTCCAAATTATTGTGGTGAATTTGATAATGCAGGTGCAATGATGAGTGTTGATGAAAGTTTATTATGTTCATTTCAAATTTTAAAACCTGCTGAAAAAAAACCAAAATCTTCTGATTATACTTCAATGGGACAAAATAGATCAATGACTCCTCCAAAAAAGAAGAAAAATTCTGGTAAATAAAATTTATAAAAGATTTAAAGAAGATTAAAATATGTTTTATGATGTTAACGATATAATTTTTTACAAATAAACAACAACAATAAATTTTGCTTTTTTTCCCCCTCAAAACCAAAAGAACTCTTTTACTTTTTTTTTGTCATGAATTTTACTTTTTCAACTCATCATCATCATTATAAAACCAATAATCAATTCCATCATCATATCCATCATATCCATCATTTTTTAAAGAAAACATTTCCAACAAAACAAAAAACAACATTTTTATCAATTTTTCATAAAATTCAATTCTAATTGTGTTTTTAATTAATCATCAAGCTTATTATTCATTCTAATTTTTTGGTTTATTTATCTCATTTGTCATTTGTTATCATTCCTTTTGAAGTTTTTGCATTTTTTTAAAAATATAATAAACAACAAATTTCCAAAGAAAACAAAAAAAACCAAAAGAAAGATGATTTTATTTTATTCCAATTAGATTTGCTTTATGTGTTTCAATTTCTTCATTTTATGAATCTTTACCAAAATGTGTTTTTTTTTTCAACTTCCCCCATTTGTTTTCTATCACTCATCCATCATACCAAATTTCCCAAAACATACCAAAAAAACTTGTATATTATTATATTATCAATTATTATATGAAGACCAATCAATAGTTTCAATCAAATTTTTTGTTACACATTTTTTTACCATTTCCCATTTATTACTATTTTCATTTTTGCTATTATTTTTTTTTATTTTCAACAACTTGTTTTATAACAAGATTAGCTACCTCGACAAAAGAACCTGAAAATCTTATATAAAACCTAGACTTTCGAATCTTCTACAAATGAACATATATAGACTAGGCATACTAATCATACTAACCTTTTTAAAACCTTGCAAGTTTTAGTGACATGTGATTCTATGTGTTTTTGAACTTTATTTTCATAATCTGGGGTTTATATTTTTATATGTTTAGTTATGTATGTTTAAGAAATTCGCGAGGATTTATACGAAGATGAAGATTTATTTAGATCTTTAAAAGATCATTTTATATTGAGGTTTTTTAGGTTAAAGGTTTTGTCATTTTTTTTATATTATTATTGTATAGCTTTTGAAATTTTTATATTATATTATATTTGTCTAAAATTATGGATTGTAGAGTTGACTATATAGTTGATTTAATTTTCGTACATGATAATGGTAAATTACTTAGGATTTATATAATGAGCATCTTCTTAAGGGTTATAATGATCATAATAATGATCTTGAACTAATCAGTTATCATAATAATTGGATGCACATGTTATTTATGATATATGATCATTGAGATAATTTCTATTATCATAAAATGTTCATATTTGAATTATCATATTCATTTTGAGGAATAAAGATTTCATTAATTCAATGTTTTCAAATGGGATGAATAATCTATGAGAATTGTTTGTTCCATATTTTGAGATTGTTACTCTATTGTTAGTGATGTAAAGTTTCATATTGGGAATATGTTTGATCTTTAAAGTTCTGCATTTTGGATGATTTTGAGCCATCTAATTTAATTAAACATTTCATATTGGATTATTGATCTAGGTTTTGTGAATCTCCTTAATGAATTGTTGATCAATGAATACTTTTGAAGCCTCATAACTCCATGTTCATTCCAGACTCAACATATCAAATTGTTGATTGAATAATTTCACTTTATAAAATTGTGCTTTATTCTTCATGAATCATTTAAAAGTTTGACACATATTGATAACTTTTGTATATATAGAGCTGAACAATCCAGACACCAACCGCCTATTAGTGTTTTTGTGACTGCTTTCCAGTTTTGAACTTCTAAATTTTCGCAAATTTCTTAACGTTCAAAAAGAAAACTTTGCAAAATTCGCGATTTTTACTGTGATTTTTTTGTCAAACCAAACATAATTTTCGCAATTTTTCAATACAAATGAAATTTTTGCACTTACCACATTCGGTAATTGGGGTAGAAAAAACCGTACACCATCTCTTTTTTCTTCTGTTCGCGCAATTTTTTTACACTGTGTTGATGGCGAAAAGTGAAAAAAAAAAGTGATACTGGTAGATTTGAAAATTTGAGTCTTGTTTTTGGCAAGTTTGTGAATACTTTTTTGAAAGGGTTATCAGAATAAGTCAACATGGTACGTCTTAAATGAAGGATAAACTATTGAAGTTAAGATTGAAGAGTTATATGAATGAAAGAGTCTCAGTGTGATATCATTATATGTGTGAAGTTTTGAATATTTTGAATGTTGTAAAGGGGGATTAATGTTACATTTAAATTGGAAAATTATAATTAAGTAAAAAAAGAAGAAGATACAAAGTGGCAAATATCATAGCAAACAAAGAGATCATTGTTGGGATCGTAGTATGTAGTAAACCCAATGAGAGTTTTAATCAATACAGTTAAATGAATCAAGAAACACAATGTCGTTTATCAAAAGTTAAAAGATCAGTATATGAAAAGTTTTCAATATAATATTTTAAGAAATCAACAAGTTCAAGAACAAGTATCATAATATCACTAGGGTCATATATTATCTTTGAAAGTTAGAGATAGGGTCATGTTCGTTATTTTTGCAAAAATCACATTATGTTGAATCGCCACTTTCCACTTTATTTCATTTCATTATAACTTTAAATCACAACTTCAAATAGAGCTATTACATTCCATTAGAAACATTATACTAACAAATTTACAGGTTTTAGTTCAAGATTTATTACATCCATCTGCTGCTTCAGAAGCCAGAAAACATAAATTAAAACAATTGGTTCAATCACCAAGATCATACTTCATGGATGTTAAATGTCCAGGTTGTTTAAACATCACCACTGTTTTCTCACATGCTCAAACCGCTGTTACCTGTGATTCATGTACTACTGTCTTATCTCAACCAACTGGTGGTAAAGCTAGATTGACTGAAGGTTCTTCATTCAGAAGAAAATAAACTGATCAACAATCAAAATAAAATAAAAAAAAATATATTTCCAAACAAAAAAAAACACAATTTAAGTTAATTCTTTTATTCAATTGGTTATTTTCTTATAGGTTGCTAATTGATGGTTAATGGTTGAAAGTTTTATTGAGGGTATATGTATATATAAAAATCATGGTATTTCTCAATTAGAATGCATTAATGTTAAAATGTTTTCAGACATGTAGATGTAACTTTTTGTAAAGAATTCAATGATAGTATCAAATCTAAGATATTTCTACTTTTATATACTAAAAATCTCATATCTTTGTCTTGATGAGATGAGTATTATATTTTATTTGTATGTGTTTACGTAATTTCTGACAAAGCCACCGCCTAAAAAGTTGCTCGACGCGAAAAAAAATAACAAAAAGGACACAAATCAGATCAATAAATCAACAACAACAAGGAAAAGTTCAAGTTGACAAAAGATTTTGGAAATCAATTAATAACCCCAATTGTATCTTAAATTGAGAATTGTTGATACTATATTTTTTGGTCTCTTGGAAATATAAATACAAAACACATACAAAGAAGATCAAGAATCATGCGTCAATCAATACTATTCACATTATTTACTTTATTATCAATTGTGACGGCTCATAATGTTTTATTACCATCAAATGGTAAAAGATGTTTCTTTGAAGAATTGAAAAAAAATGATGAATTAGCTTTAAGTTTCCAATATGGTAATAGAGATTCAAGAGCTACTGATCAATTAACTGGTGATTTTTGGATTACTTCTCCTTCAGGTCGTATTTTAAAACAAGAAGTTGGTGTATCTCATGGTGATGTTCAAATTAAAGCTTCTGATAGTGGTAAATATGGTTATTGTTTCTCTAATGAATACTCATCAATTGATACTAAAGATGTTAGTTTTAATATTCATGGTGTTGTTTACATAGATGTTAATGATCCAGAATCAAATTCTTTAGATGCTGCAGTTAGAAGATTAAGTGTTTTAGCATCTGAAGTTAAAAATGAACAAGGTTATATTGTTGTTCGTGAAAGAACTCATAGAAATACTGCAGAATCAACTAATGATAGAGTTAAATATTGGTCAATTTTCCAATTAATTGTTGTTGCTGCAAATGCAGTTTTCCAAATTTATTATTTAAAAAGATTTTTTGAAGTTAAAAGTGTTGTTTAAACTTGAAACTTTAAAGAGTTATGTAAATTATAGTTGAAATTTAGCAAAGTCTAAAGAAACAAAAAACAAATGAATAAAAAATTTAAAAAAAAACTATTAAACAATTAGCATTGTATACTTATTACAGGAGGTTTAAAATGGATTTAATAAAGATGTAGCTGGTATTAATTTGCGTATAAAAGTAAGCAAGAAGAAAGCTTATGGTATTCCAGGTATATATATGATAAATAAGTAACAATTATCTCTTTTATTGGCCTATAAAATGTTGATGTTTATGAAAAATCGGTATATTTCCGCCATTTTTATATGTGTCAATAATAAAACTTCGCGAATCGATCTTGTTTTCAATATTTTGGATAAAGCAATTTTGCCATATAAATTTTTGTAATCTATAGATTAGAGAATAAGCATATATCTAAGTGGGGAGTTTCTTGATAGTTGTTTCATTCAAAAGGATATTATCTACTGGTTAGATCATATTATTTTGGGTTATTCATTTGGTTTTATTCAGGGAAAAAAAAGTTTTCAGAAGATCATAGATTGATTTTAGAAACCATAATGAAGTTCTACATTGATGATTTACCGGTTCTTTTCCCATATCCAAGGATTTATCCTGAACAATATGCTTATATGTCAGATATAAAAAAGACTTTAGATGTTGGTGGGAATAGTATATTAGAAATGCCTTCAGGAACAGGTAAAACTGTTTCATTATTATCATTAACAATAGCTTATCAAATGCATTATCCAGAACATAGAAAGATTGTTTATTGTTCACGTACAATGTCAGAAATTGAAAAAGCTTTGATTGAATTGCATAATCTTATGACTTATAGAGCAAAAGAATTGGGTTATGTTGAAGATTTTAGAGGTTTAGGTTTAACTTCAAGAAAAAATCTATGTTTACATCCAACTGTTAGTAAAGAGAAAAAAGGTTCAATTGTTGATGAAAAATGTCGAAGAATGACTTCAGGTTTAGCTAAAAGAAAAATTGAATCTGGTGAAACTGAAAATGTTGATTTATGTGAATTTCATGAAAATTTATATGAATTAGAACCTGATAATTTAGTACCACCAGGTGTTTATTCATTTGATTCATTAACAAATTATTGTAAAGATCAAAAAACTTGTCCATATTTCACAGTTCGTCGTATGATTCCATTTTGTAATATAATTATTTATTCATATCATTATTTATTAGATCCAAAAATTTCTGAAAGAGTTTCAAAAGAATTATCAAAAGATTCAATAATTATTTTTGATGAAGCACATAATATTGATAATGTTTGTATAGAATCTTTATCATTGGATTTAAATAATGATGTTTTGAAAAAAGCTTCAAAAGGTGCAAATAGTTTATCTAAAAGAATTGAAGAAGTTAAAAAAACTGATTCTAAAAAATTACAAGATGAATATGAAAAATTAGTATCTGGTTTAAGTGCTGCTGATATTATAAATAATGAACAACAAATGATGGAAACTCCAGTATTATCAGAAGATTTATTAAAAGAAGCTATACCTGGTAATATAAGAAGAGCTGAACATTTTGTTTCATTCCTAAAAAGATTTATAGAATATTTGAAAACAAGAATGAAAGTTTTACATGTTATTTCAGAAACTCCAACTTCTTTCTTACAACATGTTAAACAGCTGACATTTATTGAAAGAAAACCACTTAGATTTTGTTCAGAAAGATTATCTTTATTGGTACGAACGCTAGAAATTACAGATGTTGAAGATTATAATGCATTGAAAGATGTTGCAACTTTTGCTACTTTAGTTTCCACGTATGAACAAGGTTTTGCTTTGATTTTGGAACCTTATGAAACTGAAAATGCAACAGTTCCAAATCCAATATTAAGATTCACATGTCTAGATGCTTCAATTGCTATAAAACCAATTTTTGAAAGATTTTCTTCAGTTATTATTACATCAGGTACTATCTCTCCATTAGATATGTATCCAAGAATGTTAAATTTCGAGACAGTTATTCAAGAATCTTATTCAATGACTTTAGCTAAAAGATCTTTCTTACCATTAGTTGTTACAAAAGGTTCGGATCAAGTTGCTATATCTTCAAGATTTGAAATCAGAAATGATCCAAGCATTGTTAGAAATTATGGTTCTTTATTAATTGAATTCTCTAAAATTACTCCAGATGGTATGGTTGTTTTCTTTCCATCATATCTTTATATGGAATCTATTATTTCAATGTGGCAAACAATGGGTATTTTGGATGAAGTTTGGAAATACAAATTAATTCTTGTTGAAACACCAGATGCTCAAGAAACTGCATTGGCTCTAGAAACATATAGAACAGCATGTTCAAATGGTAGAGGTGCTATTTTACTATCCGTTGCTCGTGGTAAAGTCTCAGAAGGTATTGATTTTGATCATCATTATGGTCGTACTGTTTTAATGATTGGTATTCCTTTCCAATATACTGAATCAAGAATTTTAAAAGCAAGATTAGAATTTTTAAGAGATCATTATCAAATTAGAGAAAATGATTTCTTATCTTTCGATGCTATGAGACATGCTGCTCAATGTTTAGGTAGAGTTTTAAGAGGTAAAGATGATTATGGTGTTATGATTCTAGCTGATCGTCGTTTTGGTAGAAAGAGAAATCAATTACCTAAATGGATCCAACAAGCTTTATTGGATGCTGATACTAATTTATCAACTGATATGGCTGTTGCAAATGCAAAACAATTTTTAAGAACAATGGCTCAACCTACAAATCCTAAAGATCAAGAAGGTGTTTCTGTTTGGGATTTGGAACAATTACAAAATTTCCAAAAACAACAAGTTACTGATTTAGGTGAAGATGATGAGATGGAAATTGATGATGGTGATCAACCTGCTCTTACACGTGAAGAAGAGGAGGAATTAGCAAATCTATAGAAGGATAAGTAGTGTTTTAATTTAGGTTGTATATAGGACGGAGTTACATATATTCTTCAATAATTATTAATTTTAATTTATTTTATTATACTATAATACACTTGTAAATTACGTTATATTTATATCATTCATTCGTCTTCCTCTTCCTCCTCGCTATCTTCTTCACCTTGTTCAACGTCAACTTCGAAAGAAACTTCTTTATCAGCATCAACATAAGAATCACACATACACCATATTGATAAGTTATGATGACCAGCTTTAGGAATGGTGAAATCTAAATTAACTTGTTGTTCTTCTTTGGAAATTGACAACTTTTTAATAGCATAAAGTTGTCTTGTTTGTGAATCACCTAAAACAACCCACCAACTTTCGCTTTTTTCAAATGGATAAAATGGAGCAGAAACTGTCAAATCTTCAGGTTCTTCATCTCTAGTAACATTAACTTGGATTCTTTTTGAAGCATTTGAATAAATTGGTTCATTTTTATTCAATGCGTATGTAATTTCAATATTTGGATACTTGTTAACAAATTCTGCAACCTTGTTTAATGGACGATCACTCAATCTTAGAATATCATCTCTTTCTTCATCCTCGATTGACATGATATCGAAAACACTTTCAACTTTGTATTTTTGGGCTCTTTCAATTATATCATTATCAACATATGGAATCTGTTTCAATGGACTATCTGTATCCCATACTGCTTGAACAACCATTTGACTCAAATCCATAGCATACATTGCATTCAAATATCCTTCACTTGATAAAATATCAACAGCAGTGTAAAGCAAAGTTAAAACCTTCTCCAAAACAAACTTTTGATCTGAAGCTAAATCAGGTGGTAAACTTAATCTTGAAAAATGAGCTTGTAAAAGAACAAAAGCTTTTAGGTATGGTGATTCAAAGTTTGATTCTGATGATGATTTGATTGGAACTCTGTTGTAAATCTTGTTCAAAATAGCTGATTCATGTTGACGAATTGGCAATGCATCAAACTCTGATGCAGATGTTATGATTTCTAAAATTGATTTCAATTTTGATTTTCTGGTTAAAGATAAAATAAATGTTTGCATAGTGATAAATGAAACATTGTAATAAGAAGCAACCAAAGCACCATCTAATGGTGAAATCTCTTCTGATTCATCTTCTTCCTCCTCTTCTTCGTCGTCATTATCTTCAAGCTCGATTAATTTAGCACCAGCAAGTTCATTTAAACTTGATTCAACCAATTCTGTTAAATAAGATGATAATCCAACATGAGAAATATCCTTGACACCATAGAAACTTGGATTTGCTTGTAGTCTTCTGTAGAAATACGAAAATGTTAGCCAATCTATGCAGTCTTGTCTTGATTTGATCAGACCTGTACTTATTTCATTCAAGAACTGATCATGAATAAAAACATTTAAGAAACTTTCAACTGGTAAGGATTCATTTAAAAACTTCTTATAATAATCTCTTTTTGTACTATTAGTTAAAATCAAAACTTTATCAGTTTGGTTTGGAGCTCCTTGTGAACAACCAATCATTTCTAATACTTCATTAATTGGATAGTCAATATAACGATGTTCTTTACCTTCATAAAATTGAGTACTCAAAACAATAACCAAGTCACCTGATGGAGCAAAAGAAGCTGTATCCCTTGTGGCAAATAATACTGATAATACATCATTCTGGAAAAGATACTCAACGACTTTTCTATCGGTTTTATTCATGTTCTTGTAAAAGAAACCAATACCATTAGATAACAATGTTGCTAAAGTTTCATCTGTGACTTTTGATATCAATTTTTCAGCATTTTCAAGTTCTGCTTGCAAGAAAGATATACCATCAACATCAGCTAATCTTAAAAACTCGAGACCAATCTCAACACATTGTTTTCTTGAAGGAACAAATACAACAGAAGCCGCACCTTTGAAGCTTTTGATTGCAAGATATGTAGGTTTTATCATAGCCAATATTAATGATGGGTTATGATTGATATTATAAGATTGTAAATGGATTTCCAAAGGTCTAATACGTTCTTTTGAGGAAAAATTGAAAATTTTGCTTTTATCAGCACCGATCCATTCACCAAAATCACGACCATTGGCTAGAGATGTACTTAATGCGACAATTCTCAACTCTGACTCAAGTTGACTTGACATAAATCTAACCCTTGAAATAATATTTTCATAAATTGAACCTTCTGCACCATTACCAACATTTTGTGAATCATCTGCAATGAAGAGTTCAATGGATTGAATATTTCTTCTTTGTTTCCAACGACGTGAGACAACGTCAAACTGTTGAGGAGTAGCGATAATAACATGACTTTCTGCTAAGGTCTTCAAATTTGCAGAAAGATCATTTGACAATTTATTGATAACTTTACCATCGCCAATATCACCAAATCTTTCTTTCCAATCCTGTACCAATAAATCAATCTTCTCTTGAGAAGGACAAATGTATACTGCACGGCCTTTGTTTTGTCTCCAATGGTGTAACAAGGCAAGTTCTGCTAAAACTGTCTTTCCTGATCCTTTAACAGCGCCTACAAAAGCATTTTCATTTGACTGGTACAACGCACTGAAAACTTGAGACTGGAACTTGTTGAAATGAGTAAAATCAAAAGCTTCAATGAAATCTGGAATCTTTAAATCTGTCACTGGGATTGGATGTAAATCAAGCAATGGTGTTGGTGCTGGAAATTTCTTTGGTAATTTCAATGAGTTCAAAACAACTGGGATTCTATATTCACAGTGTAACCATTTTTCTGAAATCAGAGTAACAAAGTAATTCGGTGGTATTGGAACATCAATTGGGACAGTGAAATCAACTAAATGCTCTTGGTTGATGTACTTTCTGCGAACTAAAAATGAGTCAAAATGAAGTATCTTTTCACCATTTGTGTCTTCAACTAATAAGATAAAGGACTCGGAATTATTGTGGTATTGTGGATCCCATGACCATTCTGGTAAAACATCTAATTCAAATCTCAACAAACTTGGTGTCAATGTTTGTACAGAACATCTCATCGTAACTTTAGGGAACTTTTTGATCAAATCAAAAGCTTTTTTGGCAGATGTATCGTCACGAATGGCTTGTGCAACTTCACTTGGATCACTTAAATTAAAGTATTCAGACCAAGGCAAATTTGAACTTTCTGTATTTTTGATGACTTTTGGAGGACAATCAGGGAACTGTCTAAATGGAGAGTTTGATAACCAAATTCGTTGTTCAACCATCTTACATAAATCCAATAAATATTTTGCAAGACCAGCCCATCCCTTCTTCAGTACAATTTCATAAATAGCTCTTAATAACCTACCAGCTGATTGAGTGATATAGATCATATCAGCGTTCAGCGCAAACCCATCTAATGATAATCTTGAGATGTATGATTGCAATAATACGTTAGCTTTTGCCCTAGGATCATTAACATCTTCTTTAATTGGTATTGGTGCACGCTCAATCAGCTTGTTAATTTCAGCCTTTTCTTCTTGTCTAACTGGAATGAGTTTGAATTCTGATGATGATGAAAAAATTCTGAATACATCAATGACAGAAGAATATGATCTTAGTTGTCTATTATAATATGACATAGATTCATAACTGATATAATAATGTGATGAGATTCTACCCAATTCAGTAGACTGTATGGATCCATCTGCTGTGTTATAGATTACCAAATTATTTTGGTGCAAAATTGTTAAAGCAGAATGTACTAAGTCTGCTCTTTTCCATTCCAAGTAATGGTCATCTTTATACTCTGGTCCAACTCTATAGATATCAGGAGACTTGAGCATTCTCACGTAAAGATAAGTATACCCCAACCAATCAATACCTTCTTGTAAAGTCTTCACAGTACCTAGTGTTATTTCAGCATTCAAATTATCAGCTAATTTACCCATTAATTGAGACTCTATAGGTAACTGTTGATTTAAAACAGCTAAATAATATTGGATTTCAGATTGTGACGTTATGATAATACCTTCACCGCTTGCATCATATCTAGGTCTACCAGCTCTCCCTAACATTTGTAAAATATCTTGGGGAGAAAGTTGAGTCCAGTCACCTTTATCCGGTGCGTAAACTTCTGTACCTTTTATAATAACAGTATGTGCAGGTAAATTCACACCCCAAGCCAAAGTGGCAGTTGAGACTAAAATTTGAGCATAACCTTCAGCAAATAGATCTTCTGCTGCTGAACGATCATCCCTAGCCAAACCAGCATGGTGAATTGCAAACCCAGTTGGTAACAATTCTGCAAGGCCTGTGTCTTTCACCTTTTCAGATTCTTGTCTCAAAATTTCTATACTTGCAGAATCTGACTTCATAAATAAATTTAATTTATCTTCTTCCAGCAACTTGTCTCTCAACCATTTTGCAGTTCTAAATGTATCTTTTCTTGAATGAACAAAAATAATAACCTGATGCTTACCAGCAGCTTCCAAAATCTTATCATAACATGCTTCATTCATTGAAATGGTTTTCTTGAAAGAGTTCTTTTCTGTGATACCAATAAACTGTTGGGCCAATGGGCATGGTCTATATGAAGCATCAAAGTAGAATAAGCCTTCATCTTCATCAACTCTCAAAAATCTTGAAACATCCTCATAATTTGGTAAAGTAGCAGATAAACCAACTAATCTAACATCTCTTCCAGAGTATTCTACATTTCTTAAAGTTCTTGCAGTAATACTTTCTAAAACTGGACCTCTCTCATCATGCAATAAATGGATTTCATCAATAATCAGTAAAGATACTAAATTTGTATAGCTTGTATCTGAATTCTTTCTTGTAATAACATCCCATTTTTCTGGAGTTGTAACCAACATTTGAGTTTCAGAAATTTGTTGTTTTGTTAAGTTAGAGTCACCAGTTAATTCTTCAACTTTAATTCCAAATACTTCTAATCTTCTAGAAAATTCACGTACCTGTTCCTGTACCAAAGCTTTTAAAGGGGCAATATAAATAATTTTGAAATTATTCAAATCAAATGTACCATCTTCTCTTCTGTAATTACTCAAAGTACGTAAAATTGTAAGCATTGCAACATTGGTTTTACCTGCACCTGTAGGTGCACAAAGTAAAATGTTTGAATCCTTGTTGAATGCAGTTGGATAAACTTTGGATTGAATTCTGTTTAAAGTTGAAGTTTCTGCACTTGGGAACGCTTCTCTTGCCCATTCAGGTAATGTCGAAATTGGTACCAATTCAGCTTCATCAGATGGTTTTGGTGGAGCTGGTATATGAATCTCTTCATAGTTCTTCTTGGTTCTTTTGAAAGAGTCTTTAGGTAAATTGACTTTAGTGGTTGTCATTAAATGTGAACCTTGGTCGAATGCTAAGTCATCCAAATTAACAATTTTTGGTTTCCTTGTTATTGAAACATCTGCAGTGTTGACTGAATCAGTTTTTCTTCTTTTGGAAATTGGTAGACTTTCATCAGAATCATCTAAGTCTTCTAAAAGATGTTTTGATTCACTTGATTCAAGGGCTGTCAAGATGGATTGACGTTCTTCGGGGTTGGCTTTAGCAAGCTTTATTCCCCATAATATAGCCTCTCTGTTCGTTATTAGCAATTGCACAAGCTCAACTTTTTCTGAATCAACTATCTGTAAAAGGCGTTGTTCAAATTCTTTTCCAGCTAATGATGATTCAATGAGTTCAAGTAATCCTGATGATAATGATTGTACAGCAGAAGCATCCAGATCAGTATGATGGCTAGAAACCAGTCTTTGAAGGTAAAATGCATCAATATCTTTAATTGATAGAGCTTTATGTGCTTCTGTGCCTTTCTGGTTGAATCGTATCACCTCTTCACCTTCTTGGCTTTGATCTTTTTCCTCTTCATCGTTATCTTGTACGAAATCGTCTAGTGCAGGACCTGCGAAATCATCGTCACTTTCGTCTTCACTATCTTGTTCTCCTCCTTCTTCCTCTTCGTCAAAATCCACAGCAACACCTGCTTCTTCTCCTTGAGCTTGAGCTTCTTCTTCATAATCAGTGATTCCGTTTGAGATCTTGATGGCATTAGAAAATGGAAGATCTTCAATTTTGAAGTCCAATATTTCTTCAATAAGCTTCTTCTTCTGTAGCTCTGTAAATGATTCATCTTTAAGGGCCTCTAGAACTAAATCTGTTGCACTTATAGCAGTACTATGTTGAATATCGTTACCAAATTGATCGGAAACCCAAGATACTAAACTTTCATACGCTTCGTTTGTTTCTTGTGATTTGGGGTAGTACTTTAATCTTTCAACATTACCAGAATCCAGCAAGGATGAATTATTCAAACGAGTTGTCTTTAAATTTGCTTGACGTTTCTTTACCTCTTTGTTCTTCACTTGGTCAGTTATTGTTTTAGCTATATCATTCTCTTCCTTAGCTTCAGGTTCAACAGATCTAGTCCCTAAATCTTTCAAAGAGACTTTACCAGCAAGAGAAGTTGGAGCTGAAAGAGCAGCATCTTTCAGTGGATCAGCTCTATTGGATAAAAGTTTCCTGTCCTGCCTTAGGACTTTATTTGACATCTCTTCATATTTGTATTTGCTATTGTCAGACATCTTGTAAGGCTGTTTTCTCAAATTGAAATCAAAACCCGTGAGTAATATCACAATTAAATACAAAGAGTAGTTGTATCAATCCTTCCGTGTAAATATAGCCAACAATATCTATGAACAACACGCAATATGAACTTTCGCCTTTAAATTGTTCTTCTGCTTTGTTTATTATGCATTTTTTTTTACCAGTGAAAATTCGCGATTATCTTCTGTCATTTTTCTGTGTGTCGATTATGTTTATGTCGCGATTTTGTTTACTATGGATAATTTTTTTGGTGATGATGCTAACGTTTTAGTGAAGATATTGTTCAAAATCTGATAGTCATTTGGTACACAAGCTGGTATTTGATTAATAATTTGGTGCTCTAGTCCAATTGTTTATGATACGTTTTCTGAATTGTATGAAAAGAGCAGCACCAATATCCCAGTTCATTACCGTAAAATATAGACGAACAATGGCATCTATACCAAAATTTGATCTCGTAAATCCAAAAATTCAATTGAATGAAACAGAGACTAAGATTTCAGAGCTGTTGAAGGATTTTACATCAAAATATAATTCCAAAACTGGAGGTGAAGATTTGGAGCTTAGAATCACTGGTGGATGGGTCAGAGATAAATTATTAGGTGATGAAAGTAATGATTTAGATATTGCCATCAACAAATTATCTGGTGAAGAATTTGCTGAGGCCCTGAAACAATTCTTAGTTGATAACTTTGATACTTATCAATTATCACCAACAAACATTCACAAGATTGAAAAAAATCCAGAAAAATCAAAACATTTAGAAACTGCCACTACAAAATTATATGGGTTGGACGTTGATTTCGTCAACTTAAGAAGTGAGGAATACACAGAAGAAAGTCGAATTCCAATTATCAAATATGGTACCCCACAAGAAGATGCTTTGAGAAGAGATGCGACATTGAATGCTCTCTTTTATAACATACAAAAAGATGAAGTTGAAGATTTAACCACAAAAGGTTTGCAGGATTTGGAAAAGGGTTTATTGAGAACTCCATTAGAACCTTTAAAAACATTCTTAGATGATCCTTTAAGAGTCTTGAGACTTATCAGATTTGCAAGTCGATTCCATTTCACTATTGAAAAGGACACATATGAATCTATGAAACAATTGTCGATAAAAGAAGCATTGATCCATAAAATTAGTCGTGAGAGAATTGGTGTTGAAGTTGAAAAAACATTAAGCAGTAAAGATCCTATTTATGGTCTTGAACTATTAACTGATGCCCAATTATTAGATACAATTTTCAATTTTGGTCCGTTACAAGATAAAGTGTTGGAGTTCAATGATGAAAATTTAGTAAATGAAAAATTTGCTGCTATTCAAGAATCAGCATCACATTCATTAAATACAATCAAAGAATTCAACCAAGAGTCCAAAATATCATCTGTTTTGGAGAATATTTCTAGTGATAAAGATCTTCAAAAACTGTTTTGGTTATCAGTTGTCTTACGAAAATGGGGTGACGAAAAAGTTTTTTATAACGCTAAAAAACAAGCTTTTGCATCTGAGTTAATCGTCAAAGAGGGTGTCAAATTATCCAAAGCAGATGCTGATATTGTAACAAAACTTGTTAGCACCACAAATGAATATCAAGATATTGTTTCTAAATTACCAGCATTCAAAAGATCAGAAGTTGGGTTATTATTAAAACAATTTGGTCCATATTTAAACTTATCTATTGCTTTCAACTTTTTCAATTCAGTTATTGAAAATGGTGATATCAAATCTACAATCGCTCAATACGAATTATTCCATGAATTGATCCATAAAGAAAATCTACAAGATTCATATTCAATCAAACCAATTGTTGATGGTAAGACTTTAACCAAAAAATTAAATAAAAAACCAGGTCCATGGATGGGTAAAGTAAACGAACAAATCCTTGTTTGGCAATTAGATAACCCAACAAAGACACAAGATGATTGTGTAGAATATGTGAGATCAATTCTCGAATCCCAATAATTAACTTATATTAATGTGCTACATGACTATTAATAAAATGCCTTTTTTTTTATTTATTTGATGATTTTATAACCTGTAATTAACTATCTATCTAAAATAATTGTTAATGAAATTTTGGTGATACTTTGATCACCCTATGCAAAAAAATCCGTGAAACTTAACCAATTAACAAATGTAAACTATGTATAACTAAAAAAAAAATGATATTTAACCTGTTCCATGATCAAGAAATATATGTGATCAATAGAATGAATAAAATGACGTTAATGAAGTGATAAAAAACTTGAAAATTTAAAAACTTAAAAATGCTGGTCTTCATAATTTATAAATGCATTAAAGTCAAAGAAAGATTGACCGTTATCTTCATATCCAGTGAGTGTATCAGCACCAAGTGTATGATCATTACTAGTCATGGTTTTAAATGTTTCATCAAAATGACTAGTATTTCCTTGGTGATGTTGCTCAATCTCATTATCTGGATGCGTATGATCAAGTCCTGCATTACCAAATTCAAATGGGTACATAACATCTGTATTTGTAGTATATGGACTTTCTGGATCATTATCGGAAGAATTAACTTCTAATGGTGGACCTAATTGAGTAACACTTTCTGTAAGAGAAGCGGTCTTTCTATGACTTTTATTGTTTCCTAATGATGGTTGAAGATCATCAAAGAATGAAAAATTGAAATCATTTGGTTGATCATGAGGTGAAGGTAATGGTTGTTGTTGAGTGAAGTGTGGTTGTGGTGGTTGTTGTAACAATGCAGATTGACGAAGCATCATACTTGATCTTGATGGTGAAATTCTTGATTTGTATGATGAGTTCATTGAAGAAATTGATTGGTTTCTAGTCAGCATACGAGGAACAACTGGAGATGATGATGAAACAATTGAATTGTTTGATGATGCTGTATTTGCTCTTTTTCTGAATGATGCTTGTCTTTTGATAACTCTTGAAAATGCTTTTGTAGCATCTGCTTCTGCTTCACCGAATTCGTAATCTGGTTCATCAAAATGATCTTCTTCATCTTCATGATGAGATCCACCATAATCTGAAAATGTATCCAAATGTTGGGCATGTAATGGAGAAATAGTTCTTCTTGGAGGTGATGGTATTGGTGATTGTCTAGCAGAATTTGCTCTTGATAAGCTGTACATGTCCGAAACCGAGGAAGATGTAGATAATGTTCTTGAAATGGTTGGTTTTGATGGAGCTTGAGATGGTTGTAAAACAGCACGACCATTCTCTGAAACAGTCATGACCAAAGAAGCCGAAGAGGTTGATCTTTCAAGGTATCTAGCAGCATTGGCTGTTGTATATGATCTTTTCAATTGTGGTGGTTGAATTGGTGGTGGTGCATATGAGCTTGGGGCCAGACGTGGGATCGGCTGAACAACTTTTTGTCTTTGATGGTTGATTGGTTGTGGTTGAGCTGGTAAGTCTGGTAATTCTGGTGAAGACATTAAAGTAGGTCTTGAGTTTGATCCGGTTGAAGATGTAATTGGTGATGGAATTCTAGGTAAAGCAGTCTCGCTTGCAGTGTTTAGACGAAATAATCTTGATACCCTTCCCTGTTTCTTTTGTGTGGTTGAATCTGTTGATTCTTTTGGAGTTGAAGATCCCTTTTTAGTTGGTGATAAATCAACGAATACAAACTCTTGTTGACCATTCTTGTTTTTTGGCCTTCTTGAGGAAGTCTTCTTTGTATTGAACTCCAGGTTTTCATAATCTTTTTGTTGGGTCTTTATTTCATCTTCAGATCTATGATACTTTTTCAATCTCCAGACTTTTTTGGTTGATGGCTGTTGTTGTTCATGCTCTTGTTCATGCGATTGTTTGGAGCTAGACACTATGATAGGTGATTCTTGTAACCCATTGTTGGTATTATAGTTCAATCTATGATACATTGTTAGTACAAATGGCACTTTTACTTTCAATATCAAGCCATAATAAACTCACCCAGGAACTTTCATGATTTTAAATGTTATTTTGATACGAATTACTGATAATGTTGAACATGCAATGCTAGACAAAGATGAAACTGCTCACAACTCACAGCTACTGATGGGGTAATATATGATGGATGGAATGGTAAATGAAACGAGAATGATGGTGTAAATGGTAATTTGAGGCCTTGTGATCTTGGTTCTGACTGGAATGTTAGTAAATTAGTTCACAGTTTAAAGGACGATGTGTTTTGGTTTTGCTGATCTGGCTTGTAGGCGTAAATTGTAATCGTATAAACTTGTTGTTCGTCACCGTTGAAGCTTTGAAGGTAAATTGGCTAGAGAATAGTATGGAAAAGGTCAATCTAAATCCTGCAATCTATTAATGGATTGAATGTTGATCACTGTAATAGAAGAAATCAAGGTCCTTTGTTCACTTGAATATAGTCCCACAAAAGAATGAAATAATACCCAGAACTCAGTTCTTCTTGATATGTTTGCTTCTAGAAGTTGAACAGGTGGGAAATGATCTCAATATATGAATTCTCTCCTGAATGTTATCTTCGACGCTTATGAGGCACCTTATCCAAAATTAAATACGCTTTTGAATTTAAAACAGTTGAAGTGCTGTTGAAATTCTCCTATGTTGATCATTTGCGCATTTGGGAAAAAAGACATATTCAGACGGGACACGAGCTGAAAAAAGAAGGGCCTAATCTGCAAAACCAAAATACTATGATATAGAACTTACCTATGGGATAATCTTAGCTGGGTTGTAACAAATAGATATTTAGCTGATCAATTGATAAAGAATTGGTTCTTTTCACTTTCAAAATTGGTGGAAATCTGGTGCTTTTTATTTGATCCCTGTTTGAGTATTAATGGACGAATCCGAAAAGTGTAACCACAATGAAAATGTCTCGATTCTTAAAAATAAATCAAATCTCTGGATAAGGGAACAGAAGGAATAGTCGATAGACTGTTATCAACGGTGAATTGAATCTTTGAATACAAGATCTAAGTACAACTCCAATTGAGGATAATCGTCAACTTATATACCAAATTGAAAAATTTTCAACTGTTCTACGTACTATACATACTACCTTATGGTTTCCATATCAATAAGGATCGTACTATTACAAAAGGCATAAAAGTATTCTGTACTATCATCACCAAGGAAATATTTGGCTCAATACTTTTGAACCTTTGGCGTACACACAGAAATTTTTCAGAAGTGAGGAAAGTGAGCGTTGTTGATGGGGTAAAATCTTAGTGCTTTGCATCATGTGTCCTTAATTAAAGCTGAAGTTTGAACATAGTGCCATAGACAGTAAAAGAAACTCCTAGAATTACTACGCTTTTGCAGAGAAGAGTTTCCTTTCCTCGGGAAATCTGATCAGTTAACTATATACAAGTTAACCAATATCATCATGCTAACTTTCATTTTAAAAGAATCTTTTTAGATCTTGTAATGAATACTCATCTTTTAATTATAGAGCGTCTTTTTCTTTTCAACATCACTTTAACACTCCATACGTTAATTTGTCTTTGTCCTTAAATTTTTTGAACCTGTTATATGATTTTTGTCCGAAATGTACAAATGTGCATCAAAAACACTAAAACCGGCCGCTCACTTCTAAAGAAAAGCGATGTAACAGTTGAGAAATAGAGATGCTAGGGCCTTTAACGCCAGTCAAGTTATGAAATAATCAAGATGATCAGCTACTAAGATAGCAACCTTCAGATTTATAACGCTATTTCTTATTATTTAAAACATGAAATCTAGGCACCGATTATTGTTAAAAGAAAATTTTGATAGGTCATAATACGACTTTTGAACAATCATCAACGGACCTAATTTTGGTATGAAAGTTCAGATTGCCCTATAAGACTCAAGTTAAGTATATAGCTCACATGGTATGCTGGTCAAATCTACAAAATTCAAATCCCATATTCTTTCGAATCCCACATTCTACATATCTCTTACTAATTGGTTCAACGGTTTTAAATGAGACGGGTACCCCGTGGTACTACTTAACAATTCCTCCATATATCATGAAAATTCCAAAGTTCGTAAGTATTTGCTGATCTATCAAATTTAAATTTCATGCCGGAGATGGTTATATATTTTTAAGTTGATTACTTTTTGGTGGAAAGCACTGGTATAAAATAAATTGTTTGATGTCCCTCACATAATGTTGATTTTCAAAGCGTAATTTTCCTAAGCCCAATTTTCTGGCCCACGATTTTGAAAAAATAAAGTGAAAAAACGATTCATGAGATCTACCAAAAAAACTAAAACCAGTACACTCATGTATCACAAGACCTTTTATTATGATCTCTTATGAATTGATGCCATTTAGGCTTGTGTATTCGTCTTAAATATCAGCTTATAAATTGATAACTTATCATCCCTATCAAAACCCTATGGTATTGAAAAATGTCCATTTTTCCTGATGTTCATGTCCGAAAAATCTGCAATATGGCTCCCGTCGAGGCATTGAAATGTATGTAATTAGCATCGAACTTTGTAGATGCTTCAAATTAGGGAAAATTGGCTGAAAATAGGGCTCCACACTATGCTTGTAATTTAATTAGGGAAAGTATTATACATATAAACATCATTAGTCCAGATGATTAAACTGTCTTCCCCATAGATTAGAAATTCAATCAGTCGTTCAATAATTATTCAACACTAAACTAATGTACACCGTTACATGTCATTGTAAAACCATCAATGATGCTTAATCAAGACTACTAACAAATATTACGCTTTGAAAATTAGTGTCTAACACATTTGAACACCTAACAAATTCACTACGTGTCACGTAACTGTGTATGTATATAATTCTTAAGTTTGTTTCGCTGTCTATCTTTTTTAATCTACTAGCTGAAATATATGTTTGAGATTTAAGTTCTGCATCTATCTTATAATTTGTTAACTAAACAAGAGAATATCACCCTAATTTGGACCAATCTGGCTGTATAAGGATTGTCCAATTGGCAATTTGTATGATTCTGGATGGAGATCCACGACCTCCTTGAACCTAATCTGTAAAGTTCCTAAAAGCCTTAATGAAGATCTATAAAATAATGAAGCTTAATTGGTGATTATGGTACCATTAATTTAACTACTATTCCCTTCAATAGCTAGTAAAAGCTGGTCACAAATTGTTCTAGGAATTTGGGACATCTCCGTTATTGAATAAATTACGTCTATCTATTTACGAAGTTCGAGTAATCAGTAATCCTTCACATCTCATTCTTGAAGATGGCAGGTCTGCATGAAATGGACTCACATAATATAATATTATGATTTGTTCTTCTGATTAGTGTGGTTTATTATCTCAACTTTTTGGTTATTTGTGCATATTGTCCGATATAAAAATTGCTTTTAATTCTTTCTTCAAGATCTAAGTTTTTCCGAAAGTTGGCTGGGCCGGATATAAATTAATATTTTTTCAAAATTATTAGAGCGCCTGATTTAAAACATAGATCATATTGGAGGGACCAAAATTTAACAGGTACTTCGATCCTAGAAAATCTCAGAATTAGTGTGAATGTATAGTTCCCGCTTGGTAATACCAGGCGTCCTTTTTTAGACAAGCTCAAAATATTGAGGCCTTTTTTAGAGATTGGTAATTGCCTGTTGATGTTTATGTAATCATTATATAATCGAAGTATATCAAATTGGGAAAATTTAAGGCTTTAAAAAGCTAACCAATGGATAATTAGAGTTTTTTATTACTAAAGTGGCTCATAAGCTTCTTATAGATTACTTTATAATATTGTAAAGTACAGAAAAAAATTGTGAAATTTTGAAAATCTTAAAATGTGAATCTAAACATTTAATTAAATTTACTTAAAAATCATAAAATTATAAAAATCATAAAAAAAATTTTTGAATTAACTGGTTTAATACACCCAAAATTAGTATCAAACAATTTTAACATATGAATTAAACACTAAAGCAATAAAAAAACTCATATAAATAGTACGAAAGTTTTTCAATATATTGTTCCAATTTTATTAAAATATTACCGATAAGGGCCGCATCTATTATATATATTTGGAGAGAGACACATAGATCGAAAAGTTATTCCGAATGCAGTAATTTTAGGGATAAGATCCCGAGAAACAGGACAACGGGACATTTTTTGTTACTATTTTTGGAACACTACAAAAAACTTGTAACAAAAACTATGAATGGTCTTTTTAATTAAAATAGTACAAATGAAATGAATTATTGTTTAGTGCTAATATACAGGGAACATATTTACATAATATGTTTTAGTTTTCTTGATTTCGTTCTTCTTCTCTCGTATAATTGATAAAAATCATAATATTTCAACATCTTGATCATATTTATTATGAAATTGTATTTTTTTTTATTGATTATTCAGCTTATTTATTACTTCTATTACTCATTAATGTTTCAGCTCTTGTTAATCCTGGTAAGTCTAATGAGGTTCTAGCATTTTCAACACTTTGTCTTGGTTGTCCTTGTCTATCTCTTTGCATTGATAATCTTGTTCTATCTAATGATGTTCTTGGGGCATAACGTTCTATTATATCATCATCATCATCATCTTCGTGACGTTGTACTCTTTCATCAATGTTGTTGAATCTTTGTTCATTTTCGGTAAATCTTGGAGTACCACTTGCATCAACATATTGATTCATTGAAATTTCTTCAGTATCTAATTCTTGATCATAATCAATTGGATATTCTTTTGATTTTCTTGAATTCTTAGAAAATGATTGTCTTTTGAAAATTGATGAATTTTTATGTTTTGATGACATTGGTGAAGTTGGACCAGCAGAACCTGGTGTAGATTTAGAGTTTTGAACAATTTGGTTTTCAACTGAATAATCAGCAGAATATTTAGAAATTTTTGGTCTATCAGGATCAGTTGGATCATAATTTGCAGGGTATTGACTAAAATCACCTCTATCGAAACATTCTCTAATAATATCAACATCTTTTGGATAGAAGTATTTTTGAACGACATCATAAATAAATCTTGGTAATACACACATGATAATACCAACAAGTAAACAAGCCCAGAATGATGTTGATCCATAAACTTGAGCACCTGCTTTATAATATTCTGCAGATGTTAATGCAGAACTCCAAATACCTGTCCAACCGAAAACAATAATAATTGATAAAAAGATGAATAAACATGAAAACCAGTCCCATGTGAATAAATGCATCAAAATATATAAATTACAAGAAATTGCAGCAATTGAAGCAACAAGTGTACCAATCCAATAACGATGATCCAAGTTTAACCCATTATATGTAACAAGACCAGTCTTATAATATAAAATATATGGGAAAAAGAATGAAATAACAGATTGATAAATACCATCAATCATATAAAACCAAAATTTCTTCATTGTCCATTCAGATCTAAGAATACCTGCTTTATATAATTGTGGAACTAATAATGAAATAACATCATTAACATCTTGATCAAAAATACCCATGAATATGACTGGTAATGATGTAAATGCTAAATTATAAAACATCAAATAAGTATATTCGAATAAATATGACCCATCAAATTGATTATAAATACCATACCAAAATAATGCTAATGTGAAAATAACGTTTTTATAGAAAAAAGTTGGAATCATTTCTGCTAATCTTTTGTATGACCAACGTCCATGAACTAATAATAATCTTGCCAAATATCTAAATTGACCAAATGCATAATCTGAAGACATGACAGCTTGTCTACCTTCTTCACCTGCAATACCAACACCGATATCAGCAGATTGAATCATTGCAACATCATTAGAACCATCACCAATGGCTAAAGTCATAACATCTAAAGTTTCTTTAACCATTTTAACAACTGCAGCTTTTTGAGCCGGTGAAACTCTGCAACATAAAACAGCTTTACATTGTTTACAAAGTAATAAGAATTTTCTCATATTATCACCTTGTAAAGCAATTTTCAAAGCGTCACCATCAATAACAACACCAAAATTACCCTGTGGTGGTTCATGAATAGATTTAGCTTCTTCAACTTCGTCCCATGTACCTTGCATATTGAATTTTTCATTTAAATATTTTTCTAATAAATGTGAAACAATTTGTTTTGGATCATTAGAAATTTTTTCAACATCATCTCCACTTGTTTTCAAAACTAATAATTCCAGATCATTACCCAATAAATTACATGAAAACCCAATATTAATAGCAGTCTCAACTTTATCACCGGTTAAAACCCATAATTTAATACCAGCTTGTGCTAAAACTGCAATTGCATCAGGAACACCATCTTGTAAACGATCTTCAATAGCAGTACCACCCAATAATTCTAATTCTCTTTCAATAGAATCAGCAACTTCTTCCATTTTTTCTTCTCTTTTAACTAAAGCAGCTGCAGCAATTTCATGTCTTTTATTCCACTCTGTATATTGATCCCAATTTAATTCTCTTTGTGCAATACATAAAGTTCTAAGACCTTCAGTTGCATATTCTTCTAAATGTAATGCAGTTCTTTCTAATAAAGTTTCATCAGATTGTGATTTTAATCTTGAATAAATGATTGAATCAGCACCTTTACAAATTAATAAAGCTTTTGGTTCACCACCTTCAACTTCTGAAGGAATTTTAATAATTGCACTCATTCTTTTTCTTGTTGAATTGAATTCTAAAACGTTCAAGACTTGGAATTCTTTTTCAACTCCATGAACTTCTAATATGACACCTTTCTTGGTTCTTCCAATGAATGCATAACCAACATCCCTCGCAGTACCAACTAAAGCTGCTTCATCTGGAGATTGAGCTTTTAATAAGACACGACCTTCATCATTCTTATCCTTTTCAGCTAAAACAGAATGACAAATAGCTAATGATAACATAAAATGTTCATTTGCACGTTGTTGAGGATCACCTTTAGCACCTTGTAAATCTTGAACAAATTCTTTTGAAACAAATGTAACTTCATTTGGTCTTAATTGAGAATTTTGTGACATTTGATATAAATTTTGAATCATGGTTTCTTTATCTTGTACTATAGCTTTTTTCTCTCTTGTAGATTCTTCTTCAACGTCAATACCTTGTCTTTTTCTTAAACCTGCTAAAGCTTCAGTATATGCTCTACCATAACTAACACCATTAATGGTACATTTTTTAAATTCCATAACGTTTTGAGTTAAAGTACCAGTTTTATCACTGAAAATATATTCAATTTGTCCTAAATCATCTGAAATATTCCAAGATTTTGGTGTACATGGATAATCTAATCTTTCATAATACATATTAACATCTGAATAAATGAAATAAGCTTGAGCAGTTTTTAAAATTTCAATAGAAATATAAAGTGAAATTGGAATTAATGATTGATATAAGATCAATGCAACGAAAAATGCAACAAACCCATTACCTATTGGAGAACCACCAATTGTACCATATTCAAATTGATTTCTTGAATTCACATCTTGATTATACGTTATACCATTAACTAAACCTGAAACAAAACAAAGAATAAATAAAAGGAAAAAATTATATAAAACTGCATAATTTAATTCTCTTGATATTCTTGATTTTTTAGTTGGAGTTAAACCTGAATTTAACATAATTTTAGTATCAGCACCTGTGAAAACAACTATACCTAAAGCCCATTTAGTATTTCTTAAAGAACAACCTCTTAATAATAAGTTATTAATGGTGATTGGTTCATTTCTAATTTGAGATTCTTCACCATACCATTTCATATTCCCTTGATAATTATATAAATTTGCATGAGGACCTTCAGATTCAACCCAAAATTTTGAACGTTGAATATCTTTTGAATGTCTAATTTGATGACCAGCTTTTAAAGCTTGACGAACTTTTAAATTTGTTTCACCATCTAAATTCTTAGTTTCAACATAACATGCACCATCAGAATCTGAAGTTGATAATAAAATAATATCTGCAGGAATTTCATCATTATTATGAATACGTAAAATATCACCAACTTTAACATTTTTCCAATAATTTTTTTCAAATTTTGGTGAAGTTTGATTTGATGATAAATTTATATTTGGATCTATTATTGAATCATTATTTGAAATGTTATTATTATCATTAAAAGGATTTTCAAAACTTTGTCTTGATGATAAATCATCCAATTGAACAGATTTTCTATTATCTTCAAATGAATCAAAAGATTTTCTCATTGACATTGATTCTTTTGCTAGTTTTGATAATCTTGCCTTTTCTTTACCAGTTTTAGTGAAATGTTCATCACAAAATCTGAAAAAACTGAAAACCATTCTTGTATTTAATTTTTTAAATCTTCTCCATAATGAAATATTATCTTCTATTTGATTATGATTTATTACACCATCTAAAATATGTGTTGGAGTATTATTAACTTCCATATCTAAACCAGTACGTCTTGAATCTTCTACGGCATCTTTAATACCTGTGATAATAACAATAACAACCAAGGGCACCATTGATAACCCAGGATTTGGAACACCAAAAATACTGAAAAATCCCATAACAACCATAATTAAGAAGAAAATATTTGCAATATTTTTAAATTGTAAGATTAAATTTTTTGGTAAAAATGTAATTGCAGTATATTTTGTAGTTCTTATTTTATTTCTTGGATATTGAGCTAAAGGTTCACCATTTTCATTAACCATTTCTTGTGGTAATGGCATATTAAAATAAATTGAACGGAATTCATTAGCTCTATTTTTTTGTTTTTCTTCTTCACTTAATTCATCATCAGTTGAATTATCATCATGAGGTTTTTCATGTCTTGATTTCCATCTAAGAGTTTTAGCTCTACCAACAGTTGGTTTACCCTTTTTATTACGTTGAGTACCCCAACGATGTCTTTTCATAACAGAATCTTTTCTTTTGATATCTGAAGCATCAATAACAGTATCTTCATTATTAAGATCATCTTCAAATCTTGGAGTTTGTTGGAGATTTTTTGGAGTATGTTGAAATGATTCATTTGAAGTTGATTTAGTTAATTCATTACTAATATTATCATCTTCATTTATCGTTGTATCATGATCACTAAATACAATTCTTGCATTTGGATTATTTCTTCTTTTCTGAGATGAAGATTTTCTTAATATAGAGGCACCAGTTCCAGACCTTTTCGGTAGTTCATTTGTATTAAAATTAACATTTAAATTTTCATCATTAAAATCATTATCTAAATTTATATCCTGGAATTGTTGATCATCATTGAAGGGACTTGTTGGTGATTTATTTGGATCCAACTTGTGTGATCCCATTGTGGATATTTGATTCTTTCACTATGAGAATATTTATAACTCTTGGAATTCTTTATAAAGTATAATCAAATTGTATAAAAGGTTTCCCGGTAGTTAACAAGGATTCCGTTTTAGAGGTTTTTTTGATCTGTCCTCTATTTTTTTTTTTTTTAAATTTTAAATTTTGATCTGGCTTTTAAGCGCGTTATTAAAAACTAAAACCGTAAGAGTTTGGAATGATTGGAAAATTCAAAGCAATGAGAGGATAGTAAAGTGTTGTATCTGTGAAGCGCTGTAATGTATTATCAATTAGTATTCCCAGTATTTCCCAGTCTTTTCAAAGTATCAAAAACGGTTTAAAACTGATCAAAAATGAACCAACTGGTTAAATTCAATTGAATGTTCCTTTTTCTGATTTTTTTGCGTGTGAAAATCCGGTAAGAACACGCTATTCATACGCGATTAAACCGAATTATTAATCTATTATAAAACGCAAGTGAAGAAATGCAGTTAACGATGGTTATATGTTATATGGTTATGGATTTAATGGGGTTAATGGTTCAATAGTGTATAGTTATCTACATAGTGGTTAAAACAAATTAATATCATCTAAAGTACACATGCAAAACCAAAAAACACAAAAACACCAAGCACAAGGCCATTAGGTATCAACAAACTAGCTAGTATCAGAAAAGTATATAAACGAAATAATATCATAATCTACTATTTTGCATAGTTTTGAGTCCATTCTTTTGCTGTTTGAATAGCCTTGTTTTCATTATCTAACCATTCTTCAGCAACATCATTAGCTAATGGATCATTTGGATTTGGGGCTGCTAATAACGCTTGGATTGATAATAATATGGTTCTGATTTGTAGTGCTGGTGACCAATTGTCTAGGGAAAATTGTTAGTATTGATTTTAACCCAATAATATATATCAAATTTTACTCACTTTTTAAAACATCAAGACATATTCTACCTAATTTATCAATATTTGGATGATAAATTTTAGTTAAAAATCTAACTTTTGGTGCAATCACTTGTGTTATATTGTTAATATCCTTTTTCTTCTTTTATCATGTATATTCAATACTCACTTGGATAATCATCTGGTAAAAATAATTCTAATTTAAATACACCACCTTCATAAGGACTTTGGTCTGGTCCTTCAATAGTAACATCGAAATATCTCAAGTTTTCTTCATGTGGAGAAGCTGTTATACCTGGTACTGGATCACTAACCAATCTTTCAGTTTCCTTTATAATTGTTAGTATATATTATTCAATATATCTTGCCACTGTGGAGAGACTTTATGGAAACCCAAATAAATCGTTTCCATATATAAACACCACATGAACTTATTCAACTCATGGACATACCTTGATGATTCTCTTTGGTAAGGCACTCATGATGATCTATAATTCTAACGTATATCAACTCAAAATAGTAAAACAATAAATTTGAACTTTTACCGAATATTAATTTCCAAAATCCCACAAAATTGTTTAAAAAAATTCGAGAAATCGTCAGACTGAAAAAATTAAAAATTTGGTCATGTGATCATTTTGGAAGCTTTGGTACATAAATCAGAAAACTTGATGTATAGTTGGTATGAAAAGATAATTATTCATAAAGAGAATAGTATAATAAAGCTAGTAAGATTAAAATTGAATCGACCTTGTACCATTTTAAACCAAATTCTCATCAAATTCCAAATTCACAATACCCACTAGTTTAATCGTAAATAATCGCGGGTACAAAATTCAACGCGCGCTCTTATAAAGAAAATCAAGTATCAAATTCAGATCTCATCATAAGCTCAACGTTAGTGATCCCCAAATACCCAAGTTTTAGGAACATTATAGCTTTGGGAAAATGTCACTGATTAGAAAATTCGCCTATACGGTGTTTTCTATAGCTATTTTATTAAATATTTATATTTATACTTATCCTTCAATAACTCCAAACATATGTTCATGGGAATATCAAAAACCAATAACAAATCCATCAAGTAATTTGTTGGATCCTTTAAAGAAAATCCCATATTTAGGTGATTTAATTGATCAATACATTGCACCAACTGAATACAAGAAACCAACAATTGAAGATATTAAAATGTTGGCATTTGGTGATCCTCAAATTAAAGGTAATTGGCCTTCAACTCCATATATTAAAAGATTAGATACTTTTGGTAATGATTATTATTTAGGTCATATTTATAAAGTTATGAAAAAAAGATTACAACCAAATTATGTTGCTGTATTAGGTGATTTATTTTCTTCTCAATGGATTGGAGATTCTGAATTTTTCAATAGAACAAGACGTTATGTTACAAGATTATATGATCAACCTGATGAACATCGTGAATATGCTTTAAATTATATGAACACTCATGATCAAGTTGATTGGATGAAATATCTTGAAGAAACAAAAGCTAAGAAATTAAATGAATTAGAATTTGGTTATAATGATGTTTATGATTGGAATACACCAAATTATACTAAAAAATTTGATAATGAACCATTATTTTTAAATGTTACTGGGAATCATGATGTTGGTTATTCAGGTGATGCTACTTGGCAACATATGACTCGTTATGTTCAATTATTTGGTAAAGATAATTTCTGGATTGAATATAATGCAGGTACACCACATGCTTATCGTATAGTTGTTTTAAATTCTTTATTATTAGAAGGTCCTGCTTTACAACCAGAATTTATTGATTATACATGGGAATTCTTATATCAATTATTTGAAAGAAAATTTAAAGGCTCTACTATTTTATTAACTCATGTTCCATTTTATAAAGAAGAAGGACTTTGTGTTGATGGTCCATATATTGATTATTATAAAGAAAATGCTAGAGAACCTTATAAAATTGGTAAACTACGATCACAAAATCATTTAAGTCATGATGTTTCTCAACGTGTCTTAAATTTAATTTTTAATGATGAACCTGGTATTATATTAACAGGTCATGATCATGAAGGTTGTGAAACTTATTATAATAAAAATTCTACTGGACAATATTGGACAGCTTCTAAGACTAAAGATACAAATGATGTTAGTATTAAAGAAGTTACAGTTAGAGCTATGATGGGTGAATATGGTGGTAATTCTGGATTAATGACTGGTCATTTTAATGTTGGTAAACAAGAATGGGAATTTGATTTTAAATTATGTCCATTTATTATTCAACATGTTTGGTGGGTTACTAAAGTTGTTAGTATCATTTCAACTTTATTATTATCTACCGTTTATTTATTTGGATTATGAACTTGAAGAAAGAATATAAATATAGTTAGTATATAGAAAATTTCAATTTTAAATGCCCTAATGAAAAATGTAGTACTATATATTATATTATACCTATGCGCGAACTTTACCCGCCCGAATAATTCTTCATATAAAAACGAAAAAATCTTTCCAATTTTTAGAATCTTTATATATTTTTTCCCTTTTCTTTGAAAGTTGCAACCACGTTATTTGGCTTATGATAAGTTTTTGTATTTTAGAGTTTTTTGTCCCAATTCATTCCTGACGTTTAAGTACCGAAGGGGTTTAACTTCGCTTATTAAGTTAAGGAGGTTAGATTTTGGTTTTGATGATGAGATTCTTTGAATGTGAATTATAGGTTGATCACACCGTGGTGAGATGAAGATTGGTTACTAAGAATATGCTGCTTTGGCTCTTTTGAGTTATACAGCAGTGTGTCCCGTTATATCAAGACATTCTATTATCAGTCTATTCTATTAATATATGACTTTTCAGTATTTATTTTTGTTTTCGTAGCTCAGCCTGTGTTATTGTGACTTATTTATAGTGAAAAGTATTTTTTCACGGAGGAACCTGGTAAACACTGAACAGTGCACAAAACTAGGCTGACAACACCTGAAACAAGCCTAGAACATGATCAGTTCAACACTGCCCGAGATGACTACGGTAATTTGTGAACACTGAATACCTTGGTTTATAGAAATGTATACTTCAGGCTTCAAGAATCAAAGCTCTTTGAATCACAATTTTTGTGTCACGAACCACTCTTATTTTGTAGGAAAATCAATCATCACAATACAAAAACAAGTTTTAGCCCTGCAGTAGAGATAGTTTGACGTTTAATCACCACAAGACCAAGGGAAATACATTCTTTTTGCTAATTAGACCACAGAGAATCATTTAGATAAGACACTGGTATAACTTAATAGTGATACAGAGAGAGTGCATACATACTTTATACTGAAAGAGTCCCACAGTTTGTTTTCGTTGAATATTCGTGTTGTTTTTGATCATCTAGAATTACGTATAGAGAAGAAATTTGGTTTTAACTTATACAACTTTTTCATAATACCTGGTTTCATACTTTATCCAAAATATCAAATCCATACATGATAATCATATTTATTTACAATTTTTAACAAGTTAAATTCATTCATTTTGCCCCCTTTTTTAGCATGAATTTCATTAGGAAAAAACCATCAGCTCCTTTAGATGATTTAACAGAATTATATAATGAAACTGCTAATAGAACCATTTATAACTTAGCATTGGAACAAAAAAATGAAATCAAAAGAGCGGTCCAAGGCTGGAAGTCCTTACATACTCATGTTCTGTACAAATTGGACCTGATCAATAAAGCTTTTGAAGGTTATAGTTATACTGCAGATGAAATTTCACTGAGAGAAGGTATAGAAGAATTAAATCAAAAAGGATTAAAACATCTTGAAAGAGTTACTAGGCTCCAATCACCTTATGATTCATCAACACTAAGGCCCAACTTGGTTCAAAAACCAAGTAGTTCAACTTATTCAGTACCAACTCTGAGAAGTCATAGTCCTCATAATAATAGTTCATCAAATTTAAATAATACTCAATCACAACAACAAACTTCAAGAATGTTGAAAACTTTAAGACCAGATAAAGGTCATAAATTCAATTCTAAAAATAATTACAATACAAAACAACCAAGTTCAGAATTATCCAAAATTGCTGCTACAAAATTATACAATCAACCTGCTACTGTTTCAAAATCACAAAATTGGTCAACTTCTAAATCATTAACACAACAACAACAATATCAACATTTTTCGAATAGTAATTCATCATCACCTTCAAATTTCAATAGAAATAGTTATCCTGAAAATATATTTGATCAAAGTTTTGATGATGCTGAATTTGATTTGAAATTTTTGAAAAGAAATGATACATTATCACAATTAGAAGCTATGGGTCAACAATCTCAATTATCAAGATCCAAAACAAATGATGATCATGTTACATCACAATTTGAAAAAATTAATTTAGATGATTATGATTCACCAAGAAATAGTTATAATCAAATACGTTCAACTCCAAATCTTATTGATATAAAATCACCATTTGATGATCCAACAACAAGTGATGAGACTTCAACAAATTCATCACCAAAGAAAACACCACCAGCTCCACCACCTTCACGCCCTCCAATCCCCAAAACAACACCATTACCTACACTATCACCAAAACCACCAAGACCAGAACCAATACCCAAGACATCAACTGCAACAACTTCACATAAGTTACCAAATGCATCTACGAGTGCAAGAACTGCCATCAAACCTAAAACCCCTATATCACAAGCAAAGAAAGCTACACAACCATTGAAAAGTTCGTTACCAACAAAGTCAACTCCAAGTACAGCTTCATCAACTACAAGAATTGGAACTAGACCCACTGCCGCTAAAGCATCAACAACATCTGCACCTGGTACAACAAGAAGAGTTATACCCACAACCAAAGCTGCCGCTACTACTAGAACAACAGCTGGTACAGCATCAGCTACCAAACCAACAGCCAAATCTTCAACAACAACTACAACTCAAGCAGCAAGAAGAGCAGCAAAAACAACAACAAATAATCCCGCTGCAAACACAAGACCTCAAGGAACAAGAACTACAACAACAGCTAAACCAACAGCTAAACCAACTACTACCACAAAAGCTAAAACTTCTATACCTAAACCTAAATCAAGATCAAGATCACAATCTCCAGTTAGAGATGATACCAAGGATACTGAAACTATCGAATCAAATGAAGAATCTGAAGAATTTGCAGATGAATCTCAATTAACTGAAAAGGAAATCCGTGAAAAAATGGAGGAACAAATCATTTCAGAAATTAGAGGTATTGATCATGGTGCAGCAAAACAAATTTTCAATGAAATTGTTGTTCATGGTGATGAAGTTCATTGGGATGATATAGCAGGTTTAGAAACTGCTAAAAATTCATTGAAAGAGACTGTTGTTTATCCATTTTTAAGACCTGATTTATTTTCTGGTTTAAGAGAACCTGCAAGAGGTATGTTATTATTTGGTCCACCAGGTACAGGTAAAACAATGTTGGCAAGAGCTGTTGCAACTGAATCAAGATCAACTTTTTTCAGTATAAGTGCATCATCATTAACTTCTAAATTTCTTGGTGAAAGTGAAAAATTAGTTCGTGCTTTATTTATGTTGGCTAAGAAATTATCACCTGCAATTATTTTCGTTGATGAAATTGATTCTTTATTATCATCACGTAATGAAGGTGGTGAACATGAATCATCAAGACGTATTAAGAATGAATTTTTAATTCAATGGAGTGATTTAACTCATGCTGCAGCTGGGAAAGATACAGGTGAAGATTTACAAAGAGTTTTAGTTTTAGCTGCAACAAATTTACCATGGGCAATTGATGAAGCTGCAAGAAGAAGATTTGTACGTCGTCAATATATTCCATTACCAGAACCTGAAACAAGACAAGCACAAATTATTAAATTATTGGCACATCAAAAACATACATTGGATGAGAAAGATCAATTAAAATTAGTTGAAATGCTTGATGGGTTTTCTGGTAGTGATATTACAGCATTAGCAAAAGATGCTGCAATGGGACCTTTAAGATCATTAGGTGATAAATTATTATCTACTTCAAGAGATGAAATTCGGCCAATAAACTTGGAAGATTTTATAAATTCTTTGAAATATATTAGACCAAGTGTATCAAAAGAAAATTTAGGTGAATTTGAAGATTGGGCTTCAAAATATGGGTCATCAGGTGTTTAGGATTATAATAATAATCTGTAATATTAATTAATGTTTAATTTAATGATAGTCTACGTGTTATAATGTAATTTATAGCTGCATGATTGTAAAACTATTCTAAAAAAACACAAAATTAAGTATATTAAACAAGATTAATATATATAAATACCTATAATGATCACACTGGATTAATAAATCCTCTCTATTTCTTTGATTTTTTTTGTTTTTGTTTTTTGGCAGTAGCATCAGCCATTAATTCTTCAAAGACTCTAGCTTCTTCAGCTTCATCTTCAGATCTTTCAGCAGTTATGAATTTATTACCAATAATTAATAAAGCATTTGCTTTTGCTAATCTTGTTTTTGAATCAACAGATTTATCATTCAAAATTTTATCACAAACATCTCTCAAGACACCTTGAATTTCAAATTTTGAACTAACCCAAGCAGTTGCTAAAAATTTACCAGTCATTGTACGTTCATATTCAGCTTTTTTATATTCATCCCATTCTTCACCATTTTCTTGAGCTTTAATCATTTCTTCCATTGATGTTTGAGCATCTAATGCTGTAGAAAGAATATTCCAAGCTGATTTGGCAGTTGAACCTTTTTGTTTAACACTTGTGAAGATTTTAGAGAAACCAAAAGTTTTTTGTGATTTAATAAAAGCTGAAGCTTTTTGATTATAAACTTTACCAATTGTATGTAATAATTGAATACCGAAAGATTCAATTTTTAAATCTTCAATTTCTTTTTCTAATTTTAAATTATAATTTTCTAAATCATTTGAATCTCTTGAAGCTGAAATAAAATTTTCTAATTTATTATTTAATTTAATAGATAATTCTTCAACCCTTTTGATTTTTTGTTCTCTTCTTTCCTTTTCCAATCGTAGTAATTCTTCACGTTGTTCTTTTGAGACTTTATTTGAAGGTTTTCTACCAACTTGTGGCTGTGGAGTTGATGAACCTTCAGGTTGATGTAATAAATCTTGTGATTCTGATTTTTTATCAGATGTTGATGCACTAGGAGCATTAGCTCCGTCAGTCGTGGAGCCTGTGGCAACAGCAGACCCACTTTCTTTCTCTTTATCAGTCTCTTCTTTTTCCTTTTCTTCTTCTTCTTTACCCAACACATCAGCAGTTTGTGTCAAATCTTTCAACATTGATAATTCACCAATCCAATCATGGAAAGCTTCACCACCGAAAATATTTGTAAAAAATTCACTTGCATCTTCAAACCCAGCTTCAGGAACAGCTTCATCTTTACCAAATTTATCATATTTTTCTCTTAATTGTGTATCTTGTAATACTTGATAAGCTTCACCAACTTCTTGAAATTTTTCAGCAGCTTTTGGATCATCAGGATGTTTATCCGGATGTGTTAACATTGCCTTTTTTCTATAGGCTTTTTTGATGTCAGTAGACGAAGCATCTGGAGAGATACCTAAGATATCATAATAAGCAGTATCTTTAACCATTTTATGATAACCAGATTCTATTTCAATGAGATGATTAATCAATTGGAAACAAAATTCAATTTTACTTCCCTTAATTCCCATATATAAATATCAAAACAAAAATACAATGCTTTATGCTAAAAAACAAAATACGAGGGTACCAGTTCCGAGGGTCAAAAATAGTCACGTGTATAAATTTATATAGTACAAAATGATTTTAATTAATACAAGTTTTCGTATTGTTCACTGACAAAATCTTTCAATGGAGCAGCTTGATCTTTCAATTGATGAGCATAGTCATTGACGTTTTGAGCATCAATTTCTGAAAAATGTTGAATAATTAATTTGAAATCAGAAATAAAAGTTTCAAACCCACGAACATAGATCCATGAACCAATTGAAACAACAGTCAAGATCAATGTTAATTTAATCAATGTTTTAACTAATCCAACAACAATTGAAACAATATTTCTAATGAAATAAACTAAGAACAAAACACCAAAAACAACAGAAACAGCTGTGGCAACATCTGGGTAGTAAATGTAGAATTTTTGAGCAGCATCAAAAGCCAATGTGGCAATGGAGACAATGTAAGTGACAAGAACAGTGACGACGTAGTCAACGTGTGGGTTTCCAGTAACAATAGCCATTTTGTAAAGAAGTTGAAATTAATGTAAATAGTATTAATTTGATAAGTTGTTGAAATTGATTGGTTTTTTTTGCAAATTTGCTATCAATTGTGAAATTTCACTTGTATTGTTTTTGTATGGGGATCAATTATAATAAGATACGAGGGTATTCGCGAATTTTGGCCGGATCTCGATATTTGCCATTGAAAAGATAATTACTCAGAAAAGTTGATAAAGAAGAAGACTTTGAGTATTTTGGTAAAGAACTTATACTTTGTCTTGTTAAAAGCTAGAGGGTTATCCATAATATTCTCACAATGTCATCAATCACACCACCTGCAAAAGAACAAGTCATACAACTCTATAGACAGTTCATAAGAGCTTCTTCAAGATTTAATAACTATAATTTTAGACATTACTTTTTAAGAAGATCAAGAGATGCTTTTAAAGAATCTAAAGATGTTAAAGATCCAGAACAATTACACAACTTATTATCCAAAGCTCGTGAAGAATTACAAGTATTACAAAGACAATCATCAATCAGTCAAATGTATTCTTTTGATAAATTAGTTGTTGAACCATTAGATCGTCATCATCGTAATTTAAATGAAACAAAATAAGATTATTATAACTCATGAAATGCATATGTTTTATTGGTTTTGTTTATGAAATGTGAAATTATATATGGTTTAATTAAAAGAAAAAATATTGTTTATTTATTGGTTTTATACGGATTCGGTTAAGTTTTGATATGAATGAATCCATGTTAAAGTATAAAACAATTTCAATATCTTGTATAAAAATAGGAATACACTGGGTGTTATGTTTATGTTTAGAAAGTAACTGTAGTCTACAAGTGAATTATTATGAGAATAAAAATATGTTTATTGTCCATTTATCAATTAAGTTATCAGTATTGTTATCAACCGATAAACTTATTGGATGGATCAAATGTTATCAAGGGAGTTTAATATACTGCGATTCATGAGAAATTAAACATGTATATTAATTAATACCAACAAGTAATGGATATCCCAATAAAACCCAACCTAAATATCTCGTAACTTAAAGCTTGGATAATAAAAACTACCATAATAAAGCACGGCGTCAGGTGAGAGAACATGATCTAATAAAAGATCAATCTTATACTGAAACAGGAGCAAGACAACCCATATTCAAGCCAAAGAATGTTGTGATAGTGAATATCATCAACAACTTTTAAAAACAATACTTTTTAATTTCCGATCTCTTATAAGTTATAAGTTTTTTTCTATTTTTTTTTTTTTTTCATTTCTGGGTGACATGAGATGAGCTTGAAAAAAATATAGTACGATTTTAACGGCTTTCAAAATTATATGTCAAGTATTTAAACGAAACTGGTTCCCTTTATTGTACATTTCAGCCAAAGGTATACTTTCAAACCCATCAATAATCATGACCACTGCAAAGAGAGCCACCGGTGATCAAGTGACACCAGATCAAGCTATCACAAAGAAACAACAAACTCAGTTTAAAACTACAGAAAATGGAGATATCAAACAATCTTTTGGCCCTGGTATATTTGACCAAGATTTTAGAGATTCTTTAAAACAAAGTATTAGTGATTCTCAACCTTATAGATGGGGTACTATTAGAGATTTGATTGATGATACATTATTAAGAAATGTTCGTAAAGAGGTTGAAAATGAAATTCATTTCACTAAAAAAGAAACAGATATTTATAAAGTTTTCCAAAGTGGTGATTTAGCTAATCTTTCCGGTTTAGATTGGGATGATTTATCAAGATTACCTTCTTTATTCAAATTAAGAGAAGCTATGTATTCTCAAGAATTTAGAGACATGATTTCTGAAGTTACACAATCTGGTAAATTAAGTGGTGTTAAGACAGATATGAGTGTTAATACTTATACAAAAGGTTGTCATTTATTAACTCATGATGATGTTATCGGTTCCAGAAGAGTTAGTTTCATTCTTTATTTACCAGAACCTGACAAGACTTGGAAAGAACATTATGGTGGTGCCTTACGTTTATTCCCTTCGATTGTTCCAAATGTTCCAAAACCTGATCCATCAGTTCAATTAGTACCACAATTTAATCAAATTGCATTTTTCACTGTTCAACCTGGTTTAAGTTTCCATGATGTTCAAGAAGTTAGAGTTGATAAACAAAGATTATCAATCCAAGGTTGGTATCATATTCCACAACCTGGTGAAGATGGTTATATTGAAGGTGAACAAGAAAAATATGAAGGTAGATCAACTTTACAACAATTAGAATCAAAAGAATTAGAAGTTTTCGATTTCCCAAAAGAAATTAGAATCCCTTTTCCAAAACATGAAATTAAAAATTATGAAATTGATGAATTAAAATTAAATGAATTTGATTTAACTTATTTATCAAAATTTATGAATCCTGCATTATTAATACAACAAGAAATTTCAAAATTACAAAAAATCTTTATTGAAGAATCTCTTGTTGATATTCAAGATATCTTAAATGAATCATATGCAGATGAATTGAAGAAACAAATAAGGACAACAGAATTAGATGAAATCATGCCAAAACATCAAGATCAAATTGAATTTCCTTGGAAATTATCTTTACCACCTCATAAATGGCGCTATATGTATTTAGATGGTAAACAAGAAGAAAATTTAACAGAATCAGGTGTTGAATTAGCAAATAATGGACCACAAAACTCACCAAATTTTGAATTATTAGCTAAAACTACAAATCATAAGACATCATTAAAATTAATTGAATTAGCAAATTTTTTGAAAAGTGTTAGTTTTAAAAAATGGTTAAGTTTAATAACTGATCTTGTACCAGTTTCTGATCAAATCTTAGTTAGAAGATTTAGACCAGGTCATGATTTCAAATTAGCTACATCTATAAATAATGAAGATTCAGAACTTGATGCCCTTTTAGAAGGTACGCTATGTTTAACTCCATCTAAAGGTTGGGAAAGTGGTGAATTTGGTGGGTATGAATTAGGTCTTGTTACTGAAGATGCTCAAGAAGATGATGATCCTGCAATTTATAAAGCTTCAAAAGATGAAGATGATTCTGTTGTTGTTAATAATCAAGCAAGTTGGAATAATTTTTCATTAATGTTGAGAGATCCTTCAGTTTTAAAATTCATTAAATATGTTAGTTATAATGCTAAAGGTAGTAGATGGGATATTTCATGTCAATGGAATGTCAAAACAAAAGGTGATGATGATGATGAAGATGATGAAGAAGAAGAAAAATAATCCATAAAATTTTTAAAATTATAATATATCAAGATGCAGTTATGTACATGTGTAGTTTAAATCAATACGTATAAATTAAACTCCAGAATATACACAATAAAATAAAAATGATTGTAATTAAAGCAAATAAGGAGCATAAAACAAAAATCACCAAATAGATAGCAGCATCAATTTATCAACGAAAAAGAGCAGATAAAAACAACGACAATCACTTAACTTAAGAATCCAAACAAATTACTAGTCATTTGATTATATTTCATTATCGTCAACATCTGATAAGGCTTTATTACCAGATTCATCTCTTAAACTTTCAATGTTTGGTAATAATTGACCTAATAATTCAGAAGCAGCCTTATGATAAGCTAATTGAGCAGTAATTAATTCAGTTAATTCACTCAAGATTGAAGTGTTTTCAATAACATTCTTCATAACTGAAACAGCTTCTTCGGTAGCAGCAGCAAATTCATCTTCTAAAGTTTCTAAAGTAACTCTTAAACTTGCTTCTTTTTCAGGTCTTGCATTTTTCAAAGAAGTTCTAGCAGCATCATAACTTAATCTTTTATTTTCAACTAATTTTCTAGCTTTATCTGAACGTTGTAAATTTGTTCTTAATTGTCTTCTAAATTGATCATTAACATGTTTAGAGACAAGAGCATCTTGTTGTAATCTTGCTTCACCAATTTTGGTTTCAGTTTGACCAATTTGAGTTAAACCTTGTGCAATTGAATCAAATGAATCATCACTTGAAGTTTGTTGAATTTTTAAAGCTGATAAATTTGTTGAAGTACTTATAGCGTGATTTAAAGTTTTTGGTTGAGTATTTGGATTAGAAGCAATTAAGATAGCTTGAGCTTCATCTCTTGATCTAGCAGATGCTAATTTTTCAACTTTTGTAGAAATAGTCTTTGTGATATCATTAACAGATTCTTTTAAATTTGATGGATAATCATAACTTTCATTTTCATAAGTTGAAGTGACAGATAACAAATTTTGATAAACAGTTTTCAAAGTATCAACTTTTCTTTCTAATTCAACATATTCTTGTGGCAATTCACTGATATCATCAATTTGACCAAATCTTTCTTGTAATTGTCTAGCAGTTCTTGTGGCAATTGGTTGGAAATCTGAAGATAACTTTTGGGCTTCTTTTAAACCTTCTTCAAGACCAGCTTGTAAGTTTTTTTGGAAGTTTTGGAAAAAAGACATTTTATTGTGACAGGTATACTTTATTTAGACTTAAATTTAATTCAATTGACCTTTATTTGAACCTGAATTGAATGATAAATCTGATGAAATGTTGACAAAAATGTTCAATTTTCCTTTAAAGAATTCGTGTTTTTTTATTTTTGGCACCGCCCGCGAAATTTGAAATATGTGACTAAGGAATGACGTAATCAAATAATTCGCGGGTGTTATATCTGATGGGAAACGTTTTGATCATTTCAACGGTTGCAACAGGTAAAATTGAGAATTCCAAAGTATCAAGACCCTTAATTTAACATAAATATATACAGGATAAATCGACTGTGATTTCTTTGGTCTTGCAGTATAATACAGGCTATTAAGTATTCGAAAGGGCATGGCAGTATGGGATCAATTGGATGTAAATCAAGCACATAAAACCTATGCGGTGCTAGGTATTTTCACTACCTTGTTCTGTCTAGTTTCTTTGCTTATGAAAGAAAGATTATTTGTTGGTGAAGCATTCATATCTACCGTCACTGGGGTAATTGTAGGCCCCCATGCTGCAAATATCATGAATCCATTGGAATGGAGTGATAATCCAGATTTCTTAACTTTAGAGATATCAAGAATCATTTTAATCGTTCAATTATTTGCAGTCTCAGTTGAATTACCTCAAAGATATATTAAAAAGCATTTGGTTTCATTGATTGTGTTATTATGCTTCACTATGATATTAGGCTGGGTCATCACTGGTCTTTTCACATGGATTATATTCCCTGAATTTAATTTTATCGATGGTCTTGCTATAACAGCTGCTATAACAGCTACCGATCCAGTATTAGCAGCTGCCATTGTTGGTAAGGGAAAGTTTAGTGAAAGAATTCCTGCATATATAAGGGATCTACTGAGTGCAGAATCTGGTGCTAATGATGGGTTAGCATTCCCTTTTGTTTTGTTAGCTGTTGATATATTGACTAAGAAAGGCCATCCAGGTATTATTATTAGAGATTGGTTTTGTATCGCAATTCTTTATGAGTGTGTCTTTGGTGTTTTATTGGGTACAGTTATTGGATACTTAGGTAAAAAGGCGATTCAATTCTGTGAAGCGAGAAATATGGTTGATAAACAATCTTTACTGGTTTTTTACATCACACTATCATTAATATGTACTGGGCTTGGATCGATCTTGGGTGTTGATGATTTATTAGTTGCTTTCGCTGCGGGTGCTGCCTTTGCGTGGGATGGTTGGTTTGTTAAACAATCCGAAGGCCAACAATTATCAAATTCAATTGATTTATTATTGAATGTCGGATACTTCTTATACTTTGGAACAATTATACCATGGGAAGATTTCAATAATAAAGAAATTGGATTACATTGGTGGAGATTAGTTCTCCTAGGAATAGCTATCATATTTTTAAGAAGAATACCTGCTGCATTAGCTGCTAAACCATTTGTACCTGATATTAAAAGTTGGAAGGAAGCATTATTTGTTGGCCATTTTGGTCCTGTTGGAGTTGGTGGTATTTTCTGTTCAATTGTTACCAAATCTGCTATTGAAGGTCATTTTACCAAAGAAGAAACCCCAATTGATGAAATTGATGAATCCATGCCTCATTATTGGGTTCTGAGATGTATTTGGCCTATTGTATCATTTATTGTCATTGTATCTATTTTGGTTCATGGATTTTCAGTTACTGCGATCGTGTTTTATAGCAAAATGAAAAAAGGTGATGTATCTAGCAAGACTTTGGATACAAACGCAACTACATTAGAAGCTAAACAACAGCAAGATATGGAATCAATTAAGTTAAATGAATTTCGTGAGGCAACTTCAGACGAAGGTATAGGATCAAGTAATTTACACCTAAGAAGAAACTCAACCAAGGCCGGTAAGCTGTTAGGAAAAAATTATACTAAGAGGAAGGATGAACTTAAAATGGAAACATTAAAATTCTTCAAAATTGGCCGTGATATTCTTGTTGAAGATTCAAAAGACACAATTGTTAAAAAATATAGATTAAACGATGAAGATCCAGAATCAAATGATTTAGACTTGAACTTGACTTTTGAGAATGACAATAATGGAATATATGACGATGATGAGGTGAAAAAGATGATTAGGGGTCTATTTCCAAAGAAATAAATATATTGTATGACCAGATTTGGTATCTAGAATAATTCAATATACAAAATTCAAATGAATTCAATTACTGCCCATACCGATTATTATAATTAAGATTACCGCGAATTCAAACCCAGAACGTTATAGAAATATTATTCATGGAGATTATGGAGTTACCATACACTGGAGCTACGACCTTAGATGCCATATAAACTCTAGGATACTACCATGCTTCCATGAATATTGTTAATTAAAGAATGATACAAACACCGATATCACAGACAAAGCTGGAAAGGTTGCATTGAATCAGCAGACTGCAGTTGTTAATTAAGCTTAAGCGTTAATGAATTGTATCAACAAAATGATCTTCATTGGAAATTACGAGAGAATATATCATCACATACGGTTTACGTAACACGTTACTGTGTACATATGGGTCATGTTAATACGTTCATTTTAGGGATTGGTTTTTGAATCTTGCACCATAAAAAGAAAGCTCCGTAATTGTGTTCTCGTTCTCTTGATAATATTTTCCATTAATTTATTACTCGTTTGGGATCTCAATGGTAATTGTTAATGTACCATAAAAGTAAACCTCAAAAACTCACACAGAATACACCACAAGGCTTACTAGGATCTTATTATATACTTGTGCTCTGATCGGGTTTAGGTCAAGTTTCATATTTGCTGATGTTTTACTCGCAATGATTAATTGGATTCCAATGTTGATTATAACTTATTAATCGAAGCCCCACTAATTGGATCACCTACAGATGAGATTAGATCTCAATTTTCAAACAAGATGTTTAAACTCTGGTATACTGCATGATGCAGTAGTTTTTTTTCCTGCTTTTTACACTCTGGTGTGATGCAGTTTTGTTACTTCCAAATATGGTCGGCTTTTATATGGGATATAAAAAAATTCGCTTTGGTATAAGCGAACATAGACCTCAAATAAAAAGAAATTGGCCCATTCATCTACATTGTCAATTCTAAAGGCCCCGTCACAGGATTGATCATCTACAAGTATTTGACACATCGATTTTGAATGACGATGATTTGATCTTGTTGTGACATGAATGAGAGAAATAAGATCTTGGTTTCGTATAAATTATGGACTGTTAATTGAATAATAGATATATTACATTGAACTGAATTAAGCTGCTAGATTTGTCATCTCATATCTCAAATCTACTTACGGTCTTGCGGAAAATTGCATGATTCAAGTAAGACGGACGTTATTCTCGTTTCCAGGAAGCGGATGCATACAAGAAGAAGAAATAATAAAAAATTCTGGAAGTTATATACAGTATGCTTGATGAGTTGAGGCTGACTTATAGAAACTACCATTCATTTATATATCATAGGATTGAAGTCTCATTTGTTTGCAGTTATGAAAAGAGGGAACATATGATATAAAGATTTTATTCAAAAGATTCATAGAAGTGTTGTCATCAAAAATATAATATGAGGGTCTCTATAATATCATTTATAAGTAAACTACTACTTACATTTATCGTTGCAAAGGGTGCTGAGCTAGATGATATTTTCACCAATATAGTCCTACCTCAAACATCAAATCTTCCAACTTCATCATGGGCTATAGAAGCTGATTATTCTTTCCCAGACACATCAAAAGTATCCATTGGTGATACGTTCAGCTTACACATGCCTGGTGTTTATAGAGTTAAATTTTCAGGGACTTCAGCAACTTTATCAGCAACTTATAATGGTGAAGAATTGTTCAGTTGTACATTTTTTTCTGGTGCTTATATATTGGATTACTCAGAATTAAATTGTGAAGTTACAAATGATTTATCAAAAATTAGTGCTAGTCTTACGGGCACTCTTGATTTTACAATCTATTTTGGTGCTGGTGGTAGTGCTCATGAAGTTGATATTGAGGAGGCAAATACACTTAAAAGCGGTACAAATACTATTATATTCAATGAAGTTTTGTCTGATACAGTTACATTCTCATCAACAACTTTTACAAATGACGTCTTCAAATATGCTCATACAACTGGGTATGATAGTGTCCAAGAATATATTTTATTTCCAGGGTGCTCATCTGCTGAATCAGATTTGACCATTAGTTTCGAGTTCGGATCGTCTGTTTCTGGTAGTGGTGAGGTTCCTTGCTCTAATGTTCAAGTTTATATGACTGATGAATTGAATGACTGGATGTTTCCAAAATCATATGAAGAACTTCCAGACGAAAATGACGTTACTTGTTCAGCACTTGGTGTCGGAGGTACCATCAAAAACATACCAGCTGGATACAGAGTATTTGTTGCCTATACACAAGATCAAGGTGTTTCCTCTCAAACTCTACAAAATGTGATTAGTTACAATTACGAATGTAAAAATCCATTTTTACCGTCTACTAAAACAGATAATCTTGAATGGAATATCGGGGTGCTTGCTAGAACCGCTACAGCTGATGTTGTTCCTATTTATATTGAAACTACAGGATATACAGGTACAACTACCTCTTTCACAAGAACTAGAGATAGTGTTTCAGCTAGTGGTGAAACATTTATTGTTTACACACCAATACCATCAACTTATTGGACAACAACAACCAATTACTGGTCAAATTCTTATACTTCAACTGAATCAACCATCGATTCTGGCTCATATACAGGTACTGTTATCATTGACCTACCATTATCTTCTAGCTCAAGTGTTGTGCCATCAAGCTCATCAATAGCTATTTCAGTTTCATCATCATCACCATCATCATCACCACCATCATCAAGCTCCAGCTTATTTCCGTCAAGCTCAAGTATGGCATCGCTAGCATCGTCCATAACCTCAATGATGAGTGTGAGCTCTTCTTTCAGTGATCGTCCAAGCTCCCCGAGCTTTGAATCTAGCTCAAGCTCAGATTCAAGTTTTATTTCAAGCATTGCTTCTAGCTCAGATAGCTCCAGTTCTCAAAAAAGTTTTATATCATCAAGCTTTTCCTCAGACTCATCGTTATCTAGTGCTACTCAATCCTCTTCAAGCGTGGATCTGGAATCAAGTAGCTTGATTTTCAGCACAGAAAGCTCTAGTAGCTCCCAATTCCAATCAACCTCTGTCGTTTCTAGCTCATCCTCAATTTTGTCTCCATCAAATGGCGGGTTAACATCAAGTGACAGCAGTTCAAGCTCAAACTTACCAATTTCATCATCAATTTCAAGCTCTGGTGATTCAAGCTCACTTTCTAGTTCAATTGAAAGCTCTTTTGTCAGCACATATTCTTCTTCAAGCTCACGTTGGTTATCAGTGTCTAGTGGTTTAAGTAGCAGCTCTAGTTCAGATTTTTTCAGTTTCCCGTCAAGCCAATCAGTGGCTTCAAGCTCAATATCAAGTTCTCCAAGCTCATCATACATTTCAGCTTTTACATCATCCCTATCTATAACTAGTGATCTATCTAGCTTCAGCTCAAGCCAAGAAATTTGGTCCGAATCTTCAATTTCAGTCAGTATCAATTCAGGAACAGGCTTTAGCACTACATCAAGCTTTGAAAGATCTTCATTATTTTCAAGTTCACCCTCTAGTATAACTCTGAAATCATCATCAAGTTCTGAGGAGTCATCTAGCTCAAGTGAAGTATCTGAATCAGACTACATTTCAAAAAGCTCAAGTGATAGCTCAAAATACTCTTCTAGGAGCTCCGTTTTTGTGGGAAGCTCCTTCCAAATCTCCAGCTCAAGTTCCGCTGCTGCTTTACCATCCAGTTCAAGCTCGCATTCATTATCAAGCTTTTTATCGTCGAGAGACTCATCAATCTCATCGATTGAATCTTCAAGCATAGAAATGTCTTCAATATCGTCATTCTCCCCACTCTCACCGTCATCCTCTTCAGCTTCGTTCACATCTATTACAACTCCTGAGATTTTATCATCCTCACTTTCATCACAATTATCAACAGAACTTTCATTTTCCAGTGAAACTCCAGAATCAAACAGCTTACCGTCTCAAATATCACCGTCATTACCGTCATCAATTTCAAGCACTTATGAGATTATTAGCAGCTCATCTAGCTCCTCTTACACGCTAGATCCCGCATCATCATTTGTTTCTTGGTCTAACACTTCGGTATCATCAGTTTCTTGGATTTACGCTAGTTCGGAAAGCTCAATAGAGGTTTCAAGCTCTCAAATTTCAAGTAGGGAGTCATCAGCTGAAGTTTCCAGCCCACCAAGCTCATCATCCTCAAGAACAGCAGCAAGCTCATCGTCCTTTTTCAGCACAGGCTCAGAGTCTTTCATTGAAACTCCAATTGCTTCAAGCTCAACATTTTCAAGATCCTCCTCAAGTGTTTCAGGGTTAGAATCTTCAATCTTTTCATTTTTGAGTGACTCAACTCCATCATCCCAAGATCCAGTATCAACTTCATCAACCTCAAGCTTGTTATCGGGTTCATCTTCAGATTCTTTTACCTCAGTTTTATCAATCTCAAGCTTGTCATCAACTGATGCTTCAACCTCAGAGTCACCAAATTCAGGCACATCTTCATATTCATCAACTTTAGCTTTATCTTCAGGTTTTTCGTCCGCTTCATCAACTTCATCAACATCAATAGCTTCTGCTTTATCATCAGCCTCATCATCAGCTGTATCAGCTTCAATTTCATCAACTCTTACTTCATCATCAACTTTATTGTCTCTAGCTTCCTCCTCAAATTTATCATTGGAATCAGAGACATTGACTTCAACCATAGCTTTATCATCTAGTTCAATTTCATCAGCTTTAACTGTCACACGAATTTCCTCTGAAGAAAGTTCATCATATACAACATCGAGCTCACTTATTTCAAGAAGCGATATCACGTCAAGCTATGAATTATCTTCGTTGTTATATTCATCATCTATAGAGGCATCATCATCAAGCTCCATATCTTCAGAGTCACACTCTGAGTTCTCAAAAGTATCATCATATTTTTCAGAGACCTCATTATCACCTTCATCACCACCATCACTACCTTCAGGATCCAGTGGTGCAAATATTTCATCACCATCATCTTTAGATATGAGCAGCGTTAGCAATGTTTATTCAACCAAATCATCAACTGAACAATTTATTGAACCATCAACTAGTTCAGTTTCGTTTTCATCTTCTGCACTTTCAAGTAAAGTGTCTTCATCAGTGGTGTTATTACCTGTCTCAACTTTAGCATCTAGCTCAACCACAATGTTCCCAATAGCTGAGTCAAGCCAACCACATTCAGCTTCGAGCTCATCGTCAAAAGTATTTCAATCATCTTCAATTTCATCATCCCAATATTCAAGCTTAAGTCCAAGATCATCTATTACGACAAGCTTAGAATCATACACATTATCACAAATTTCTTCCAACTCCTCATTGACTTCTTCTTCATCAACAATAAGAGCTAGCTTAACAGAGAGCTCATCATTGGCCACAGAGTCTAGATCACTAACTTCAGATTATAATGAAGAGTATTCATCATCAACGCCTGGTTCAACTTCAGGAGTAAGTGATGTTTCCACAGAGCTATCAACCTCAAAGTATTGTGAATCATCTTCATCGGTTTTTGAATCAAAATCTACACAAACTATAAGCTCAAAATCATCAGTGTCAGTTACATATTCTGGAACATCAATTGACTACAGATCCTCAAAGACTTCAAGTGAAATGAATGATGAGCCATCTTCACCAGTTTATTCTGCCTCTAATACTATTGGAACCCAAACTGTTTCTTCTGAATCATCTTGGACAGACATTACATCCTCTACAATGTCACCAGATCCATCTTCAACAACATATTCAACATCAGCTAATAGTTTGAGCTCGGAATTTAAAAGTTCAAGTGTCGTTGAATCATCTTTAAATGCTTCATCAGCATCAGGAATATCATCATCATTTACCATAGAGACTTCAGAAGTGAGTTCTAGAGCTGTTAGTAATGCAGTTGAATCTTCAAGTTCTAGTTTAATATATACTCATACATCAGTTGATAACCAAAGATCATCACAATATGGATCATCAAAATCTAGCATTGTCTCAAAATCAATGACCCACTCAAGTGCTATAGAATCAGAGGTTAAATCTGTCATTACAGATTCATCAAACTATGTTTCATATTCAAGCTTTTCAGATTATAGCACAACAAGATCCTCAGATTTAGAACTAAGTTGTTTGACTTGCTCATATCCATCACCCTCATCAACTACTGAAGCATCACCAGAGAGCCCAATCAGTGCTTCTAAAACTGAATTATCAACTGGACAAAGTGAATCAACATATTATTCATCTAAAAGATTACCTCAAGATTCATCATCAGAATCAACTAAATCATCCACTACATATTTGACTCCTTCATCTTCCCCAAATTCAACATCAAAAGCCCCATTGATTGTTGATTTACAAAGCACCACAGTCAATAATCAATCATCTTCAGTCCCTAATAACCAAAGATCATACCAACTCACTGAATCTACAACTACTAGTTTACAAGCTCAAGGTACAACTATAGGTGAACCCCAAATTTACTCATCAATTTCATCAGTTCCAACGATAACTTCAAGCCCTCTTAATGTTCAATCAACTGCTACAAAATCAGAATCAACTAACCTACACTCTACATTTCAAACTTCAACATCATCTGCATCATCTGATACACAAAGTGTGCCTTTTGTCTTTGAAGGGTCAGCTCAATCAGTAAAAGCTCCGGTTTCACCGATTATGTTCATTTCAATTTCAATGATCATTTTCATTTTCATTAGTTTGTTTTAATAATCTAGCTACATTTTACGTTCTTTGGATAGCTAGATCCCTTTTATTTGATACCCATTAATATTAATATAGAATAGATTTTAGAATTATATTTGTAGCTTATACATTTTTGCTCTTCTTGGCGGTACTATAATAATTAATTTTGTAGTATATAAAGTATAAAGCTCATTGAGATAGGGGTTAACAGGCCCTGGTGTAACCCGAACATAATATCTCGGTTCAAATCCCAAATATTTATTGAAATTAAGGTTATGAGTTCCCTTAGAGTGCTAAGATTTAAATTTGCCATTGATCAGATACTTATTTGCCTTGAAAGGATGTTTTTTGAAGTTAGATTTCTTCTTGTAAAATCATCATGTGTATGATATAAGATCGAGACATAATGTCTGCGTACTCAGAGCAGGATTTCCTAGCGGACAAATATACAACATACAGACCGAAGTATCCAGCTTCCTTCTTCCAAAAACTGATTAGCTATCACAATGGAGACAAAAAATTGGCTGTTGACGTTGGTTGTGGTCCAGGGGAGGCAACCTTTCCATTATCCAAATACTTTGACCATGTGATAGGGATTGATAGATCCAATGTAATGGTCAAACAAGCTAATCAAATCAAGGACCTTAATGGTCATAAAAATGTTGAGTTCAGAACAGGTAACGGTGAAGTATTGCAGCTTAACACAAACTCAGTAGATCTAGTTGCAGCTGCTGAATCCCTTCATTGGTTTGATCAATCAAAATTTGTTCAGGAATCATATAGATTGTTGAGATTAGGTGGTACATTAGCCTATTGGGGATATACTGATCCTGTGTTTGTTGATTATCCAGATGCATCATTTATCTATAATAATTATGTCTATCTTGAACCTGAGTATCTTGGTCCATATTGGGAAACACCTGGGATTGATTTATTGAAAGCTGGGTATAATCACGTTGAACTACCACCAGATCTATTTGGAGAAGTTAAAAGAGTTGATTATGAAGCTGGAACCAGAAATAGAGAGGCATTAGTGATGAAGAAACAGTATTATGGTACAAGTCAACTTAAAAATTTCATGAAAACATGGAGTGCTTATCATATTTGGTGTAAAGTTCATCCAGACTCTCCAGATGTTATTGACTTACTGTTTGATGACCTTAAGAAAAACCTTCATTGGACTGAAGAGACAGTTTTGAACGTGGAATGGAATACATTTTACGTGTTCGCTACGAGGATGTAGCATGACACTTATATAAGACAATGTGTACATAATTAGGATGGTATACCTACATTCAGCTACAATATACACATTTCAACTGATGCTATTTCACTATTTGATCCAATTGAGCTTCTCAGTAATATTGTGTATTGTGTATTGTGTATGCTCATACAATGCGTATTGCGAATTCGGGAATGCCAAAAACAATTTCCGCTTTAATAAACTACTACCCCGATAATTGTGACACTAATATGACATTGTGCTATTGTGTTATTGTGACAACGGGGCCATTATCGCATACATTAAATCTCATTAATATTCAACAGATCGAATATATAAAGTAAACGGCTGATCCTAGTTTTCCAGGGTTCAAAAATTGACCATATTTAACAAATAATCAGTAATTCATTATGTCCGCTTACTCTGACACAACTTTCAGAGCAAACGATTACAATTCGTTCAGACCAACTTATTCTAATGATGTGTTCAAATTCATCAACCAATATCACACTGGTGGTCATGATTTAGCTGTTGATTTGGGATGTGGTCCTGGTCAAGCCTCTTATCCATTGACTGAATATTTCAAGAAAGTTATTGGTACTGATTTATCACAAACTATGATTAACGCTGCCAATGGTAAAAGAACAGATGAATATAAAGGAAAGATTGAGTTCAGACAAAGTCCAGGTGAATCGTTGTCATTTTTAGAAGATAACTCAGTGGATTTATTCACAGCTGCTCAATGTGTTCATTGGTTTGACCATGATAACTTTTTCAAGGAAATTAATAGAGTTTTAAAACCTGGTGGAACTTTAGCTTATTGGGGGTATGTTGATCCAGTGTTCAATGTTCCTGAAGCTGATAAGATCGTGGATGATTACACTTATGAAGACCCAACTAAATTAGGCCCATATTGGGAACCTGGTCGTTTTATTCTTAGAAAGCTATTGAAAGATGTCCAACCACCACAAGAACTGTTTGATGATATTAAAGTTTACGAAGACAAACCAGGAGTTCCTTCAAGTCAACAATCACCATTGCAAATCAAGAGAGAAATACCATTAGAATTTTATCAAAAATATGTTCAAACTTGGAGTTCATACCATTCATGGAAAAAGGCTAATCCAGATGCGCCAGATGTTTCTGACCAACTAATTGAAGAGTTGAAGGCCAAAGTCAAGTGGAATAACAACACTAAAGTCAACATTCAGTGGCTCACAGTCTTGAAATTGGCTAGAAAGAGATTAAAATAGTTGTGAGATTTATATAATGAATATACATAATCCCGGAATTCCTTCGTAAAAACGTGACTTGTAGCCATATTTTAACTACTGAATTCCGACCTTCAAAAATTTTGGTGATCTTTTAGATTACGAAATCTCGAAAAGAAAAATTATGGAACTTTTTCAAAAACCGTTCAGTGCTTACAAACTTCACAAAGGGTTTTATAACTAAACAACACACGATAATAAAGAGAAGATGGCTGTTATCGAAATTCAATCAGAAGACCAGTTCACAGAATTAACAAACGAAGCTCCAAAAGATAAGCTTATAGCAATTTATTTTCATACTCCTTGGGCTGCTCCATGTATTCAAATAAATTCAGTCTACGCACAATTATCCGAATCAAATCCACAATCAACATTCATTTCAGTTAATGCTGATGAACATCCAGATATATCAGAATTATTTGAAGTCAGTGCTGTTCCATATTTCATTTTAATTAGAGATGATACCATTCTAAAAGAATTATCAGGCGCTGATCCAAAAGAATTTATCGCCGCTTTAAATGAATTACAAACAACTTCAACATCAGCTCAACCACAATCCACTCAAACTCAACCACAAACTATCGCACAACCACCACAACCACCTCAAGAAGAAGAAGAAGAATCACCAGAAGCGTTGAATGCACGTTTAAAACAATTGACCGAAGCCGCACCTGTTATGTTATTCATGAAAGGTACACCAGCAGCTCCTCAATGTGGGTTCTCTCGTCAATTAGTTGCCATTTTAAGAGAACATCAAGTCAGATTTGGTTTCTTTGATATCTTGAAAGATGACAGTGTTAGACAAGGTTTAAAGACATTTTCAGACTGGCCAACTTTCCCTCAATTATACGTTGGTGGTGAATTCCAAGGTGGTTTAGATATCATCAAGGAATCTATTGAAGATGATCCAAATTTCTTCAAGAGCGCACTTGAAGCTTGAACCATATGATGGAATGTATTATATTTTAGTACTGTGAGATTTTTGGGATAATATACAAATTATTTAATTTCTACCTACATATACCATTGAATGTAGCTTGATTAATTTTCAATAAATATATTGTATTTACGTTCTATATAAATAATTAGAAATCCGAATCATCAAAGTCATCATCTTGTTCAAAATCATCCAAAAATTCAGCATTTCTTTGTGATTTAATGGATAATGTTGAGTTCAGTGAAACTAAATTTGGCTTTTGGGATAAACTAACCAGTTCTTTTTCGAATGTATCATCTTGGCCAAAATCTTCAGTTGTTTCATCATCACTATCTGCAATTGGATCATCGTCGAATTCAGAATCACCCCCTTCTGATGACGATGAATCATTGTTTACATCTTGATTTACCTGGAAATATAGATCACGAACTTCTTCATCTGGGACAATATCACCATCTCCAAAAATTTCCCTAAATGGACCACCAAGCCTTTCCGAAATAACGGTATTTTGCAACTTGTTGTTGACTTGAAGCTCTTTGGGAATTGGTTTACCAGAATACTTTAAATAATGAAGCATAGATTTGTTCTTGAAGCCACGTTGTTTGTTAATAATTGGTTCATAAAATCCATAAAATAGATTAGAATCTTGAAATGATCTATGTGCTTGTCTTTTTTTGAATTCCGTTTCTATGTATTTTTGTATATCCGATTTAATATTAGCTATACTTTTATTTGCTTTCCATTCCCTTGGAAAGGTTGTTGCTGCATGTGTATTAGAGCTTTCAGTCGAGTCCAAGATTCTAAAATGTGTTCTTGTACTTCTAGTGGCAATCTCTAATGATGTATCTTGTGAACCAAATAAATCAGATAAACTCAGACCATCAGAAATATTAGCAGCTGTTTCTAAACCAAAATCAGATTTATTGAATTTGGAATAATTCTCTAGTAAACCAAGTTTTAGTATTGTTGGTTTTGATGCAAAATTTTTCATAACTTTATCCATGGCAGCCAGATCATCTTCACCTTCATTTTTAGAACCAAACAAACATTTACCAATAGCATGAAACAATGATACACTAGATTCTTTACCAATATGTAACATATCTTTTCCTAGACCTGGATGATTGAATTTCCATTCTGCCCAGAATTGAAAAGCTGATATGGACGATCTAATATCACCGAATTCACTTAGTTCTTTGATTTTCTCATCAATCTCTGATTTACCAATACTTTTGAAAATCGATGGCTCATGTGATTTAATATCCTTAAGTACTCTTTTAGTTAGTAATGTATTGACAGGATTGAATTTTATTCTTTTGACTCTTGGATTCATCAAGAGCTTTCGACCTAATATGGTTTCAGCTGTATAATTATTATCAATATTATAACCTTGGCTTGCATTACCATCATTAGAAAATTCACACTCAGTAATACAAATAATCAGCGGTGGTGTTCTAAGATCGTTATGAATCCAATGAAAAAGTGATTTCTGGAAATCTTCCCTTGTAGCTTCATGAAAAACATTTGGTAAATCTTCAACGAGTATTAATGATAAATTTTTACCCATTCTATATTTTGCAGACATGAGAAACTCACTGAATTGTGTTATCGATGACCCCGAAGCATTATCATTAGTATATTCAAGTACATAATCGTTATTTTGATCTTTTGAAGAATGTCGTACTTCTGGGACTAATTCTTTCCCAAGACATGAGGCAATCGTACTTTTAGAGGCACCAGCAGGTCCACTTAGCACCAGTAATCTCAGATCAGAGCTTCCCTTGACCATCTGCTCTATATCTTCCTTCACCTCTTTTAGCTTCTTGTTATGTAAAGCAACTTGATTTACGGTTTTTGGAGTATATTTATGTACCCATTGATCTTTGTCATCTTCTAATGGTTGTAGATCTGATTTGGGTACTGGATCTGGTGTTGGTGATCTTGTTGTTTGTGGAGTTGCGGAGAATGATCGTATCCTATTTCTAAGTGCTGATATTTTCTGCTTCTTCGGTTTTGGTTCATCTTCTATGGTTTCTATGGTCTCTATTGTATCTTCATCTTCATCATCTGTTAGGTTTATGACTTGTATAGGTTTTTGCTTGACAGACCTTTTTGACCTTCTGGGCTGCACTTCCACTTCTTTGTCTGACCCTAACTTCTTTCTTGCCCTAGGCATACTATAATAATACACTATGTCAAGGGGCCTTTCCAATTAGTAAATGTCTTTCAGTCAAAAGACCACTTCCCACCACACCAAAGAAGCTCTTCTCATATAGATTTCGAAAGTAAACAAAAAAAAAGTAGTGTCCTTGACGAAATCTCTTTCCACCCAAAACCAAATAAATTATTTAAACCAAATCAGGTCATCTAACTTACACTGGGCCAACTTAAGGAGCGATTAAAAGAAAGGCGCTTTTGAAGCAATAACCCATAATAAACACACTATTACCACACGGAAGCTGTTGTTTCAACTCAAGATCACCGCTCAGTAATTGCAGACGCAAAGGAAATAACTCGCAATTCAAATTTCATTAAAATCCTTTACATTGACACACAGTTCCACTATTCTTAACAGGGCCAGATCCTTTATTTCTAACAACCAGAAAGACATTGAAAATGTCGTCAGGCACGGATATATATTCCAATGTGGAGCCATCAAAGGTGGTCACGGGTGTCCCTGTCTTCACACCCACCATGGAGCAGTTTAAAGATTTTGAAAAGTACATGAAAGCTGTCAATAAGTTTGGTATGCAATCAGGTATAGTGAAAGTTGTACCACCAAAGGAATGGATAGAGTCATCTACAAAAGTGACAACTGAAGCGCTTAAGTCTATCAAGATCAGAAATCCAATCGTTCAACATATAAACGGGAATAATGGTGTTTTCGGTCAACAGAATATTGAGAAACAGAGAACTTTTAATATTGTACAATGGAAAGCACTTTCGGAACAACCAGAGAATCAACCACCTGCACCAAGAGGTAAAGCAAGAAATCCAAATACAAACGCAAAATTGAATAAAAAGATATTGGCAAATAAGAATCATAATGATGAGAGTCTTTTTGAAGGGTTTGATTATAACATAGACACATCAGAATTTACACCAGAAAGATGTGAAGCATTAGAAAGATCTTACTGGAAGTCACTTACATATGCTCAGCCAATGTATGGGGCTGATATGATCGGGTCTATATTTGATGACACCGTTAAAGTCTGGAACGTTGCTCATTTGCCAAATGCTTTGGATTTTATGGATCAAAAACTACCAGGTGTTAATGATGCATATCTTTACGCTGGTCTTTGGAAAGCTACATTTTCATGGCATTTAGAAGATCAGGATTTGTATTCGATTAATTATATTCATTTTGGGGCGCCAAAGCAATGGTATTCCATACCACAAGCTTCAAAAGATAGATTTGATGAAGTCATGAGAGATACATTCACAGAAGACTATAAAAATTGCCCTGACTTCTTGCGTCACAAGACATTTTTGGTATCACCAGCCTTTTTAGAAGCTAGAGGTGTCACTGTCAATAGGATTGTTCATAATCAGCAAGAGTTTATGATTACCTATCCTTACGGTTACCATGCTGGGATGAACTTCGGCTATAACGTTGCAGAATCTGTTAATTTTGCTATTGATGAATGGTTTGAATATGGGCTTAAAACATCAAAGTGCCTTTGCGTTCCAGATGCTGTTGATATTGATGCCGCAAGATTATTGAGAAGAGTAAAAGGTGAACCAGAGCCAGAGCCAGAATCAGATTCAGAGCCGGAACTAGTGGGGCCTGATGATGATACAGATAAATTACCAGAGTTGATCCATGAAAATGACTTCAACAGCTTTACGAGTCAGTCCTCCATAGAAACTCAAAGAGAAGCGCCACTTCGTCTTTCAGAAAAACAATATACTAGCCCAAACAAAAAGAGAAGATTATCAGTTACCATCAAAACTACCAGCACCAAGGACACTGAAAAGAAACACAAAGGTCCCCAATGTATCCTTTGTCCAAATAATCTTTCATTTAAACAAACCAAATCCTACGATTTTGAGCTTTTGAAAACGGAAGATCATTCAATTGGTGGCAAACCAGCATTTGTTCATAGAATTTGTTCAAGATTTATACCAGAAACTCAAGCAATAATTGATATTGAACAAGGTGAATATGTATCAGGTATACAAGACATCCCTAATGCAAGAAAAAATTTAAAATGTGGCTTTTGTCATCTTAAAGGTGGTGCTTGTTTCCAATGTTCAGATTTAAAATGTAAAAGAGCATATCATGCAACATGTGCTTTACCATCAGGAGTTCATATAGTCAATGATGATGAGTTTTATTGTAAATTCCACAAGGTCAAGCCTGATAATAATTATGAGTATTTATCATCACTTCATTTAGGTGATTTAATCCAAGCTAAATTTAATGACTATTTTGCTGGTACAATAGTTGCTAATAATAAAAGTGAAGCTTCGGTTACAATTGATATATATCCTACCGTTGAATCTACTAGAAACTTGCTGGAGGTCCCATATGAGTCAATATGTCCACAAGGTGTGAAGATTAGACAAAAAGCGAGAAGGGGTAAAAAATTGAAAAGTCCTTCACCTGAAATTGAACAAATCGCCAGTATACCAGAGCTTAAACAAAAGCAGGAACTTGAGGCTTCACCACCACTAGATCTGAATGATGATCGTCATAAATCTTCAAATGAGAACTATAACGATATCAAATGGGCACATGAATTTTTCAAGAACAGAGAAGTCATTACCGTACCAAATATTAATACACAAGAGCTGTGGTATTATAAACCTGGACACTCGACAGATCAAATTGCAAGATTTTCCAATGATATCAATATCAAAGAACCTAATGACCCATTGTCAATCAGATATTATCGTCGTAAAAATGGTATTCAAAATAAGAAGATACAACCACCTATAATACCAATTGTTCCAAAAAAATCACATTCACCACCATTGCACGTTGAAAATAAGTATTTACCTTCTTCACTAAATCAAAATTACATACCTTTCACCCATCCATCACCTGCCGACCACAGCTTAAATCATGAATTACCACAGTCAAACATGATAAACTTGCTACCACAAACAATGACTCCTCCTCCACAATGGAATATTTTAAACCCACCAGAAAACCAATTTGGACCTATTAATGATATCAATAACCACGGGTTTCAACTAAATCATAAATAAATATAAAAAATTCAAACACATTTGCTAATCAATACGTTAACTTTCAACCAGTTATCACAAATAGCTATTCTAATGACATTTTACTTACGAATCTACTTTATTTAAATTTATTAATATCATGAACTTATTATTATTATTCTAATGTACACGTTTATATATAAATTATCATCACTCCCCAACGGAAACCCATCGGAGCATATCATTTAAGAAGCTATTTCATAAAGCATCGATCAATTTACCGATACTTTGTAAGGCATTCTTTTGAACAGTTTCATTATAGATCAAAACACCTTCACCGGCACCATTTTCAGAATTTTTAAAACCCTGTTTCAACAATCTTGCAATATCAGACTGTAAACCTAATGGAATTGCACTTAATTGATTCAATTCAGTTCTTTTCAATTTTGATGTATGCTCAAATGTTTCTGCTGCAATTTCTGAATTATCAATAATTTCTTTTTCAATACCACACATACTTGCAACATGCATACCAAATGAACCTTCAGCTGCACCTTCTTCTAATTTATATAAAAATGTGATATTCTTAGACTCATTGTCCACAATGATGGCCATTCTAAATGGTTTAATTTGAGGATGGTTTTGGAACGATTGACCCAATGAACCATAATGTGTTGCAAAGAACCCTAAGGATTGAATATGTGTAGCAACATGATGTAAAACAGCTTCTGCAATAGCAAAACCATCAGATGAAGAACCACCTCTACCTAATTCATCCAAGACTAGCAAGGATTTTGGTGTAGCATTTTCTAAAATTCTTTTGGTTTCTGATAATTCAACAAAGAATGTTGATTTTCCTTGCATGATATTATCATTTGCTCCTAATCTTGTCATTATTCTATCAACTGGTGTTAAAGTTGCAGATTCACAAGGAACATGAGATCCGATTTGTGCCAAAAGAACTGCAATACATGTCATTCTTAAAACAGTTGATTTACCAGCAGCATTTGCACCAGTCAATAATCCCAAATTTGGCGAAGAACCACCTAATGAAATGTCATTTGGAATAAAGTCTTTTGATGCAGTAATACCCATGTTGAAACAAGGATGTCTCAATTCTTTAAATTCTAAAATACCAGTTTCTGATTCAACAAATTTTGGCCTGACACTTGGAAACCCAATTGATTCTGATGTTTTAGCTAATGATACTAAACAGTCAATTTTAGCGATTGCATTGATCGCTGAACTCCACACAGAATAATCGGTATCAAATCTTTTGAACATTCTAGTGATCAACGATTCTTCAATTAGTTTATGACATTCTTTGGCTCTTGCAATATCTTTAGCCATTGTTTCAACTTCCGGTGACCAATATCTAGTTGTCTTTTTGGATGCACCCATTCTTTTCCAATCTTTTGGAACTGTGATTCTTGAAGGCATTTCAATTGTATACAATTCTTTACCGGAATCTTTGTAATTGATTTCTTGTGTTTTGAAAGTTCTTCTATATTGTTTAATGGTTGCTTCTAATTCATGTTCTAGATCTTTAATTGTTGAAACCGAATCATCATAGTCTTGTTCAATACCCTTACTCAAGATCAATACACCTTCATCTTTGGCTTTAACTCTATCAAAAGCATCATCCCATTTGGATAAAGAATCCTGAATTTCATTTGGGAATTTTGAATAAATTTTACCCAATGAACCTTTCATTTCAAAGTTTTGTAGTTTCTTGTATAGTTTAGCAATGTCTTCAAACCCTTCAATAACTCTTGTGAAATCTTTCAATTTCAATTGTGACGCATGAACTCTTGATAATAATCTTTCTAAATCTGGTAGTTTAACCAATGAAAATTCAATGGTTGATCTGAGGTCACCATCTTCAAGTAATTGATCAACAGAATCTAATCTAGCATCAATATCAGTTTGTTGTAATAATGGGTGAACAACCCAAGTTTTCAATAATCTTTTACCAAATGGTGTGGTTGCTCTATTAATCAATTTAAATAAGGTTCCCTTTTCTGTACCATCAAATGAATTTGCAAATATTTCTAAGTTTTGTAAAGTTTGACCATCCAATACTAAATTTGTTGATGGTTTAATTGTAGTATATGGTGATATGTTACCAATTGAAACTAAACTTTCATCTAATTTTAGGGATTGTAAATACCATAGTAACCCACCAAAAGCTGAAAAACCAACAAATTTTTGTGTTTCATAAAATTCTTTTAATGTTTTTGGCCAATTTGATAAATCATCTAATGATTCTGCAGGGAAATATTTCCCACGAGTTAAAGTTTCAAAAGTTGTATCAAAATCATAAAATTCAGATTCAGATTTAATATAATTGAAAATTGCATTATTTTGTGAATTGAATTTCAAAATTCTTAGAGCTAATTGTGATAAATTATTCTTGGAGATGATCAATTCTTTTGGTCTCAATTGAGATGCCAAAGTTTCTAACTTGGTACATTCACTATCATCTTTAAATTCAGTTAATTGTATTTGACCTGTTGCAGTATCAATAAATGCAACACCAAAGACTTTACCATTTTCATTTTCAGGATCAACATCTTCCTTGACTGCAATACAATAAGTTGCCATATCATCACTTAACATACTTTCATCAGTTAAAGTACCAGCAGTCAAAACACATTTTAACTCTCTTTGAATAACATCTTTTTTACCTTTTGGAGCTTGACCGTTAGATTCTCTAATTTCTTTTGCCAAACCAGTTTCGATTTGATCAACTTTTGCAACTTTATAACCTTTTGTAATGAATGAAGTAGCCCAAAAATCAAATGACATCTCAGGGATACCTGCTAATTGCATATTGGCTCTACCACCACCGGCAATTTTCAAGTCAAATTCATTATGTGCAATCATTGCATCTTTTTCATATAATTCATAAAATTTACCCTTTTTAAAAAAAACAATACAATCCCACATTTTACTTTTGATTTCCCAATATTGTTTTTCAAAATTTGTGAATTTAGCCCATGCAGATGATGGGATATAAAGAGTTCTTGGATCATATTGTGGATCTGTTATTGAATTACGATCAGCATCACGAATATCAATAAGCCATTGATAACGTTCTTCATTTTCTTTTGTGAATTTTTGTGATTTTGTTTGGGCTTTTGGTGGTGTTGGTGATTTTGTAACTGGTTGTGATACTTTTGCTTTATAAGGTGAAGCTGATGTGAATTTATTTGATAAGTTTGTTTTTGGTTTTGTTGAAGTTGCAATAGGGGCCGGTGATTTTGATTTTGGTTTTGTAGAAGGTTTCGTTATTTCAATAAAATCATCATCATCAAGATCATCATCCACATCTTGATCTTTTTTGTCTTCGAAATCATCTGGAACAACAAAAGCTTCATCCGCGTCATCTTCAGATTCACTTTTAGCATCTGGAACAAATTCATCTTCAGAACCATCATCAGCAATAACACGACGTTTCTTACGCTGTCTTTGAGTCTTGGAGACTGACAAATCACCTTCTTCATCGTCATCACTATCTTCATTATAACTGATTACATTTTTTCTTTGTCTTCTGGTTGGACTTGATGGTAATTTTGCAGGGGATGAAGATGGATCAGATTGTTGTTGTTTAGATTCTTTTAATGGTCTTTTAATAACAGATGAGTCAGTGGCTGGTGTGGCTGGCAACTTGATTGGTGCTTTGACTTCTTCTTCCTCTTCATCATCTAAATCCACGGTGGTTTCGACCGTGTCATCTGGTTTAATATTTTCTTTATCTGTATGGGATGATTGAATTTGAGTGGTATCATTGGAATCTCTTGAAGGAGATGAAGATGGCGAAGGGAATGATTCTTGAGAAGTTGGTCTAGAGCTTGTATTATCTTTTGGTTTTGCAGTGTTTCCTGTTTTTGGTGATTGAGATTTTGAAAAGAAACTCATCAATGATGTTTGCTTCAATTTACTATTGGTTTGTGAGTTTGAACCAAGTTTCTTAGAACCACGAGGAGTGGCAGTTGAGCCTTCAGCTTTGACTCTAGCCATTGTTATATGATGCTCTTGTACTAATTCAATGACCTGTTAATCAGTTCAATTGAATAAAAAAGTAATACAAAGAAACTAAAAAGGTTGAAAATTGAAATCTATTCAATTGTATAGACGCGCTAAATTTTGGTATTTTGATAAACGCGCTATTCAATCTCCTGCGCTTAGCCAGCCTCTGAGAATTTGGAAGTTTACGCGAATCGCAGAAAAAAACTACCCATTAAAAAATTCGCGATCTGTTATTACCTAAGCAAAACTTTATTTTTCAAACTAGCCGCGAATTTTCCATCAACACCGGAGAATCACCTCAACATGGTGAATTATTCTCATACACAAAAAACTCTCTCTAATTGAACTCATCCCACTTACGTTAACCCGCGTGTAACTAGCTTCATGGGAGACTCGAACTAGAGAGAAAACAAGGCTCAATGACCTACCACCTGCTAGGCCAAAGCCACCTTTTGTAAAATTAATTGAGAATGATATGTACATATGGTGTAGCGCCGATTACATAATCATTCAGAAAGTATATGTGGACATAATTATCTTTTAGGAGACACTAAATCATCACTAACTCTCAGAATACCTTAATGAAACCTACAAACATCACTAAAAGAGCTTCAAACTATATAAAAGCAAAAATTGCAGGAAAGCGCAAATATCCGGGAATTTGCTCGACGCATCAGAAAGGCCATTTTCTTGTCTCAACAAAAGGAGGGTTGGCCGAGTGGTCTAAGGCGGTAGACTTAAGATCTACTGGACGATTGTCCGCGCGAGTTCGAACCTCGCATCCTTCATTATCTTTTTTTTGCACTAATTTTCTTTTTCGGGGGTGGTGAACCACTTTCAATGTATTTATTTTACTCAACTACTACACTTTATGATTTTCTATATATATATTTGTTAATTAGTACCTTCTTTCCACTGTAATAGTTGCATATTTCAAGGCTACGAAATTCGAATTCGACGATAAATGTTTTTTGAGATTCCGGTAGGAGCAGTCTTGAACCATTTTGAAAATTATAATATTAAGCACCATAAGCAAAACAAGTCTATAACTAGTGGCAACTTACAATTCCCAGTCAGGACTCAATCTTTCATTAAAATGTCAGGGTTAAAAGGCTACCTGAAGGCTGCCAAACAGGCCCTTCAAGATGAAAATCCAGAATACTGTATACAACTGGCGGAAGATGCTTTGAAAATAGATCCTGTAAACTATTTTGCCTATTTGTTCATTGGTAAAAGTAGTCATTTATTAGAAAAACTAGATGATGCTAAAAGAGCATATTATAAGGCAATTGATATAGATAATTATAATCAGAATGCATGGAAAGGGTTACAACTGATTGTTAAGGACAATGGTGATTATAAAGCCTTTTTCAAGTTTGCTGGTGAATATGCCGAAGTATTGGTCCATCTCCAAGAAGGTTTATCAGAATTTATCAGAGACATTAGACTTTATATCAAAAAATATAACACTCCAGAAATTCATGAAGAGTATTTAAGATCATTATTACCGGAGAGCAAATTAGGTCAGGCTACAGATGGTGTAATTGAGCCTTATTCAAAAGTTATTCGTCAATATTTAGACATAATACTGAAAAGAGAGAATGCAGATGTTTCAAGAGATACAACTCGTGAAAGATTAAAGTCTAAAAATCAAGCAAAAATTGATGCTATTGCATGGAGCCATTATGAAAACTCTCAAATCTCACATCTATATGAAGAACTAATCAATACATTAGATGATGATGAAGAAAGAAGAAAAACGGAAGAACAACATTTGAAATACAAATACAAAGTTTTAAAATCTGCACCAAATACTATTAAACCACAATTATTCAAAGAGATTAAAGATTTAGTGGAAGGTTTTGTGTTGGTGAAGCATACGTCATTCTTTGCATGGTCATTATACTTTGATTGGGTTGATCTCCCAGATTTAACTTTGGTTGATGAATCAGTTATCAAAAATTTTCTCAAACTATTCAAAAATGAACCACTTGGACAAATTATATATGCATTTGTATTGTCAGATTTATCACCTTTTCAAATTGATCTTGAAGAAGATTCTAAAAATTCCAAAAATAAACAAAAAGAAATATCTCAAGAAGAAGCTGAGCTAAAAGAATTAGAAGCTGATACGGCTACAGACGCATTATCACCAGAAGAAATATTAGCTTTGATGTTACAAGGTCTTGAATCGTGTAAAACAAGTTTAATAGCTTATAGAATTGTCATTTCATATCAAATTCATCTTAAATTATTTGAAGATGGTTTAAATAATTGTCAAGGTGCTATTCAGCTATTAGCAACATCAACAAGAGATACAGGGTTTGTGTTCCCAAGCACAAAGGAAGACTTATTGGTTGACTATGGTGTGATATTGACATATTATCAAGCCCCAAAAAATTTCAAAAGAGCCTTACAAATTTTTGACAATGTTCTCAAAGATGCTCCACAGAATGTTAGAGCCAGAGTTGGTAAAGGTTTAATTCTTGTTGAAAGAGGTGATTTACAGGACGCAAGAACCTTGTTAGCTCAAGTTTCTGAAGAATTTCCAGATAATGATGAAGCTACTATGGAACTATCATGGTGTCAAATTAGATTAGGCGAGTACAAGCCAGGTAGAGCTGGATTAGAAAAAGTCTTGGTGAAATTTACTGGGAATAGTCTATACATTTTAGAGTTGAGGGCCTCAGTTTATTGGAAGATTGCACAAAGTTACTTACTCGATCATGAAGATGGTGATTTATCAAAAGCCTATGAGAACTTGGTTCAGTCTCTAAGAGCTTCCAAAAATTATGCTCCTGCTTATACTTCATTAGGTGAAATTTATTTGAAAAATTATGAAGATGAAAAAAGAGCAACCAAATGTTTCTTGAAAGCTTTTGAAATAGACTCAAGTGAAGTCGTCGCGGCGTGGTATTTAGTTGATCAATTCACTTCAAATACTGATTGGAAACAAGCAGAAGTATTCTGTAAACGTTTGATTGAATCTGAAAATTCAAAACGCCGTTTAGGTAATGATTCATGGCCTTATAGAATCTTAGGGTGTGCATCATTGGAACTTCAAGATGATGCTAAAGCCGTTGAGTATTTCCAAAATGCTATCCGTCTTAATGCTGAAGATACAGAATCTTGGATTGGTCTTGGTGAAGCTTACTATGGGTGTGGTAGATTAGAGGCAGCTGTCAAAGTTTTTAAAAGAGCCTTGGAACTTGAACCTAATCATTGGACTGCTAAATATTTATTAGCAGTTGTGGAAACACGTATAAATGAATTTGATACAGCCATCGGAAGATTTGAAGACTTATTAAATACAAGACCAGATGAAGAGTGTATAATTTCTGGTCTTTATGATGCTTTATATCAGTATGCCAATGAAGCAATTACTCGTGGATTTTTTGGGAAGGCTATTGGATTGGTGGAAAAAGCCATAGCGCTTGGTCCAAAGGGTAACAAACAATCGTTAACTTTCTGGAAAACGACAAGTGATTTGATTCAAACCTATTTAATTGTTCAATCTAAAATCCATTCTTTCCCACACGAACAGCTATCAGATATTTTCAAAGATGCTAAGCTCGACACTGATCAAGACCTCATTACACAATATATTGAATCTGAGAAATGGGTTGAGCTGGTTGCATTATATCTTGTCTACTCAAATAAGGCTGCATTGGGCTTGAACTTCACCTCAAGACCTCTAAAATCATCAAGTCATTATAACTTTGGTCTTGCACAATTAGTGTCGTATTTGAAAACCAAGAACACAAAATATAGAGATGATGCTATCGATTCATTAAAAGAAGCCATCAAATTACAATCAAATTATGCAGAGCCATGGGTCGCTTTGGGTGTTGCTTCAATAAGTGTTAATCCCCGTGTGGCTCAACATTGTTTCATCAAAAGTACATCTATTGATCCAAAGAATGTCGAGATCTGGTCCAATTTGGCTTTATTATATTTAAGATATGATGATTCAGATTTAGCGGTTGAATCTTATAGAAAAGGCCAAAGTTTGGCACCAAGTGAACCTATTTCTTGGTTAGGTCATGCATTGGCTGCTAAAGCTGATGGTGATCTTGATACTGCTTCAAATCTATTTACTCATGCTTTTATTTTATCAAATGGTAGATCACCAGTTGCACAATTATTATATGGTTTGAATATTTGCTTGAAAAGAATTGGAAAGGGTGATGATGTTCAAGATGTGGAAGCTGTTCAAGAAATATCATCTGCAAGTCAGGGTATGTTGCAATATTTGAAACATTATCCATTAGACCCATTTGGTCTATCACTTACTTGTTTGATTTTGGAGAAATTGTGTGATTATGAATTAGGTCTTGAAATCTCAGAACAGCTCTTGGGTATATTAGAAACATCTTATGAAGAATCTGAAAATGAAGAGGTTTTACTTGATTTTGCAAGAATTAAAGCTCAGTATGCAAGATTTTCTTTAGGTGTTGAAAATTTCGATGTTGCAATTGAAGCAGCACAAGAGTGTTTGGAATTGACTGAAGATGATAAGACTACAATTTCATCTAGAACAGTATTAGGCCTTGCGTACTTCTTCACGGACAATTTTGATGATGCATTAGAAGAATTTAAAACAATTTTGTCATTATCAAATGATGCAAAGAGATTGGTTGTTTTGATTGCACAAATTTTGTATATCTATGATACTGAAGAAACTAAACAAGCAGCGTTAGATGAGTTGTTCCACAATATTGAAACTGCCGGATCTTCATTATTGGTCACATTAGTTATTGGTGCTATCTCGGTAATTGAAAATTTGGAAGATTACTTAGTTATTATCAAGAGTGAACTTGAAGCATTACCATTAACAGAATTGATCAGTGACAAGTTTAGAAATGTTCCATATTTATTATCACAAATTAGTAAGAAATTGAAAGAAAATGAACAATCTGTATGGCAAAAATCAGCATTTTTATTCCCAGATGATTTAAGAATTTGGGAGAACTTGGATTCAAATATCTCATTGAAGATTGCATCCAACGGTAAAGTTAATGCTCAAGAATTGAGTGATGCTTATCTACAATCTGGTGAACTACGTGATATTCAAAGAAGTCTTTTCATTTCTCCTTGGAATGCAAACAGCGTAAATGCATTGAAAGGATGTTTTTAAAACGTTAATATAAATTTAGTGATGATCGTGATTTTGTAGTAATTTGTAAACAGTAAATGCCCGAGCTCCTTTTGGCCTTATCAAAACCTTTAGGTCATGAAAAGTTCCAATCTCGAAGTGAAAACAAAGAACCTTTTAATTTAACCCAACTTCTTGCCCAATTCAATTGTTCCTAGAAATCTTTGAATATACCACACAGTCACAAATGTCATTACCGCTACGTCCTTTGAGACTTTTATTACTCGGTGCACCAGGTGCAGGGAAGGGCACACAAACCTCCAAATTACTCAAACATTTCACCGGTCTCACGCCAATAAGTTCTGGAGATCTACTAAGAAAAGAGATTCAAACCAAATCAGAGATTGGTAATTATGCTCAAGATATCATAGCAAAAGGTCAATTATTGCCGGATTCTCTCATCAGTGGGCTTGTTATAAACGAATTGAATAACAGAAACCTATTGAACAAGAATTCTTCCTGGCTACTAGACGGGTTCCCAAGAACATTACCTCAAGCTAAAATACTGAATGAAGATTTGGTTAGCAAAGCCTCAGATTTGAACTTGGTCGTTGAACTGAAAGTTCCTGAACGAGTAATATTAGAAAGAATAGAAAATAGATGGGTTCACGTTCCCTCAGGAAGAATTTATAATTTGCAATACAACCCACCAAAACAACAAGGTGTTGATGATGTTACTGGAGAACCATTAAGTAAAAGACCAGATGATAACGCTGAAGTTTTTCAAAAAAGATTAAATGCTTATAACGAGACTGTTGATCCATTGAAGTCATATTATAAAGATTTAGGGGTGTTACACTCTGTTGAAGGTGAAACTTCAGATATAATATTCCCAAAGTTATTGGACTTTATTCAAAATAAATTTAATTGAGTTAAAATATACATACAAATCAGTAATATTGACACAAGTTACGCATATTATTGAAAAATGTTAAAAAAAGCTTTCATCTATTGAGAATTAGATTCGGCTATATACTATGCTAACCACCCAATACATTTCTTGAAAATTTCAGTAAATGAACTACTGTAATTCTTATCTTCATCCCAAATAATTCTATCCATCTCTCTCCTTCCTGAATCTAGATCTAGCTGATCTAGTCTATGGATTCTTGAGCTCCCAAATATCTTATAGCCTGCGAAACAAATAACAAATAACATTAATGCACCGTAAGATGTGAAAAATGTCTTTGTATCCCATGAGTCTTTCAAGAATACAACAAATCCCATTAAAATTACAATCAGCATCGATCCTACCAGACCATAAATTGCTAAAAATGGTTGAAATGGAGATCTATATGGGTATGATGGATCATTTCTTGAAATTATATCTGGCCTCAATTTCAATCCATTGTAAAATCTTAAAAATGATAAACACATTCCTGACCACATAAGCATTGCAGTTGCCGATGAAATATTTGCAAAATCCTGGAAAGCCTCTAGAGCCCTATGATTGACCGATAAATAGGCCAAAAGACCAAAAGCACCTGAAAATAAAACTGAGATATATGGAACACCAGCTTTTGTACATCTTGTAAATATTGGTAATGCCTTACCTTGAGTTGCCATTGAGTATAATGTTCTGCTGGAAACGTATAAATGTGATGACCCTGCAGAAACAGCAAACACAACAAATATGCTATTCACTACTGATGAATAGGTGCAGAGGCCCGTGCTTTGCAAGGCAATGATCCATGGACTTTGATTTCCATTTGAATTCTGACCAATCATTGAAACTGGTGTACATTGGACATTCAGCTTCTCTATAAATCTTAATGGTAACGGATTTCTTTGGGTATCTGGTGTATAATACCTTAATAATCTTGGGTCCCCAGAGTAAAAATTCAAACCAACGAGGAAAATTGATAACAAGTATAGAATTGTAATTCTTCCAAATACCCGTTTTGTTACTGATGGTAAAGCCTTTCTTGGATTTCTACATTCCATTGATGCAACAAATCCAATTTCACTTCCTGTATAAGCATATGAAGAAATCAATGTAGATGACACAACACCTAATAATCGACCCAATGCGCCTCCAATTCCATTTTTTGATCCACTTCCGATATCATTCAAGTCAAACGTAGGTCTGAATGGACCATATGAAGCAACTTCTGTTGAAGCGGCTGAATTCCAATATGTAAAACCATAATGTTCTTTAACATTAACAACGACCATGGAAATCATCAGAGCAACAGTGAATAAAACTTTGAATAAACTAACACAATATTCAATATTTCCATAAACTCTAACATCAAACAAATTAACAAAAAGAATTGCAAATAGAAACAATGATACAAAACCGGCTGTTGAAGCACTGGGTATGTCTAATTGCTGATAATAACTCAACATAATAGTAGCAGCGCATACTTCCCCAGGCATAGCAATTGTAAATGAAAGCCAATAACACCAACCAAGTGCAAATCCGAATGCATCTTCAACAAATCTTGAAGCAAGACCTGAAATACTTGAGGTCGTGGGTATAAGAGTTGACATTTCTGCAAATGATAACATGGTGGCTAAAACTATAGAACCTGAAATAAAAAAGCCCAAAAAACAACCCAGAGGACCACCAATAGAAAATGCTTTCCCGGAACCTAGAAACAAACCAACACCAAGAGTACCACCTAATGCAACCATTTGGATTTGCTGTTTTTTTAGCTTCCGTTGTAGATGATACTTCCCATTGTAATTTCCATGATGGCCACTGTTCTCATTCCCATTTGTTCCATCACCACCGCCATTATTATTGAAAAAGGATTGTGATAAATCCATCTTAGATAAGTCAACAACCTCTGTTCTATTTGATCCCATTGATTCTTGTCTATAAAAATATGGTCTTTCATCGGAATGTCCTCCATTGTAACGTAGCCTTTGTTCATAAGCTTTGAACCTATGTTTGTTCTTCACCGCACGGGTCTCATCACCTGCATCGTACTGATCACTTATGTTTTTTGTAACTTTCAAACTATTATTTTGCATATCATTTAGCACTTTTTTGGTTTTTGCTTCCAATATAGCTTCTTTCTGAACCATTCTGTTATAAACATCGAAGTCTGAGAACCCTTCATTGTCTTCAATAACTTCACCTCCATGAAACATCTTTGTGAAAAAAAATTTCTCATTGGTTTTGTTATCCCACTGCTCAGCTTGGAACTCTTCTATCTTGTGTCGTATCTCATCGCTAGTTATAGAATCAACTTCATCTCCGTTATCAATATCAACTAACTCAATATCTTCATCTTCTTTAGCATTGTACTTGGGGAACCGATCAATCTTTGGGAACAGGTTTGGAAGAGGTACTTCGTTGAAAGAAGCCCTTCTATCCATTTTAAAGCGATCACACCCTAGCTAGTTTCAAAGAAAACCAAATCAATCTTTACAATATTTGATCATAAATATCTCGCTTTGTCATATACTTGAATTTTTCTAAATAGTAGCGCAGCTAATATTAATATAGAAATTCCTAGACTTCCTAATCGGGAAATAAAACTGAACGCGGAGACCATATTTTAGAACAAGATCATTTAACTACTGAGCTATAGTAAATTTCTTTAATTTGAATTTAATATATAAATATATGCCATATATTAATTGATCAAAAAAACTTGATCTATATGTACTAATTAACACACAGTAACGAGTAAGAACTTTCAAAACAGGATAAAACAAAACAAAAACTCATTATTGATATTGATATTAATTTATTGTATATATATTTGAATGTCAAATGAATGGGGTATCTATTGATGATTATTAATTATTATTATTGTTGTTGTTCACTTTCTTATTGCTTAGATGGCTCTTGGAACTTAATGCTAGTAGTTGGTCTCACTTCTGATCCCATTTGTTGAGAGTCAAGTTGTTGTTGTTGTGGACCTGGTGCAGAATTTGTATGATTTCTCTTAAAACCACGTCCAATCTCTTTCAAAACATTCTTAGACCCTTGTTGTTGTGGTTGATTTTGATCAACACTTGAACGAACAGTTTGTTGAGCTTGTGGATCATTTTGAACACGTTGTGTTGGAACAAATTCTTCTTCATCAGATTCATCTCTTGGTGCATCAACTTGCCCAATAGCTGCCAGTCTTCTATCTCTTTCAGCTGCAGTTTCTTCTTGAAACCCGGCTGGTCTTGGTGCTATATCTTCATCATCATCACTTTCTTCCGAATCTTCATCAGAATCAACTTCTTCACTATCTGATTCTTCTTCACCTGATGTAATTTCTTCCAAATCACTGTCAGCTTCTTCATGAATGGAATCATCATTAGCACGTACAGGCTCTGGTTGTTCTAAAGGTTCCAGCTGTAAATGGTCTTTGATTTCTGTATTTGAATTATCTAATGGTGATTCATCTTTATTAGCACCTATATTGGATTTAATACCAACAGCAGATAAAGCTTTACCAAATCCTCCAGCAATAGAACCAGATCTTGTTTTTTGTTGAACAGTTTTATGATGATTAATTTTATATCTTCTTAAAATTTCACCATCCTCATTTTCAATAATTAATTGATTATCTAATTTATAAGCGGTATATTTTGGACGATCTCTATTACCTGAATTAACACGTTCCAATATTGATGATGTTTTTCTTGTAAGTGAATTGATTGAAGATGAAGGACTCTTGGAACGTTTAGTAGAACTCTTTTTGGATCTACTAGATCTAGATGAATCATTCTTCTTAAGTCTATCTGGAACATCCATATTAGCTTGATCCAAAATTTCACCATGTTGATCTTCAATGATTAATTTATCACCTTCAGTATAAGCAGCACTTGGTCTTCTATTTCTTTCATAGTCTTCACCACCAGCACCATCATTATTTTCAGAAGTTTCAGAAGATTGTTGTTTTTCATCACTTTCTGTAGTTTCATTATACAAATCGGAACCATTCAGTTGAGCTTCTTCATCATTACCACCTGTTGGCCATGGGACTTTTTCATTAAAAGTTGTAGCTGGTGTAATACCTTGCTGAACAAAGCTATCATCAGGTGATGATGAGTTTGTGTTTTGTTGTTGTGATTCTTCTCTTCTTGGTCCACCAAGAGCAAATGCAGCAGCTTTGGCTTCTCTTTCACGTTGTAATTTTTCAATATCAGCAGCTGTAGTGTCAGCATTAGAATCACCATGATGTGAATGGATCTTATGTAGATGACTTCTACGTTTTTTACTCTTCTTACTCTTCTTTTTTCTTCTATCCATACCACCTGCAGGTCTTGCAGGAATACCACTAGTTTCCACTGTTGGAGCTTGAGATAATTGACCAGCTTCAGCACCAGATGCACTAGCAGAATGAGTTGATGGAGCCATAGTATCAATACGATGTAAAGAAAATGAACGACCATTTGATTTCAGTTCTGGTAAACGTGACATCCAAGAACTTGAATTTTGATTTCCTTGAGTTGTAGTGAAAGACATTGAGATAGCCATAGTGTTTAAATGTTTACCTAATGTTATAACAGCAACTGAAGAACCATGAACAATGATTGAAGTAATGATAACAAATGTAACAATTGGCCAAATCACTGCAATTAATTGATAATTTTCTGATCCTTCACTTGGTAAATGTGCTAATGGAGTTGCTTCCAGTGTATGAGCACCTTCTAAATCACCTCTTGCTAAAATTGCAGCGAAAACAGCACCAACACCAATTGGACCGAAATGACCAACGAAAAAAGCTTCTCTCCAAGTTTTAACATCGGGTATAAATGGTTTTAATGCTAAAACTGCTGGTAATCTTCTCAAGAAAATGATAACAATTGCAATAATAACTAATCTCCAAGCATCAAGACCCAATGAAGAATCATTATATTTAGGCCAAGGAATAATAGCACCAAAATAAACAAAATATGCTAAATTTAATAATAAATCAATGACTGTTGAAACATGAGATTCTTCAGTTCTTTTAGCAAACCAACCATCCCATGAGAAAGCTGTACCAGCTGCAAATGAAACTAATAAATCATCAGTACCCAACATGGATCCAAATCCTGCACAAGCAAATGATAAAACAACATAAAATGCTAAGAATGATTCTCTATCAATTAAACCTGCATTATGTGCATATTTTATAGAGCGTCTACCAACCCATCCGATAAAAGCACCCAAGATACAACCAAAGATACATTCATATAAGATTGTAACACAAATCCAATCTTTAACAATTTCTTTAGCGTTGCCTGCATGAATAACTAAATTTATACCTAAATAAATAAAAGGGAATGCCATACCATCATTACAACCAGATTCTGCAGTTAATAAATTTCTTAAATGACCTGGAACTCTTTTAGCAAATTTACCTTTACCAACAACAGCAGCAGCTAAAACAGGATCTGTTGCAGTAACACAAGCTGAAACAACTAAACTTTCAGAGAAATTTAAACCTGGAATAACAATCCAAACAAATAACCCAACAATTAACCAACCTGCAGTCATAACAGGTACTAATAACATTGTAACTGAAAGCCAATGTTTAAGCATATATTTTTTAGGTAATTCCACAGCAACTGCAAAAATTTGTAAACATAATACAATTCTTGATAATTCTAAAGTAATATAATCTGTATTCCCCCAAGTTGTTGGAGCAAACCAATTTAGACAATGAGGTCCAACGATTAATCCAACTATAGCAGCAACAGTAGCTTCACCAATATATAATTTTTCCTTCACAAATAATGAAATAAGTGAAAAAACAGCAGAGAAAACACCAACCACCGCATAAGCGATATGAGCTTTATCAACCTTGTAGATGTTAGTAAGATGATATACCCAAAGATCAGAACCACAAACTTAATGCTATAGACATATGAATTCTTTAGCTTTCTTACATACCCTTAGATGTTCCCATACAGCCATAATATATCTCTATATTCTGAACTATTTTCGATATAGAAAGATCATAAAAGATATGTTTGAATACTTCTTGCTTATGCTTTGTTTTTTTTTTTACATATTATGCTAAATTCGAAATTTTTGTGACTGATTACATAAGTGAATCTGCCTAGAAACTTATTAGCGCTAGGCAGAGCTGGGCAGAGCTAGGCAGATGAGAATATTTTAGTCAGGGTTCAGTTCTACCTGGGGCGTAACGGAGCATCAGCCCAGTGTTCAGCCCAGTAGCCAGCGCCAAGACCCTTGAAAAGAGCAATTTGCACTGGTGGAAGATAAAAATTTAAACGGAGAAATGAAAAATTCAATGCTGCGCAGGTCAGCGCTTAGTCAGTGCTTAGGCGGAAACGATTGTTTGAACTCCCACGAATTTTTTAGTTTTCTATTGTGAATTGTGGATTCTGGAGATTTGAGATAACAATTGGTTTGAAAATGCGTGGATGTGATTGACTCATGGGGAAACTTGAAGAGTAATTGATTAAGATAGGACGTACTCTCAGAACTTATTGAATAAGTATATATACCACAGATTCTCTATTCATAATATCAATTGATACACAAAAGTCAAAATAATATACCATTAACAATGTCTACTAAACCAATTGTCCTTAGATTAGGTACTGTTAGATATGCTCAAGAAGCATGGAAAGAATTAGAAAAAGTTGCCACTGTTATTGTATCAGAATCAAAAAACCGTGAAGAATTCATCAAAGATCTTCAAACTAAATATTCTCAAGTTCAACATATTACAAGAACTTTTGATTCTGCTAATGAAACTGGTCTTTTCGATAAAGAATTGATTCAACATTTACCAAAATCACTTATTTCAATTAGTCATAATGGTGCTGGTTATGATCAAATTTCTGCTCCTGAATTAATTGAACGTAAAATTCAATTATCAAATGTTCCAGAAATTGTTGATAATGCTACTGCTGATAATCATGTTTTCTTATTATTAGGCGCTTTAAGAAATTTTGGTCATGGTCGTCAAAATTTATTAGCTGGCGAATGGCCTTCAAAAGGCAATGCATCTGGTGCTCCAATTGGTCATGATCCACAAGGGAAAGTTGTTGGTATTGTTGGTCTTGGAGGTATTGGACGTACAATTCTTAAAAGATTACAACCTTTTGGATTTGAAAAATTTATTTATCATAATAGAAATAGATTACCTGAGGATTTAGAAGGTGGTGCTGAATATGTTTCATTAGATGAATTATTATCAACATCAGATATCATATCAATTAATATTCCATTAAGTCCAAAGACAAAACATTTTTTCAATGAAGAAAAATTTTCCAAGATGAAAAAAGGTGTTGTTATTGTTAATACAGCTCGTGGTGGTGTCATTGATGAAACTGCATTTATTAAATATTTAACAAATGGTACAGTTAGATCAGCAGGTCTTGATGTTTTGGAAAATGAACCAAATGTTAACAAAGAATTAATTAGTTTACCAAATGTTTTAGCCTTACCTCACATGGGTACTCATACTGTGGAAACTGTTAAAGCTATGGAAGAACATGTTGTTAAGAATGTTGAAAATGTTATCAAGACTGGTAAAGTGATTTCATTAGTTCCAGAACATAAAAATATTGATTTTACCAAGTGATATAACTAACGTATATATAAAATAATATAGAGTGTTACTGATCATTGATGACTGATCGTATTGATAAAAAAGATAATCAAATGTGGGATACGGATGCGTCCCATTGAATAATTGTAGCCACTCAGAGCCATGAATAATAGATTAATTATAACCAGTGACCCATGGGCCATCGCTAAACCAAGACATAAACCCGGTAAAGGAAGGATATGAATAGACAATGACCACTGAATGGTCCTATGTTCTCTGCCTAACCTTCCACTAGACTGGCTATTCCCTGCCTATATCACCTTTCTGGCCATGCCCTCTACCCTCTGACTACCCACTGACTCATCACCACAGATCTGTTTACTTTTTACACCTTCAACTAAATAAATTAATTAAAATTCCAAGCTCCCATTCGCTTTTCCTCGGATCCAAAAGAAAAGTCACCATTTAAAATTTAAAAAAAAAACTTTTCTTTGCGCGATGAAAAAAAAAAAATTATCGGCATAAAAATATTTGATACTTAAATAAAGAAATTTATCTTTTATATCACAAATTTATAAAATTTGTTGTTGTTGATTCTGGATCTAGCTTAAATTATTCATCAAATTGAATTCGTCTTTCATCAAATCTTTCATTACTTTCATATACAATTCATACCATTCCATACCATTCCCCAAAATATTGAACATTTCACTATAATTACGTCCCATTAAGATTTCCGATATTTCATATACCATCATTCAAACTAAATAAAAAAAAAAGATCTATAATACATCAAAAACTATTAAACTAAAAGAAATATAACAAGTTTTAGTTTAATTATCAATCATATATATCAAAAGAATTCATAAATGCCATTATCAACAGAAACATCAAAAATATTTCAAATGCCACCACCAACTCCTCCAACAAATTCAAATGAAGCAACAATCAATAATAATAATACCAAAATTCAAAATAACTTAATAAATAATAATAATAATAATGATTCAATAGAAATTGATTATGAAGCATTACCTGAAACTGCAACATTAGGTGCTCAATTAGCTGCGGGAGCATTTGCTGGTATAATGGAACATTCAATAATGTTCCCAGTTGATGCAATTAAAACTCGTATGCAATCTTTTAATACTACAACTGTTTATACTGGTGTCTTAAATGCTATAACGAGAATTAGTTCTACTGAAGGTTCAATGGCACTTTGGAGAGGTATTAATTCAATGGTTTTAGGTGCTGGTCCTGCACATGCTGTTTATTTTGCAACTTATGAATATGTCAAGAAAAATTTAATTGATGATGAAAATCAAACAAATCATCATCCAATTAAAACTGCATTTGCTGGGTCATGTGCTACAGTTGCAGCAGATGCATTAATGAATCCATTTGATACTTTAAAACAAAGAATGCAATTAGGTTCATCAAATCATTCAAATTCTATGTTTCAATTGGCAAAATTTATGTATAAAAATGAAGGTTTCAAGAGTTTTTATTATTCTTATCCAACAACAATAAGTATGAATATACCATTTGCTGCATTAAATTTTATGATTTATGAAAGTTCAACAAAATTATTTAATCCACAAAATAATTATGATCCAATAGTACATTGTTTTTGTGGTGCATTATCTGGTGCTACAGGTGCTGCATTAACAACTCCATTAGATTGTATAAAGACTTTATTACAAATTAGAGGTGAATCCAAAAATATTGATGTTAGAAATTCAAACACTTTAACAAAAGCTGCAAGAACTATTTATCAACTAAATGGTATGTCTGGATTTTGGAGAGGTTTAAAACCAAGAATTATTGCAAATGTTCCATCAACTGCAATTTCTTGGACTGCTTATGAAATGGCTAAACATTTTTTACTTGATTAAGAAAGAACTACAATTTAATATTTTTATCAAGTAATTGTGTTTCATCTCTAGTTTCAAAACATCAACTAATGAATTTATGAAAACAAAACAATTCATCAAACATCAAACATTAAACATTTTTTCATGAATCAGATTCTATATCATTTGTATTCTGATTAAATTTTAATTTGCATATATACCAAACCCCATCAAAACTGAGTGTTTTTCCATTTATCAACTTCTAATGAAAATAAAGATCATATCAAACGTTTTATCATCATTTTATCTTTTATTTTCCCATTTTTTATGTGTTTTCTTCAAGTTTTCCAAAAGTCTTTTTAATGACCCATATATTGTTTTTTAAAAATAGTTCTTTTATATAGTACTCTAATGAATGTACATAGATCATCGTTTTTCAATATAATAGTATAATAATGATATTACCAAAATTGTAGATCACTCTTGTTGATTAACTTTGAATAGCATTTGTTAGTGCAACTGCTTTGGCAACTCTAACTAATTCATTTGGTTGTTTAGCTAATTTTTGAGCAACAAATGAAAACAATACACATGAACCAAGGAATCCTAATAAGTTGAAGAATGCTTTTCTGGAATATGATTTTTCTTCTTCTTCTGTTCTGAACGATTGAAATATTCTTCTTATACTTGGTAACTTCATTGTGGTTGGTTTTGTCGTTGATGATATGGGTTCTGAAGGTATGATCAAGGTTTAAATCTCAATTATTTTCAGCGAATTTGAACCACAAATCACCAGAATATCACCAAAACACCAAAACACTAAAGTCTAGCTAGTATGAATATGACAAAAAGATAAAAAGAAAGATGTCCCACTAAAATAATCGGTATCGGGTTCTATGAACAAGTCACAGTCTGTATATTGCACTCAACAGCCCACCACTGAATAGTAAGTGGACCAACTGCCCGTGAAGCCTCCCATAACCAGCCTAGACTGGTTTGATTTCTTATGGCAACACCCAAGCGTTTCCACGCCAGGAATCTCTCAAGAGATCTAGACAGAGAATCACAAGTACTCTCTGCCCAAGTTGGACAGTGCGAACCACCGAATTTCCCACCTGCGTTGTGTTTGTCTACTGAGTCTACTCCAAAGAGAATCCTCCTTTTGTAGGCAGGTAAATACAGACTTTAATGGGACAGTCTACCCACCAGGCCAAAGAGCCAAAGGAGGGCACACTTTGAATTGGCAGAACAGCCCAGTGGCGTTTGGCGGAAAACTGGTAGGGCCACCACACCGCCCGCGAATTCTGTAGATAGGTGAAAGGTGTGTAAAAATTACACATTATATATGGAGATAAAGGGAATTGAATTTTATACTTTATCATCATCACTTGTAAGCTAATTAAGGGAGTAACTAGTTTGCAAGATGAGTGGTGAATACATTGATGAGAAAGAGGCTGGTCCTGTTCAGAATGATGCGGTGTTACAACAACAATTGAAGAAAAAAGATGCTTTAATGAAGAAATTTTATTTACCATTCTTTATAATGGGTATTATTACATTATGGTATAGAGGTGTTTTCCAAATGAATTGTCATAATAATAACCATGAATTTAATGAACTTGTCGATAATCATAATGATATTAGTATAACACCTAATTCAAATTTTGAGAAAGATTATACTAAAACTTTTGAAATTCAATTACCAATTATTTATGATGATCTAATTCATCAACAAACTATATTGAATCATAGTTTTGGTAACTCTTGGGGTGTTCCAGCTAAAACAAGTTTTAAACCTGATATTGATTCATCAAAATTCAATCGAGTTGTTCTTAATTTGGAAACTTGGGTTGATGGTGTTCAATATGATAGATTAGCTCATGTTTTCATTGATGATATTCCTGTGTGGAGAACTTCCACTGTGGAACCAGGTAATAGTTTAGTTTATTCAGAATCTTCAAAAGATGTTTCTAAATATTTAAGTCTTTTCCAAAAAGATGAAATTGATGTCACTTTCCAATTGGATAATTTGGTTAGAGGTAATTTAAATGGAGCTTTCAATACAACTTTATCCATCTTGTATTATTATCAAAAAGAACATATAGATTTAACTGATCCTGCTTCATATTTCCAAATTTCAAATAGACCTGCTCAAAGGATTTCCAAAATTCATAATGTGAAACCAAATAAAACTCCATTATTATATTATCCAAGTGATAAATTAGATTTTACAATTCCAATTATTAATTCAAATACAACAAATTTAAAATTAAATTTATACACATCAGGTAATGCAGCTGAAGAATTTTGGTATTCAAATGTATTGGATCAATACAAGAATAAATTTTCAAATCATGGTCATAGTTTATTAGGTCATGGTCCAGTTCGTGTGGTTAATGTTTATTTAGATGGTATTAAGATCAGTTCTACTGCACCAGAACCAATAATTTTTTCAGGTGGGATTTCACCATCTTTATGGAAACCAATAATTGGTGTTAATGCATTTGATATTAAACCTTTAGAAATTGATTTAACTTCATTTTTACCAAACTTATGGGAAAATGGTGGGAAATTAGAAATTGAAATTACAAATGGTGAAGAACTTGGTAAAGTTGCACAAAATTGGATCACAGCTGTTGATTTATTACATTGGGAATCCAGTGAAATTGAATCAAGTTTTGGTGAAGTTGAACGTTTTGATAATTCATCAAGTTATAAAGCATTTGCAATTGGTACTTCACCTTCAAATTTATTTCAAACTGTTGTTTCAAAACATTCATCTGAAATTTTCAGTAATTTAACTTTTAATTTATTCAATGGTACTCAATTACCAATTAAATTACATACAATTTCAGATGCAAGCTTTACAAATTTCCAAGCTTATAGTAATTATGGTGATTCTCAATTAGTCACATCAGTTACTTCAAATGGATTTAAATCTGAAATTATTAAAGATGATGAAGTAATTGCTAAATTAACAAAATCAAAGGTTTTCCCATTATATATAACTTTATTAACTGAACCTGTTATTAATTATGATATCTCTTATGATGTTAATATTACTCATGCTTATCAAAATGATATTAAAATTGATGATCAAAGAGTTTATCATGTTAAATCTGTTCAAAATGGTACTTCAAGTTTTACATTATCTCCAAAGGGGAATCATGGATTTGGTAGTACTGAACAAAACTATACTGCTCATTTAAAGGAACCTTTCCCAAAAGTTCATGTAAAAGATCATGTTATTGCTATTAATGGTTCACTTGTTAATACATCTGAATCTGATTTTAACAACCAAGCCTTAGAAAGTATTGAATCAGTCGATGCTTCAGAATTTCAAATGATTGTTCAAGAAATTCAAAGATTGGTTAAAAATGATGAACTTTCTTCAGACTTGGCTCAATATTTATTAAGATCTTTGAAGACTCATCAAGAAACAATGGAATCTAGAAAGAATGTTGTTAGGGAAAGTATAAATGGATTTGATGGTCCTTTGCCTAATATAGGTAGTCGCCATTGACCAGTGTACAGATTTAATGGATGATAATTAGGTATATAATTATCTTTTGATATATAATATAATGTGATTTGTTTTTTTCAAGTGATAAATTGCAAAATGTAGTTCTTCTATAAGTGATCTAATAGTTCCTACTACTTAGTTCCGAGATTTTTGGGTCGGTGAAAAAAAATCAACTCCAAACTTAACCAACGCCTAATCAACCTGGTTCATCAAACTATAACGAAGTCCATACATTCAAGCTTATTAACTGTTAAAATGTTCAGACCAGTGTTAAATCAAACGACTCGAGATGTGAGTCGGAGAATGCAATCTACAAAGTCCAATCCATTCGAAGCATTCGCTGCTCAGCTCAATAACAACAAGAATAAACCAAGATCAACCACATCAAGATCTAGAAATGATAAACAAGATACCTCTGGTTTTAATAAAGATGTCATGAAAGGGCTTCTATCTGGTGTTGGTGAAAAAAATCTGGATTCCAAGCCAAAGCGTGACAATAACAACAAAAATAATAATAATAGATTCAATAATGATAGATTCAGTAGTGATAGATTCAATAATAATAGATTCAACAATAATAGATTCAACAATAAAAGAGATGACATTCAAAGATCAGGTCAAGATAAACCAAGATTCAATACTGGTGATATCCCAAGAGCACAAAATAATAATACAAACTCAAATCCAGCTGATGATTTAGCGGCATTTTCTAGTTTTTTGAGTGGTGCTAATAAGAGCCCAGCTTCAAATGGTAAAAATCGAACATTTGATAGAAATGATAATATCAGAGGAAATCTTGGTACTAATCAAGATAATCAACCAAGAAGATTTCAAAACTTTGAAAGAGGAAACGATAATATTAGAAATTCTCCTAGATTCAATCAAAATAATAGAAATGATTTCCAACGTAATGATACAAAACAATCAAAACCATGGAGAAGAAATGAACCACAAGAACCAGAGATACCAAAATGGGAATATGGTACGGATTTAGAGAAAGATTATATGAATCAAGTATTGAAAACTGTTTATGAAACACACCCAGAAGGTAATATTAAATTTATTTCTGAAAATGGTGATATTGAAGATAGTACAATATTAAGATACTTTGATATAGTACCACAGGGGAAAGTTATGGGTATTGTTAATATTCAAGAAGATGAAATAACTAAAGAAAAAATTGCAGTCATTAAATATTTTGAAAGAGTTTCCAAGATTAAACAATTTTCTGATGAACGTGCAAAAGAATTAACTGAACAATTTGGTAGAACTAAAGTAAGTAAAAGAAAAGATCAAAATGTTAAACATGTTAAAGTTACTTGGGAAATTTCTCAAAGTGATTTAGATAATCAAAAGACAAATGAAATTAATGGTCATTTAAGTAAAGGTCATAAACTCCAGATTGTTATTGGTGAAAAAAGAGGAATGAATAGACGTGTTTTTGATGATGATATCAAAGATAAAGAAATTGATGAAGATGCTGAAATTGATGAAATGGAAGAAATTGAAGAAGAGATTCAATTAAATGATTTAGAAGAGAGAAGAAGAAATAAAGTTTTAGATCAAATTAAGTTAATTTTCAACGAAAAGGCAACAATAGAAGTTAAAGGTCAACTTTCAAAACGTATTTCAATAACTGCAACACCACTTGAAAAACAAAGTGATAAGAAAGGAGATGTTAAAAATGATAAAGATGCTAAAAAATTAGCGAGACAAGAAAAAGAAAGACAAAGATTAGAGAAAAAAAAAGCTAAAGAAGAAGAAAAAAAGAAAAGAGCTGCTGAATTCTTACAATCCATAGAAAACTAATGAGACAAATGATAGTAAACGTACATACATTACAAATTCATACTTGTACATAATATACATATCTAGTAATGATTTCGTTAAATTTCGTAAACGATGACACCACCTATAAGTTTTGCAGGATCTGAAATTGATCTTTGATAATTATAATATGGGGCTCCCACGATAAGCTTTCCGTAAGTTGAGGTTAAAGAATGACCATATCCAATATAATCACCACCTTCATTACCAAATGCTATGTCTTTCAAAATTGTACGAGCATGATCAGGATTAAACAATTTCGTGAATTCGATTTTGAAAATTGCACCATATGCTAAATATCTTGGAGCTGAAATGTATAAATCCTCATCTTGAATAACCATATTATAACCAAATTTGGCAAATGAGTGTTTTGATGAAATGTCTAATGTTACCTTGTTGATGAATTTTATATTAGAACCTTGAATTTTGTAGGCGTATACAGCACCACATGAAATACATGTTCCTTCCGAATACGCATGTGCACCAACTATAAGGTACTCTTGTCCCTCATATTCAACAACTTTAATGAAATTAGACCCAAATCTATGAGATTCTTCAGATGTTTTTCTTTTAATAGGAAGACCATCTATCTTATCCAAGAATATTGAATGTTTGAAAACACCATCATGATCGAAAAGAAGCACTATACCTAATCCAGAAGCACTTGTAAATATCAGATCTCTGCTTACTGCAACTTTCGTACCGAATTGTTCATATCCACTTTTTAGTTTATAAAGTTTTGGTAAATATAACTTGTTGTAGATTAATTCATCCATATCAATTATACTCCCAAGTCTACCTTCTAACAAAAACAACGAGAGACGTTTACCTGATAAAATCTGTATAAATCCCCTTTGTGGTGCACCGTCGTCACTATGGGGAGAGCTGATAATTATATCTGGTATGTTGTCACCATCAAAATCATAAGTTTCGATTGATACGCCTTCTTGCTTTCTACCACGAGACCCATAACTTGATGATGAAGTGAAGTCACTGATTGTCAATAGTTTGGTATTTCCTGAGAAAAGATGTATTGTTGAAGTTCCCGGTTCTGTAACGAGTAAAAAATCCTGACCTAATAATGAATACTTATAAACACCAGATCCAAATCTATGAGCAGTTTCAAAAGGTTTTCTAGGAATATTTGGTAACAGCTTGAAATTTTCAATTGTACTTATTCCTTGTTCGAATTCACTCAATGCCATAACGTATACTGATCCTGACCCTTCTTCATTTGGTGCACCAACAGCAAATGCAGGTGCATTATTCAATAATTTTTCACCAAAAGTCAAAGAAGATCCAAAGTTTGATAAGGATATCATTGGTGTTAAGAACGTACCTTCTGTCTTGATAATATTGGAGCTGAAACTAACTGATTCGGGTATTATAGCACCACAAAGTGACCATGGATCTTTTGATACTCCATTAGTAAACCATGAGTTCAGATTTGGTAAGCATCTAATGATTGAAGATGTTATTTCTTCTAGCCCACCGAGATAATATGTTTCCAGTACATCATCTAGTAGTGGTGACCTTTTGACATATGGAGTACCAGCGGTGTCCGCCAATGCTATCTCTGTATTCAAAGCTGCTTGCCCACTAGCCATACAATATTTTAATGTTGTTTCTTGTATATAAATACCAGCCGTTCTGAAAATTTCAAGAACCTCTTTCTTTGGATACTCCCAATCTAGTTGATATAATGAATAATCTTTTATTTTGAGAACATGTAAGAAGTCTCCACCAGTATCTAGAAAGGAATGTGCACTTTCTATATCACCATCAAAATCCATAGCTGCTAACATTTTTAATAATCCTTGGTCCAGCCGTATTGAGTGCCATGACGAGTCAGTAACTTGGTGTGTAAATATACCATACAAAAATGCTTTAAGTTTGAAACCATCTTCATCTTCGTTTATCGAACTCTTTCCGTACTTATGATTGTAATAATCTATAGCGTGGGCTAGATATGGAGGCCAATGGGCAAACTCACTGGCATTTGGATTATTACCACAATTGTAGAATGCATCTGGGAAGAAAGCACCGGCGAGAAAGTAAGTATCATAGTCTTTCACGTCATCGGGTAGATTTTGAAATATCCTAGAAGCCAAAGTCAAATGTATACTTAATAAAAGTTAGTTTTATGCTCATTTGCCTATCAAATTCATATACTCACGCAACACCGCTACCGATGGTCAAATTAAGCAAGCCCAAGGAGCATGTAAGGAGCCATAACAATTTCATAAGTAAAATGGACACTTATTCATAAGCGAAAAGTACCCAAATGCTATCATCTATCAAGCACCGATATACCTTGCGCTCTTGCGCTTATTTTGTATTGATCTAACTTTACTGGATTAGTCGGAATTTTGATGTTTTGGTGTCAAGGAATCGGAATTGATAATTCCATACAAAAGCAAAAACAACACTTCACATGCCAGAGAGCCTGTCAAGCTACAAATAAATAACTATACGATACTAGGATACTAGGATCCCAAGTTTCCAATTCACCAAGCTCACAATGATCAAACCCTTACTACCCATGTATGTTCATGATGTCTTCCGTTTTGACTGACTCTCATACTAACCTGCTTTTTCTAGTTGGTTTATTCAGATATGTGGTTTGTGTAGTTTGATCTCCATTCTCATATCAATAGTTGGAATATATCTTCAGTTCAAAAATTATAGGAAACCATTTGTTCAAAGACTAATTGTTAGAATTCAATTAATTGTTCCTTTATTTGCTATAACGTGTTATATTTCTTTAAGATGGTTCCCATTATCAAAATTTGTTGAACCTTTTAAAGAAATTTATGAAGCTTTTGTCATTTACACATTCTTTTCATTATTAACACATCTTTTAGGTGGTGAAAGAAGATTAGTGGTACTGACTTCAGGTAGGTTACCTGTATCCCAACCTTGGCCTTTCAGTTTGATATTGCCAGCCGTTGATATATCAGATCCTTTCACATTGCTTACAATCAAAAGAGGTATCTTACAATATGTTTGGTTAAAACCGTTAATTTGTGCATTGACTGCTATTACTGAAGCATTTAATCTTTATAATTCAGGATCAAATGGATATTTTAATCCTTACTTTATCATCAACTTCATTTATAACGTCAGTGTTTCAGTATCACTATACGATTTGGCGCTATTCTGGAAATGTTTATATGGTGATTTAAGACCATTCAATCCATGGGGAAAATTCTTATGCGTTAAACTAATAATCTTTGCAAGTTATTGGCAAGGTGTATTATTAGGACTACTCAGTTGGTTTGGTGTCTTGAGAAATGAAAATTCAGATTCAAATAATACCTTAGGTTTTGCTATACAGAATGCATTATTATGTATTGAATTGATTGGTTTTGCCATCGGACACTGGTATTCATTTTCATACGCTGAATATAATGCGAGAACTCTACCAGGGTGTGCAAGATTAACCGTGGGTGCTGCTATAAGGGATGCATTTGGTATTGGTGATTTAGTTTATGATTTCAAAACAACATTCTCAGGTGATTCATATGATTATAGACAATTTGATTCTGTTGAAGCATTAATTGCTCATCCTGCATCAAGCTCAAGAATGGCAAGATTAAATGATGGGTTAAGATATACAGATTCAGGTAAACAAAAATATTGGTTACCTAACTCAAAAACTAACCCTTCTATAGGAAATCCACTACCTCATCTGAAAACACCATTGTTACAAAAGAAAAGTAGGGCCAACTCAATAACATCTTCACATGCATCAATCAGAGGCCTTTATCCGAACTCTATATTGACCGTCGATTCCAAAAATGAAGATGAATTAATACAACATCAACAAACACAACAATCTATATATAATTACAACACAATTGAAGAGGAGGCTGATGATAATGATAGAGATTTTGATCAAGATGAACAAATATTCGCAGACGCCAAAGCCAATTGTCCTTATGGGGATAAGAATTATCCAGTGATTTATGATACAGAAGCATATACATATTCACCTGCATTACAAAGACTAAGAGAGGAAGCAATGGCAAGACAGAGTATTGACAGTAATAGGTCATTTTGAAAACAGTGGCATCTTGCTGATTATGCTGCTGAATATTGCTTTATTGATTTTATAGGAGTTAATCGATTTATTTATGGGTATTTTATATAACTTTGTAGAAATTCAAGTACCTATGTTTATATACAAACCCGAACACCACTATGATGAATATTGTTGATCTAGAAATTTCTTCTCACTGGTGTCAAACAGTGTGAATCTGAATGAAAGTCTACAGAGTCGCAATAAAGGGCTATAAAAATATAATTAGACAATATGGATGATTCTGAATTGAATGCTATTAGAGCTGCTCGTTTACAAGAGCTACAGAAAAATGCTGGTCAAGGTAGCGGCGGACAAGAAAAAGCTTCTCAACAGTACGTTATTTGAAATATTTCACCAACATAAAAAACTTCAAGAATAAAATACTAACCAGGAGCTAGAGAACAAAGTTTATCTGCTGCATTAGATCAAGTTTTGGAACCAGAAGCACGTGCCAGATTATCAAGAGTGAATTTAGTTAGACCAGATAGAGCTAAAGCTGTTGAACAATATATTATTAGATTGGCACAATCTGGTCAAATTAGAAGAAAATTAGATGAAGAAAGTATAGTGGAGATCTTGAATGGTATTGCAAGAGATCAAAACAAACAAAATGAAACAAAGATAGTGGTATGTTGAATCTGACAGTATTCCATGATATATTATTAAATATTTACTAACGAAATATTATTTTAGTTTTCAAGAAAAGAAATTGCAGATGATGATGAGGATGATGATGATTTCTTTGATTAATTAATGGTGTATACCGTATAAGTATTTATTGTACAATATATTTCAGTCATTTAATAGGTTATTATTGATAACATAATTTTGTAGCTATGATCAGCTATAGAGTCGGGTCGGAAGACTAGTATAAATATAGATATTTGAAATTTCATGAAAGCGCCTTATGAAAACTCATAATTAATTTTAATAGTACTAGAATGCACTATAGTGAAGTACTACAGTAGTACTAGATACTTGAATTAAGTTGAGAGTCAAACCACCACAAGATATCCAGAATCAAGCGCCTCCATTTAAGGAATGTCCATCGGATCAAACGACAAGCTCGATATCTTATCTTCAAAATCCGTATCCGTCATTCAAAAACTTGTTGATCCTTCCCTCTTCCCTCTCCAATTATCTTATCATGGGCTTTGATCGCGCTATGCTTCTTTTAGCAAAATAAGCGGCACACAAATCTGGCTAAGCGCGCTCCAAACTTTAATCCACAAAAAAACCGGAAGTATTAACTCTGATAAGATTTTGATGTGGGCGTATATTAGCTGTGTATTTAAACGCTGGTTATTGTCAATATTCATCATGGGATAACAATTACTCAAAAACCTCATTATCTCAAATCCCCAGAAACAACTACAATATGTCGCTACATCCATTCGATTCAATCACTGATGCAGAAATCAGATTAACAACAAAGTTGGTCAAAGACTTGAACAAAAACGCCAAAATCCACTTTACTCAATTAGATAGATTAGAACCACCAAAGAAAGATGCTTTGAAATATCTTGATGCTGAAAAAAATGGTAGACCATTACCTCAAATCCCAAGAAAGACTTTTGTCTATTACTATTTGAATAGTCAAATGCCCTTGTATAAGGCGCTTGTTAATGTCACTTATGGTCATATTATTGCTAATGAACCAATCTTGAAAAAAGGTGTTATTGGTCCATTATTACCAGAAGATCTATTAGACACTGAAATTGCTGTATTGGAAAATCCAGCTACCAAAGCTGAAATTGCCAAATTAAATTTACCAGACAATATCAAAGTTTGTTGTGATACCTGGATGTATGGTACAGATAGTGATGATATTGATCGTCCTTTGGTTCAAGGTTATGTGTATCTAAAATTGGATCATCCAGATGCAAACCATTATTCATTACCTGTTAAGTTTTCTCCTGTTATTGAATTATTAACCGGAAAATTTGTTAGAATGGATTATTTACCTGCTGGTGTTGATGAGAAAACAGTTGCTACTCAACCATGGAAACAAGTTGAGCCTGTTGAATATCATCCTTCTTTATCGGGTGAAGTGGAAAGACCATTGAAACCTTTAATTGTTCAACAACCAGAAGGTGCTTCATTCACTGTTGAAGGATCTAAAATAAAATGGCAAGGTTGGGAATTCAGAGTCTCTACAAACGTTCGTGAAGGTTTTGCTATTTATGATGTTTATTTTAAAGGTCGTTCTTTATTTTATAGAATGTCATTAAATGAAATGACTGTTCCATATGGTGATCCAAGAGCTCCTTATCATAGAAAACAAGCTTTTGATCTTGGTGATATTGGATTTGGTGTTAATGCAAATCAATTGAATTTAGGTTGTGATTGTCTTGGTGTTATTAAATATTTAGATACTTTAGGTATTAATCGTGAAGGTGAACCTTGGCTATTAACAAACACAGTTTGTATGCATGAACAAGATTATGGTATTTTATACAAACATTTAAACTATAGAAATAGCCACGCTGTTGTCACAAGAAGAAGAGAATTTGTTGTTCAAACAATCGCTACTGTTGGTAATTATGAATATATTGTTAATTTTGTTTTTGATCAAGCTGGTGCAATTACTGTTCAAGTTAGAGCTACTGGTATTTTATCTACTATGCCAATTGATGATGGTGTTGATGTTCCATGGGGTACTAAAGTTGGCCCTGGTGTTATGGCTGCGTATCATCAACATTTATTATCTTTTAGATTTGACTGTAGATTGGATGGTGATGAGAATACTGCAGTTTATGATGATTATGTTCCAATGGAATTAGATGATAAACTAAATAAATATGGTGTTGGTTATGTTCAAAAGAGAACTATTTTGGAGAAATCTGGTTATATTGAGCAATCACCATTCACAAATAGAGCTTATAAAGTTATCAATGAAAACAGTATCAATAAAATTACAGGTAAACCTGTTGGTTATAAATTTGAAATGCCAGCTAAACAAATGTTGATTGCTAGACCTGAATCATATAACTACAAAAGAGCTACATATTCTACACAACAATTCTGGGTTACAAAACATGAAGATGATAGAAACTATGCAGCTGGTGATTTAACAAATCAAAGTACTGAAGATACCGGGTTATATAAATGGGCTAATGGTGAAGAAGATATTAGAAACAAAAACTTAATTGTCTGGCCAACTTTAGCATTAACACATCCACCAGTTACAGAACAATTCCCAGTTATGCCATCTGATTTCATGCAATTCTTAGTTACACCATCTTCATTCTTTGAAAAAAATCCAGCTTTAGATGTTCCATTAGCTACTAATTCATTTAACAAATCCAAGTATTTTGAAGAGAAGAGTTCTGGTGACAAGTCTTGTTGCAAAACCACACTTTAATATTAGTTAGCAATTGTTCGATTTGTATAATAAATTGGTATATTAAAATGGCTTATATATTTAGATTAAAAGTAAACAGTAGAATATTAATTTGTACGATTGTGACTTTGTGGCATTTAATTATCCAGTAAAAACACGTCTAGCCCCCGATTACCCAATCCGGTAATCTTCAAATGGAGTCTTCCGCGAATTCAAATGTTAAGGATCACAAATTGTGATATATAAACATAAACAAAAAATTACAAAGGCAAATGATGTTTTGAATTTCATTTCAACTCAATTATTATCATCAAAACACAAAACACGATCAATTGTTGTTATTAAGTCAATCAAAATGTTATCAGCTTTCCAAAGATTAACTGTTACTCAATCCGCTCCAGTCTTAAGAGCTTCATTCTCTTCAACTGTTCCAGCTTTCAAAGATGTTGCCGCCAGTACTAAAAAGACTAAAAAGAACAAAAAACGTATGTTATTAGGATTAATTGAGCTGAATTATATGTGTTATCAGAACTTTCTATAAGATCTGGTAGTCATAGATCCAAGATTTCCATTTCAACACATATTTCAAGACTTCGATTTTTTCAAAACTAGAATACTAACATTCAACTATAGCTTATAAGGGTTTAACAACTGTCTACTCCTTTTTCATTTCTGATTTTTATAAACAAAACGAATTAGAATTTAAAAATAAGACATTCGCTGAAAAGAATGAACTTGTTTCCAAAGCTTGGAAGAACTTAACTCCTTCAGAAAAGTTACCTTATGAAAAAAAACACTCTGCTGATAAACAAAGATATTTTAATGAAAAATCAGCTTATGAAGCCACTTTACCACCAAAAAGACCAAAATCTACTTTCCTTGCATTTGCAGCTGATATCAGAGATTCAATTGTTAAAGCAAATCCAACTGCAACTCAACAAGAAATTGCCGTTCTCTCTGGTAAAGAATGGAATGCTTTAGCTGAATCTAAAAAACAAGCTTATAAGGATGTTTACAATAAGGAACTTGCTGAATGGAACTCCAAATACGGTAAACAAGCTACTGCTTAATCTATTTCATAAATTTTATCTGAAGTTTAATGAAGATTTGGATCTATTTTTTTATCAAAAAACGGTTTTATAATTATATGTACCATTACAAGTTTACTCGATTTTTTTATATACGATATTAAATATTATTTTAAAATTTATGAATTGTAGACATGATCTTATTTACACATCACAGATCATATACCGCAGCTAATTATATATACTCTGACTTAATATTCTGATCGTCTGCATTGTTGAGGAAAAAATTATACATGACTCAAGAACTCTAAAGCAATAAAATGTACATCATTAATTGCACTCTATTTTGGAATATATAATATATTTAAACTTGTAAGAAATAAATAATTGAATAAATATATATGAAACTAAATCGAATTCATATCTATAAATTGATTCATTCTATGATTAACCAATATAAAATCCAACAAAGCAATTTTCCAACATTCTTTCAAAATTAACCCAACTATGATATTTATTAAACAAAGAAGTACCATCTCTTCCAGCACATTTCATAATTTCTTCAATACCACCAGGATGGAATTTAACATAAGGAGTTATATTATAAACTTTACCTTTTAATACAGTCCAACAATCATTTTGAGATTTATGATTTTTTAATAATTCTTTTGAAACTTTTAATGGGAATTCATTTGGAAATATACCTCTTAAATTTTGTCCTGAAGAATTTAAACGAGCCCAATCTAATGGAGAACAACCAGGTTCTAAACCAACTTTTTTTCGAGCACCTTGTGAAGAAGAACCACCAGCTCTTTGTGCAGAATTTATACTTGGAAATGAAGCATTTGAAGATGAAGGAGCCATCCCAGGCGGTATTCTTCCTGGTAATCCACCAGGTCTTGTTATAGGGTTTGAATTTGGAGGTGCTAAATGTCCTCTAGATCTTTCTTGAGATGATAAAGTTGAAACAGGAGGTATTACTCGAATATTATGGAAACCTGATTGAGATGATGGCGCTCTATTAACTGCATTTTTTGTTGATGGAGAGGTTGATTGGTTGGCTTTGCGTTGAGCTTCTAGTCTTGCTTGTATTGGGTTCTTGGGTACCTTAAACTCTTCCATGGTGTATATAATGCCAATATATTAGCTTTCTAGAGTTCCCGCCATAGAATCTATAAAACCGTTAAAGTAATAATAATAAAGTAATAATAAAGTAATAATAAAATCTAATGAAATGTTGTTCTTACCAATATTATCGATATCACGTTTATATCTCTCATATCATGTGACCATTCCGTTATAAGCCCTACACCACCGCTTTTCAATTTGCCACTAAATTATTATAAAAAAATAAACAAGCATGACATCATTTTGAAACTACTGATTAAGCTGTTCTCCAGAGTCCAAGCTTCAAATTAATCAAGGATTCATTCAAGAGTGATACGAGAATCTTCCAAGTTTTTACCAGCATTAACTTTCACAACCTGCCCATACAAACAACAACCACTCAACTTCTGCAAACACACGTACAAAATTCAAACAATAACAGATTTTTTAATTCTCACACAGTTTAAAACTTCCCAACGGCACAGTGCACACTTTCCATTTTACACTCAGTCATTCTTTGAAAAACAAAATTCCCAAAAGTTGGAGAAAATCCAAATTCATAAAAATTTACACCGTTTGAAAAGATAACAAATTTACTAAAAAACTCTAAACACGATTTTTACACTCTAGAATATAGCAAGAAGTGGAATTTTAATAGCTCAACAAATTTATTGCTTTAAATTCAATTAACTGGCTGCTGCTTTGAAAATATCTGGCTATAATATTTAATACACCTTACCGCTCTGTTTATTTAGTCCTTCTGCTGGTGTTTTTAAGATCCCTTGCGTATTGAATCAATATAAGCCCACTTTGAAAAAGAAGCTGTTGAAGATAATATAAATAGCTTTCAAGTGTTGTTAGTGAATGTCATTTATTGATAATATATTCAAATTCACCGATAAGTTATTAGGAAATACACCACAACAAGTTATTAGAATATCAAGAGAAGATTATCTTTGGTCAATATCATCCAATTTCGTTCATTATTTATATTTAAAACATTGGAAATACGTGTCAAATAATCAAAAACAAACATTATTAATAACTTCTTCATTAAGTCTTGTCTCTTTATACATCTTAGCTCCAACATTCATTCAACTTTTCCAATCACAAGAAACTATAGATAAAATGTTTAGTTCCAAAAGACAAGATAAATTCACCACCGGATTAATCAACACAAGAAATGATTGTTTTGCCAATAGTTCAATCCAAGCATTTGCTGCCTTACCAGGTCTTGATGTTTATTTGAATGACATCCTTAAGCAATATAAATTATTAACAAAATTACCAATCAACTCTAAAGGTTTGGAATTACCTCAATTACCATTACATGAAGCTTTAGCTAAAATTGTTTATGAATTACAAGAAACTATATTACAAGAACATTATGTTTCAGTTTGGCCTTTTTTACAAGTTATTGAAAAAATATTCAATTCAAAAATTTCAACAAATCAAAATGATGCACATGAATTAGTTCAATTAATTTTAGAAACTTTAGATAATGAAAATACAAAATTTAAAAGATTTGTTAAAAATAATAATTTGAATTTTGTCATACCCGAACTTCCTTTTAATGGTCTTTTGGCTGATCAATTAACTTGTCTATCATGTTTAAATTCATCAAAACCAAGTTTCCATCCATTTGCTGTCTTATCTTTAGCTGTTCCTCAAGGTCCATATATTACATTACAAGAAATGATGAAGAAAAATGAAGTTGAAACTATAAATGGTTATAATTGTTTAAGATGTAAAATTTCTGCAATTTTAAAAGTTGAAAGAGAAAATCAAACAAATCATGATCCTTCATTAGTTTCAAGATTAATTAAAAAGGAAAACAAAATAAGTATAAATGATGACCTGCCCGAAGAATTGAGTAAATTTATTTCAAATTATTCATATAATGGATTTGTTACTGAAAAATTACAATCAACAATTGTTAAAAAGACACTTGTTGTTAGAGCACCAAAATTGTTAACTGTTCATTTATCAAGATCAATGTTTACAGGAACTCAAGTTACAAGAAATGGTTGTAGAGTTGGATTTGAAGATGTTTTAGCTGTTAATGTTGATGAAGTTTTAAATAAAGCTTATCATAAAAAGCAAAAAATAGCAAAAAAATTGAAAAAACAACCATCAGTAATAAATGAAACCGTCATCAAAAAAGTTGAACAAGATGATGATGACGATGATGAAGATGATGATGATGAAAATGACGCAGATGATGATGATGATGGAGAAGATGAAGAAGATGAAGATATTGATGGTTATGATGAAGATCGTAATGAACCTCAACAATTGGCAAGAATTCATTCAAAAGTTTTAACTCAACATGAAGAATCTGTTTCAGAAACTGGTGAATCTGAAAATACAACCACTACTACAACAAATCAAGATCAATTTTCTCAAAATTCTCAAACTCAATCTGATAATACTTCACCAGATACTGATGAACATCCAAATTCTGATGATGAAAATAATCAAGATGTTGCAGATGATGATAGTGATAGTGATATTGAAGATCATGAATTAAATGCCTCAAAAGAAACTGTTAAATTTAGATTAAGAGCTATGATTAGACATACAGGTACACATAACGCTGGTCATTATGAATGTTATCGTCATAAACCTGCATTTGTTAAAGATATGCAAACAGATTCTATTGTAAATGCATCACCATTGATCAATTTTGGTGAAGATATTCCAACATCTGAACAAACTCCAGAAGTTGTCGTTGCACCAAATGAAGAACCTTTAGAAGTTCCAACGAGTCCTGCTACAAATGGTGCTTCGCTCAATGGTAATTCACCAAATGGTGGGAACACTGGTGGTATTTCAAGAAGAAGATCAACAAGATTAAGAAGATTAAGTGAAATTCCACCAACTACAAGTCTTTCACCAAATGGTAATGCTAATGGTCAAGGTGGGGACGTTTCAAGATCATCAATCACTGATAATGAAGATGCTACAACAACAGATAATGAAGATGGTTCACATTTCAGTCGTTTTAGATCTAAATTGGGAAGTTTTGTATCTAGATCACGTCGTCCATCTATAAGTATGTCATCAACTTCAAATGTTGGATCTCGTCGTGGTTCAGTTGCAAATATTGCACAACCAATGTCACAAACTAATTCAATTTCAAATACAAGTGCACCATTATCAGAATTACAAGAAGGTTTCCAAGAATTACAATTAAGTTCTGAAGCTAATAGTAGGAAACATAATAAAAGATTTAAAAAAATTTCTACTGTTGCTAAGTTCCCATTTTGGAGAATTTCTGATACAAGAGTTCAAGAAGTTAAGAAATTTGATGTTTTAAAAGAAACTCAAGCTGTTTATATGATTTATTATGAAAGAGTTTAAATCTTATCCACTCGTTCAAGTGATTATAAAATTGAGAACCTTCAAACAAAATATACCTAGAATTAATAATACCTACATATTCACGTACTATATATATGACACCAATTAAATGTAATAATGAAATAGTGTTACCTGTAGTTAATGGAGTATTCATTTTGACACTAGTTATGTTTCTGCTGATCTTCGATTAAGATTATTTGTAATACAAACTACATCTACCTGCGTACTGAATCAATAAATACCCTATTTATTACTATTACAATGTTTTAATATACAAAATGTACCCACTATTATACAAATTAAATTATTAGCCCTGAGATCAATTGATAACGACAACTAAATCACCAGATTCAACCATATCACCATTAACATGAAGGATTTTTAAAACTTTACCAGATTTAGTTGCATTAACAACCATTTCTGTTTTCATAGCTTCAACAACAACTAATCCATCACCTTCTTTAACTGTATCACCAACTTTAACTAATGGTTTCCAGAATCTACCATTATATTCTGAATAAACTAATTCAGCATCTTCTGGATATTGTTCTTCAGCTTCTTGTTTATTTGCACCATTTTTTTCTAAATCTTCATTTGCAACTTGAATTAATTTAGCAAATTCAGCAGCTTTTTCACCTTTTTGATTTTTTTCAAATTCTCTAATTGATTCAATATTCTTATCAATCCATCTTAAATATTCTTCATGATCGAAAACACTTTCTTCATAATCAACTTTGAATTGACCATGTTTAGCATCTTCAGTAAATTTATCTAATTCTTCTTCACTAACTGGATAGAATTCAACTTGATCGAATGGTGTCAATAACCATGGATGTTCTGATGAATGTTCACCTAATTTTAATTTATCCCAGATTGGAATGGTACGACCAACTAATTGATAACCACCTGGTGAATCCATAGCATAGATACACATGTACATACCACCAATACCAACAACACCATTTGCAGTATAAGTTCTTGATGGATTATATTTTGATCCTAATAATCTTTGACGAGGATCTAATGGAGTAGCACATGGAGCACCTAAGAAAACATCACCAAGACCTAAGACTAAATATCTTGCACTGTATAACATATCTCTGACATCTTCACGAGAAATATCATTAACATCAGCAATGAAGTCAACATTGTTTGGTAACCATGGGGCTTCTGAACGAATTGTTTCTTGATAACGAGTAACACAATCTAATGTTTTCTTATCTTCGAAAGCCATTGGTAATTTGAAAACTTTTGATTTAATTTTCCATTTGTTTTCAAATATTAACTCACGTTCATAAGCAATCAAAGTTTCAATTAATGATGATTGATCAATCAAATAACCATCATATTCAATCAAAACAGATCTAACACCTTGTGACATTTCAATAATACCAACTGTATGATGTAAATCAACCATTTCAATTAAACGATTGATTCTATAAGAAATATTCAAATCCATTAATTCACCATATTCTAATAATATGTAACGATCACCAGCTTGACGATAAGTGGCTAAAGGTGAATTATCGAAAGCTTTGAAAGTAGCAAGAACTGGATTTTCTGGTTTTGATAAGACTAAATCACCAGATAATGATGGATATGAACCTTTGAAAGATTCAATGGTTTCATCCTGAGTAATTTTCAAAGATCTAGCAGCATTATAAGAAACTGGAACAAATTTAATCAAATCACCTGGTTTAACTTGACCAATTTTCCACATTTCAGCATCAGCAACAACAGCTTGACAAACAAAACCACCTAATGAAGGACCATCACAAGTTAAAATAACTGGTTCATCACCAGTGAAGTTAATAGCACCCAAGGAATAGACATAATCATGTTGATTTGATGGATGAAGACCAGCTTCACCACCATCAGCTCTAGCCCATTTTGGTTTTGGACCAATTAATCTAACACCAAATCTATTGGAGTTATAATGAACTTTCCATTGTTCAGAGAAAAATTCATCAACTGATTCTGGTTTGAAATAATCTGGGGAACCATGAGGACCACAAGTAACACCAACAGTCCATTCTTTTGTTTCAAAAGCTGGAATCAATTCTTTTGGTAAAGAAACTGGTTCAGATTCTGGTGCTGGTAATGTATTACCATCTAAATATGGTTGACCAACGAATAAAACATCACCTAATTTCAAAACTCTACCATTGTAGCCACCCATGTTACCTAAAGCAAAAGTAGATCTTGAACCTAAGTATTCACTAACATCAATACCATTTCTAATAGCTAAATAAGCTCTTGAACCTTTAGTCAATTTACCGATAGCTAATTTATCACCTCTCTTAATATGGAGTGGTTCCCATTGTTTAACAACATCATTGTTAATCTTAGATTCAACTTCACCACCAGTAATAGCAATAATAGCATCAGTATGGAATTGAATAGTTGGACCATTCAAAGTGATTTCAATAGCAGGGGAAGCATTAGCATTACCAACAATCTTATTAGCCAATCTGAAAGAATAGTTATCCATAGGACCTGAAGGTGGAACACCAATTCTCCAATAACCAACTCTCCCTGGATAATCTTGAACAGTAGTGTAAGCACCAGGTGATAAAATTTCAAAAGCATTGGCTCTGTAATCATATGAATCTAAAATTTTGGTATGCATTTTAGCTTCTTCAAACATTTTAGAATTACCAACAGATCTCAAATAATCTAAATTAGTGATACAACCATAAACTGTAGTTTCATCTAAAGCTTTTTGTAATAATTTTAAAGCTTCAGCACGATCTTTACCATGAACAATAATTTTAGCTAAAGTTGGATCATATTCTGCAGAAACAACAGTACCCTTTTTAACCCAAGTATCGACTCTTGCCCATTCTGGAAAACTAACATCAGTTAATTGACCTGGTGATGGTCTGAAATCTTTAACTGGATTTTCAGCATATAATCTAGCTTCCATTGAAGCACCAGTAACTGTAATAACTTGTTTTGAAAAATCTGGAGAATCATTAGCTGCAATTTTCAACATCCATTCAACAAGATCTAAACCTGTAACAGCTTCTGTGATTGGATGTTCAACTTGTAAACGGGCATTAACTTCTAAAAAGAAAAATTCATCTCTTTTTTCTTCATAAATAAATTCAACAGTACCTGCACACTTATAATTCATTGAACTACCTAATTGTTCAGCAGCTTTTCTCATTTTTTGTCTTGTAGATTCTGGTAAGTTTGGAGCTGGAGTTTCTTCAATAATCTTTTGGTTACGACGTTGTAAAGAACAATCACGTTCACCTAATGCAATAGCATGACCAAACCCATCACCAAACATTTGAATTTCAACATGTCTAGCATTTTCAACAAATCTTTCCAAGAAGACACCAGCATCACCAAAATAAGCTTTACCTTGATGTTGAACAGTTTCAAAAGAATTTGGTAAATCATCTAATAAATCAACTTTTTGTAAACCAATACCACCACCACCGGCAGTTGATTTTAACATAACTTTAACTGAAGTTTCAGGATCATTTGATAAACCTAATTTTTTAGCAAATTCAACAGCTTCTGAAACATCTGAAATTAAACCTGAACCTGGAACTAATGGAACACCAGCTTTTTCTGCAATTTCTCTAGCTGAATGTTTTAAACCTAATTTTCTAATAGAATCACCTGAAGGACCAACAAATACAATGCCTTCTTTTTCACATCTATCAGCAAAATCAGCATTTTCTGAAAGGAACCCATAACCTGGGATAATAGCTTCGGCTTTTGAATCTTTAGCAGCCTTGATAACTTTTTCAATGTTAATATAAGTTTCAGCTGCTGAATCACCATGTAATGGTAATGCAATATCAGAATCTAAAACATGTTGAGAATATTGATCAGGATCTGAATAAATAGAAACAGCAGTAATTCCCATTTTTTTCAAAGTTTTAATGATACGAACTGCAATTTCACCTCTATTGGCAACTAAAACTGTATTGAAAGGTTTTTTAGCAGGGCTTGATTTAGAAGTTTCTTGAATATAATTCTTCCAACCACCAAATGAAGTAATATCAGTAGTACCTTTTTGTAAATAACCATATTCTTCACAAATAAAAGATTTAACCCATTCACCATCTTCTAATTCAACAGATCCGATACCTAAAGGTTGTGGAACCATTGAGATAAAAGTACCAAAGTTTTCTAATGGGACTGAATAAACTTCTAATTGAATTTTTTCACCAGATTCAGTAACTCTTCTTAAACCTGGTTTAGCAACTGGACCAACTTTTGGTAATGCATATAATTTATAATGTTTAGAAGTTTTGATAGATTTTATTAAAGTTGCATTGACTTTCTCTAATTGCCAATGTAAATCCATACCTTTCAAATGAGCACCAACAACGGCTAATTTAATAGATTGAGATAAATCAGGTTTTGGAACTGATAATTCATCACCTAGCAATGATTTAGATTTAGTAGCACCTAATGGCCTTTGTTCTGGAGTGAATGCAATTTTCAAATATTTATTAGCTAAATCTAATAAAGCATAATCTGTGAATTTTTGTGCAATTAAAGTAACACCATTTGGTAATCCATCAGGTCTAAATCCAGCAGGTAATGCTAAAGCAGCCATATCAGCTAAATTAACAAAATTTGTCCAAGTACCTTGATAAGAGTTAACAACAACTGGTTCTTTAGCAAGATCATCAAAAGTTGGATTTAATGGACAAGTTGGAACAGCTAAAACATCGATACCTTTTAATAATTGACGAACTTTTTGTAAGATACCTTGTCTTTTGTATTCATATTTAAAAGCATCTGCAGCACTAAATTTTGTTGCAGTTTTAATGATTCCAATAACGGTTGGATCTAAAGAATCTTCTGGTGGGTTTGTAGATAAGAAATCCTTTGTAGCTGCATATCTTTCAGCAACCCAAGGACCTTCATAAAGACATTTAGCTAAATCTAAAAGATCAGTGAAATCAATTTTAACAATCTCAGCACCTGTTGCTTTCAAATTTTCAATAGCCTTGTTGTATAATTTTGGATTTTCAGTTTCACCATACCATGGTAAATTTTCTGGAATTGCAATTTTTGGAGTTTTACCAAATGATTGTAATGGATTTGAAGGTAATGATCTTGAATATTCATCATTTAATGGATCAGGTTTTGCCATTATTGAAAAACATAATTGGGCATCACTTAAATTTAATGAAAAAATTGATGGAGCATCTAATGATTTACAAGCTGGTACAACACCATTTGTTGAGAAAACACCTAATGAAGGTTTTAATCCAATTAAATTGTTTAAAGCAGCTGGAACTCTACCAGAACCTGCTGTATCAGTTCCTAAGGCAATTGGTACAATACCTCTTGCAACAACATTCGCAGAACCTGCACTTGAACCCCCAGAGACATGTTTATCACTAAAAGCACATGGAGTTTTACCATAAGGAGATCTTACACCTACTAAACCAGTAGCAAATTGATCTAAATTGGTTTTACCAATGACAATAGCACCTTGATCTTTCAATAATTTGACAACAAATGCATCTTTTTCTGGTGTATAAGCAAATGAAGGACAAGCAGCTGTTGTTTCAAAATCTTTAGCATCGATATTATCTTTAACGGCTATTGGAACCCCATATAATTTAAGTTCTTCTTTATGTAGTTTTGATTGTAATATTTGCCATTGGTGTTTAATGTTTTCTTCTGAAGCTAAAGAAATCCAAGCAGGATCTTGTGGAGCAGAGTTTTGTGATTTTAATAGTTGTAATAATTGATCTAATGAATCATCTGGAGTTGAGTTTTTATGGAAATCTATCCAATCTTTAGCAGTCCATCCTATGTAAGACATGATATGATAAGAATAAGTAGTTAATGAACAACTAAAGAATAGATGAAGCGCTTTGTTGGGAAGACATGATTTATGGATGATGAGGAACCCTTGGAGTAATTTATATGACTTAGAACATTATTCAAGTTGATCTAGTAAATTGCAATCAGTATATCCAATCAGCCAATGATTGATCGTGATAAAGGTCGTGCTTATTCAGATTTGTTTTTTGTATGGGAAATTATTTTTTTTTTATCTTCGCCGGATTCTAAAAATTATCTGGCGTTTTGGCGATTTTAGCACAGAATCCTCACGAATTTTTGGCGTGTTAGGCAACAGGCTCATCTCCCGCGGTGACAATATTACGTATTGTAGGAGCAAAGTGTAGTGTGAGTTTGGGAGTTTGAACTGATTATGTAGTGCTGTTGACGTTGATTGTTCTTCTCCGTGTGTTGTAGGTTGACGTAGCTGTTGTAGGCTCAAGTTAAATACGCCGCTATATATAGATCAAATAATTGAACGATCGCTACAATTGAACTAGGTCGACGTGGATTGATATCAGAATATCATTAGCTAATGAAATATAAGCTGGTATAACTCTTGTGTCTACTAGATTAACAATAGAAAATAAAAGTCTCTTCTCCGCACCTTCCAGCACTTCGTTTGTTAATTATCATCACAAATATCAATAACAAGTTGTACCTATCGTACAAAATCTCAAATTATAACGGTGACACAATCTTGATAACGGGCCGTACCGAAAATTAACGACTTAGTTAACAGTGCACGGCCGGGTTATGGGATGGCTTTTAATTATTATTTATTGATACTACTTCGCTGTCCACTATTAGAGAGTATACATTGGCTACGTACCATATAATAGCACATATATACCAACTTGGATCATTGGAGCTGTACAATTCATGCGCATGTTATTCTGTTATACCAATCAATTGATCATTTACTACAAAGAAGCGATACCGTCTTTCAGGTAGCTGCTGCTATAGAGTACCAGCTTCATTACTACGTCTTATAAGGCAACACTATATAATTTTGTGTTTATATGTTAAGAATGAAAGCTTGATCATCGTATAAACAGAACTTCATGAATATCTTATGAATTGTAAATTGTATGACGACTGCAGACGATTGCGCCTGCTTATTGGTATATACCATCACCTCACACTTTATAATACCCAGTGACTCCTTAATTGTATTATATTTGAACTTTCAATTATCAGACGTTGTTGGGCTAGTTATTCCATATATACTGGTCGTTATACATACAACGGTACTATCGAATCATAACTTGTATGATATATGGATTGGAACGTCATATATACGTACTGTGCAGAGCTTCTAGGAAATCGCTGCGAATGCTTAATATATGTTTAGACCTCACAATACTCAAATGGATATAGTATTATTGAATACCTTTTATAAAATAGATTCGTATATTGTTAATAGTTAATAGATTTATTGATTAATCATCGGTAATCATCGGCTAAATACCCAACTCGGTCTTATTTCCTCGTCTTCCCGATTAGGAAATAGTTCCCATTCGAGCTATTATTAATACTATAGTAAAATTAAAATTTATGCACATTTTTTGACTTTAATGTTTTGACTTGAAAAAAAAGATACTTGGACATCTGCTTAATCATTGTCTTGAAAATTGAAGTATACAATAACTTGACTGAAGGTTTTAAAAGGAACTCATATTGAAAACTTGGCTTTAATTTCACTTGGAAATACTACGTTGGTTAAGTTTGCATTGTCAAAAAATTTTATGATCTTCAACTTTAATTAACCGTTCATTCTCGAAAATATTTATTAATTTATATCATCAATACAATTCACAATCAACTCCCATAATTGAATTCAGGTGTATATATTCAATTAAAACATGTCAACAATAAACTCCTCGAGTGATTCTAGTTATTACGAGGCTAATAGCTCTCCACCATCACCACCTCAAAATCCACAACCATTTACAGGTCATAATAATCAATCAAAAGAATCTGTTGAAACTTTTAAACCACAAAGAAGAAGATCCATTAGTTCATTAGATCCAAATGATAAAAGTTTTGTATCAAGTTTGAAAAAAACCATATCACATTCTTCATCAAATAGACCAAGTGAAGAAAATTCAACAAATTATAAAGATTATTCTGCAAAAAATTTATATGGTGAAGATTTAGATGCTAATGAAATTGAATTGAAAAGAACTCAAACAAAAGCAACTATTATAAACACACTAGAAGAAAGAGTAGCAAATGAATATCAAGATTCAAAAGAACAAGATATAGAAGCTTATCAACCAGACACAACAAATCAAGAACAAAGATCTCATAGATCAAAATCAATCTATTCACAAGTTGATAGAGAAGAAGCATTACCAACATTAAATGATGGTGTAGAATTTCAAGAAATTGATCCAGAATTAGTTACATGGGATGGTGATGATGATCCACAAAATCCAAGAAATTGGTCATCCCAAAAAAAATGGATTAGTATTGCAGTTGTTTCATTTTATACCCTTTTATCACCATTTGCTTCAACAATGTTATCACCTGCAGTTTCATCAATTTCCCAGGAATTTGGTAATACAAATGAAACAATTTCTGCATTAATGGTTTCAATTTTCATTTTAGCATGGGCTTTAATCCCGCCATTTGTTGCACCATTAAGTGAAATGTATGGACGTAAAATTGTTCTTGATGTATCAATTTGGGTCTTGATGGCTTTTAATATTGGTTGTGCAGTGAGTCAAACAACAACGCAAATGATTGTTTGTAGATTTTTTGCAGGTGTTGGTGGTGCTGCATCAATTGTTATTGGTGCAGGTACAATTTCTGATACAATGGATGTTCAAGAACGTGGATTAGCAATGTCAATTTATAGTTTAGGACCTACAATGGGACCATGTATGAGTGCATTAATTGCAGGTTATATTGTGGAATATGCATCATGGAGATGGTGTTTTTGGGTCTTGGTTATATTTAATGGTGTTATTGGTGTTTTAGGTAATATTTTTTTAAGAGAAACTTATGCACCAGTTTTATTGAAAAGAAAAGCTTCAAAATTAAGAAAATTAACTGGTAATGAAAATTTACATTCATTATATGAAATTGCTACAGGTGAAACAACATTTGATAAATTTTATGTTAATTTAAGTCGTCCAATTTTATTACTTTGTACACATCCAATGGTTTTCGGATTAGGTATTTTCATGGCTATTGGTTATGGATGTCTTTATATATTAATTGTTACATTTCCAGCAGTTTGGGGTCAAATTTATGGATTTAATAAAGGTTCAACAGGATTAATGTATTTAACATTTTTAATTGGTTATTTAATTGGTATTATTTTTTTCAATCAAAGTGCTAAATATGTTTTAAATAAATTAATTGCCAAAAATAATGGAGTAGCTAAACCAGAATTTAGATTACCATTATTATTATTTAGTGGTGTTACATTACCAATGGGATTATTTTGGTATGGATGGGGTGCAGAACATCAATTACATTATATGTTTACCGCAGTTGGAGCATCAATTTTTGCATTTGGAGTTATTGCAATTTTTTATTGTATTCAAAATTATTTAATTGATATGAATCCAAGATTCGCAGCAAGTTCTATAGCAGCAGCATCAATTTTTAGATCATTTTTAGGTTTTGCATTCCCATTATTTGCACCTGAAATGTTTAGATCATTAGGTTATGGATGGGGTTGTTCAGTTTTTGGATTTATTGCATTAGCAACAGGTATTCCATTCCCATTATTTGTTATATTATATGGTGAAAAATTAAGAATTTGGGCAAATAAAAGAATTGAAAGATCTCAAGCTAAAAGAGATGCTAAAAATTTAGCAAGATTGAAAAAAATTCAAGAAAGACAATTAAATGAAAAAAAACCTGTTAATGAAAAAGAAGTAGGTAATGTTAGTTCACAATCATCATGAATATGATCATCTCCAATATTACCAATATCATTTTTAATATATTCAACAAATAAAGAGTTTAGCTTCTGTATAATACGTTAGTTATATAACACAATTTTAATAATTTAATACACATTAATAACATAATCAAAAATGAGCCATATCAGATGGTTGTAGTGTAACAGCGCTAAGCAATTGTGAATCCATATATCAACAAACCAATATTGATCTCTTTGTAAGGCGCAGTTTATCAACTATATATTGTTGGCAGATAATATGGTGGGGTATTTATAATCAACACAGCGGTAATCTACTAAAAATGAACATCCATTAACCTAATCTATAAAGTCTTGATGTTCTTTGTTTTGTTTATTTGTTGTGTATACTTGGCTATATTGCGTGCTACAGTAAAACTTATCAATTGGCATTGGATTCTATCAGTAAACGATTGAATTATAATCCTTACTTACCGCCTTGGTGATAACATATAACTAAACGTCATTGGGAGTTCAAAGATTGACACATATTGCAAGTCACAAGATATAAAGATGATCATTTCTTTTTCATGCAATTGCATAGTCTATTAAACAATCATATGTAACCAACCTGGAGTTTATCTATACTTAGTCATTTTAACCAAAGCGGGATGGCCAAGAATAGCAATTTCAAAGATACATCTTTAGATGATAATCAATGTATCACAGCCTAATATATATACTATCCTTTAATGTTCGACCGGTAATTGTAAAGACTTCTAGGTTATCTCGGATGGTTCTAGAATCGTGGGTCCTTATCCTATAATTAATTTTGTGCCAGGTGCCACGGTTAAAACTGATTATATATAAAGTACACCATACATGTGTTGATATTATGTAGCTTGACACATTATTAATATTAAGATTATATAGGCTATTTGGAGACGATAGATTGACATTGTACAGTCACTATTATTATATGACGTGAATTTGATCCTATATATAATGGTCTATCAATAGCCAGGTAAGAATACATACGTTGTGGTGTTGATTGTGGTCGTGAGACCAATATTTGTTCCGCGATCACCACTTATCTACAATCTACAATTTGATAAAATGCCAATACCATTAAAGGCCAAGAAGCTGGAATAAAAAGTAAGCAAAAACGTGGTCAATAAGCTATACAACCATATACCCAAGCTATTTAGGGTATGGAACAACACAGCAATAGTAAAGCAGCCAACGGTTAACCATCTGACAATGTCTATTAATATGAGTGATTAGACACAATCTCACCACCATGTTTATTATTCTCATTCAATATGAGCTGATATTTTATAAGGAAACGATTTTACTGTACTAACTAAAAAGTGAAAACCCCTGGTTCGCGACACATGTGACAAGAATTTTACGACCTATTTTTTACAGTGGGCACATGCGTCCCTTACCGATTTCCTTTTGGCTCACACTTTTAAACACGGTCAGTGGGTAATGGGTAACTTCTTGGTATTAGCAATTGGTTACTTGTTGGGCTAATAAAGGTATGAATTATGTTTGTTATGTTTGTCTTATAAATACAACATACAAGATTGTTATTGGTGTTGATATATTCCTGTTGTTTACGGGATTCTTCTCCATGCAAAAAGATTCTCGCAGAACCTCTTCTCCCAAAGCAGAAGTTCAAGATGAGTTGATCCAATTTCCCTTGCATGAATTGAAAATATGTAGTTTCCTATGCGGGGCTTACCGGTTCCATAAAGCCTGCAATTTTGAATTTTGATAAACAAATTCCTTTGATTGTCTTGACATTGTCTTTATGGAGAAATAGTCATGTCTATATAAATACAAAGCAATTCCCACTTTATCAAGATGTTGATCTTTCAAATACAATCTTGTTAATATTGTTTAGTTTCAATAAATAGTTCTTCAACAATAATCATTCATACTTCATATACATATATTCAATTGTAACTATAATTATCATTACTTATATTACATAGAAGAACTATTAGAAAGAAAGAAACATATACACTATTACTAGGGCGCTTAATTATTTATAATCAAATTAAACATAGAGAACAAAGAGAATACAAAGCTATATCATGTCTAGTTCTGAAGATGCAAAACTAAATCATGCTGCTACTATAGGAACTAAAGGAACTTATTCAAGTTCTGATGATGGTCAAACTTTTGATGCTTATAGAGAAACTATTGAAACAACTGAAAAATTCTTTAAAACTAATATTCAAGAAGGTTTATCTGAACAAACTGCTGATCAATTATTAAAACAATGGGGTGAAAATACTCTTGGTGATGATCAAAAAATTAATGTTGTTAAAATTATTGTTCGTCAATCTTGTAATGCTATGATTTTAGTGTTGATTATATCTATGGCTATTGCTTTAGGTATTAAAGATTGGATTTCTGGTGGTGTAATTGCCTTTGTTGTTGGTATTAACGTTGGTATTGGTTCTTTACAAGAGTATAAAGCTTCTAAAACTATGAATTCTTTAAAATCTTTATCTTCTCCAACTGCAAGAGCTATTAGAAATGGTGAATTGAAGACTATCCCAACAAAATTTGTTGTTCCAGGTGATGTTGTTTCTGTTAAAGTTGGTGATACAATTCCTGCAGATTTAAGAATTGTTGATTGTTTAAATTTTGAAACTGATGAAGCTTTATTAACTGGTGAATCTTTACCCGTGGCTAAAGAATTTGAAACTGTTTATCATGAAGAAATTGGTGTTGGTGATCGTTTAAATATGGCTTTTTCATCTTCAGTTGTTACAAAAGGTCGTGCTACTGGTATTGCAGTTAAAACTGGTTTACAAACTGAAATTGGTGAAATTGCTCAATCTTTAAAAAGTCAAAAAAAATCATTACATACTGATGATGATAATTCTGCATGGAAAAATTTCTTAATCTTGATTAAAGATGGTGTTGGTTCATTTTTAGGTACAACTGTTGGTACTCCATTATCAAGAAAATTATCAAAATTAGCTATTGGTTTATTTATTGTTGCAGTTTTATTTGCCATTATTGTTATGGCTACTCAAAAAATGGTTGTTCCAAGTGAAGTTGCAATTTATGCAATTTGTGTCGCTTTATCTATGATTCCATCTTCATTAGTTGTTGTTTTAACAATTACAATGAGTGCAGGTGCTAAAACTATGGTTCAAAGAAATGTTATTATTAGAAAATTAGATTCTTTAGAAGCTTTAGGTTCAATTAATGATATTTGTTCAGATAAAACTGGTACTTTAACTCAAGGTAAAATGTTGGTTAAAGCTGTTTGGGTTCCATCTTCTGGTACTTATAATGTTCATGATACTTCAGATCCTTTTAATCCAACAATTGGTACGCTATCATATTCTTCACAATCACCAAGTGAAAATTCAAAAGATCATTCTGAAAAACCTGATGAAACTAATGTTGATATTGAAAATTCATTTTTCCAAAATTGGTTATATTGTGCTACATTAGCTAATATTGCAACTGTTTTTAAAGATGAACATGGTGATTGGAAAGCTCATGGTGATCCAACTGAAATTGCTATTCAAGTTTTCGCTTATAGAAATGGATTACCAAGATCAGATTTAACAAAAGGTGATTTACCAAAATATAAACATATTAATGAATTCCCATTTGATTCTTCTGTTAAAAAAATGAGTGCAATTTATAATGAAGCTGGTAATGAAAAGGAAAATAAAGTTTATACAAAAGGTGCTGTGGAAAGAGTTTTACAATCTTGTAAAAATTGGTATGTAAATGGTGAATTAAAACCATTAACTGAAGAAGATCAAACTTCAATTGAAGAAAATATGAATAGTTTATCTGGTGAAGGTTTAAGAGTTTTAGCATTTGCAACTAAAACAATTCCAATTGATCATGATACTACAAATCGTGATACAATTGAATCTGATTTAACATTTTTAGGTTTAGTTGGTATTTATGATCCTCCAAGATTAGAATCCCTTGGTGCTGTTAAAAAATGTCATAAAGCTGGTATTAATGTTCATATGTTGACTGGTGATCATCCAGGTACTGCAAGAACAATTGCTCAAGAAGTTGGAATTTTACCACATAATTTATATCATTATGCTCAAGATGTTGTTGAAAGTATGGTTATGACTGCTAAACAATTTGATGATTTAACAGATGCACAAATTGATGAATTACCTGTTTTACCATTAGTTATTGCTCGTTGTGCTCCACAAACTAAAGTTCGTATGATTGATGCTTTACATCGTCGTAAAAAATTTTGTGCAATGACTGGTGATGGTGTTAATGATTCTCCAAGTTTGAAAAAAGCTGATGTTGGTATTGCTATGGGTATTGCAGGTTCAGATGTTGCAAAAGATGTTTCAGATATTGTTTTAAGTGATGATAATTTTGCTTCAATTATTAATGGTATTGAAGAAGGTAGAAGAATGAATGATAATATTCAAAAATTCGTTTTACAATTATTAGCTGAAAATGTTGCACAAGCTTTATATTTAATGATTGGTTTAGCATTTAAAGATGTTAATGGATTAAGTGTTTTCCCATTATCACCAGTTGAAGTTTTATGGATTATTGTTATTACTTCATGTTTCCCAGCTATGGGGTTAGGTTTAGAAAGAGCACAACCAGATGTTATGCATAAAGATCCAAAACCTTCAAAAGAATCTGTTTTTTCAAAAGAAATGCTTGTTGATTTACTTTGTTATGGATTTTGGATGGCAATTTGTTGTTTAGGTTGTTTTCTTGTTGTTACTTATGATTGGGGTAATGGAGAATTAGGTACTGATTGTAATAAAGAATATAGTGATTCATGTTATTATATTTTTAGATCAAGATCAGCTTCATTTGCTACAATGACTTGGTGTGCATTAGTTTTAGCTTGGGAAGTTATTGATATGAGAAGATCATTATTTGCAATGCAAGATGAAACAGAAACACCATATACTCAAGTTTTCAAAGATTTATGGTCAAATCAATTTTTATTTTGGTCAGTTGTTGGTGGGTTTATTTCAGTTTTCCCAGTTGTTTATATTCCAGTTATTAATAAAGTTGTGTTTTTACATGGACCAATTGGTAAAGAATGGGGGTTAGCATTTGCATTCACTATAGCATTTTGGATTGGATGTGAATTTTATAAATTTTTGAAGAGACAATATTTAAAGAAACAAACTGTTCATAATCCTGAACATGATTTAGAAAAGAAGAATCCATTTGATAAATATGCAAGTTTTTCAAGAGCTGGTACTATGCAACCAGGAGCATAAACATAAACATGTTCAATTTTAATTAATTTTATCATATACATATACAATTTTGGTATTATATCCTATACCACACACACACACATAATGCATTGAATTTTCATGATATTGTTTTATTAATAGTTTAATTAGATTTTTTTTATATATTATATAATTATAATACAATTTATTTTTGATTTTGAAAACCTTCTGTATTGTAGTCTATTCTATACTTCATTAAAATAATTTATAACTTGCATATTAAAATCTTTAGGATTATCTAAAAAGATATTATGACCTGCATTTTTAATTATAGTAAAATCATTTTCCACTTTATTCATTCCATTTAACTCATTAACTGCTTCAAATCCAGCTTGAACATTCATCCAATCAAATTGTCCATACATAATCATCACTGGAATCTTAACTTTATCTAAATTATCTAAAATTGGATCAAAACTTAATAAAGAATTATTAAACAAATTTTTAAACATCTTGAATGAATTATTTTTTTGATAAATTAATAAAATTGTATAAATTAAAAAAAAATTATTCAATTCTTTAGAATCAATCAGGGAATTTGTTGAACTTCTTGTTAATCTTGAACTTAAATATTTAGAAACTAATCTGACCCCCAGGGGACCTAACCATTTCAAGATATTAAATCCATAATTCATAACAAATTTAGGGATGAATCCTGATCTAAAATAATTTGAATCCTTAGGGTTTGAACTTATGATCCCCTGTGTTGACTTGTTATGTATTGATGAGATATTTCTTTCCATACCTAAAGGAGAAACTAAAATTAATTTTTCAATATGTTGTGGATATCTTAAACAATATTTAAATGATAAAAATCCACCAAATGAATGACCTAATAGATTTATTTTATTTAATCCATTGGTTTGTCTCCAATTTTCAATAGCTTCAATATAATAATTTTCTATTGATGTTATTGTTTTTGAAATTTGAATTAAATCTTGATCAACTTGATACCCAATTTTATCACCATTAGGTTCCAATTTCACTATAGATTCCAATGATTTAATATCTAATGGAGCCTTTTGGGATAATCCAATATCTGGTAAATCTATAGTATATAATTTTTGGAACCTTTGTGATAATTCAGTGAAATTTTTATGATAAAAAATTCCACTTGATGCAAAACCATGGATTAATAAAGTTGGTGTTTTGATTTGTGCTTTTGGGTTTATTATTTTAATTTCACCAAGTTTTGATACTATATTTGATTCAATTTTAGCATAGGGATCTATTTTTAATGATTCTAGAATTTCATTTTGATAATTTGTTAATGTTTTTCTAGGATTAAAGTCCAACGCCCATTTAAAGAATAAAGAAGTTGATGATAATAAACCTAATTCATAAGAGTTTTTTGATTTTTCAGATGATATTACCTTCTGTATTAACGTCTTTTGTTTTAAAGGTTTAAAACTCGTTGAGAAGGGTCTTATTGAGTATCTGAACATATTTGTTGATAATTCATGTTGATGGTTTTGTTTATCAACGGGTATTAATTTTTCGCCGGGATTACAAATATCAACATCAACAAATCTATTATAATCTATATAATTTTTATTTCTATAATACTTCTAGTACTTTTACTTCTATTAATCAGTCTTTCTGTATAAATGACTTGCACTTGCTTGGTTTGTTGAAAAGATCAAAGTTTCAGCAATCACAGTATTTGAACGTCTTGTAGTGGTATAAACAATCAAATCACTAATATCTTTAGCAATAAGTGGTTCAGTTCCCTGGTAAACTTTTTTAGCCTTCTCCAAATCACCAAAGAATCTTGTATTTGAAAATTCAGTCTCAACATTACCAGGATCAATTTCAATAACTCTTATCTTGGTATCAATTAATTCTTTTCTAAGGGAATGAGTAAAAGATCTTAGAGCAGCTTTTGTTGCACAATAAATACCACCACCTGGATAAGGATCTCTACCTGCAATTGAGCCTAATTGAACAATATCACCTGAATCTTTTTGTTTCATAATTGGTAGCACATGTTGAGTCATTGAAATCATTCCTAAGACATTAGTTTGAAACATTACATCTATATCTTCTTGCTTGATGGTACCAATTTTATCAACACCATGAGCTTTACCAGCGTTATTAATTAAGATATCAATATCTTGGAATTCTGTTGGTAATGATTGGAAAAATGATTCAATATCTTTTAAATTTGAAACATCTAATTGTTTAGTCAAGATTTTAATTTGGGGGAATTGAGTTGATAAATCTTTTTCCAAAGATTCTAATCTTTCAATTCTTCTTGCAGTTAAGATTAATTTAATTTCACCATTTGAAGCTTTTGCATAATCCCATGCAGTTGATTCACCAATACCAGCAGAAGCACCAGTGATTAAAATGATTTTGTTTGTTAATCTTTCAGCAGCTTGTGGACCAAATGACATATTGTGTTAATTTTTTATGTATTTGTTGATTGTGTTGTTGGTTAAAGAGAAGTTGTTCAATGAGACATATTTATATTTATATTGGGCATATGGAAACCCAAATCCGAGATTGAGATATCTTATCTATAGATCATCTTATTTATGGATTATATGAACATAGTATGAACATAGTTGGCAGTGGTTAGTAGCTGATGATGATGATGATGATTTACTAGATGACTAGATACTGAGAGTATGAGTAATATAATGTAGAACTGATTATACATGATTGTTTGATTATGATATTGTTTGATACCAGATACCAGTAGTAATAACACCATCGGATTTAGAGTCAGCAATACTATCTATATTACAATACTATATACTTTATAGTTGATGATATACTCTACTATTACACTATAGTACGCTGTCAGTTGTCGTACAAGATTCTTAAGGCTCAAGACTCAAGGCACCGGGTTTTAATTATACCTTATTGTTCTCTTGGTTTTTGTGTTTTTGTGTCTTTGTGTCTTTGTACGGGTTATACAGGGTGTGAATAGTAATACCTAGAATAGAGAATACTAAATATAACCATGAACACATCAACACTAATTCTATTCATATCCTTTGAATCTGTGAACTGATAACTAATAGCTATACTACTTTAAACATCATATGTCTTTCTAGTTTCCTTATACTTTAGTTATTTAGTGTACAAGTCTCGGGATCTCTCAGGTCCAATGGGATTGCTGTTTTTACCAATGCAATAATAAACTATAGACAATAATAAACTATAGTATAGTAAACAAGGTAAAATAAACACGTATAATTCAACTAAAACACTCATATCCCATCATAATCACTTCTTTATATTACAAGTACTACACATCAACTAATTCTCGCTTATATTCACTATTCTCTTTGGCCATCTTAATTCCCAGCTTAAATAAAAAATTTAATTTCACACTATAATTTTTTTTTTCAATAATAGAAATTTGAGAACGTTAAGAAAATATAAACAAATTAAACAATTTTTATAAGGAGATCTATAATTAATCGTTCATTACAAGAGACTCATATACCAAGGACCATTCCATTGAATGTTATATTGATCCTATTACACTGAAGTTCATCCAGAATAGTCATTAACTCATCACTTCACTATACAACACATACAATACATCACAATACAATACACTTATGAATCAATCAACATGTCAAATAATAAATCAATTGAAGAATTACAAGAATCAAAAATCAAATCTTTATTTAATGAAATAGATGTATATAAAACTGGTAAAATTGATTTGAAAACTTTACAATCTGCTTTAGATAAATCTGATCATCCATTAAAAAATAATAATGATGCTATTTTACAATTATTTAATTCCTTGGATCTCAAGAATGATAAATTTATAGATTATGAAGAATTTAAAACTTATTTTATTAAAGCTGAAGTACAAATCCTTAATGGGTTTAAAAAATTAGATTCAAATTCTGATGGGAAAATTAATTTACATGATTTAAATAAAATTTTACAAGAGAAGAATATTAATGAAAATGATAAATTTCAAAAATTTATTACTTTATTAACAAATGATGATCCTAAAGCCAACTACATAACATATGATCAATGGAGAGATTTCTTATTATTTGTTCCAAGATTAAACGGTTCAAGATTGAAAACTGCTTATGAATTCCTAAATTCAAATCATAACGTTGATTATAATTCAGAAGGTGATATCACCGTTTCAAATGATTTACTCAAAGGTTTAGGGTTTTTCCTTGCTGGTGGTCTTAGTGGTGTTGTTTCAAGAACTTGTACTGCACCTTTTGATCGTATAAAAGTTTTCCTTATTGCAAGAACTGATTTATCTTCAACTTTATTACACAAGAAACAATCATTAGCTAAGAATGAAATTCCCCTAGATAAGATAAAATCTCCTTTAATAAAAGCTGCAACTACTTTATATAGACAAGGTGGTCTTAGAGCTTTTTATGTTGGGAATGGTCTTAACGTGGCAAAAGTTTTCCCTGAATCTGCAATGAAATTTGGTTCTTTTGAATTTGCTAAAAAAATAATGTCAAATTTAGAAGGTGTCAAAGATACTTCTGAATTATCAAGATTTTCAACATATATTGCAGGTGGTCTTGGTGGTGTTTTTTCTCAATTTACCGTATATCCAGTTGATACTTTAAAATATAGAGTTCAATGTGCTCAATTAGATACAAAACTCCAGGGAAATAAATTATTATTCCAAACTGCTAAAAATATGTATAAAGAAGGTGGTTTAAAATTATTTTATAGAGGTGTGCTTGTCGGTGTTACTGGTATTTTCCCATATGCTGCTTTAGATTTAGGTACTTTCTCAGCAATGAAAAAATGGTATATCAATAAAGAAGCTAAAAAGCAAAATGTTTCACCTGATGATATTGTTATGAGTAATTTAATTGTCTTACCAATGGGTGCATTTTCAGGTACTGTGGGTGCTACAGTAGTGTATCCAATAAATTTATTAAGAACAAGATTACAAGCTCAAGGAACTTATGCACATCCATATAGATATACTGGGTTTAAAGATGTATTGTTTCAAACTATACAGAGAGAAGGTTATCCTGGATTATTTAAAGGTTTAGTACCAAATTTAGCAAAAGTTTGTCCTGCTGTTTCAATTAGTTATTTGATGTATGAAAATTTAAAAAGAGTAATGTCATTAGAATAATTAGTGTGTATATATATTTTAGGTTATTTCTATTGAAGAATAAAAAATTATGGGACCTATATCAACTGTTCTTAGTGGTATAATACTTATCTTGTCATTATCATAATCATTAATATCCATATTATCATTATCATCATCATTTAAAATCCAATCATCATTTAATTTAATATCTTTAGTTTCTAAAACAATCGTATAACTTAATTTATCATCATTTTGTAACCTAGGTTTTAAATTTCTAATTTTATTTAATAATGAATATAAATTTGATCTAAATTCATCATAAATAATTTTCCATGAAAGATTATTAAACCCTGTAATTCTATAACTAGTTAGTATTATGTTCAATATACTATATATGGATAAACTTACTCTTTATCATAATAATTTGTTGAAGTATGTAAAAATTCCATCAAATTTAAACTATATCGTTCTTTACTATCTCCAGTGTCAACATCATATATCACTAATGAAATTAATTTAATTTTTTTCTACAATAATGGTTAGCTATGGGTTCTAAGACTATCATAAGGTCTTACTTACAAAGCATAAATCATCCATTAAATCATTAATCAATCCATTATTCCAATTAATAACATCTGGATGTCTATTAAATGGACATTTTAAATTAAATGAATTTTTATATTCATATGATTCTTGGGGGTATATTCCACGTTCTTTTGTTATGATATTTATCCAAGTTATAAGAAATTGTTGAAATGTGAAATATAAATTGTTTGGTGTTAAATTTAAAGAACCTGATGAAGTTTTATTTGGTTTTATCAACATTGATTTGTGCTTATTGTGCTTGTTGATCATATTGGTTTAATATGAGTAGTAATTAAAATTTTGACATATAATATTAAAATCGCGGTACGCGCTTAATTATTTTAACCACAAATATTTTAAACAACAATCAACAAACATCAACAAAGGTATTCAAAAGGTATTCTTTCAAAAGGTATCCATCTTGCTACTTATTAAATGTCATAATGTCAAAGATCACAAGTATTGGTAAAGAAGATGTTCATAGAATCACTTCTGGTCAAGTTATCATAGATCTTTCCACTGCTGTTAAAGAATTATTAGAAAATAGTATTGATGCAAATTCTAAAAAAATTGAAATTATCTTCAAGAATTATGGTTTAGATTCAATTGAAATCATTGATGACGGTGATGGTATTGATGAATTAGATTTCCTTAATATTGCATTAAAACATACAACTTCTAAATTATCAAATTTTGAAGATTTAGATAATGTTGATACTTTGGGGTTTAGAGGTGAAGCTATAAATTCATTATGTTCTATATCAAATTTAAAAATCATAACTACAAAAACACCACCAAAAGCTCATGCTATTGAATATTTACCCAGTGGTGAAATTCATAAAAAAACTATATGTTCAAGATCAAAAGGTACTTCAATTATAATAACAAATTTATTTAATAATTTACCAGTTAGAAGAAAAGATTTCCAAAAAAATTTTAAAAAAGAATTTTCAAAATGTTTACAAAATTTATACTCTTATGCTTTAATTTCATTGAATTTAAAAATTATAGTGGCAAATATTACAATTAATGGTAAAAAAAATATTGTTTTACAAACTCAAGGTAATTCAATTTTAAAAAATAATATTATAAATGTATTTGGTTCAAATGGGATGTATGGTCTAATACCATTAGATTTTAACTTAGATTTAAATTCAAATAAATCAAAATTGAAAATTTTAAATCATTCCATAGATTATAACATTAAAATTAATGGATTTATATCAAAATGTTCATTTGGATTTGGTAGATCATCAATTGATCGTCAATATTTTTTTATAAATAATAGACCAGTTTCATTAACACATTTTGGTAAAGCTATAAATGAAGTTTATAAATCATTTAATCATTTACAATATCCAGTATTTATTTTAAATTTTGAAATAAATCCTCAATTTTTAGATTTAAACGTTACACCTGATAAAAAAATTATATTAATTCATAATGAAGATATAATTTTAGAAAAATTAAAACAAGAATTAATTAATTTTTATAATTTACAAGATTTAAGTCTTGTTAGAAATTCAACAAATCAACAAAGTTTAGATTTAAGAAGTTCCTCAATGATTGATGATGAAGAAGATGAAGACGTTAAACCTATACAATCATCTTTAATGACTAGTAGTTTTAGTTATAATGGGGAAGAAGTGGGTAATGATAATGATGTGAATGAATCTAAAAGAAAGATGGTTAATGAGATTTCACCTTTATCCAAAAGAAGGAAGATTGAAGAAGAGGAGGAAGAGGAAGGTGACGAAGAAGAGGAAGTAGAAGAAGTAGAAGAAGAAAACAATGAATTTGAAGAAGAAGAATTTGATGATATTATATCTGAAAATGATCAAGATAATAATGATGAAAACAAAAATCATAGCATAAATAATACTTCATCAAAACCTAAAACTAGACCATCAATTAGACAAAATTTACCAAATTTGAAAGAAAAATTTGATTTGAATAATCTTTCATCTTTTAGAAATAATCAAACATCATCAACATCACAACCACAACCATCAAACATCACGAAAAAATCAAAACAAAGTACTTTAGAACCAATTTTCATGAAGATTGGAGATAAAGAAATTATTGAAAATGGATATATTGATAAAAAAGGTACTCTGTCTTTTGAAAAATGTCATTGTGGATCTGGTCATTCAAAATCTGAACATCCTGATGAGGAGCAAGAGGGCGAGGATCATGAAGAAGAGGATGGAGTAGAACATATTGATCAAGATCATGAAGAGAATGAAAGTGAAATTTTAGAAATTGAAAACTCTTCAAAAAATAAGTTATTCGTTCCAGAAGATTATGATGAAATTAAGGAACCAAATAGTATTTCTCAAGAATTAATTGATGGAAATACAGGATTGGATTCAAATCATAGTATAGATGTTGATCAAGATTTAATAATTTCTGATCCAAGTACTATTAAATCAGAGTTTAATAATAGATTTTTAAACTCTAATGATAGACAAAAAAATGCATCAAGAAATTATGAACTTTTGGTTGATAGTATCGTTAACCCACCTAAAATTATAAATGAAGATGAAGAACAAAATCGTTTAAATACATTGAAAAATTTATCAATTGATAATATTGATGATCAAGAAGAATCAGAAAATAAATTAACTTTAACAGTTAGTAAAAAAGATTTTTTAGAAATGAAAATTATTGGACAATTTAATTTAGGTTTTATTCTTGTTATTAGACAAAATGATCTAAAACAAGATCTTTTCATTGTGGATCAACATGCATCTGATGAAAAATTTAATTTTGAAACTTTACAAAAAATTACAATATTTGATAGTCAACCATTAGTTGTACCTAAAAAAATTGAATTAAATGCATTAGATGAATTAACTATAATTGAAAATCAACAAGTTTTTGTTAAAAATGGATTTAAATTCGAAATTGATGAAGATGGTGAACCTGGTTCTCGTATAAAATTAATTTCTTTACCATTATCTAAAAAAACAGTTTTCGATGAAAATGATTTTAATGAATTAATTCATCTTATTAAAGAAAATCAAGGTAATACTGATTCAATTAGATGTTCTAAAATTAGATCAATGTTTGCAATGAGAGCTTGTCGTAAAAGTATAATGGTTGGTAAAAGTTTAAACACTAAAACAATGACAAAAGTTATTAGAAATTTAGGTCAATTAGATAAACCATGGGTAAGTAATCAACAAAAAAGAAAATCATTTGAAAGTTTTAAATACTAACATGTTAATTATAGAATTGTCCACATGGTCGTCCAACAATGCGTCATTTAATGGAACTTGAACAATGGAAACCATTTGATGATGATTATAGACTTTAAAAAAATAGAAAAATATGTTTATTTTACTAATGGTTTACGATTCTCCTTATGATTTTTATAATTTCTTGATATTTCGTAATAATTAAATATTTATGTGTATATATACAGATGATTCTAACCTCATTAATTTACAGGTTTCCAATATTGATCAATTTAATTCAGCTTCTAAATAAATTTTTAAAAGCTGCAAACATACCAGTTGCTTGTTGTGGGATTTCTGGGCGTGTTAAAGTTGAATAACCTCTTCTTTCTAATCTGTTTAATTTCTTAGCTGTTTTAGCATTATTTCTAGTACCTTGACCACGAACTGGAAGACCCATAGCATGTCTTAAACCAGCATATGAACCAATACGTCTTTTTAATTGAATATTTTCACGAACAATAGCTCTTGCATTACCTTCAAGCGTTAGTTCTGATAATTCTTTTGTGACTGCCAATATTTGTTGTTCTGATAGTTGATGCATTCTCATCCAAGGATATAAACCTAATTTAGCACAAATTTTTTGAGCACCTGCTAAACCTAAACCATAGAATTTTGCAGCTAAACCAATCTAAAAATCAAATTATTAGTTTCAATTCTTTTGAATTCTCGTATTTCATACTATGATTTTACTTACATGAACTGGTTGTTTGGCACTGAAAGCCTTACCCATAATATGTGTCACCATTTTCAGATATTTGATGAGCTATGTTCTTGATCTTCAAATTACAACTACTTAAATTCAAATCTATAATATCTAAATACTCTTCACGGTTATTAGGTTGACGATGAAAAAAATCAAAATGTTTGGATGTTCGCGAAAGCTTCCGATTATCGGTAAGGGCAGAAGTATCATAAACTTTTCATTTCAAATTTTACAAAAATTACATGATTATTTCTACTTCAAAAGTCAATAAAATACATGTAAATGAATGTTTATATACTTACTTGTCTTATCTATACTATATCCTGAAAATATGAATGTTACAAAACGCCAACCCGGTGGAATAAAAACACAAAAAAATAAAAATAACCAAAAAGAATAAATAATTAATATACTTCAAAATCGAAGTCCATACTTCTCCCTCTCCAAATCTAATCTTAAAATCAATAATATTCTTAATAATGCAATCATTGATATAAAACTTGCAATTCCAATGGGTACCACTGCAAACACTGTGATGTTATAATAATCAACACTTCTTGGTTTATTACCATTTTTTAAATCTAAATTACTTGTAACAAAATTTTGAATGATATAAGCACCTGTCAATATACATGAAATTAAGACCCATGTATGTAATAAATAAAACCCATCGGGACTTAAAATTGCTAATGTAGCTTGTTCCATAGTTATTAATAACATTGATAAAGCTAATACTCTTAAAATAGCTGCACCTGTTTGATAAGTAACAATCCATCTAACCATTAATCCATCAATTACTGCAAAAGATAAATAAGCTGCAACAACACACCATATACCTGCAATGAATTCCTCTGATGATGAAGGTCTTTTTAATATGGATAATGCTTGACTTTCATAACCTTCTGTAAGTGCTTTAGTTGAATGATAACAATTTTTAAAACATTTAAAAGCATTATATAATGATGGTATTAGCACTGAATCACGACATATAGCTAACGCAAAATGTTGTTTAGCATTTAAAAAGTTTAAACCTAAAATTTTTAAACTTCGTCTTTCATTTGAAATACTTGTACGTTGTTCTGATAATGGTTGTTCATCGTGAGAGTTCCTTCTTGATTCCAAATTTTGTTGATCTTGATTCATAATTTCTTCATATGAGGGTACACGTTCTTCTGTTGATGGTATTGGTTCTATATCCAATGCACTTAAGCTTCTATATGATGCTCTATGATATCCATTTGAAAATGGAGCTCTTTGTAAACTTGAAGTTGAATGTGAAACCCTCATCTCTTGATATGCAGGGTACTCAACTGTACCTGGGGATGGAGTTCTAGGTGGTCTATCAGCATAATTATCATTTTGATTACTGTTGACTGATCCCACATCTTGAAACCTTTGTCTAACACCAACCATTGGCTAAAACTTGAAGTATTATTGTATATATAATAAAATGAACTTGCTGATAGGATAAAAGTTCTTCAGATATTTAAAAAAAAAAGTGGATAACCACAAGGAAATATAATTGATGGGTATTAAATATCGAATATTATATCTATGGTTTATTTTAGGATCAATACGAGATTTAAATCACAATGCAGGTTTAACAACAACTTCTCTCCTTATCAATGCAATCTTTTGTCTATTTTAACAATAGTTTTTGACAAATCTGGAAATATTTGGAATTGTACCTGAATTTTAGTTCTCCTTCCAGCCTCAAATCCCACAATTAATGCAACAAATAAGGTGATATAGAACCCGTGTAACCAATACGATTTGATAAGGACGACAACCAATTTTTCAAAACTTCCTTTGTTTCGATAATAGTCAAATTTAAAGTTTGAAGCTTTGCACAGTTTAATTTTTTTTTTTTGCGTGTTTCAAAAGAAGAAGTGCAAATGGCCTAATAAGGAAGTACCGATGCGTGAAAAAACGAAAAATTGCGAAATCTTTGATCTGATTATTGTTAGACATTATTATCCAAAGCTTTTCGATTAATTACTTCGATATAATTCTATCGAAAGCATATGGGAAATACGAGTCGGTAGCTACTTCAACAGTCTTTTAAAAAACAATAAACATTATCAAAATATTGCGACTTCAAAAACCTAATCTATACATTAATCAAAAGAACAGTAAATAATATGAATGAATCTAATTTGTTATCTCTTTCATGTATGAAAAAAGGACAATTAGATATAAGTACCTGTGTTTTTTTTTCCACGGGTTATGCTTGATTTAAGACGACTATATGAGAAGTGAATTATGTGTTTTGGAAATCACCAAAACTTATACCAAGGTCTTTGTAATTTTTTACTTAAAGCTTTATAATGTTCCATTTCATTCCAACAATCTCTACCCCAATCACAACCAGCCATATTGACAACAAAATCTCTTTCCTTATCACTATAGAAATATCTTGGATCATTAGATTGTTCTGAACAAGCACCTGGTGGGAATGCATTAATTGATCTTAAAGGAAGAAATCCAACACGTTCTCTAATCCATGCTTGAGCGTTATATAATGTTTCTAAAGCATCTTGTTCTTTATGTTCCCATGTCATATGCATTTGTTCATAAAAAACTGGATCCCACCATATATCTAATAACGCTTCAGTCCATTGTGATCTTCTAACGATAAATGAACCTAAATTGAAACCACCACAATCTTGTGTAATTAATAAATCAATAGGTTGTGAATAATCAACATATGGAATATCAGTTTTCAATTGTAATGGGTTAAAATCTGTTAATTGTCTATAAGTCAAATTATCTAATTTACTGAAAATTTGTTCTTCTAAAGAAAGTTGTGGTTCCATAATGTATGTATGTAAATCTAACCACCAAAACCATTCAGCTTTTGGATATTGTCTCATTGCTTGTTTTAGTATATCAACTTTTTCCCAGCTTTCTCTCCATTCATGACTATATCTTTTTTTAACAGTTAGATCTTTAATAGTCAAATCATAACCATGTCTTTTAGCATAATCTTTTTTATTAGCAATAGATGATCTCTCTATGGACCATTCTTGAGCACCTTTCCATTTCAAGACACCACCACCTTCATTAGCAGCTAATATAATTACCACATTTGGTTGTGAAAGCTTTAAATGAGGAACAAATGGAACGTCGGTGAATAACGATAAAAATATCAAAGATATCAACAGTATCACAACTTTTCTATATTTGACCAATGTTGATTTCACAGTTGAAAACACATTGCGAGACCTTGGTGCATATTTGAGATTGGACTCTATGTCCTTGTCAACATATACCATGTTATTTGATCTATCAGATATATGTGAATTCCAAGGGCGGGTTTAATATGAAGTTGAGATTAAATCAATGTGTTATTTTCAGCACGTATTTCTTTGATGTTTTTTTTTTCCAAAGCTAAAAACTCTGAAATCAAAACATAAAATATCTCGCGAATTTTTTATCTCACCAAATAGAATACAATTGTGGCCCACGAGTCTTGAGGTCTGTAACTAGTTCTTGGTATGAAATCTAAAGGGTTGTAATTGTTATAATTTACTACGAAGGGTGGCATCTTACTAGTTTTGTATCGCTAATTTTGATTAATCGAAATGTTGAAAGAACTTGTCTTTGAGTAAATTCCGATCTTGACATTTTCCATTTTCAACAGCGTGTTAGTTTTACGCTATGCAAGTGAAATCCAATTATCAACAGTTAAAAGTTCTTAAGGTATCAATTATTTCATGATCTATATTTAATCACTTGGTAGTACGTTTAGAAGAACTCAAGAAAAAAAGGATATTTTCTATAACTGATCTATTCAGATGCTTGTAAGTTGTTACTGATCTGATCTATTTTGAGGCACACTTTCGGGAATTGGTAGGCGGTGTTTTCATTATGGAGTTGTTCAACTTGAACTGTCAAACGTAATCTTGTTCAACTTTGTTTATAAATCATACCGTACAAGATTTTCGATGGAATAATTGATCTACAGGTCAATTCTTATCGAGATGGCAATTAATTTTTAGTAAGATATATATTCAAATCTTATTTGGTCGCTTGTTGAAGATATTTAGTATCTTTGAAAATTAGGGTTCGCCAAATTAAATAATTCATAGCTGTTTATCAATAAATCGAATCATAGGTACAGCACATATATTATCAATATAGTCTAGTACTATATCATTTCTATTGCTTTATATTAAGTTGGTATCTTATGGACTTTATAGACCAGTCACAATACTATAACTATAAGTGGCTAGCTTCGTACTAGTTTCTACTCCCTGGGTCGCTTATTATGCGGCTGCACGCTTAAAGTCAAACGTTGTAGTCATTTCAATGGAGCCCGGGGTATATATAATCTGGGTTCTTTCAGTACTATCGAAGTATATCAATCACAAATTCTTCCAACAACTTTAATAATGATATAGACGTTTATCCATGGGGTTAACCAAAATAGTTGAAACTATCAAATCAATACGTCGCTTGAGCTAAAAAATAAAAACTTTTCAAATTTGATTGTTGATAAGTATACATGATCTGTACTATAATTATTATTTTCTCGGAGCTATGTGATTATGTCAGCAGTCAGCTTAATTATTGTCGAATTTATTCCTATATTCAACAATCATTAATTCCAAAACAAATGAAGCAACCTGTATTCTTTTTTACATCATAAAACTACAGACATCATTTCTTGATATAATATTGAAGAAAAAGTGAATAAAACGATAAAAAAAATCTACAAAAATTTTGATTATGAGATTTTGAACCAAAAATAAAAAAATTTAGGTCGATCTTAATTTTGAAAAAAATAAAATGTTTGAAAAAAAAAACATTGAATTTAATACTTTTAATATCTTAATGGCTAGTATTAGCTCTCCAGGTATTAAATGAAATTAAATTTGACTAAATACTTCTATAAAATTATTAGAATAATCAGCTTTAAAGCTGATGGGCGGGTAAATCTTACATAAGCAGAAAAGTAAACCAGTTGAACAGTCAAAATAAAACTTTTAAGTGTTATT